AATGCTCGAGGGACAGAAAGCGCTTATGCAATGGGTCATGGTGCGCACGTTCTCTTTGCCGTTAGGCAGTTCCATGATCAAGTTCAGCAGCAAGAAACCTCTGCTGACAGAGAAATACCCTCTATATGGCTTCTCCACATCATGTCTCATGAAGCCAATGGGTAACGTTGTCACTGCGGAACGGCAAAATTATTCCGAGGAGAAGTACTTTTGGGCATTCTTCAACGCTGGTGCTGCAGCTGGTCTCAGCATATCGCGCGACGCCCAGGGCATCGACACGTCATGGATCATGTACAACAAACCTTCAGAGTTGACGAACAAGCATGCTGGACTGTTACTTGGCCTTGGCCTGAATGGCCATCTGAGAACGATTGCGAAGTGGCTGTCTTTCAAGTACCTCACTCCAAAGCATACCATGACTTCGGTCGGCTTATTGTTGGGCTTAGCCGCCTCATTCATGGGTACCATGGACACGCTCGTTACACGACTGCTGTCGGTGCATGTCACAAGAATGCTCCCACAAGGGGCAGCCGAGCTAAACCTATCTCCCTATACCCAGACTACGGGCCTCATGGGCATTGGTTTACTCTACTACAACACCCAGCACCGTCGCATGAGCGAGGTGATGCTTTCAGAGATCGAGTATGTTGAGATTCCAGATCCATCAGAACCGCCGGACAGTTTGCGGGATGAAGCTTACAGGTTGGCTGCGGGCTTCGCGCTCGGCTTCATCAACTTGGGCAAGGGTAAAGATCTTAGAGGTCTCCACGATATGCGCATAGTTGAGCGTCTTATGACCGTAGCCGTAGCGCCTAAGCCCGTCAACGTTGTTCACATCCTCGATCAAGCTACAGCTGGCGCAGTCATCGCCGTTGCTCTCATCTTCATGAAGACTCACGATCAGACCGTTGCGCGTAAGATAGATATCCCAGATACCCTGCCCCAGTTCGACTACGTTCGCCCAGACATTTTCCTCCTCCGCACTCTCGCAAAACATCTCATCATGTGGGATACCATCGAAGCTTCGGACTCCTGGATCATCAAAAATCTGCCGTACGATTATCGCGAAGCCTGGGATCTCAAAGGCATTACACGACTCCGTAGCGAGCAAATGCCTTTTTACAACATCATCGCAGGTCTACTTTGGGCCGTGAGTCTTAAGCACGCTGGTACGGGAGATATCCAGGTCCGCGACTTCCTGATCAAGTATCTGGATCAACTGATACGTATCAACAAACTCCCAGCGGTACGCTACGACTCCAAGCTTTCCAAGAACACAGTCCGGAATTGTCAAGATCTCATCGCTCTAGCCGCCGCAACTGTCATGGCAGGGACTGGCGACCTCGACGTCTTCCGTCGTTTGCGTGGCCTCCACGGACGCATTGGTCCAGATATCCCTTACGGCTCGCACCTCGCCGCTCACATGGCTTTCGGCACACTATTCATCGCGGGCGGCACACAAACCTTTAGCCGCAGCAACAAGGCTATTGCAAGTCTGATCTGCGCATTCTACCCACTGTTTCCCTCCGACGTACAAGATTCGCGGGCGCATCTACAGGCTTTCCGTCACTTCTGGGTACTAGCTGCCGAGCCGAGATGTCTCGTTGTACGAGACGTAGACACTGGACGTGCCATATCCATGCCCATCACCGTCGTCTTCAAGAACAACCAAGAAGGCAACGAGGAGCCACAAACAAAGACACTAGTAGCGCCCTGTCTCCTCCCGGAAATCCATCTGATTAGTCGACTCGAAACAGCGGACCAAACGTACTGGCCTACGACTCTAGACTTTGTACACAATCCACTCCACCTCAAATCCTTCGAGCGCAACCAAACACTGAACGTTCGCCGTCGCTCTGCCCACGATACGTACGCCACAGCCTTCAGTTCTACCCTCGTCGCCCTCAACGATGCCCAGTCATCGAAGACAGCAAACCTCCTCTTCCACTGGATCTTCACGCTCCCCACGCTATCGCAATTCATCTCTGCCAGCGACGCAGGACTTATATTGCCACTCGATCAACACAGCAAGAGTTGGCTAGATCCCGGAGCTACAGTTGTAGAGTCGAGATTGGTGCTGGGTAGGCTGGCGAAGAGCTGGAAACTTGAGGAGCTAAGAGAGTTGAAGGGCGTGTTTGAGTGGGCAGATGCGGCGTGTCGGCACAATGGGAAGCTGAGGTGGTTGGGTAGGGAAGTTGTGGAGAGGATTAAGGCGGGGGTTATGGATCGGGGCAGGGGGATGGGCGGGTAGGATGGGGATGTGTGAGATGAGGGCATTTACTGTGTGAGGTTCTGGAGGAAGGAGTATGTAGAAGATGCATGAAGTAGCATTCCAAATTCGCATTGTTCTAATGTGATAAATGATACTGCAGGTGTTCTGCTTGATCTGAGAAGTCCATGTCTATCATATACATTGCGTGCGTGTTCTGACGTATTATCCACCGTCTAACCATCTAAATATCGTATCTACATCCATGCAACGTCAAACATCTACAAGATATAACCCACCATCCACCCACCTATTTCCCCCTCGCCTCCCTAACCCCCCATTTCCCCACCTCAGCCATAGCCTCCTCGCCTCCTTTAGCCAACCTCTCATCCTTCAATACACCAGCCAGACACTGCCATCCATCCCTACCCCCACCCCACTTAAGCACCTCATTCTTGTAAAGCTCACCATTCTCCCTGTCCAAACTACCTTTCTGGCCATTGTGCTGAAATACGTCTTTCCAAATCTTCGCTGCCAGCGCACGGTCAAACAAATAAGAATAGTACGTAGCCCCGTACCCAAACAAATGGCCAAAGAACCCTTGCCAAGCCGTTCCAGCGGGCTCAGGAACAGAAGCGTATTTATTGTAAACGTCGTGGTACACTTTCGTAGAGTTGAAATTAGGGTCTGCGGCGATGGGTGAGTGGTACGCTTGGTCGAGCATGCAGAGCAGAATCTGGCTTTCGAGTTCAGAGTACTGGTTCCGATTATCGATGGCGAGTCGGGCTTCGAGGGCTGCCATGGGGAGCGGCGCATCGGTTTCCCAGTGACGGGCGTAGAGGCCGAGGACGTGAGGGCAAAAAGCAAAGTGCTCCATGAGGACCGAGGGTAGCTCGGCGATGTCGGTTGCGCAGCGGGTGCCGGAGACGTTTTGTAGGGCGGTGCGACCGAGGATGGAGTGCAGGGCGTGCCCCATCTCGTGGAAGAGGGTGCGAACGTCGTGGATGTTGAGTAGGGTGGGGCGGGAGTGCGAGGCTTTGCTGAAGTCGCAGATGAGTGCTATCGTGGGGAGTTGGAAGTAGCTGTTTCGTGAGGCGTTGTAGGCTATGGGCATGCCGTCTGTGGCGGCTTCGATAGGGGAGGAGAAGCGGTGCGGCATGTGGGCCATCTCCTCCATTTCAGAAGGGAGGATTTCGCGGCTGCAGCGGAGGGTAAAGTGTGCTGGGTTGGGTGTCTTGCCGGGTCGTGAGTATAGGTCGCAGTACAGCACTGCGATGTGACCTTCGGTGTCGGAGATGACGTCTAATCGACGGACACCGTCGTCCCATACTTCTCCTGGTTGGGTCTCTTTGGGGACGAAGCGGACACCGTACAGTCGGTCAAAGAGTCGCGATATACCCTGTAGTACAGTGCCAACGGAGAAGTAAGCAGATAGTGAATCGGGCGTGCGCTGCCTGTAGTGGCTCTCCATGGATGCTAGCATCTTCTGTGTGTAATAGAATTTATCCCAGGCGTTGATGCGATCTGGAAAATTGTCCTGGTGGGCATCGCCTCGCTTCAACTCCATCAACTCTTCTAGATCAGCAAGGACAGCTGGCCGACTGTCCTCATACAGTGCCTTTAAGAATGTGTTGACGGCTTCTGGTGTTCGTGCCATCTTGTTCTCCAGTGTCATATGCGCGAACGTTTCGTAGCCTGAGGTTTGGGCCAGTTCCACTCGCAATTTCAATAGCTTTTCTAGACGGGCGATGCTTGGTTTATTTGCTGTCCGGACAGCTTGATAGGTCTCTTGCCGTACATCTGCGTCTTCTACAAATCGTAAAACCGCTTGCGATTCGGAATGCATAGTAGAGATCTTGGTCTCACCCCATTTCGTCAGCGCCTTTGCGAGGTTTGGGTCCAGCCCTCTCAGCTTCGACGACTTGAACTTCAACTTCAGTTTCTCTGGCGCCATGCCTTCCACAAACTCGTTCCCCACGTCTGCAATCTCGCCGCTCAGATCCACCAGCCGTTCTCTTGTCTTATCGTCTAGACCGATGCCAAATCTTGAGAAGTCTTCCATTAGTATCCTTGCAACGATGCGCTCCTCCTCGCTCCATGCGTCATACACCTCGGATATCTCCGACGCCTTCTTCAGCTGGTCATGCAGGACCGGTGTGGTGTTCAACTGGTTCATGTACTGGAACACCGTCTGGTAGGCCTTCATTGCCATCATCTGGAACTTGCGATCTGGATGCGTGCCTCTTACAAAGTCGGCCAAGTCTATCACCCGACATAGTAGATCGCTGAGCTTATCCAGATCTTTGACCATGTGCTTGAAGTGTTCTGTCGACTGCGCGGCCGCCACCTTTTGCACCACTGCATTGCAGCGTTGTATTGTTACGGTAACGAAGTCGACGAAACCCTGGGGATGGGTGAGGTATTGGTTCCCTATTATTCCCGTGGGTTTTCCCTTTTGCGATGCGCTCTTGAAGCCATCCCAGAAGGATGCATTGTCAAAAACTTTGCGCAGGGCGTCGTCATCTGTCTTCCCGCTGGCAGACAGGCCGAAGAGAGCGTTGGGCAGCGCAGTGTCGCGTGCTTTGGCGGCGGCGGCGAATGTGGAGTTGAAGCGTCGCTGGCGTTGGGAGGAGCGCAGGCATTGTTGGCAGACCCATGGCGACTGCTTTGGGCGAGCGAGGCGCTTGAGCATATTGGGTTGCACGGGTGAAGGGTGGGCTGGCAGAAGTCGGACGAGACGAACGATGTCATAGCTAAGCCGAGGACGGGCGGGAATCTTGCGGCGCTCGCACGGCCGTTTCCGCGTCTTCTGAGCTCAACATCACCAGTTGGACACCACCAAACCCGACCCATTGCGCCTGCCCCACGCTCGACATGGCCTTCAGACCGCTGTTACGGCAGGTGAGTAGGCCAGACAAGATGCAGGATTGTGTATTGACATCGCATAGCGCGCCGCTGTCCCCGCCATGGCCGCCCTCTCCGCCGCAGCAATCTTCGCACCCCGGACCGTCTACGCAGAGGAGCGACCTGCGGACCATTTTGTATGTTGGAATGCCCTTGGACTTTCGAGGCGTCTATTTAGGGTCTTGTAATATCCTTATTAATCCCAACACTAACGCTAAAGCAGAACCGCAAACCTATCTACGATGATATGCCCGTGGACACCACAGCGCCTACCGCTCCCGCCCTAGCAGAACCGTCCAACTCGCCTTCATCTCCAGAGTCTACCTACCGACCGACACCAACCGACCGCCTCGCAGTCCAGATCGGCCGTGCGCGCATGGCTCTATACGAGCAGGCTGTCCGTGGCGAGAAGGCCGTCGATAACGCGCTCACAGAGACGCTCCGTCTCGAGCACTCCTTCACAAGCACCATCCGCTCATTGGCCCCACCGAGGGAATCCGGCGAGAAGGTCCTTCCGGGCGCACTCTACGTCCTCGTCTCCTCGATGGCCGGCTCCATCATCACGCGCAACCGCAACATCCTCCTTCGAACCTCCGTCCCCGTCGCTGTCGGCATCACCGCTGCCAAGTTCGTGCTTCCCATTACCACCAAGAACGTCGGAGACCTCATCTGGACCTACGAAGAGAAATACCCCGTACTAGCGGATACCCACCTGCGGATGAAGAACAGGATCTCGCAATTCATCGAGACTGGAAAGGCACATGCACAGGGAACTGTTGGAATGGTCGAGGGCAAGCTGGCCGATACACGCGAGAATCTGGAAGGCTGGGTCAAGAAGGGCCGGTAAATAATACCTTATCAAAAGCTTTCCATGGCACGAGTACCTGTACATTATTAGTAGCGGGGCATAGGTGGGAAGACCGTCTTCACGCAATGTGATTTGCATTTTCTTTTGTTCTGCAGCTTCCTTCTCGTGTCGTCGATTTTGTCAGTCTGAGACTGATGTTATTCGCCAAATCGTCCAAGCATAACCATTGCCTGATCCTCCCAGCATTTCTGTCCGTCCTCTAATCGCTTTTGTCATAATTCAGTCCCATATCACTACTCCTGGTCTGCCTCTTGCCCTTCGCCTTGTTGATCTTCCTCCGCCTCCTCCGCCTCCGCCTCCTCCGCTTCCGCCTCCGCTTCCTCTCCAGAGAGCCAGTCGGCCAAGGATTTTTTAACATCTTCTCCACGTTCGCATCTGCGCCGGCCCAGCAAAGCCTTCAAGACTTCATGAAGGAACTGCGTTGGGTAATGCTCGTAGCTTCGGCAGTTTCGGTTTGCCCGTGCAGCATACAAATGCGCCAGGAACTTCCAAAGTTTGGAGGTTCTGCTTGCATTGTCGTATGCGTATACAACATCTTCTCGTCCAGGAAGTGTGTTGCCGACGAAGCTGTAGTCGATCATTTCCTCACGAAGGGCTTTTAGGAACCGGGCGTCTTGCAGGCTGTCACCAACTATGTGTGCTCTGATGAGTTGGGTGAAGCTCCTTTGAACATCATTCTCAACGTCGCCATGGGGGTAACTTGTAATGATTCCAGTGTATAGCCACTGCATATAGATGTCGAAGCCCAGAGGATCGCACTCTTCCAAAGTGAAGTCGTCAATTCCGGCGGGATTTTCATCGAATGCCCAGTCCAATCGACAAAGAGGACACGTCTCTTCTCTGTCCAACCAGTCTTGGATACACTTTGTGTGGAAGTTCTGGCCACAATCGCCGCAAAAGGTAATTGGCGAATGGCCCAACATTCCTTCAGTGCAGATGGAGCATTCGCCTTCGATAACTTTGCGAGAGCTTTGCAATGCTTTCTTGAAGTAGCCTGAGCTTGTACAAAGCAAGTCCTTGTGCACAGTGAAAGGGACTTCGTCAGGTCCGACCTGGACGTTGATCATGTGGCGGCCGAAACTGTGGAAACTGTCAGATATGACGTCTTAAGTTGTTCACGCTGCAGAGCTTACTGTACTCGTTTACGTGCACTCTTCCGCGCCGCTCGCCGAGTCTTCACGACTGCCATGTTGGAGCCTGGCGACTACAGCTTCCTGGATTGTTCAGCAGAGTGTAGGTATAGCAGAGCCCGGAGCGTATGAATAAGCTCGTAGACTCGGCGATAACTTGTACCTCGACACTTGGGCGTATCCTGATGGTGATTGTGTTCTGTAAGTCAATTAGTAACTCGGTCTCTACTACTTGGAAGGTAACTTGTTTTCGTACCTGTTGAAACGATCGAATGACTGCGTGTTGCTTCACGACGTAGTTTGAGGAGAAGGGAAGGAAAGTCGGAGTCCGGCAGTCAAAATTCATATATATGGATACAAGCCCAACGTGTCTAGTATCACTTTGCAGTGAGGCCGGTACGGCAAGTAAAGGCACGAGAAGGTGAAGGTGACTTCAGTGTGAGATTCATTGTAGAGTTGTTATATCTGCGGTTTTGGCTAGCATCCAATATTCCGTAGTGACAATTTCGTCGTGTTTGGATCCGACTGAGATACGACGAAGTCCGAATAGCTCATACTGGGGTAGTCACGTCTCAACCCACGCGACTTCCCGTGTCAAGAGTGGAAAGAGCCATTTTCGCCTTCGCTTTGCAGGGTAGGAGCGACAGCCCAGAAAACCTCTTCACACAGCAGTCACATTCGCTTATCTGCTACAACACATGTCTACCTCCTTTTCCCTGCGAATGAGTTCCTTTCCTTAGAGGCGCTCACAGAAACTGCGAGAGTCACCGGTAAGAGACTTACCAATGAAGTTCAGCATTGATAACTCATCACTCTTACTCGAAATACACAAGCCAACGTTGCCCAGGTCTGATCGAACGCTCTTACCATCTCCGCCAAGCACGCCACTTACGAACCTACACCAGAAGCTATCAAAGCTGGCCTACTTGTTCAAGACGCACATGCATGACAGTTCAGCGCTTTGCTGCATGGTCGCCGAACGGTGTATGGTATAGCAAGGGACACCGTTGGATGATGCTAGGCAGAACGCTGCCAGAGCCCACAATCACTGCCGCATACTATGCACCTCCATAACAAGCGCACTACGATTCGAGTGGTTCGTACGAAAGCGGTCGTCTCCTTACTGATTCTCATGTCCACCACCACGCCTATCTGCAACTCCAACAGACGCGGTGACTGCATTGCATGTCGACCAGGCTTCTCTCGTGAAAGTGCCAGAATTCCAACACTGCGACGATTTCTCCTTGCAGCAAGTATCCCGATATGACGCACTTCTCAAGAGCGAGACCTTGCATATACATCGCGGGAACACTAGGGACGGTCGGCACGGAATTTGTCAGCTTTGCGAACGTCTCCCCAACGGTCTAACGGTCCAGACGGCAGTGGCAGCTAAACCGCCAGTTTGGTCAGAATGGCATGATTTGACACGGCCTTCCCCCGGATCCGGTACATTGGTTGATGCGCCCGACGCATTCCTTCCAATGCAGCTCACGCGGCCAAGGCGCCGGAAACGCCGAGCTACGAGTGGCTGGGACCAGACGAAGACGATAACCACAATGGAGACGATGGTAGAGAATCATTTGTAATTCCGATAGCCGCAGGTTGGAAGCCGTTTGGGAAAGTCCTTTGTGTACGCTGGAGAACTGTGCCTCAAACCCGCATCAGAGTGAGGCCGATCAGGTCCCATTTGCAGGACTGGACCAGAAGCTGGGGCTTAGGCCGTGTTAGTGCCCGAGAAGCAAAAGAAGAAGACAATAATGGTGGCATTGAGACATTGACGCGCGTGTTGACGGGATGGTCGGTGAGATGGTCGCCCAATCTCTCGGAAGGAGTGACGCATGTCCAAAGCCACTCACTCGGTACTGGGAGCATGAGGCGTAAAGCTGTAGGTGTCATTCGACACGTTGGTCGTGGCTGTGGGTCTATTCAACAGCTGGCAGCAGGCAAGGCGGTCGAGGTTGCGAGGACTGCGGGGTTGACTGGCCCCCTAGCGCTCCCGTCGGCGCTTTCGCTGTCGGCGCGCCCTCCAAGGCCAGGGCCTTGGGAACGACATTATCCATTCCGCTGGGTTTCGCCTCTTCCTCGACACGACTCGGGGCGAGTCCTGTAGCGCATCGTAGCGCATCCCCAAGACATCATGGCCACCTCTGTGACTGACCGTGTGCGCAAGACCAAGCTGCGGCCGCTGTCCAGTGCCACCAATCTCACCGACTTCACACACTCGACTGCCGACCCAGCTGATGTATGCCGCCTGCTCTCCCCACTACATACGTACCAAGGACTCCAAACTAATCACGATATGTAGTCGGATGCACCGTCAGATGGAGAACTCAACGACTTGTACCTCTCCTCCTCCACCCTTACATACTCCATGCGCTTACACATCGCAGCGAGGTGCAAAGCCTCACGCCAAGCATGTATGGCGTTGAGAGAAAGTACGGCCGGACCTACCATGGCTTTCATGCTGGAGGTACGCATTACCACTGCACGACTCTTCGCCCGACTGTAGCTAATTGACTCCAGCCTACCCTTTCCCCAACGATGAGGTACGCGCTGCCAGAACCCATCCCTTCAACCATCGCCTTCCCGCTGACTCGCATACCTGCAGCTTGAGATATATCGCCTGGAATGGGAACATCATATCATAACAGGACTTTTACAAGGCAAACACTACTTCGCGCCGCTGAACACGAAAAAATCATCAAGGATGCTGGATATTGGCTGTGGAACCGGACAATGGTGCATCGCGATGGGTATGTGTCGTGTCTGTCGCTCTTTGTGGAAACACGACTGACAAGCACTAGCAAAAAAGGCTCCAAAACATTGGCGGGTAGGCGGTGCAATGCTCTCTTCATGGCCACGCTAACCAGACATCAGGTTGAAGGCATCGACTTATCCGCGATCCAACCCAAGAAAGACAGACTGCCCAACAACGTCGACTTTTGGCTGGATAACATCCTCAAGACATCTTGGTGGTTCCCCGAAAAGCAACCCTATACCTACGACTACGTCCACACACGCTTTATGCACGGCATCTTCACCGACTTCCGAGAAGTCATACAAAAGGGCTATAACAATCTGAAACCTGGTGGATGGATGGAGTCGCAGGAAATATTTTCCAAACTCCAGTGCGCCGAGGGTATGCCGGATTCGTATCCACTGCAGGAATGGTCACAGCTGCAAGACGAGGCCGCGCACAACCTGGGCCGGCCGTTACGCATCGCGGACAAATTAAAGAGGTGGTATCGAGAGGCCGGTTTCGTGGATGTGCACGAGGAGGTCTTCGCTCTGCCCGTGAATCCATGGCCAAAAGAAAACAAGTCGAACATGTACGGCAAGTTTTGCATGTGGAATATGCTCGTGGGTCTGCACGGATGGACGATTGAATATTTTGTCAGCGGCCTGGGTTGGACACCAGCCGAGGTTGAAGTCTACCTCGCGCATGTGAGGAACTCGCTCGCGGACGAGAGTGTGCACGCCTACTACAACTTGTAAGTCGCATGTGGAATCAGATACGAGATGACGAGACGTCGAGACGCATACTAATGCCCACTAGCTACGTAGTTTGGGGTCGCAAACCTCACGACGACGAAGCCGGCAGCACGATACCCAAACCCGATCACTGGCCGCAGCCCCCCTCTGACGACGACGAATCCATCTTTTCATCGGGAGTATTATAATACATGTTTGGAAGAGCCAGTATTAGCTGGCACATATGCATATGATTTAGCTCTTGGCGTTATTCATATACTGGGTTCTTGGGAACGAGCCTTCTGTCCTTAATCATGGATTGTAAGGAGGTAATTTGCTGTTGTTGTTCTTTGCATATTTTCTTGGCGGCTTATGTCGATTGAAAAAGCCTTGAGCGGTGGTTCGATTCTGTTGCTTAAGTGGCAGACTGCGATTTACGATGTATGAGATTTGGAATTTCCATGGTGTTTGAATGATGGGGTTAGTTGTTAATGTCATTTGGTCAGTTGCTATGTCAGGTCTGTGAATAAAAAGATGAGTCACTATGATGCGCGTGGCAAGATTGTTTTCGTGGCTGTACGTGAGACAGCATGTCGATATATGGGCAGTTTCGTGATGTAAGTCATCTCGTCATGGTCTTGGAGCTGGTATTCATTCGGAATTCTGCGCTTCAACCAGGTCGACTCCATCAAGTCCTGCTATGTCGTTGAGCTGTAGGTTGCCCGAGGATTCCCATTGTTCTTTGAAATAATGATGTCATCGACCGAAGGTGGCTGCAAGTGTTTGTTGCCCTCGTAGAGAATCAATCCATCTCCTCGATGTAGTCGCTAATGTTTGCCATCGTAGCCGGCTTCGGCATGTTGTCTGGACGGTCGCCCAGAAGTGCGATGGTGAGGCCAGCGAGAAACTCCTTGGGTAAAGCATACGCGTTCTTTGTTAAAAATTCAGCCGATATCTTAATCCACATATTTATCATAAGGCGACGGCCAGGACTGTCCGCACATGTGCCCTGGTATACAACGATAATGGTTTTGACGGATGGATTGAACTGGACCCCGTCCGCATCTTTTTCTTCAGCGACCTCTAGCAGACCTTGGATGGCGGAGTTATTTGCAGTCTTGTCCTGGAGCTTCTCATCGAGAACGTAAAGCTGGCTGAGCACACGCATCTCCTTTCCGATATCCTGACTATGTATCGGCTTCTCGAGAGTGTTGGTCACAACTCGACCTGTGTAGAGAAAGTTGACATAAATGTTGAAGATCTCTGGGTCATCCTCCGGCAACTTGATAATGCGTTTTTTGCTCTCTGCCCAGTTGCCGTTCATAGTACGCTTGAAGAACTCGGAGCGTCCGCCCAAGATGCCTTCGTGGAGTAGGAAGTCTTCTTGAGAACCTTCAGGACCGACCCGCACAGTCAAGAAAGAAGACGGATTGAAGCTAGCTTGTTCATGTCAGGATCGGTGACTGACGGTTACCAAAGATGACTTGTTATGGTGCTGACTTTCGCAGCTGGTGCAGCGGTTTGTGACTCCATCGTGAGCACTATCGTCCTGGCGGTCTTGAACCGCGGAGGGTGTTATGGGGAGAGGTAAGGGAGAGATCGTCGGAAAGTTGCAGCTATTCGAGGTGTTGATCTGTAACTTAGCTGTGAACAGATCCGCTTCTATGGCAAGCCGCAATCACGGTGAAGGCCGAAATGCAGGACTAGTGCTCTGATTGGTGTAGCGGCTTGTGGGGATGGAGTGAGAGACCCGCAAGAATGGCGACGGAAGCGGTCGAGAAAACAAATATCTTCTGCTGCCGCTAGATCTATGGTGTGATATTTGGATGAGGACACTGTGCGAACGATAAGCACGTGCCGTGAGTCTAGTCGCGACTTCCTGAACATGCAGACACGTATCTTGCCATCATCGTACCTGCCTCAGACGAGGAGGCCCCTCGCCTGGATGCACTTTGCCATTTTGTAACTTTAACTGATCAACCTCACTATGTTGGACTTCTTTCTGATTGCTCACATTCGCTTGCAGGTACCTTTCCCATGTTTTCATCACCATATGAGACCCGACTACACTCCTCAACTAACATCTTGATGTTCGCAGGGCCCCAAACAGTTCAGATACGTGCGCACCTTCTTCGCCCACGTCATACTGGCTCTGGGACTCACCTTCACCTCGCCTCCCCCAGCCCGCCGTCTGCCTAGCGCCGCCACCCTGCATACAAGCCCTCTCATCTGAGCTCACCCATTATCTATACCCACACAATCCACTTTTACCTGAAGATATAAACCCCAAAATCACCTCATCTACCATCAACTCTCCTCTACTTGGCGGACTCGGGTGGGCTCCTGACGGTTACATAGAGTGCATTGCACGGATTAGAAAAACCTAGAGAAAAAAACAGACAACATGTCCATTCAAACCAAAAGTGACTATGGTAATGGGAAACAACACATAAGAGATGGATATGTCACACAAAGGGCTGAACTCGGGAGGGCGCGCCGTTCGATTCGGAGTGGGCGTCGGTCAGCAGATGCTGGGTGGGGGTTGAGTTGATTCTTTTTTGCTCTTTTTTCTCGATTTGGGGCGGGAGGTGAAGGTGAGAATGGCATGTGAGAGCGGGTGACGTATGTCTCTGGTAGAACAACAACACGCGGCCGCAACAAAGACAATATAGAGAAAGGCAGAAGACACGCAGAGGTAAGAAGAAATAGAGAAATAAGACCGATATAGATGACTTAAAGTTTTATGTGACTTTTCTACTTTTACCGTTGAGTATGTCCTTCCTGAATGGCATCGCAGCGTACCCGTTCGGCCCGTGTGATGGTGTTGCATTTCTTTCTGTCAGCTTCTTCCACAGCTCGCCTATGCTTGCTCTGTTGACAGGGAGCATGCTATATTGCAAGCTGTATAAGTTGCGTCGGTGGATCGGTGGGACGAACTGCCCTGACACTAGATACAGCAATACGCTAGGCGAGAAGTAGTGCTTGCGTATGCGGTCGCCGAGGTCAAAATAGGGCTGGAACATCGCACGTAATGACAGCGGGATCGACTGCGTATTGTGAGTTCACATACTTTACAGGATTGAGCAACTTGACTTACCTTCAGCAACACATAGGCGGTCGGCGGTGAGCCTGTTTCGCTTGCCGTGCTAGAGGTAAGATCGGTCGTGTCTTGTAGCTCGAAACAGATTCCTCCAGGTAGTCTTCCAGGATCCTTCAGCCGTAACATGACTGCAAAGAGCGGGAAGTGATTGAGACAGGCAAGCCCCATCTCCAGCGCAGCCTTCAGTCCGATGACAGCAATGCGTGCGCTCGCAAACGTCAGGTAGAAGACGAACACAGTTGGCAGTAGGAAGAACTGTAGTGTGAAAAGAATTGTACCGAGCAAGAGTTGATCCAAGTCGTAGTCGCATGAGTCGATTCGGTTGCGGAGGATGTTGCGCTTCTTTCCACGGAAAAGATGAAAGAGGGATATAATGATCATAAGCTGCCAATGGAAGATGCGAGCAGACGCGACATAAAATGAGTAGATGTGCAGCGTCAGCAGTGAAACGAGGTCCGAGAAGATTGAGATGGGCATAGTGGCGCCAGCGAAAGCGGAAAAGCCAATGATCTGGATCAGCGCAGGTAGATGTGGCCGCAGAAGCGATATGCATCCGGCCCAGTAGTCAATAACCCAAAGAAAGAGGTCACCCAGGAACGCAGCCAGTTCAGTATTCAGCTTCAAACCTCCGGGCCATCCCATAAGCCATGATATCATGCGCCGCAGACCGTCGACCGACCAGGTACTGAAGATGGTATCAACCTGAGCAGCCACGAACGAAGCATTCTCGATGATGAATGTCCCAACAGCGATGCCCATTATCACATCGTTGGCAACCAGCCACAGGCTGTTGTAGAACCTGATATACTCCGGATGACTGTTAGTGATGCTTTCCCAGTTAACTTTCCTCCTGCGTAAGGTGAGATACTGAATGGGCCAATAGCAGGATTGTTGTAATCGTATATCGATCTGTTGCGCTGTTGCGGAGATGTCTTTCAGAGCTGGCGAGTCGGAAGAACCTGGCCGCCAATGGAGAAGCTGAAGAACGGCTTCTGCCATTATACGATATGTAATAAGCCCAAAGATGAATAGCTGCGCGGCTCCCGGCCATATCCAGATTCTGAACGCATAATGGAGGACAAGCCATATATAGTCCCAGAGATCGTTCGCAGACTCGACGACCCGCTCACTGACACTCAAGGCTCGCTTCATGCGCCTGCCGATCATACCGATGTTCTTCTGCAATAGGGCTTCCAATTCATGCGAACAATTCACCTGCTCGATGAGCATCGGCAACGCCAGCTCCTTTTGCGTGCGCGGGTGTGCAATGACTGTATGCAGCTTGAGCTTCTCAACGAGATGTGCCTTCCTTTTGCGCTCCTTTTCTTCTGCTTTCTCCAGCTCTTCAAAAGCTACATCCCATTCTGCGACCCTTGTTTTGTCTCCTAATGAGAGCGTGATGGGCTTGAGCGAGAGGTATTGCATACGCGTTGGATGCGGTCGGTCGTATACGATGACTTGTACAGCCACGAGCGGTTCGTGAGGATAATGAAGGCGCGGAAAGCGGAACGAGGGATCGGTATGGACTACGACGAGGTCGGCACCAGGCTGCTCAACTGGGCTCTTAGGGTTGACGTAGCCTAAGGCGCGCAACGAAGAGTGTCCGCATCGTTGGAGCAGTTCCTGAACATCGTGTGGGCTGTGGCGCAGCAAGGTCCCGACAAGCAGCGCGTTCTCGACCTGGCGCAGTTCGACTTCTTGAAGCACAGCTACCACAAAGACATCTGATTTCGAGTTTCTGAACCCTACCAGAACACCCGACGCAGAGTCCTTGAGAGCGTCTGAAGGCCAGAATACGCGCATCAACCCATTGTGTGTGACCATGTCATCATCCTGCTACCCCGCTAGAAGGAACCGCGACGTTTGAGCTGCTCGCGTGCAGAGATGCCGGTGCCTGCGAGTCGAGGATGCTAATTGATATCGTCAGTGGGGACCTGGAAGTGCGATCAAGGCCCATACTGACCAAGTCTGTCTCTTGTGTTGCGATGCGCACAACCGGTAGTATGAAGAGAAAGAACAGCAAGGACAGCAGACCAAAACCCTTTGCGGTTCGTGTCAACACCCCGTGGTCCCAAGTAAAAATGGCTAACTCGTAGACGCGCGTAACAAGATCCCAACGGGCGGTCGAGTATCCTGCGACGAAGATTCCGATAGTAAGAATGGAGAACGCGTGCATCTACGCCGTCATGCCAAGTTATATTCGGAAAGGTCGAAGGGGGCCTGCGCGAACACTAGACTAGCATCCAGGAAGGCACAAGTGTCGGCAATGAGTCTTGACTTTCACTCTGTGAATTGACACTGGTATGGAGTAGTGCGCTTGGGAGTACATGGCGCTGGATGCATTAACGGACGAGGCGTAGACAGACGATGATCGCGTACGTGGAAGGTCCGAATGTTCGGAATACACGCTAACGGCGAAAATGGCCTAGCTTTGATCGCTCCTTCCTCGACAACGGTGAGCATCATCGCAGAGGCAAGCATCAACACCCAGACGCACAAGGAAACTCACATTTGTCGGCAAGCAGCTATAAAACAGAAGATACCGTGCTACGGTAGGTGCTTACTTCCGTCTCGTCAGCTCCTTATACTCTACTTTCATACTGTCGACGTTGACCGCTTAGCGCGAGTTGACGACGAGCATTCCATATGCATCTGTCGAAATGGGCGGAGAAGGGCAGAGGGCCGGGAACACCAAGAGTGCGCTGCGATGGGCAGAGGTAACTACAAGTAATGGATTTGAACAGCACTTCACTGCTGTGTGAATCGCAACCACCTGGGCACTATTTGGCGCTTTGTTCGCGTTGATTATTAGCGCGTCGCGTCCGTCCGCCTGAACCTTGGAACCTTCGAAGTTTCCGTTCACTCCAGCCGCGACTACCTTTTTCATTGACTTCCACAACTTGACAACACAGTAAAACCTCACCGTTGCTAATAAACCCCAGTCAACCGCGAACTGCAAATCTTGACCCTGAACAAGGAGGCTATAACGGCAATCAAGGCGACATGACTGTCTGCGGCTTCTATCAGCGCAACGCTTGCAAATTCGGAGGTAGGCAATCAGCTCTATCACCAGACACTAATCTCACGCGAAGCAGATTCCTGCAAATTCGAGCACCCTGGAAGTTCGCGAGATGCAGCTCGAGGCGGAGGCGGCTTTGGCGGTGGCTCCAACAACAACCGCTTTGGTGCTTTCAATGGCGACCGCTATCGCCCAGCTGATAACAGTGGACCCAACTCATTTGCGAGCAACCGTGACCCAAAGTCATCAACCTTCAGTTTAGACAAGGACGCCATTCAGGTCGATCTTACCAAGGAGCGCCCAATCTACCCACTTTCATGTTATGGCCCAGGGAAAGATGCTCCGCGCCAGCTCATCGAGGGGCCCGTCGAGATCAGTCCCGAGGAGCTTCGATCTCGGTACTACACATTACGAGTGGCCGGTAATGAGCCTACAGCGGTAAGTCTGAGGTTCGGCTCTGGGTTCTTGAAAACTAACGGTCTGTAGCAACAAGAAGAGGGAGCGCTGAGCGAAAAGATGCAACAGCAAGTAAAAGCAATCTTGGATGATATTACGGGTGCGATCAACTATGTCGCAGAAGGTGCCAACGTTCATCCCAACCGCATCGACATCGCCAAGGGCACTGCAGCAAACGGATCAGCGAGCAACCCGACTGGGTCGTCTAACACTGCTGCGAATCCCTTCATGAAAGCACCAGCGAACCCGTTCCAAACTGCGGCAGCAACACCCCAGCCTTCTGCGTTTGGGCAGGCTTCTACACCGGGATTTGGCAAACCAGCGTTCGGTCAACCGTCCAACCCAGCACAGACGACCTCAGCGTTTGGTCAACCTTCAAATCCAGCTCAGACAACATCGCCCTTCGGTGCAGCCTCTGCTTTAGGTCAGAAGGCATCACCCTTTGGTCAACCTTCAGCGTTAGGTGGTGGTGGGAGTGCAAACCCAGGTCAGTCAGCATCGCCCTTCGGTGCGGCCTCTGCTTTAGGTCAAAAGGCATCACCCTTTGGTCAACCTTCAACGTTGGGTGGTGGCAGTGGAAGTGCATTTGGGAAGCCTGCTTTCGGTGCCTCTGGATTCGGTCAATCGTCAATGCCAGGCGCAGGTAGCGCATTCGGTCAGGCTAGCAGCATGGGTCAAGGATCTGCTTTCGGCCAGCCATCAGCACCGGGTGCGGCGTCGGGATTCGGCCAGGCAAACGCTCTTGGACAAAAGCCAAGCCCATTCAGTAAACCAGGTTTTGGACAGAGTGGATTCGGACAGACGGCTCAGCCAGGTGCCAATGCCTCTCCTTTCGGCCGGCAAGCTTCTTCTGGTGCGTCGCCATTTGGTCAGCAAGCCTCGTCAGGTCCATCTCCTTTCGGCCACAAAGCACAGCAACCAAGCCAGTCTTCACCATTCGGTCAAGCAGCCCAGCAACCAGCTCAACCTTCACCATTCGGTCAGCAAGCTCAACAGGCGCAGAAGCCGAACCCGTTCGGTCAGCCTCAGCAGGCGTCTACACAAGCACCTGCACAGGCGAACCCCTTCGGTGGTGCTGCATCGTCCACCGCCCCAGCTTTTGGTCAACCAAGCAAACCGTCACCTTTCGGTACTCAACAACCTCAGAACAACGCAACGCAGCCGGCAGCTGCCAACCCCTTCCTCAAGCCGCAGTCATCTGCCGCACCAGCAACTTCCACGCCTTCGCCATCTCCCTTCACCACCCAGACCCAGAGCCAGCCTAGCAACCCTTCCGCCCCTGTTCAGGCTGCCTCTCAGCCGGCTTCAATAGCGCAACCCAGCTCCGCCCCGCGCCCCCATGTAGATGGTGTCACACCAGATGGCAAACCTATTGACCCTAAGGACCGTTACAAGGAGGGCAAGCCAGAGGAATATGAGGGCGAGCGGGGTAGGATGCTAGAAGAGATCTACAAGCGCGTTGCTCAGCTCGGGCGCTTCAACGATGATGAAGATATCCCCGTCACACCACCGAGGTGCGAGTGGATCGCGCCGCTTACGCTGTGATGAAGCGACAGTGTAAGCCAGATGGGAAAAGCGGGTGCATCTGATGGTAAATGGCATGAACGGCGTTAGTCTTGGTTTCGTGGATAGATCTCACAAAATGATTTGTACAAATAGCAGACTAAAGTTCACACGCAAGTGCGTACGGTTTGACACCCTCGTTTGATTACCACTACTTCCATTCCGACACCTGAGCAGCCATACAAGGAAAAACTTGTACAGGTCTGTAGCCTGCATTCAGATAAAAACATCCAAAGCAAGTGACCTAGCGTCAACGTAGGCTCCAGGGTGTTCGGTTTTTTCCTCGAATGAGCTGGTCGGGCATTTCGGGCTTCTCGGCAGGTTTGTAGCGGGCCTGTATTGGTGTTGAAGAGAATAGATTGAGTGGCTTTACCTTTGCCAGGGGCAAGGCTCGTCGCTGCGATATGTGGGGCATTGCATGGTGACGATGCGAGGCTCGATGGTTAGTTCTCAGATGTAGAGTGGGAGCTCTGCTGGGAGTTGGGGAAACGGGTGGTATGTTGCCATATTATGGGTCTGCGGTGATAGCTTGAGTGGTTTCAGTGAGAACCGTTTTTGGGTAGATAGGTGACCCAGCGGTTCAGCGCTTGTGAGATTTTGTGCATGAAGACCTTATAGATAGAATTAATGTGGCGCAGCCGACATTGAGTCACGATAGCAATCTCAGCTCACTGCATCAATACGACCTTCCTAAACGGTGGAAGCAGCTACCTCGTAGGAGAACAAAGGCTCAGAGAGGCTGCAATTGGAATCCGCCTGTGAGGTTCCGGCAATGGTTGCCCGTCACGATATCATCGTCAAGGTCCAAAATACCAGCATGAACAGCATGAAATATGTGTGGTATAAGGTAGGTACTCGATGAGCACCAGCTTTCGTAATGACGGAGAAGAGTCCGATCTCGTAGTGTACATGTGTGTTCCATCCCGCTGGTCCGTTGTTCTGTACTAGTTGCTCCGTCTGTGCAGGTCCCCTTCGGCGCGTTGCTCGGGTTCGGCCGCATTATCGCCACTTGTTAGGTATGTGGTGGGTGATTTATCGCTTCTTCGATTCCACTTTCTCCTCGAGGGTGCGGACGTAGCCTTCTATCCGTTGGACCGCGGATTGGAGAGCCTGCTTTCGTTAGCCATGACTTGTTTCGCCTGTAAATCCCTCGTATGCTGTCTTGCGCTCGCAGGTATCCGCAACGGATGTAGGTAGGAATGACGTACGTAGATGTCCTCGGTCAAGAGCTGGTTCGATACGCGGTATTCGTCAATGACATAGTAGTACATGCCTGCGCCGGATGTGGTCGCACCGAGAAGGAATCCGAACAATCTGCCATGTGTTAGTCAAAGTACTCCAGTCTTTTTTGCCCTTCCAGCGTCCGCTTCTTCGCTTTCGCGCCTGCCTTGCTGCATGTGACAGGCTACCCTCGTGGTGGTATAGCCATCGAACCCGGTCGGACATTGGCGAATGCAATTGCGGGATGAGCACTCACCCTCCCCTGAAAGCACCGACAGGCTTCTTCACTGGCGCAATAACAGTATCCTGCCTCAGTACAGCGGTTGTCTGGAATCCGCGGGAAGCAGCCATAGGCGCTCGAGCGCCGGCGCGAGCCGCCGCCCTCAAGAATTGGGTTGCCATTGTGTCCTTTACTATCTTTCACGTCGCTCGTGTCGTGGACCGAAATCTAGTCTCGGTTTGTGAGAGTGTGGGTGCAGCGTGGTGGTGGTGACGCTCGTGTGCCGGCCGTGACGTTTGTGAGCTACCTGCTCTCCGCACTACAAACAAGCAAGCTCGACTCGCCTGACCTGGACCCTTGCCTGCCTCACGCTTATGTCAGCCATCCCGCCTGGCTTTATCTGGTAGACTATGAACGGCGATTCATTCATCGCATCTCGACACAATAAGGTTTTTGCCAAGCGTGATAACTGAAAGGGGTCGCACCAAATGCATCGTCTAAATTTTCCCCATGCGATGGTTTTGAGTCCAGGTTATTGCCGCTATTCAACTCCATATTCAGCGATCCTCTCAAGGTGCGGTCCCTGAAGGGGCCCTCCAAGGCTCCCGAGGTCTTACCTAGTCGACACTTCACATACACGCGCACGTGGCAAACACGCATACGACACGAAGACATCTTGTCATAGTAATTATTGAATTAAATTGCGATGCGCGTAGGGGTATTCTAAATCATGTACACTAAGGGAACGAGGGCCTGCTAACGGGCAGTGTCCTCGTGCAGTCCACCAACTTTATCAAGTCTTTCTTTTCCACACCCAGAAGACTCATCCTGATGTAAGCCTTCGCGTAGTCCAGGTTCCAATGGATCTGGTTACCGACAAACTTCTTCCACTCATCGTTGATCTTGGGATGTACCGATAGCACCTTGTCACTTGGGAGTACGAAGACCTTCTGGTCAGCACTGCCGCCCGAGGGGTTGTTGAGAGTATCGTTGTAGAACTCGACGTCCCAGACACCGGGGGTCGTATCGAGGGGCTTGTTAACAACCTCTGGGCGAATGTCCACGAATCGTTGGCGGGCTGTTGCATGGGCGCCTACGAGTGCTGCGAGATCGTGGGGCGAGAAACCTTTGTCCTTGAAGATGGCGATCAATTTGTCGGCGTCTTGATGAACGTCAGGTAGGAGTCCTTTGGGCGCGGCCTTTGTCGCATCCTTGCGACCAACGAATGTAAGTACGCGGGGCCCCTTCGGACACGAGATTGTTGCGTGATTGTGCGCATATTGAACGAGATCAGCGTACCCGACCTTGTACTTGGACTGTACGCCCTGGAGTACTTTGCGAATACTCTGAAGGCCGTTGTTCTCTGGTCGGTCTTGCTCGCCGAATTCCATGAGCAGCGATCCATCGGCACCACCGTTGAGAGCATTTTTATCCCAAGACCCAGCATCGTGGAAGCCCATACGGACTGCGGCACGAGCGTTGTCGTTGCATTGTTTGTCAGCCCCGACAAACAAGTTGGTAAGCTCGGCAGAGACATCGTACCCTGAAATTTGTTAGGCCTTCAGAAATCGAAAGTCTGTTGTTGTAACTCACAAACGCAACATTTGTCCACGCTGAACAATGAGCAGGTCAAGGGCTTGTTCGTTTTGGTGTTGTCGATAGGTGACTTTTTACCAGACAAGACATCCGCAATGAGCTGTTCAATGCCCGTGAGAACGCCATTGAGAATGCCATCGATAAGGCCGGGTGCGGCATGACGCGGTTCCAATGGTGTCGATGATGCTATCGAACATAGAGCGATGAGTGGCAATGCCAGGGATTTAGTAGCGACCATCATGGCAGCTGAGGTAAGTAATGACCGAGAAGATTATGAACAATAAATTATAAAGACAAGGTAAAGCAAGCGACTGTGAGCTGGTAAGGAACGAAAGACAAGGTGTTTGGAACATCCTTATATTTCCCGACAGTCTCCTAACAGCAACGGTGTACCAAGTCCTAGGCCTTGTCTTCTCGCCGACCACTGTCCCGCATGGAAGCAAAACGCCGCTCAGTTGAGGCCACAGCAAGCCACATTGAGCAGAGGTATACAGCTCGGTCCCCGAAATAGTAATCTATCCCTGTAGCCCCAGGCCAAGCCAACCGCTTTAAAGCGATGCGGTTGAGGAAAGCCGGCCAAACAGCTACCAGGTGATGGTCATGACAGCGATATGCAGGGCCGAGCCTAGACTAGTGACCTTTTGAGACAGGTATATCCCGTAAATGTAAGAAGTGAGGGTAGTCTAGCAGTCGCCGCCTAGAAGAAAGTTGCCAAGCTTGCGAAGGGGCGCATTTGCGAACGGTCCAGCTATTGCAGAAATTGTCCCTGATTCAAAGAGTGCGAGTCGAGACACTCGCCATTCGACAAGCAAGTACAGCCCAGAGCGAGAATATCGACAGTATAGTCTCTGCATCCTGCGTGTATGCCACCAATACGTGACTGCGGAAGATCACCCTTCCGAAAAGCAGCATACCGCTTTGCGAGTCCCCGGTGCCGCTAGCGTCGGTATCCGTTGTCCAGAATTCTACGAAGCCACGATAGCCTCGTGTTTTCTCGTGAAGGTGCATGGTGGCTTGTCCAGATCTCGCGTGTTCGCTTGGCATGCCAAAACTCAATACTCTCCGCATGATGATCCGGGACCTGAGCCCATCATCCGCGAACAAGAATACGCCACTTGCCTTGCGGTCCCACATACGTGAACTCGTGCAACGACTATGCGGTGTATTTGTTCTTCAGCTACACAAGCTAGTACCATCAGCTGGGATTCGCTTGCATGCCTAGGTGTCGTGGCTCTGGCGAGCAATGCGATTTCGAGCTGCCTTCGGGTATTGCCCCAAGAAAGTGATACAGGAACCACTGACGCTTGCCGCTAAGGAACATTGATGTTGACGATTGAGAAGAATCCGGTGAGCCTCCAGTCCGTCAACGGCACGTAGAAGAGCTGAGCAAAGTGATCGACAACACTAGTGTAATCGTGCAGCCGCTGCTGTGGAGAGCCGGAACCACCACGAGCACATGACCTTTGGAATGCTCAGCCCTGTAGGTGTTTGGCAGTAATGGAACAGGTTTTCGTACAACTGGATTACCCTCTAAATCTGCTCATTCAACAAAGGGCTTGTTCAGGGCAGTGACCCCAACATCTGCCACCCTGAGCCGGTGTCCATTGCTTTTCACGACGTCGATGTTGAGAGTAGTGTTCAGAACGCGCATCAACGCGCATACGGCAGGTGTAAAGAACGAGGGTTTTGCAGGTACTTCTGCTTACCTCGTGCTGTTCTGCTTTACTGCAGGTACCACTACCGTACCAGCGGGTTGCACGGTAATAAGCAAAGCTATTGATGTTAGGTGCAGCCTGACATCGCTCGGAACCAAAGTGTTGGCTAATCCGACGCTCGGAGGTCAGACGCCCCTGATATTCGATGACAGAACAGCCTAGCAGAGGATTGAAGATGTTGAAGTCTAGGGTTTTAAGGGTTGTTGAGCTTCATGTACGGTTCCAAGCGCCTCCAGGGCTTCTTCGGCCCGCAAAAGCATGAGGCTTGACATGGTGCTTGATTGTTTGTTCGCTCCAAGCGTTAGCATAACTATCCCCGACCCCTTATTATCATGATGCTCAACAGTGACAAATATTCCATCAGACGTCGTTATCGCATTGCTGGAGTGAGAGATGCCTTGGTGGAGCTGCGAGGCCACGGCCCTAGCGGGAATAATGGTCTTGGCGTGCGCCAATCGGAGGCCCCGATCAGCGGAGGCCTCGACGCGTCTCGCCCTTTTCGATATTTGTTCCTTCATGCATCGAAGCTGTGGGCAATAATCTCTCATCATTTGGAGATTCGCATCAGCCATCTGATATCGGCTGGCACTCCCCTTTCACAACTTCGTCACTTCCACCTTGAACTCACCACCATCATCACGTCATGCAGACAGATGTCGCGTCCGGAATCCTCTGGCAACAGTCCGCCAAAACGTCGACGGACGGTTGAAGGGTCGTGCTGGCCTTGCAAGCAAAGACGAGTCAAATGCGATCTTCAGAAGCCCACATGCCGACGATGCCTCCTCTCCGTAAACGCGGAAGACTGCAGCTACGACAAGCTACTACTCAGATGGAAGAAGCGACCTGCCAAAACGGTGCCCGAGTGTCTACCGCAGCTGTCCATCGAGCGTTCACTCAATAGCATCCATTTGGCAGTCAATGAGCGAAGAGCACTGGATTACTTCAAAGCGCGATTATGGCCACTGTTCTCGACTCTTCATGAGCCAGTTCCGCCACCAGTTGCACTTGCCCTGCGCTCTCAACCTGTCCTCCAGGCCCTATGCGTATTTGCTGAGGAGCATCGGGCGCTGCAAGAGCGTGGATCGTCTAAACAGACTCTTGAGAGGAGACGCTTGCATTGCTTGTCCGTCATCCGCGGCCAACTGAGCAGCGAGCAATCCGATGGTGCTGCGCTCTCCGCACTTCTAGTCGCAGTGCTGCTTTTGTACTTCCTGGAAGGCTATGTAAATTGCATGTCAGATGACGCTTCGACCGGTTGTCACCTCGCAGGAGCGATCGCAATCATCAACACAATGGGCGGCTTTCGAGCAGCGTGGTCATCGTCAGACAGAATGACTAGAATGCTGCTCTCGGAACTAGCATCCACCGATCTGACCGATGCGTTGCTTCAAGACCGAAAACCTTCATTCCCAGCCTCCATTTGGGAGACAATGGAGCTAGGATCAGTATGGTGGGAAGTCGTCCCTGGCACTACATCGCTTGGGTCTGTTCTATCCATATTGGCCGAGATGAGCTTCTACCGCCACGAGCTACAAACCGGAGTCGAAATTTGCGTCGAGAAGGCGCAGGCGTTCGAGCACGCGCTTCAGCCCACATATTCCAAGCTAGAGTGTCCAGACGGAGACGCGGGACAAGACCTGCTAAACCCTGTTACAACAGCATCGCTCTCACTTGTTCGTTGTTTCCAGCACGCAGGCCTCATATACCTTTACAGCGCTATTCACGACATTCCTACGAAGCACTTTCTTCTCCAGCAGCATGTCCATGCGTGTCTAGAATGCATACAAGGCATGGATACAAGATCTAGGGCGCAAAATTGTGCTCTTTTCCCACTCTATGTAGCTGGCGCACATTCACTCTTGGAGGCACATCGGGAATGTGTTATAAAGATTTTGGGGAACATACACAACAATCTGCGATTCGAGTCCGTACTATCCATCCGAGCAACTTTGGAGGCACTATGGCAACCTTCTCGTAGTCCTACTACGTGGAGCGGAAGTTTCAAAAACACTGCCATGTGTACATTGGTTATATGAGAGAATTTTTCGGTTTTTGCTACAGCAGAAGATTGCGATAATTCCGGCAAAATGCCTCCGAGCTTACGACCACGAGCCACTTGCTTGACTCTCTAGTATTTGCACCAGGGGCGGCCATGATCCGTATCGCATTTTACAGAGATTCCAAGGTAGATGTATACATGACTCTAAGGACAGTCTAGTTGTTAAGATTCAAGAGTGTGTATGCAGCAAACGCGACAGGAATTTTAGCCACCCCTGGTGCCTGTGTTCCAACTTATTACCAATGTCTGAGTACCGCCTCTCTCACTCCTACTCAACGAGAGCCTCCACCTCGATTTCGACTTGCATGCCTTCGATACCAAGGTTGGTAATCTCGACACATGTCCATACCGGTCGGTGATCAGGCATAACGCGTCGCCAGCCTTCGATACATAGGTCCGCAGACTCGTCGATGTTTGTGTGGTATGACCGGATAGCGTACACGTTCCTCCAGGATAAGCTCTTTTCGACTTCGACAGATTGTAGAGCCTTCTCGATGTTTCCGAGTGCTAGCTCTACTTGCTTTGCGGCATCTGGGGCCACGTTCCCTTCAGCATCCCATCCACCTTGACCGGATATACGAACGACATTTCCCACCTTGACGGCTTGCGAGTAGTGGAAAGCTTTCGATTTCGATTCACTGCCAGCGTAGTTTCCGAACGTTGCAGGCATACTGAAGATCTCAGCGTCGAATGTTAGATTGTTTTGAGGCGAAGCGAAAAGGAAGTTGGTGACGAGTGTTTCAGTTGATAAGAAGTCGGATAAGAGATTGTACAATGCAAAGTCGTGGTAAATTGCGACTTATATGCCGATGCAACCTATGGGCCATACTCCCGCTATATGAGCCATGGATTGAATGGTCGCAACACAGCTTCGGTACGCGCTGCAATGAAAGGCATCCTCTGCGTCAGTATGCTGGGTTCGAGTGTAAGACCAAGCCAAATTTGTTCATTCAAAAGTCCAGCAACGAAGAATTGCCCGTTGTTTGTCTTGTTTTGGTATAGATAGGCTTGATATTATCAAGATATTCTCCTCGAAGACTGAGGGTGGGCTGGCCCCGCAATCCACATCTGGCACAAGCACACGGGCTCCTATCTTCGATATAAATGATTCCGCTGGAACGATGGAACTTCTCAACACGGAAGGTTGCCAGGCCTTGTTTTCGCCACAAGTAATGGGGCCGGGGTTTATTGTTCTTCAGGGCCATCTTTGCCCTTCAACTTGCCATCTTCGGCTTAGTGGTACACTAATGCAAAGGCTCCACTACCAGGGCCCAAATGTCCGATCGGCATCTCGAGCACGTAAGAATACGCTTTGGCATTGCCCTTTGAACTTCTCTCCCTGGCATAGTCGTTTTCCAGACCTTTGAAACGTTTCTAGTATGCGACCGGCAGCACGGATCTGACGGCGCATCCAAGCTTTGAGCGAAAGATAAGCCTTCTCTTTACCAAAGTCATGTGCGAGCGCTCTACACGCGAAATCTGGGGCCCCAGAAACGACTACCAGAGGCCTATCGTCCTTCCAAACAAGAGCATGGCTGCATCTTACACAAGGAAAGGACTGAACACTCTAGAGCCTACACCGACGCTAGGTCTTCCGATTTACTCGTTTTATCGTAGTGCAGTCTGCAAATCTATTCAGTGTTTACCTTGTCTGAGGTGGCTGAGTATTCAAGACATCGCTTATCTCGAAGCGATGTTCTGACGAGTCAGTAGGGATGCAATCAGTACAGGCTTGAGCTCGAATCAAGGCACTTCAGTCTGGGGCAAAGATCCAGCGTGGACAATACTCCCTATCTGTGAGCAGTGAACTATCGTCATATCTTATCATGTGGACGCCACATTGTCAGGCGTAGCGCATGTACCGTATGAGATGGAACTGCCTGTAACAGCTATATTCATTCACCTCGTGCAGACTCTCGCCGTCGCATTATTCCTGCCATCCTGACTTCAAAAATCATCCTTTCCCACTATGTCGGCGTCCAACAGCGAGAAGAAGCTCGGCAACCCAATGGGTCCGGTGACTACGCGTGAAGAAGGTGTCGTTGAGCACGTCCATTTGGGATATGATGCGCAGCTCACGAAGAACCGGTCGCTCATTAGTGTTCTGGGTATGTGCCTTGCCATCGTAGCAGTACCCTATGGTATCGGCGGTCCCTTGATGAGCGCCATCTACGGTGGTGGCCAACTGTCGATATTCGTCGGCGTACTGGTTGTCCTCTTCTTTAATGGGTGCGTCGCGATCTCTCTCGCCGAGCTGGCATCACGGTATCCGACATCTTCTGGGGTGTATTACTGGTCGTACCGACTCTGTGGTGCACGCAGGAGGACACGCAAGATCGTCTCATTCCTGACCGGTTGGTTCTGGCTCATCGGGAACTGGACCATTGCACTTTCCGTCAACTTCGGGTTCGCTTCCCTCATTGCTGCGACGGTCTCGATTTACAACCCAGAGTGGGTGGCATCGGACTGGGAATTGCTTCTCATCTTCTACTCGCTGTGTGTACTGGTGTTCCTTATCTGCTCACTTGGAGACAAGCTGCTACCGTATGTGGACTCCGTGGCCGCAGTTTGGAACTTCGTTACCATCATCACGCTTCTTATCGCCCTCTCGGTCCGCGCTCAGCAAGGCCGGCATTCAGCTTCCTACGCGCTTGGAAACTACGACAGCAGTTTCTCGGGCTGGGGTACAGGCTTTACGTTCTTCATCGGCCTCCTTCCACCAGCATACGCCTTCTCCGCCATCGGCATGGTGACATCGATGACGGAAGAGTGCGTCCAGCCTGAGATTGAAGTCTCTCGCGCTATCGCCCTCTGTATACCCTTCGGCGGTCTCGCATCACTCCTGTTTGTCCTACCACTATGCTTTACGCTACCGCCGCTCGATGACATCCTCAACGCACCCTACGGGCAAGCGCTGCCGTACATCATATACTCTATCATGGGCTCGAAGACCGGAGCGCTGATATTGATGATCATGGTCCTATTCGTCACTCTCTTCTGCGCAGTTGCGATCACGACTGCTGCTTCACACTGCACATGGGCGTTCAGTCGCGACAACGCGCTTCCGCTCGCTAGCCTCTGGACACGCACCATTTCTGATCGGCCCATCTACTCTCTCACACTCGTCACAGCTATAGAGATGCTCCTCGGTCTTATTAATCTCGGTTCGAGCAGCGCATTTACTGCTTTCGCGTCAGTTGGCGTCATTGCACTCGCCATCGGATACCTCGTTCCCATCGCTATCTCTCTCTTCACGGGTAGGAGAGAAGTCGCACATGCGAAATGGAATGTCGGTGGCCTAGTGGGTACCGCAGCAAACATCGGTGCTGTGGCATGGATTCTCTTCGAATTGGTGCTCTTTAGCATGCCGACTGCGCTTCCTGTTACTGAGGTCTCCATGAACTACGCTAGTGTCGTGTTGGTCGGCTTTGCGTGTTTGAGTGGGCTGTGGTATGCGGTGTCTGGCAGGAATAGTAAGTAACCATGCTCATCTGCTGTAGGCTCTACTGACATTGTCCAGAGTTCAAAGGTCCGCCTGACGAGGTGGATGATGTTTACTAGGGTGTAGCATTCTCTTGCCCTGGCGTTACTAGGGGTGGTTATAATCTACGTCGCATTCATTAGGAGTTAGCCCTCAATGTTATCAAAGATATTATCTAGGCAGGAGTATACCTCGTCTTTAGAAATACCTAGTCGTTGAGATTCAAAGATATATATGCAACAAACACAAATTTTAGCCACCCTCAGTGTTGTTGACCGTCCGGTACGCAAAAAGTGCAGTGTAGTATTGAAGCGCTTTCACTATGGTAAAGGTATGGAATATATGGACTGTCTTTCCCAAGATCGCAGGCTACAAGTTCAGGCCTCTTCAGCTCGGTAGTAGGTGAAGATAGAAGCACCCATTGATGTTGTAAACCACCCACATATGATGTGTCGTATTTTTTATGCAACAAAGTATATCTATGCTAGGTCTGTACATGAAATCCCACACTCAAAACGGGAACTCGCCCTCCGGCTTCTCCAACACCCCGCTATCAACCTGCTTCCTGTGCTCCTCATCCAGATACGGAAGTAAGAATCCTTCCCAGTGTTCCCTTCCTTTGTAGTAACTAACCGTATCATCCCAGCTTCTGATAGCCTCGGCCAGTCTTCCTGGCACATGCGGCTCCTTCGCGATAGTCGTAACCGGCTCGAAGTACGTTCGGATAGTGAAAAGTAGAGCTTTAGACTTCGGTAGCCGTCTCAGTGATTGTCTTTCCGAGCGAAAGTGGATGTCCTCAACACGAAGACCTTTCGAGTTGGCGGTGGCCCAGGAGGCGACCGTATTGGAGTTTTGATCGCCCATGCGGTGTGACCACGCAAGATCGTCGTCCAGTTGGATGAAGAACTGGAAGTTAATCAGCGATGGTGCCTCGATACCTAAAGTGAGTAGATTGCCACTTACATTGTTCCGAATGACAGGTTTCTCACACGTCATATTTACAAAGAAACGGTTCATGGCTTTTTGCAGCTTCTCTTGGTAGTGTGGTACACCGGCTTCGATGTGGAGTTCGTCGAGTGACATGCGGTATTTCTCAGTCAACCGCCAGAACCCAGGTAGGCAGACTGCTCCGGCATCGATGTGGTATTGGCCATCATCATTCAATACCATAACTACAAGATCATCCTGGACAAGCTTTGCTGCTGTAACCATCGCTTCCGTTGGGTTCGGTGCCGGATACTGAAACTCTTCACCAGTGACTGTATTACGGAGGATGTTGCCATGTAATTGGAAGACTTCTGGATAGCGATGCGTAAGATATTGCGTCAGCTCTTCCAATACTTCAAAGCATGCTAGACGCGTAACTTCGTTGTCGACATATTGTACCCGGGATTTGAGATCTTTTTCGAGCTCTCGAACCTTGGCATCGTGGTAGGGGATGAAATTCGAATCCATTTCAATCCATTCGTTCCAGTCCATTTTCCGGATCCCCATTGTGACAAAGTTCGGGCCATGACGAAAGGGTCGATAGAGCTTGGGGTCCGTAAGTTCAAGTTTGTAGTCCTCCGCGGGTTTTGGCAATGGTGTCTTGAAAGATATCGATGGCACTTGGAGAGGTCAGTACTCTTTTTGCTGAGCAATCTGTCAGGCAACTGCACCTTTTTGCTTCACGTCATAAGATCGATAGCGGCTTTTGCTCGAAGCCTTCTGTGTCCGCCATAGCAAGCTGAGCGCGAGTACGACCAAGAAAGCCGCAAAGCCCATAGGCGTCAAGACTGGATTGATCGATAACATATTTATGAGATAGTAGTATTTCCTCGCGCACTGCTTCCGATAATGCTACAAACAGACGACAAGACAAGTTAAATGCTAGATCATCGCGAGATGGACGTTGACAATAGCAAATGACACCATTGGCAGCTATCTACACCTTAGCGTAGGACCGCGTGTATAGGTTTGCAGCGAAATGTGGGTCAAGAAATGGCCGCTGTACTTGCCATGATGGGTATAGCTCGAACTGCAAGACATTGCCACGCTAAACCCCGGTCCCATACCTCGTGGTGAGAACAAGGCCTCGTCGGCAGTGCGTATTGGTCAAGTTTTTGTCTGCTTTGGGAAATATAATGGGCATAGCTTCTTGGGGTAGGATGATAGTCATTGCGAGTCTGGTTATGATGATGTTGGACAATGGTGGTTCCAACCTCGGTGCGGGGTGGGTGTGACGGAGACGCGTTTATCGAGGGCGCAGGATGAAAAGGCCAAATGTCCAGCTCTGTCCACGAGATTAAACTCCATATCCTCGTCGCGTAACACTTTCCATATCTTGATCCTTCTTTTGCCGCATACACATATTACGGAATGGCTCAATCAATCGACCTCACAGCACCTAATGGCGCGAAGTGGACGCAGCCGACTGGTAAGCATCAATGACTTCAGCTGTTCAAGACTTGAACAGCTAACGTTTGTTAGGCCTCTTCATCAACAACGAATTTGTCCCCTCCAAATCCGGCTCAACACTAGAGTCGATAAATCCTTACGACGAGTCCGTCATCACAAAGGTCTCCGCCGGTAACGAGGACGATGTAGATGCTGCAGTCGCCGCAGCGCGAGCTGCCTTCAAGTCATCAGCATGGCGCGAACTATCTGCCGCCGAACGAGGCCAACTGCTGTGGAAGCTCGGTGATCTTTGCGAGAAGAACAGCCATATTCTTGCTACCGTCGATGCGTGGGATAACGGCAAGCCTTACCAGCAAGCCATGGACGAAGACGTCGCTGAGACTATCTCGGTCTTCAGATACTACGCTGGATGGGCGGACAAGGTATACGGGCAGACGATTGAGACGAGCAATGCGAAACTGGCGTATACAAAACATGAACCCCTTGGAGTCTGTGGACAGATCATCCCTTGGAACTTTCCCGTCATGGTATGTATCCATCAAGTTGAGTGATGCAAGTCGCGGTTAACAAGTCCCATAGATGGCTGCTTGGAAACTCGGTCCAGCATTGGCTTGCGGCAACACCGTTGTGCTCAAGCCAGCAGAGCAGACACCTCTTGGTGCACTGTTCCTTGCCACCCTGATCCAAGAAGCTGGTTTCCCTCCAGGTGTGGTCAACATCGTCAATGGATACGGAAGGACCGCGGGCTCGCGGCTTTCTGAACATCCGAATGTCGACAAGATCGCTTTCACGGGAAGTACTATTACTGGCCGCAACATCATGAAGGCTGCAGCAACGAACTTGAAGAACATCACTTTGGAGACTGGTGGCAAGAGCCCCCTTCTTGTCTTCGATGACTGCGATCTCGACCAGGCTGTGAAGTGGTCGCACATGGGTATCATGGGTATGCTGCCTTCTCTTTGCAATGTCCTCTTGCAGTATTTATTCAGGACTGACAAAGTCATTTAGGGAACATGGGACAAGTCTGCACCGCAACATCCAGGCTCTATGTCCAGGACACCATCTACGACAAGTTCCTCGAAGCATTCAAGAAGCAGACCAAGGAGGGTACCAAGATTGGCTCGCAATTCGATGCTGACACCAACCATGGACCTCAAGTCAGCAAAGCTGCCCAGGAGAAGATTCTTGCATACCTCGACACAGCGAAGTCTGACGGAGCTGAGCTCGTCTTTGGTGGCAAGCAGAGCGGCATACCAGAGAAAGGATACTTTGTCGAGCCGACCGTATTTGCTAATTGCAGTAATGACATGAGGATCGTGCGCGAAGAGATCTTTGGTCCTTTCGTCGTTGTCCAGAAGTTCAAGACGGAAGATGAAGCGGTGGAGAAGGCGAACGATACAGAGTTCGGGTTGGGAGCGGCTGTGTTCACTCGGGACATCATGAGGGGCCACCGCGTGGCAGGTGCGATCGAGGCGGGTATGGTTTGGATCAACAGCAGTCAGGACTCGCATTTCGGTATCCCCTTCGGTGGCTACAAGCAGAGTGGTATCGGGAGGGAGCTGGGCGCGTATGCGCTGTCTGCTTACACTCAAGTGAAAGCTGTTCATGTCAACTTGGGCACGTTCTTGTAGACTTACTCTTGATGAATGATAATTGCAACGTGTACCATTCCGATATATCGCTACATACGCAACATGGTTGCTTGAAGGATGATGATGCTCCTACCTACATAAGATCTCGGGCGGTGGGTGATGACGCAGCGTGGCTTAGTCGCGTCGCGTCGGATTAACACCGCTCCACGCTTATCTCCGTCTCAGCAACCGCCACCCAACAGCACCTTCCACTGCCGCTCTGCAGTTCGCAAGGCTTCTCTCCGCTCGACAACCGGCCTTCGCATGCGCAAACCTCTACAATGGTTCTCGGCTTTGAGCGCATCAACGAGCGCACTCAACGCCCGAACGCGCACATAAACTTCATACGCACACTGCCCGGCCCGACATCGTCCACGGCGGAGAGCATACTGAACCGCGTCGCAGCGATATGCTACCCATTTATGAAAGCACACATGATCCTCGTTCAGGCGCTTGAAGAATTCCCCTACAACACCGAGTTCGTCGGCCGCAATTTCAATGCCGGCGAGGTTATACAACTGGTGCTCAGAGACCGGAATGGAAGATGGCTGCCACAGAGGATGGTGGAGATGGTCATGGTACATGAGCTCGCACACTGCAAACAGATGAATCACTCAAAGGCGTTCTGGCAAGTTCGAGATGGCTACGCGGTTGAGTTGAGGGCGCTTTGGGCAAAAGGGTACACTGGTGAAGGACTGTGGGGTAGGGGTAGAGATCTGGATACAGGAGTCCTACAAGCGAGCGATGGCGAAGCTGTGGATGTACCTGAGCATCTGTGTGGTGGCACATACGGAAGGAAGGGAAAAAAGAGGAAGAGAGTTGGAAAGGAGAAGCCCATGCTGAGCTATGCAGAGAGGAAGCAACGAAGGATATTAAAGAAGTTTGGGGCTGGAGGCCAGGCATTGGGCGCTGATGACGACACAAAAGTCAAGCTGGAGAAGGGCGTCCCAAGGAAAGGCAAGCCTAGGGTCGCTGGTAGTGCACGAGGAAGGGATCTCAGAGCTGCGGCGGCATTAGCACGTTTCGAGCCGGTCAAGAAAGAGGACGATGTCGTGATAAAGAAGGAAGAACCGTCATCGGACAGCGAAACAGAAGACGAGTTCGTCGAAGGCGACCAAGATGGTGCTGCGGTAGACGTAGATGGCAAGAGTATGTTCGACGACAAAGGCCGCGCCCTGATCAAGATCTGCGAGGACGAAGACGACAAAGATGGCGACGCAAGGAGGGAGATGGATGAGATACAAGGTTTTGCGCCACAGCCCAAACCAGCGGAGAAGACAACGTCGTCCAAAGCCTCGAGCAAGCCAGCACCAAAGCCAACGAAGACTCAGTCTGCATCAAAGATCGCCTCGCGATCGACTGTTACCCCCAAAACATCAGTAGGGTCGGCCAACTCCCTTCCAGAGATATTCAAATCCCGCTCTAAACCCGACACGTCTGCCTTACAACCCAGGCCATCGCAAAGCTCTGCCTGTCCCATATGCTCTCTCGAGAACGAGGCCGGGGCATTGACTTGCGGCGCTTGCGCAAACGTACTGAAGAAGGACTTTGTACCCGACCACTGGCGATGCAAGAGCGCTGCTTGCGAGGGAAGTCAGTACATCAACGCCGGGGACGCAGGTGCTTGTGGCGTCTGTGGGATGACTAGGAAAAAATGAGATGGACATTGTGCAGTGAAGCAGCATGGAGAAGAGGTTGGTGGCCGCAACGATGATGGAATGATTATGATACCCAATTTCCTGAAGAAATAATAATATTGTTAAAATGCACTGCATTCTGAGCATATCAGATCCAGATGTCATGACTTCATTCCATGCAACAACGCTACGCTAAAGTCGACAGTGGCAAACCACAACACCCATCCCATGATGATCAACACCAAGCCATGCATAGTAATGACCCAAAAACGCCGTTCACCTCCCACGAATCACGGGTACTGCAAGTCCTACCTCGCAATCCTCAAATGTGAAGCTCCCAAGTTCTTCCTCGCGCTAGCCGGCATACCCGCGCCCCTTCCACTGTTCCGCCTCATACCTTCCAACTTCGCCTTAAGCTGCTCATGTATTTTCCTGTTCTGGGCCCACCCATCGGCCAGCTTTTGCATTCGAATGGCGGCGATGACAGCGAGAGCTGCGGATTTGAGCTTGGGTCGACGGTCGTGGACGGTGATGTCGGGGGTGATGCCCATCTGAGAGATAAGATTGAGGTCTTCTTGATTGCTGGGAGGTGTCAGTGGTTGTACTGCATAGAGTCTCTGGTGAAGGGGTGAAGACATACCATTCATTGTAAGTCTGAATCTGCATCAAGAAGAACTTCTTTTGGTACCCAAGGGCTTCCCGGAACGCCTCTGCTCGCGAGCATCGTGCGCGAAGGAACTGGATCTGCTTGGCGAGACCGTTGATCTCTTTGATATGGCGTTTCGTAAGGGCTTCCGCCTGTTCGTCCAGATCAATTGCATCCTGGTTGGCCTTTTGTTGAATGGCTTTCGACGAGGCTTGGATAAGACGGAGCTGTGATTCCTTCTCACGGAGATGGGACTGTAGGTCTCGCAGTTGACGTTCAAGGGCGGATTGCTGTTCCCGTGCTGTCGACTTGGCTTCAGACAAAGATTTGCGGTGTTGAGCATCCTTGTCGCGGATTCGTCCTTCAAGATCGCGAATTTGGTTCTTAAGAGCGGTCTCTTGTTCGCGCTGTGCCGCACGGGTTTGAGATTGCAGGGCTCCGTTTTCACTCTCCTTTTCGCGTATCATGGATTCTAGAACGGTGATCTTCTCTTCGAGTGAGGCCTTCTCCTCAGCGACTTCGTCGGCATCCTCTTGCAGAACTTCTATTTCAGCTTCGAAGTCATCCTTCTCCCGGCGAGCGTTCTCCTTGAGCTCTTCAAGTGCTTCCAAGCGCTCCTCTGCAAGTCGTTGTAGAGCATCAACCTGGCTCCTCTGCTCGTTCAGCTCGTCGCGCAAGTTCTCAAGCTCGTCGTCGCGTTTGCGTACTAGGTCCTGCATAACATCGATCTGAGTATCGGGCTCGTCGGCATGGCTCCGTAACGCGTCAAGCTCGGCCTCGCGCTCGGTTATCGTTCTTCGCGCCGTATCCAGCTCCCGGGTCCTGTCACTGAGGTCGTTCCTAAGCTGCTTGAGTTCTTTGAGCGTTGTCTCTTGTGCTTCAATCTTCCTTTGCAGGCCGGCGATGTCGCGCTCACGAGCTTGCAATGTTGATTGCGAGTTTGAAAGATCTCGAGATAGTGCATCCCGTTCGCGCGTGATCTTCTGAAGCGCCTCGATCTGGGTATCCTTGCCGGATACAGCGGACCGTAAGTTGCGCAGTTCGCTCTCGATGTCTTTACGTTCCTGCCGCAGGGTAGCTACTAATGTGTCGCGGTCGTTGTTGCCTCTGCGCAAAACCTCCACTTGCTCATCCTTGCTCGACAATTTGGAAACCAAGTTGTCGCGCTCACGGCGAAGATTGTCACGTTCTCGTATGGCGTTGTTGAGCGACTGCACCTGAGCATCTTTGCTGTTGAGGTTTGAGCGAAGGCCGGTAAGCTCCTGCGTCGCATCATCGCGCTCACGTCGTACTCTTTCCAACCCATCCAGATCGCGGTCTTTCTGATTCAATTCGCGTCGAAGCTGTTGCAACTGCTGTTCGTATGCGGATGCTTCCCGTTGTAGGTGTGAGATCTGCTGCATAGCGTCTTGGTGTTGCTTCCGGAAGTCGTCCAGCTCATCGGCTCTGGATTCAGCAGCATCAACCCTCGACTGGAGGAGTTCAATCTCAATGCCCTTTTCACGAGTAATCTCGACCACCTTCTGTCTGGCATCGTTGGCGGATTGCTGCGCCAATTGAACCTGGTTGTCTCCTTGAGACTCTGCGAGCTCCAAACGTTCGCGCAGCGCATCCATTTCAGCCTCCTTCTCGTTCTGAATGGTTTGGAGGCGCCGCTGTAGCTCTCGGAGTTCAGCATCCTTTTCGCGCTCCAGTGAACGTAGGCGCTCTTCGAGAACAGAGAGTTCCTGGCGTTTCTGCTCCTCTGCGACCTCGAGATCATGTTCGGCTTCATCCAGGCTCTCGTTTAACTCCCGAATTTCCTGGTCCTTGCTGTCGTCAGCGCTATCGAGCTTGGACTTCAAGGCGTTGATTTCAGCATCCTTTTCGCGCTCGACAGCACGAAGTTGTTCCTGGAGGTCCTCGATCTTCTCGCCCTGTTCAGCCACCTGCCGCTCCTTTTCTGCGGTGTCTTCTTCTTGCGACTGCTTGGCCGATTGCAGCTGTTCTTCCAACTCGGTGATGCGTTCGGCTTGGTCCCTAAGTTGGCGGTCCTTCTCCTCGTCACCAGCAGACTGAGAGTTTTGCGCATTCTTCAGCTTCTCTTCCAAGTCCTTGATCTGTTCGTCCTGGTCGTCTAGCATCTCGTCTCTTCTGTTTAGCTCTGCTTGTGCCTCGTCCAACTCTGCTCTGACCTTGTCCAACTCCTCGCTGTCGCCGCTCTCTTCTTCCAGCTTCCTTTCGAGACGCTCTACTTCCGCTGCGCGTTCGTCGGATAGCCGTCGGAGCTCGTCCATCTCTTCGCGCATGCCTTCGTCGACGTGCCGTCGCTTGACCTTCTCAGCGTATTCCCGTAGCTGCTGCTTGTATGTGTCTAGTTCCCTCTCGGCCGCTTTGAGGTCTTTGGAGTAGTTCTTGATATCGCGCGCCATCGTGACCTTCTCCGACTTAAGGTTAATGTTCTCCTCCATGGCTTGTCGGTTGAACTCGGGGCCCATCTTCTTCAGGTTCTCTTCGAGGAAGTGGATCTTGAGCTTTAGTCCGAAATTTTCCTTGTCTATCTGCTCCAGACGCTGCAGATGTGTTAGGACCTATGAATAGTTGTGGGCGTGCGAGCCTGGGTATACGTACAGCTTCCTGTTCCCTCAAAGTGAGCACGTTGCCGTTTCCATTATCCATTTCGCCTTCTGCCCTCCTCGGTAGCGCGGTGGGGGTGCTCATAGCACTCGAGCTGGGATCTGGCAGCTGTGTCCGGCCATCCACCGAGTCGGCGAAGGAACTGGACTGTATGTCGTACATGCTCGCCTCGGGCAGCGGCGTGTTGCTCACTTGGAAGCCTGGCTTCATCGCGGCGGGCGTCGTAATCTTGCCGTCGAGCAGTCCGTTGACCTGGCGCGTGCGGTTCGCGGTTGCGCTCTTCAGCATGGGCGTGAATTCGTTCTTCGCGGTTTGTTGGCGTCGGGCTGCAAGCGGCTGTCGGGGGGTTCGGGCACCGCCCATCTGTTTGAAGAGGTTGTCGCGGTCTGTCGGCGCATGGAATGTCTCCTCCATGCTGAATGAGGGCTCGTTGACTGTAAAGCGCGTCATATCGCCAACCTCGGTGCGAGGCGTGTCCGGTAGGTGCGCCATGGTATAGAATGTACTCTAGCAGCGCATGAGTGAGAGAAATAGAAACGTCCTTTGGGGCGCACCTCAGCAGTGCGGGTGCTTCATGTTCCACTTCATCATACTCCAGATGTTGTTTGTTTAGGACGCTTGGACCACGACAGGGATACTGCCCGCCGCTAGCCCATGCAGGCAAGGAGCCGAAAAGCGCGTCCTAGAGTCACGTTACCTCCTTGCCGCCTACACCAGAAACTTCATCCCAGGGTTGAATGTTCCTTTACTACTAAGTACACCGATTCCTGTCTCTCGAGAACACTTGGACTCCAGAAGCACCTCCTAAACGTACCGAATCGATAATACTCGCACAAACGTTGGGCTCAGTCTCAGAACGAATTCCAACGAGGCCAGCACACATCTGATATTGACTGGCTCTGAAGACTAAGGGTAGCACCACCTGGAATAAGAAACCTTGGATCATGGACGGGCCCCAAGATGATCTCAAGTGGTTCGGCGAAGGTTTCGATGGCTTTCCCAAAAAGCTGCCCGATGATGTCGTGGAATACATGGTCTTCATCATCGATTCTAGGCTCTCGGACATTCAGACAAGGGAACGGTTACAAGCTTTCCAACGCGCTCTAAATGCATTAGAGAAGAAGTTCCTCAAAGAGTACATATGGCAGCGTGACTCTCTCAAGCTCGATCTAGTTCGCGAAGAACACCGGTGGCTACTCAAAGGACGCTCTAACTACGGCGATAGTGTGGCAGACGAGTGGCTCATTGTCTACTTTCTACGTGAACTAAGTAAAGAGTTCAAGGACGCATGGATACGCATATACGACAGCGATGGAGAATTCCTCCTGATCGAAGCTGCCAATGCACTACCAAAGTGGCTGAGCCCTGAGGTTGCCGAGAACAGAGTCTGGATTAACAGCCATCGCCTACTGGTTATCCCACCTGGAAAGGAAGAAGACCCCGGCCCTTTGACGCAAGCACAAGCTATTCAGATAATCGACGTCACACCAGCACGACCGCAGCAGTACGTCAAAGTTGAAAAGGAGGCTTTTCATCGCCTGGCTGGTTATCCCGCTGCCATCTCGGATAATCAACACCATGCAACACTTCCGCTGCCAAGGAAGGTTGCGCATATCCTGCATAACAACCCATCGTATATTGCACCAGTAATCGAAGCCTTCTATCTTCGAGATCCCATCTCCATCCGGCTCATCCAGCCCGAAAAGTCCAAAACCCCTCTCACGTTCCCACCGGAAGACTTCGTAGACGTTAGCGTTCGTTTCACTAAAGTTCTTTACGCTCAGCTTCTCGGTCAGCATTGGGAACCGCCCGCGCCATGGGACGCAGCACTAGAGCAGCTCGTCAAGTCTGGTAGACTGAGCGAGAAAGCAGAGATTGGAATTAAGATCACAGCAGGCATGCAGATGCTTCTGTCGCACTCGTTATACTCATCCCGCAAACCGACGCGTGAAATCACCCTTTTACTAGAAGACTTGGAGAACGGTGACGACACGCTTCCCACCGACACCGAAATCGCCGGTTGGCCCAAGCGCGAAGATGATGAGGGGTGGCTCAACATCGACTTTTCTGAGTTCGAGAAGGAGCTGGAAGGCAAGGGAAGCGGTGCGAAAGACGCGTTTGGTGACAAGAATGCGGAGGAAAATTTGAAGAAGATGGTCGCACGCTTCAACGACTTCCTGGCCGACAACGAAGCGGGTGCTGAGGGTGCTGATGGCGTTTTGGACCCCATGGATGTTGACAATGACTCTGACGCTAGCGGCAGAGGATGGGAAGACCCGGAGGATAGTGATTCGCCAGCCGAGAATGATAGCCAAAGAAAGGCCACGAGCAAGGCGAAGACCAAGAATAGCGAAGATGAAGATGACACGGACGAAGGTGACGACGCAGAAGCCGATGCGGAGTACGCCGAATACGAACAAGCTTTCGAAAAGTACATGATGCTACCCGCGGCGGAGAAGGCCATCCTCACAGAGGAGGCTCGTGCATTAGCACTAGAACAAGACGCCGAGAAGGAAGAAGACGAAGAGATCCAGAAGCTCTCCGAGATGATGGAAGCTGAGCTCTTCAGCCATGGCGCGCTGAACGTCAACCCTAAATCGGAGCATAAGCCCGGAACGGGTCTCATATCTGATAGCAAAGGCAAGGGCAAAGGGAAGCTCCAAGAGGTCGCTGAAGAGGATGAGGAGGACGAAGACGACGACCTTCTGGACGAAGACTACAACCTCGCTGATAACATGCTGAAGGCGTTCAAGGGACAGGCTGGCATGTCGGGCCCGGCAGGCAACATGATGAGAGCGATGGGCGTGCAATTTCCACAGGACGCTGATGACGAGATCAAAGGAAGTAGTAGTAAGGGCAAAGGGGTGTGAGATGTTTAGCATGTATGACTATCTAGTCCAACAACTTCCGTACTACCTAGCTTATGTCTCCTCCTCCATCCACTCATACTTATCTCTGCCCACCGCCACTTCCAGGGCTTCCGTCTCCATTTTGGCCCTATTCCCGTTCCACGTACCATTGTGTATACTTACTAATCGCCTATAAATCGGCGAACTATCCGCGACCAACTTCCTTCTTCTGTTTATTACCTCTGTCTGACTTTTCCCTTTTATCTTCAGCGTTTGCGCAATCTCCTTGTCCTCATTACCCTCTACATACAACCGCAGAATTGCTTCGTCGTCTTCCGGAGTGAAATCACGAAGCTTTTTGCGCCGCTGTAGATCGATGACATCTTGCGGTACTTTTTTCATAATCTTGAGGGCTTGCCATCTAGATTGAATGGCTTCAACCGGTACGCTCATCTCGCGAGAGATGGCTTTGGGCTTCTGCAAACGGCGGTGTCCGTCGATGACAGCGGCATCGAGTTCGGGAGTCCAGGTTATGGTGGCGCTCACGTCCCTTTGTCGGATGATGGCGTAGCGATGCTGGACAGCATATGAGGAACGGTTAAGGACCTGCGCTGCTTGCTCATAAGTCTTTGTCTCTATTTCAATGAGACGGATGAGCTGGCTTTCCTCATCGTAGTTCCAGCGACGCTTCTCGCTCGGGGCTTTTGGGGCAAAGGGTTCGGTAGGATATTGGGTGTCCATGATTAATCAAAGCTTGAAAGCTTGCTATGAATGCTAATGAGTTGAGTATGCCGGTTGTGTGGGTGTTAGTAAGATTTTGTTGGCATAGTACCCGAGTATATATCTAGAGAGAGGCGTGGCGGGAGGCGTCAGCTATTACATGTGTAGGTACCGAGAAGTGATCACAGCTTGAAATCGTATTCACTCTTAATCGAATGCGACCTCGTGACTTGACGAGAGTATACGAGCAAGTATTGTGTAGCTTGAAGAGGCAGTCCTAGTTTGGCATAGACCCCCTACCTGGTAGCGAGCAAAGTTATGAAACCGAGTGAATGTGAACATTCCCGACAGGGAGCAGCTCGATCTAGTAGTGCGGTAGGCTTTTTCACGGTACATGCAGAGCAATGCGGTTCTATTGAGATCTGAAATGGATGAGTTGAATTGAGTTCATCGCGCTGTTGACCATGAGATCTGAAAAGATCCAGGAAGAGTGACGCACCCACCCGCCAGAGGTACAGGATAGTCAAATGACTTGTGAACCGTCCAATATCAATATCACTGGCTCTGTATCTTCCAAAAGTCTCTCTCACCACCCTGTAGAATCCAAGATCCTATGCGTAGCCTCCCTGCTTATGTACTGTTCATCCTCACTACTCAAACACCATAAATTCCTCCATGAACTTGCGTGGGAGGTCTGGTGGGGTATGTGAAAGTATGCCTTCTCTTTCAGGGAGTGAATGTGTATAGCAAGCATGCATGAAGGACGTTGAGACAAAACGAAAGAGATTGTTTTGAGTTCGTGTATGAGAGCTTTTTGGAGAATAAGTGGCTGTTACTTTTCAAACCCCTACTTAATCTGGAATAACGGCAAGGCAATAGCAGCGTAGACGAACTTGAACCAAGCTCACGACGCTCTTTCTACACGCAACCTCAGTACCGTGGCGTGAGTCTGACATCCAGCTTGCCCACATTTATGGTGAAGCAGTCCCGGGTCTTGTTCTCGATCGTACTGCCATCCTCACCCTCGGCAAAAGAGATCTTGAATGATCGAACAAGATTGGCAGTGACACTACGTAGCTCCATCATGGCTAGCTTCTGTCCAATGCAGTTGTATGGCCCAATGGAGAAAGGTAGATAGGCACGCTTCTCAATGATAGCACTAGGTCGTTCGCCGGTCCATCGCTCTGGCATGAAGGACAGCGGCTCTTCCCAGTATCGTGGGTCGCGTTGCAAGCTGTAGAAAGGCATCCAAACGTTGACTTTACCGGGTATGTATGTGCCGTTGGGTAGAGTGATTCCTTCAGGTGGTGTCTCGCGCTGCGCGCCGGAAGGGGTCTAAGATGTGTTAATGACGTCAATGATAGTCACTTTCAGAAGCCACTTACAGCAGGATGTAGGCGCAAAGTCTCGTTGATAACCCCGTCTAGGTAAGCACATTCGGTGACGTCTTCAACATCAAGATGCGCTTTCTTTGCTTCGATTGCATCAATAGCGATGCGAAGCTTGGCCTGGGTCTCTAGATTCTTGCACAGCTCGCACATGAGAAATGATAAAGTCGCAGCCACGGTATCACTAAAGTTTACATCAGTATTGAGGACTTTAGCTAGGGTTTGTGAAGGGTCCAAATGCATGCCATTTCTGAGCAAAATCTCGTGACGCCCTGCATCCAGTACATCGTGGGGTTGCTTACCTGCCAGCTATGATCAGAAGCCGCGAATCGGAGTTCATCTCAGGCGTTATCCGGTCATTATTTGGGTTCAGCAGAGAAGAGAACACGTCCTTCTCTTTGGGCGAATCCTGACGTTGATGAGCAAAGTTCGTTGAGATGAAGGTCATGAACATGACATGTGTACCTTTTTCCGTTCTTCGAGAACCTTTGCGCTCCAGGCTATATGCTCAAAGAGGGGTCCAGAACCGACGGGTGTCAATGCTATGAGCCGCATGGCCCAAGCGATGTGTGCAAAGATACTTATGGGCGCCTGGCTTTCGTGTAATAGCTTGATGACAGGGTCTTCTTTACCCTTCTCCACCATATCAAAGCTGCGGTTGAAGCCAACATCTCCCATAACGTCAAAGCTGTAGAAGTTGACCCAGTCTGTAATTCGCACTGAAGATCGTGTAGCTTGCTCTTTGAGCTTGGATATGAGAGCAAGAGCATGGCGGTTCAAGCGCGGCTCGTATTCGCGAAGAGCATTCGCGTTGAATGCACGATCCCACATCTTGCGCCTCTGTCGATGTTCGTCTTTGTTAGTTGTGAAATGGAGAGAACGGCCGGCAACTTCAGAAATAGTGTCGTATATAGTGTTCTTGCTGCACTTCGAAGTAGCTCCGTGGATCAGAGGAACGGCGTCAGCGCAGTAGACTGTGACTTCTACATGCGGACAGGCGAAGTCAGTGTCTGCCTCACATACACCTCAATTCCCCCGCGCTCACCTCTAGGACCAGTACGAATGACGTCTTCTCCGTACTGCCGGGGTAAAGAGTCGAGCCATTTGAAATACTGAAAGTTGGTCGAAAGTACCCCGACCGAGATACCGTATGACTTTGAGAACCGGGCGAAGAAGGGGCCAGGGAACTTTGCAATATTAGCAAATACTATTTGATCAATGTCAGTGAAGCGCTTGCCTTCCGCAAGCGATGGAAAAATCCCCTATGCAGTAATATGCTAGCAATCAAGATGGCGAAATAGAATGTCGCTGTCCTTGCCGCAAGCTGGACTGCGACACCAAGACTTTTGGTGCGTCCATCAGCAACATATTCGAAAGTCGCAATGCCTCCGAAGGCGACGGCCCAGATTCCAATGACAGTGTGGAAAGTGTTATCCCAGTCGCTTCGGTGAAGCGCATAGTGAGTTGCTAATGCTAGTGTCGCGATCAATGCCTTGCTGTGCGCAAGCCCCATGATTCCGTATGATACGGTAGCCGATGGAGAAGATGAGAAAGGATCTCGAGAGATGTTCGAGCGATGAAGGGGCTGCTGAGAATATGAGGAACTCAAGAGTGGAGGGTTGGACCCTGAAAGGCTGAACATTTGGACGGACCGTACGAGTGAAACGCACGATCTTGGGAACTCGTGTTAGCACGCGCGGCTGATAGCTACAGGTAAGTTTTGACCAAAGCTGAGGGAGCACAGGATTTTAACAACCGCCATTATGCTGCGGCGTAGTTGATACAGCAAACATTGCCTCTATCATGCTGTGCCTCGTATGTCCAGGTCTGAGATGAATATCTTGGAATGCGCCTACGGATCGTCAGCTTGCAGGGATTACGCGATTCCAAGCGGGGCACTAACCTAACTGAGGACACTTGGCAAGAGCTCCTTGCTTGACAATCGCGTTGCTGCACCATCTTTCTTTTCAGAACTCTACCAACCACCAATTACATGCCGAGGTCTCAGCCCCGAGGTAGATCGAATGGTGTCACAACGCGCTTATGAAGCCACCGCAACATGAATCTATTGTCCTCACAGAACCTTGCTGATAAGCCCTAGCCTAAAGACATCCTGAAGCCTTGAATGTCTCTCGGACCTGTCGTTGCCAAGCGCTCGTCAAATCTTCCTCGCTCGATCGAACCCTGTCATCCTCTGACACGCAATCGCCGTTGAGCATCTCTTTTCTGGAGAATTCACGGCTGATGGATATGCCATTCTGCACGGCGACTCGGTAGTGCACATGGAAGTCGAGCCTGGAATCGACGCATGAGCCTGATCCATCCGCTAGCTTGCTTTGTGGTCCTGCAAGCATGTGGCGCCGCATGTGAGATATTGTATCTGCCACTCTTCGCAGCCGTGGACGATCAAAGTTCCAATGTACGTGGAGATGTTCGAGTGTTTCCACTTTCAACAATGGTTCGATCCAGGAAGCGACCCACGGTCTTGGCCCAACGGTCATCTGTGCTTCCCACAACAAACACTCTTCCGCTGAAGAAGGTGCAGTGTCGTAGCGCTGATGAGAACTGCTGATCATCAAATGAAGCCTCCGTAAACCCATGCGCGTAGTGGACAAGAGAGTACAGAGGTCCGTGAAGTGGTTATAAGCGAATTGCAGCACGAGCGAGTCTGTTGACCTGCGGAGAACGGGATAATGAGCTCCAATAGTGCCTCTCATATTGCTCGCTTCCACTAGAGCAAGCTTCATGGAGGAGATAAGCTTGAGGGATTCGGGAGGCCTGTCGCACAAGAACGCGAAAGCGGTCGGTATGCTGAGGCTTTCCGTAAAGCTGAAGAGATTCTGCCCATAAAAGACCTTTCTAGCTTCGTGATAGATCTGCCGGCATGTTTGCAATAACCGAATTTCGATGTGGTTGGACGACGTGTCTGATGGATTTGCAAGTTGATATGTCATTCGGATGTTTGTAGGCCCATCCCTTGAGTCGTACTCCGCGGACGTCAGACCAATGTCGAAGCGAGGTGTCAGCCAGATCCGTCGGTGGGCGCGTAAACGTCTCAACGGGTAAGCCTTGTCGAGCTCACGGGTACTGCGGCAAACCGTGGCATCCAATAGGACGGCTGCGCTTTGAACAAGAATCACATCGCATACGAGAACGTAGCCATAGATAAGATCTCGAAGCTCCCGCGGAAGTTTAAGAAGTCGCGAAGACATGGTGGCACAGATCAGGGGTTCACTGCGCAGCCGTTGGGGATAAAGGCGTGTCAAGTCGATTAGGAGAGAGGTGATGACGCCGTTCGTTCCGAGAAAGGCTAGGCCAGTTAATCGCACGTCTGGATAGGGGCCGAATTCGGACTATCCCCCGCTTCTCTCCTCTCGAGCCACACGACCACCTTACAGAAGAAAGAAATTAAACAGGTGTGATGCGGTCTACGGTAAGGTAATAAGTGAAGTAAACAAAACCCGAAAGCAATGCGGGCGTCGAAGGTGTGCGTGTTGGATACTTCCTTTGCACGAAGTCCATTCTTTGTCTGCTCCAGTTCTCTTCTATTAATACTACACGACGAGTATAGACTGGATTCATGTTCACAGAAGACAAGGGTAAGGGGTGGAGATATAGCTAAGGATGTGACAGTCAAATTGGCTGTAAGCTGTATATACAAGAATCTACTCGATCGTCACTTCAGATTTCCCTCCACTCTGTCACCACCATTCCCAGCCTTGCGATACTCGTTTGCTTCCTGATCTCCACCAAGTGTTAAACAACTTACAAGTTGGCGGCAATGAAGCTACGGAGAGTAGCCTGGCCAATGTTGGCGTACACACCAGGGGCGTTGGCAGCAGCGCAGCCATCACCCCAAGAAACGGCACCGAGGAGGACCTTGGTGGACTTGTTGACGATAGGACCGCCGGAGTCACCCTGGCAAGAGTCCTTTCCACCCTGAGAGAAACCAGCGCAGAACATCTGAGTGGTAACAGCCGATGTGCCGTAAGAAGACTGGCAGGAGCTGCGAGAGATGACAGGGACGTCAACCTTGAGGAGGTTGACGGGGAGCGACTGGCCGCCGGAGGAGGTAGTACCCCTAAGTTGAAAGTTAGCTATGTGTTTCGGACAGATTCTGCGCAGAGCAGAATTGATCAAACTTACCAGCCAGCAACAGTGAGGGTAGTTCCGGCAGCAGGGTCAGATCCGGACGCGGGGAGCGTAGCGTACGAGACGGTGGAGCTGGTTGGGATGGAGGTGGACAGCTTCATGATGGCGATATCACCATTGTAGGTGCTCGCGACGTAGCCAGGGTTGACCTTGATGGAGGAGACACGGGCGACAACACCGCCGGAGGTACGGCTCTGGATTCAATGTGTTAGCCCAAACGAATCTCATGGTCATATACGAGAGCGCAAGATTGCTGAAAGCATATTCTGCTTTTGATGTGGAGATGTGAAGCATGCTGAAAGCACATAGAAGGTGGAAACTTACGTTGGAACCAGCGCGAACTGAGAGGCTGGAGGCAGTCTGTCCAACGGCGCAGTGAGCTGCGGTGAGGATGGTGTTGGCGTTCAGAAGAGTGCCACCGCAGAAGTGGGAGCCGGAGCGCTGGAGGGAGACGATGAAGGGGAATTCACCCGCGCTAGCGGTTGTTCCACCGACAATGTCCTCCTGGCTGCCATTCTCCCAGTCGGGGATCTCGGTGGGATCCTGGGGGATAGCTGCGGAGAGCACCACCGCTGGGATGGCGAGGACGGTGAGGAGATCTTTGATCTGCATCTTGAAGGAGGCTGGCTGGAAAGCAAGAGTGGGACTGAAGCTGGAAGCGAAAGACTGCTGGTTCTCTGATGAGGACTGGCCTGAGAATGAGAGGAAGACAGCGTCCTATTTGTACTCGACTGATCACTCTCTAGCCTTGCGATTTCGATTTGGTGGTATACACCAACCTTGCCACATTGTTGTCGTGTGGTCCAGGTATGCTCAAGGTACCAAGACCGCTAGAACAGGGGATATTCGATGCTCCTTCTGCATGTAGAAGGAGAAAAGCAGTGTACAGCGGTGATTGGTACTGTTGCAGTTGTAAGTTCCTTCTACAGCCTAGCATCCTTCATGTAGCTATCCGTCGATGTGGTGCTTATCTACTGCATGACTATCGATACCCCGGAGATCCCCTGCTCGTCGCCAAACGGGAAGCTGTTTTGGCACACTATCATACAACTGGTCCTGCATAACAGTGTCTCCGGCCCTAGGGGGTATTGTGTACTAGCATATTGTGGTGAGTTCGGCCGGTGGTGGCTGGTCTCACGTGCCAAAGTTGGTGAACGCCATGTGCCATCGAGATAGAGGGAAAAGAAATTTGGGAAACATAGGCGGAAAGGCCAGTCAGGTGCTGCTGTGGCAGTACCAATTTCCAGCCTCTAGGCTGAGACTACGCCGGTGCCAGTGCCGGGTGATCTTCCTTATGGCGTTACATGGATGAAGATCCCAGGTGAAGAGCTACATAGCAACTATAATTGGCTCATTAGGTGGGAGATCGATGATTGCGATAAGATCTAGCTGATGAACATTTGCGACTACAAATGACGAGTGGCCTGCAGCGTCCGGCGGTCTCCCCTATGGACTCGTTGCCAAGCCTTACCAAGCTTCCGTTTATATTGCAGTCGTGGGCGCGATATGCGAGATAGCAAATGGTTGGTGTGGGAGCATCGTCTCCCTAAGAGACCTGTCTTAAAGAGGCAGTTACTGGTGAGGGTGGGGCTTGGCATGCGGCCCGGCCCCTGCACATTCCCTCCGAAACACTCCGCCCTACCTGCTGCGATCGCCACAACACCTGAATCACTTCGTATGGACGCGGACTTCGCGACCTAATCAGACGGACAAGATCTGTTAACAGTAGGTGGCAAGAGCTTTGCCCCCACTGCGTCATTTATCATGAACAGGTATGAGCGAGGTGTGTCCGCTCTTGTCTGCGAGAAGTACAGGTTGGTGAAATCTGGAGCAAGCACCGCATCTCTCACGCCCCCTTGAAACGATACCTTGCATGTTCGCAAAGCCTATACTTCTTGCGATATCGTATATGCATACAGTGATGTCTGTCTAGGTGATAAACGGATGATGTGCTGCGTGCTGCAAGGTAGTGCTTTGCCGCGCAATAGGTGGAAATGCCACGAATTAATTCAGGCACATGTATAGCACAGCTGCGGCATCCCTCCAGATCTCCTGGCTTCGCATTGAATCCGTTCGTTACTTACATGCGCGACTAATGTACACATCAAACCGTTCTTTGCTAACAACTACTCATTCCCAGCCACTGATTGCAATCTCCTAACCCGTACTCCAATAAAATTTACCGGCCCAGAGAGCCCTTCGTAGTCCTCATCCTTACTTCGGCATCTTTCAGCAGCCCACAATAGTCCTCCGGGCCATAGCTACTCACGCACTCCCTCGCACCTCCACCCTTCCTCCGCTCCTGCATACCCAGATCTCTTAGCAGCGTGTCAAGGTAAGGCATTGTATCAAAGACAAGATCGGGTAGCGTATGCCCGTAACTCATCGCGCCGCGGATGACGCAATACTGCGTGTTCCGATATGTCTCTTCAAGTGCCTTGGTGGATGAAGAGGGAAGGGACAGTGTACCGTCGAAATGGGCAGTGATCCAGAGACTCTGGATATATGCGCACGGGAAGGTAAAAAGACAATGGGCTGCACCTGCGAATGCAATGTCGCGTTTGTCCATGGCTTTTGGCGGGACTATGAAACGGTGTAGGCGGTATGGCTGGACGTTTGTAGAGGGCTGTTCAGCGTAGCGAAGGGAGGGATCGGGATGATGTATACGGCTCGTATCCCTCTCTTTTAGGTAAGGGTACTCAGTGTACAGGGTCTCTTCTGACCTCCTTATAAGCGCTGTTTCTTCGGACGTAAGTGCAAGTGTACTTGGTAAACCCAATTGCTTCTCCAGCTCTTGAGTTTCGAAGCGGAAGGTGTATCCCTTTTGCCAGCCTGTTGCACAAACGACTGCATCCGCCTCTAACACCTTCCCTGACTTGAGTACAACCTGTCGCTCTCCGTACAGACTTTCGATGTCGTCAACGATGACTTTGACTTTTCCTTCTTTGACCAAGTCGAAAAAGCTATCCGGGTAATTGTGAATCGATAGTGCATTGCCGACTTCGAAAGCTCCTCTCCAAGGCCGCAACTTCTTCGTCTCGGGGTGTTTATCCAAGCCATTCAGCGCAATCGCATCTTCCCCAAGTATGTTCCAGAAAGCACCCACTATCTTCCTGCCGAGCCACGTGCGATGGAAAAAGGAGCGTAGCCAGCCTTCGATGCCTGTCGTGGGCGCCCACGGACAAGGAGACATGAAGCCAAAGAAACGTGTATGTACCAATTTCTCCAGCCACAACCCCAACGGTGTGACGTGACTAGGCGTCATCCACACAGGTCCGTTGCCGTCAGGACGGATGAGTAAAGTCGCTGTAGCAGACGGCTGACTAGCACATGCGTACGCCACGTCCCACGCTGACTTTCCAGATCCCACGACGACGGTATGCTTGCTTGGTTTCGCAATGACTTCGTGATGTTCCGGGAAGTCTGCAGCATGGATGACCAATGATCTGAAATTCGTCGATGTTTGATAATCCGGTAATTGTGGCTTATTCGTGGTACCAACTGCGATGACCAATTTCTTCGCTCTGATCTGGGCACCCTTCTTGTTCATCGGGGTTGCCGCACAGTGCAAAACCCATCCTTCCCCATTTTCATCCCTCTCGATGACCTCGACAGCCATTCGCCCCCTAAAGAATTGCTCTACGTCGGCCCATTTCATGAATGCGCAGAGGTAGTCAAACATCTTCGCGGCGGGGATGTGTTCTCCCCTCTTCACCATGAACCTTTTTTCGTCCATGGGGAAATCGGGGTGTTCGTACATGCCCCACAGGTTGTTGGTACGAAGACCGGGAAACACACGATTCGGTGCCCATGGTCCGCCGATGGATGGTGCAGAGTCGAGAATGAGTATGTTGGCTGAAGGGTGCAGGCGGTGGTATGTGTGGGCAGTTGTGAGACCGTAGATGCCTGCACCTATGATCACGAGATCCGCTTCTTCCATTGTGCGGATGTGAGATACCACTCGGATGTTGGAGGAAGTTGTGATGAGTTATGTGAAGCTATATGAACGGAGCTCATGTATCGAGAGTAGAAGAAATCGTGGCAAGTACAGTGGATTTCATTCTTCCTATTGGTTCCGGCAGCGTGAGATGGAGCAACGGGAGGCCCTATGATTTCGATGCGGTAAAACAAGCGAGATCTGTATCATCCATGTCATCCCTGCAGTAACAGCTATCAGAGGTACGATTGCGATAACTGAAAAGCTTGTCGGAGTTAAGAATTTGTTGGAAACCCTAAGCCTGGCCATTCATATGTTAGAGACGTGTTCATGCTACAGTCGTTGTCTTCTCCGAAACCTCTGCATTCTCATCAACGCTTGCATTATAGTATAGTATCAGGTCAAAATCAGAGCAGGTAAGCCCATCGGGAGGGAGGGAATTGAGCAGGAGCATCATAGTTTAGCCTTCACAGAGCCAACCCCAGCCTTGACTTGCACAGCTCCAGCAGAATCGGTATCTACCATAACCACAACCCCCTCGGAAGCGGTTTGGTCTGGCTTCAGCACGATCTCCTGACAGTCTTCATTGCCGACTTCGTTCGCAAACTGTACGACCACAAAGTCGATCGGCCGGTCCCCAATCACAATCATCGGCGCATGCCATGTCCCAGCCCCGTATGTCACTGCTTGACTGCCGTTCGCAACAAAGGCTCGAAGATTTTTGAGGTCTGGCAAGCCAGGTCCCTTGGGTCGCGCTGACGGGTGCAGTCGTGAGAATTGGCTCTGGGTAGGCACAGTCTCGTTCGAATACGGGCTCGGCCTCGCGCGCGCGAAGATGTCCATGACACTCCTTTTCCGTTCGATGTGGGGTGTAGGATATGGCGGCGCTCTGCCTGTGTGCCTTCTTGACGCGCTTGCCGGCAGTGTTGGAGCCACTATGACAAGATACTGTGTATGCCTTTCCTGCTGCGACAAGCCCATTGGTATGAATGTCTGCGTGGTGAACGGATGTCTTTCGAGAATTGTAACGTCCAGTAGCTGCCTTTGGAAGTCCCCGCATCCTTCCTCATCCTCATCTAGGTCCAGGTCTCCCCACGAGCTGGGCATGCTCATGCTCGGCTCGTGTGGCCGGAGGTTCCGCGGCGAACAAACAAACATGTTCATTACTGCCTTGGCAGGTTTCTTGCTCGGCGCAAGGCTGTACAGATTCGACATGTGTGTGACATCGAGGTACTTGGTGGCCGAGCCCTGGTTGGCGGCGACGGCGTCCGGCGGTGGTACGCGTTGCGGGATGGGCAGCTTTGCGGACGGCGAAGTGGTCGGGTTCTCGATGACAGCACCGAACTGCGCGAAAGCAGTTGGAGTCAGAAGCTCCATTGGTATGCGAATCGAGGGGGTCGGCATCGAGGTCGGCATCTTTGCGGCACGGCGTCCAAAGGGACGTGGACGGAAGCTACGATGGGTCTGTGGAGTTGGGGGGAGCTTGGGAGCTTATGGCGCTACCGACGCGATAACGATAGACATGGAGTCCGCTGTTGGTATATCGCGAAGGAACAACTCTGCGCGACACCCGTGTAATGTACTCACGATATTCTAGGTATATGAACAGAGGAACGGGACCATAGACTGAAATTCAACCCCTGACACTTTTGAGAAGGAGCCGACGATACAGTCTCCGTTTGCGGCTCTGCTAGGGAAAGCTGGCCGCAGATCATTGAATCTCGAATCCTTCTGTGCAGGCAGCGCAAGATCGGTCTAGACTCAGTGGCGTCGATACAGCCGGGAAATGTGTTCAGCAGAGCAGTTTCGAGCGCCAATTAGTGCACAGCCGCTCCAATTCACTCTGCTGCTTCCATCATGTGCTGGCGAGGCTGATGTCACAGTCCCAACGCCAGCGGCCCGCATTTTCCCCGAGCACTAGCGCGCGTGCCCACGGATTTCTTTCTCGACGGCCTCCATCGCCTTCACTACGCTGTCACACGGTCACCCTTCAATTCCTTGACGCGTGTTCCTCCTTCCCTCCACGATCCACCCGTTGCCGCTGCGTGCGCCCAAAGTCTGCCCTTGGCCTATAAAGTCCCGGAACTACGTCACACTCGAATCCATACCCACACACCCGACGTGTTCCTGTCTTAGCCTTACTCATCGCCAACCCACAAATCCGAGCTCAGCAGTGAGCCAGACTTCGCGACCACCAGCACCTTGCCCCACGCCCACTTGTACAACTTCCTGTGACTTTTACTAGTTATCATGGCTGTTCCCACACAGTTGGCTTGTACGTTCACTCCGCACTGTCGGGGTTGAGACACACTAACAAGACTCGCAGACCGCTCCGCCAAGGGCATCGGGATCTTCAACGCTGCTCCAGTGTATGAGGCTCTTCCAGGATTCGTACGGTAAGTGTCTAGACTATACAACAAGTTCCCGCGTACATCGAGGTCCATTTCTGACACCAATGTGCGCAATAGACCAGAAGGCAACCTTCGCTGCTGCTGCTACTCGCCCGATAGCAAATACTTCGCATGGGCAACACCTGAACAAGTTTCGGTGATTGACGCCTCGGTCGGCAACGTCATTACTACACTCCCCACACCGAACGTTTACGAGCTCGGCTTCTCCCCACTCGGCACATATCTCATCACATGGCAGCGCCCATCCAAGGACGAAGACGGGAATGCGGCGAAGAACCTCCGGGTCTGGAAGACGCTCTCCGACGAAGCTGAAGATGACGGATCACGGGCAGTCATCGGCGAATACGTTCAGAAGAACCAGAGTGGCTGGAACCTGCAGTACACGTCCGACGAGAAGTACTGTGCGCGCGTTGTAACAAACGAGGTGCAGTTCTTCCAGTCGAGCGATTTGCGCAACCCTTGGAACAAGCTCCGCGTGGAGGGAGTGACCGACATGGCGCTCGCCCCAGGCAAGAACCATTCAGTTGCCGTTTTTGTTCCGGAGCGCAAGGGCATGCCCGCTGCTGTCAAGGTCTTCCAAGTCCCTCAATTCAGTCAGCCGGTATCCCAGAAGACTTTTTTCAAGGGCGACAAGGTCCAGCTGAAGTGGAACGATCTCGGTACCAGCTTGATTGTCCTAGCACAAACTGAAGTCGACAAGACGAACAAGAGCTACTACGGCGAGACCAACATGTACATTCTTAGTGCCAACGGCACCTTCGACTCGCGCATCCAGCTGGACAAGGAGGGTCCCATTCACGACGTCTCATGGTCGCCAAACTCGAAGGAGTTCGGTGTCACCTATGGCTACATGCCCGCAAAGACTACCATCTTCAATCAACGTGCGGTCGCACAACACAGTTTCGACCTAGGCCCACGCAACACTATCCTTTTCAGTCCCCACGGTCGCTTCGTCATCGTCGCCGGTTTTGGTAATCTAGCTGGAGACATGGACATCTACGATCTTGAGAAGAACTTCGCCAAGGTCTGCCACGTCAAGACCTCCAACTCGACCTACTGCGCGTGGAGCCCGGACGGGCAACATATTCTCACGGCAACTACTAGCCCGCGTCTTCGTGTTGACAACGGTGTTCGCATCTACCACGTCAGCGGGGGTCTCATGTACAACGAGGACATGGCCGAACTCTACCACGTCGTTTGGCGCCCTCAGCCGACCTCGATGTACCCTCTGACCGACCCCTTGACCAACGTACCGGCACCGCATCCGTCTGCGCTTGCCTACCTCAGCACCCAGAAGACACCGTCCAAGCCTGCAGGTGCCTACCGTCCCCCCGGAGCGCGCGGAACCGCTACACCGCTACACTTTAAGCGTGAAGATGAAGGAGGCGCAGCCTATGCCAACACCGGTATCTCTTCCACGAACGTTGGCTTCGCCAATGGATTTGGCAAGCCGCGCCGCCGTGAGGTACCAGGAGCGGAAGCTGCTGAGACCCTTCCACCTGGGGCTGCTCCCGGGGGCGGTGTTAGTCTTACCGGCGCTCAAGATGGCGATGGAGAGCTCTCGAAGGCGGCTTTGAAGAACAAGAAGAAGCGAGAGGCCAAGAAGGCTCGCGAGGCCGCTGACAAGGCTGCTGGACTCGGCGCCGACGGTGCCAATGCACCCAACGGTGCTGGCCGTAGCCCGGAACGTCGCCAGCGCAGTCGCAGCAAGAGCGGATATGAGCAGCAAGGACGAAGCGCCAGCCAGCACCGCAACTTTGGCAACAGCCCAAACCGTCAAGCCCGTCAGGACGGAAACCAGCGCCAGAACCCTGCGCAGCAGCGTCAGCAAGCTCCAGCTCAGGCCCAGGCCCCTCCTCCGATTCAGACCGAGAGCCAGGGTCCTCCCCCTGACCTCACCGTCACCAGCCCTGGTGATGGCGGCAACCCTCAGGACAAGAAGATCAGAGGTTTGCTGAAGAAGATGCGCGCCATCGACGAGCTGAAGATGCGTCAAGCCGGCGGAGAGAAGCTAGAGGACACCCAGGTCAAGAAAATTAGCACCGAGAAGCAGATCAAGAAGGAACTAGACGCCTTGGGCTATAGCGGTTAGAAAACACTGTAGATGCATGTGAGTCCCTCGAGACCTAAGCATCACAACATGTAGTACGTTACGAGATGAACAAGTGAGTCATGTATTGTTCTCGGCATTCATTCATGGTCTCGTGATTAGGCTTATGGCCCTGCATGACAGCACCCTAATGTCCAGAACACCTCTCTCCAGGTTGGGCCGTCATTCATGGATATATGATGGAGGTTGGACTGAAGGATCGATAGGCACATCATACATGCTGCTTCTAGTGCGAGGCATGTCCGCCCTGTGTACCCAGCTCGGAAGCAAGCTCACTGCCCTTCTTGAACGTGCCGTCAGGGTTGCGCTACGTGGAATATGTCAGCCACGAACTCATCGATCGTACTTTGGATTAACTTACGCCGCTCTCGCTGCTGGAAGTCTGCGCACCGGAGTCGTTGGTGGAAGAACCGTGGGAAGCGTGACCGCCCTGAGCACCAAGCTTGCTGGCGACCTCTGAACCTTTGGTGAAGGTGCCATCTGGGTTACGGCCTGGCTCGCTGCTGTTGGATGTAGAGTCTGTAGCACCGTGGGAAGCATGACCACCTTGGGCGCCTAGCTCCTTTGCGAGGTCTGAGCCCTGAGTGAAGGTACCGTCAGCGTTACGGTCAGCGTTGCCGCTGCTGCCAGTGGATGTGGACTTGAGGAAAGGTTAGTCACTACACATTAGAGTGAGGATATCTAATGGAGCTTACGTCGCTGTTGCCAGAGCCGTGAGAGGCATGGCCGCCCTTTGCAGCAATCTCACTAAGCTTGTCCTTAGGGAGGTTGGCGAAATTGGAAGGGTTGGAAGAAGCCATTGTTGATGATTGTATTTGACAGAGGTCTGATTGAGAGTTCTAACTTGAGAAGATGGGCAGGATTGGTTATGGAATGGGTGGAGAAGCAAAAGACGAAGTAGGTCTGTTTATATCCCTCTCACCTGCGCGCGCTCCTGTTTGCTTCCCCTAGGCAACACGTCACAAATGCGGGCAGCACGCCTGCAGGTGAGCCTGTATCAGGCTTCAGTCTCCACCTCGAGGCATGTTAGTGTCGATCAAACGTCCGCTCACGTCTGATTTGCCAAAACAACGGTCATCTTGATGAGGAAGCCACTGCAGCCTGCTTGCATCCTTGTGCCATGTTGTGGACTGTGTCAGGGCTGGGTGTGATGTCATGTCACGTGGTCCAGACGCGTCGCGCGTACTCACGTGTTGCTGCTCCACGCGGCGGCCAATCAACGTGCTCGGGGGGAATGACAGGTCGTGTCCGCCGTCACGTCCCGGCGCGAATCTCTGGGGCTGGGAGCATGCTTGCAATCATCGCGATACTCTTAAGACTCGTCATACTTTCCCTGCTATTCTCTTCGTTGCCCTACGCTGCCCCATTGACCCCATATTCTACATCGATTGACAGTGCCACCATGAGCCTAAAGCGTAAGGCAGCAGCAGCGGCTACGGACGCGTCCAAAAAGCCCAAGCAGAATGGCAGCATCACCGCCTTCTTTGGCGCCCCGAAGCCCAATCCCAATGCACCACCCAAGCAATCTGCTGCAGCCGCAAAGTTCGATCGAGATGCATGGGTCGCCAAACTCACAGACGAGCAGAAAGAGCTGCTACAACTGGAGCTCGACACCCTACATGAGAGCTGGCTGCCGCATGTCAAGGATGTGCTGCTGACTCCACAATTCCTCGAGTTGAAGAGGTTCCTGAAGAAGGAGCTGGACAGCGGGAAGACTGTTTACCCGCCGATGAAGGATGTGTACTCGTGGTACGATCTCCCCCATCTTCCGGGTGCAAGCCTGAGTGATGAAGACTAACACTGGTCAGGTCGCGGCATACACCCCTCAACACCGTCAAGGTCGTCATCACAGGCCAAGATCCATACCACGGTCCCAACCAGGCCCACGGACTCTGCTTCTCCATCCGTCCACCGAACCCTGCGCCTCCTTCGCTCATGAACATCTACAAAGCCCTCGAGAAGGAGTACCCAGACTACAAGCGACCCCCGAACAAGGGTGGTCTTCTGACACCTTGGGCTGATCGTGGTGTTCTGCTCATCAACACCTGCTTGACCGTCCGTCGCGGCGAAGCAAACTCACACTCGGGCAAGGGTTGGGAGCTGCTCATGCAGAAGGTCATTGATACTGTGGCCAAGGTACGGACAAATGGTGTCGTATTTCTGGCCTGGGGCAGTCCGGCGCAGCAGAGGACAAAAGGCATTCCGGTTGACAAGCATCTTGTGCTGAAGAGCGTACATCCTAGCCCGCTGAGTGCGGCGAGAGGCTTCGTAAGTATCGCAATACGCTATGGAGTAGGTCAAGTGCTAACGACGTGTAGTTCGATAACGGTCATTTCAGGAAGTGTAACGAATGGTTGGAGCAGCGTTATGGCAAAGATGGTGGCATTAATTGGGACCTGAACGTTGATGCTGAGAAGACTGAGCTGTAGTCATCTACTGCTCCGGTCGAACCTTTCGGAGTCTTGGATCAGGCGTGCGGCGTTATTTGATTGTATCTGCGATGGCGTGCATCTCGATATTGGGTCCACGATGTTCATTCGCGTTGACTCCGCCATCAGACTCAAAGCGATGGACCAAGGACGGGAATGACGCCAAGTCAACGATAAAGATGGCAACCATCTCAGATGACAATGTTTCAATTCACATACTCTCACTTTAAACCTCTGTTCGCCTTGTTACCCACAGCAGCCCTCTCTTGACCTGTCCAATAAACCAAGGATCCTCGTACGCTTGATCGAAATGACCTAAAGCCGTGAAGAATATCCTGCCACCCTCGAACTCCTGACACCATGCCAAAGGGTGATCATCCCCATGTTTGCCTCCTTGAAACGTCTTCGGATCACCTCTCAGTAAGATCTGGAGGTTTTTGTTCGCCCTCGGATGAGCGTGGAAGTTATACCATTCATCCTTCCAGCCCTCACGCCCGCCACAGCAATTCATGATCTGGTGTTTCTGGCCGGACTCTTCGGGAACGATGGTACCGGGTTCAGGGTCGGGATGCATGTCGAAACTTGCTCCGATCAGTTTCGTGTAGTATTCGTTCCCTTGCATAGCTGCAGCTGCGCCGTGAATAGCTACGATACCGCCGCCATTCTTCACCCAGGTTCTCAAAGCTTCTAATTCGGATGGGGTGAAGATGTCGTCGCCGATGTTTTGCAGGAGGACGATGACTTGATATTGCGCGAGAGAAGACGAAGTGAACAGCGAGGCGTCTTCAGTAGCTGTGACTTTAAAGAGGTTCGTATCGCTGGCTAACTTTTGGAACATGCGGATACCAGCTGGGATAGAGTCATGACGGTAGCCTGTGGTCTTGCTGAAGACGAGGACGTTGAATGCTGTGGTGTTGGCCATGTTCGCGCACTGTCCGGATGATTGTGCGGTGAGGCTTCCAACACTTGTGCTTGACTTTGGAAGAGATATCGTTGTATAGCGCTACCGAGGGTATATGATTTATACAACATCAACTGAATTAGGCTGAGTTACCATCTACCGGCGGCACATGACGTCATGCATACCAGCACGGGTTGAAGACTACAATGAGTAGCTGGATCCAGCTGTCTAGCGGAGACCCTACGTGCAGTGCTGAGATGAAATACGGCGCAGTAGCTAACATCTCGTATAATGAATAGAGTGCGCCTTTGACTCAGACTGGGGATCTAAAGGCTATGACACACAAAAAGCACAAACTTACAATCTTGCTGGAGAAGGCACCTCTCAACTGGCGGCGATGTTGGAAGACGCGACACGTACCCTTGTCGACGCGCCATCCCGGTTCCGCTTCCCCCACTTTTCCATCATGTATACTCCTCGCGACATCACCAGCGTTGTCACCACTCCTGTCTTCCATTCCTTACAGGACTCGCAGGACTCGCAGGCAATATATTCCAAACATTGATGATTACATTGCATGTCACTTAGACCGTAGCAGTAGAGGAAAGCGTTAGGTTCATCTGAGCAGACAAACACCGCATCCTAGCATCGAAACCTGGAATACTCACATCTCAGCACCCTGCACATCAGACTGAGTCAAACACTTTCACGAGAAGCCAATTCCTAGTTTTGTCTTAGATCATGGTAACCGGAGCAATAAAACCAACCCATTCCGGCGATGTCGTCCCATATCCCCCTCCACCCGAAGCATGCGAGGGCCAAGCACCTTCAATACTCGAAATACCGCCCGGGGATTACTACATCCGAGAGTTTCTAAGTCTGATAGAACCCACACATGCTCTGCGGAAGCATGGCTACAGCTTTGCACAGTTGACAGACGAGGACATTCACCAAAAACGAAGATGCAGTAAATGCAATCAAAGTAAGTGCATTCTCAGTGCTTGGAATGTCCACATTGATTCTAAGAGCATTGCTAAACTCCCGGTAGCTATCCAACAGCTCAGTAAGGGTCTGCAACAGGCCATAACGCACCGTAGCCAACAGCTTCTCTCACATCCACCGGACACGCCCTACAAGACATTGCCAAGTATGATCATACCATACGAGAACGGCAGCTCTGGTATTCAGTATTGCACAATAGAATGCCACTACCACTCAGCGCCAGTCGACCGCGCGACAAAGGTGAGCGCAGTCTGACCCTTCTTTGCCTAACCCAACTAATCTTGTTAGTGCTGGTTGTGTTGCGGAAAGCACGTCTCGGAGGCCAAGCCGTGTAGGAGTTCCGACAAGCACGGGATACGTGAATATCGACCAGGTGAGCTCGAACGGCTACATCAAATCCAACCAACTCCACCTTTTCGTCATTGGGATTCGGACCGCAGGATGAACGCGAAATTTGCCGTAGCAATTGATTGCGAGGTCAGTTCTAGCGCTATAGAATACAGGTGAGACCTACTGACTTTTCACGTCCACCTCTACAGATGGGAACAGCCAGGAGTGGAGACTCTGAGCTCATTCGCCTAAGCGCCATCGATTACTTAACCGGTGAAGTGCTCATTAACAACCTTGTCAAGCCTGATCAACCAATGCAACATCTCAACACAAAGTGGTCGGGCGTTACTTGGGATCAAATGAACGAAGCTGTAAGAGAGAAGACCACGCTGAAGGGGAAGGCAAGTCACTTCCGTGTACAAGCTGACATGAGACATGTACTGACTTTGTACACCAATTGTAGACTGGGGCGAGAAAACTGTTGTGGAAATTTGTCGGACCAGACACTATTCTCGTCGGACACAGCGTTCATAATGACCTCAAAGCACTGAAGTGGCTACACACAAAGGTTGTAGACTCCTATGTCGTAGAGCATAAGATGATTCAGGAGAAGAAGGCAGCCGAGGCCAGAGAAAAGGAAATTGCCGAAGCGGCGGCAAGAAGGGGTGAGGAACGCCTTCTAGAGACCACAGGACTAGCGACGAGTAGCATGCCCACCTCAGTGGCCGACGCGCAAACAATGGGCGACTCAATCAACCCCACTGAGGGTGAGCCCAAGAAGAAGAAGAAAAAAGGCACAGGTGATCTGGCGTTGAAGACACTGCTGAAGAAATACCTGGACACGGACATCCAGACCAGAGGCAATCAAGGTCATGATAGCTTGGAAGATGCAACTGCGGCGCGGGATCTAGTTCATTGGTAAGTTTTTGGCTGTACGAAGTGCATATGAAACAAATACTGACTTCGTACCTCTACCTCTGCAGGATGGTTATGCGTCGGCTCCAGGAGAAGTATGGCGTATTGATGTAGCGGTGGTTGTGTATTACACTGCGTGAACGTAATGTCAAAGCCATGGCGATGGACGTGGCCATACTAAGACAAGCAATGAGCCGAAAGCTCCAAACTGCCCCTGAATCTTTCTCAAAGTCAAGAGAAGATTGCACGGTGACGCGTTGCGATGAGTGGCGCCTCCTCACCGCGAGTGATAACGGACTAGCGTCAACACATAAGAAACGCTCACCTCAAATTCTTTTCAGAGCGCCACGTCCTACACACCCTGCTCTGAAAAAATTCTCTCATCATCTGCCTTTAATTCATTCTCCCATTGCACACCTTCCACGATGGCTCCCGCAAACGAGACCCCCGCGCCGCTGTCACAAGCTGAAGAGGACGCGGGGTTTGAAGCGATGCTGGAGAAGGCGAAGAAGCTCCCCCCGGGCATGTTTGAACAGCTCAAGGAGCAAGAGCGCAAGATGCGCGAAACTGCCGTCGCTGATCTAGAAGTGGCGCGCTACTTTGGGAGCTTTTGCCGCTCGTACTTGAGCAGCGAAGCGAGTTCGGCGAGGCCGGATACCAAATTGGAAGAGGAAGAGGAGAGCAAGAAGAAAGAGGAAGAGAAGGAAGAAGAGGAGGGTAAGGCGAAGGTCGAGGGGGAGAAGAGGAATGTAGACGAAGACAACTTCCCGCTTGATAAAAATTCACTTGACTAAAATTTTGCCATCTCTGGACATGATAAACTAACAAATTAGTAGCTGAGGTGTTATAGCTACTGCCTGATCTTGAGGACAGATAGGAATCGAAGTTCCCGAATAGAACATGGAATATCGGTGAACACAAGACTTATCTGAGAAGAGTCGTATTGTCATCATTTATGTGAAGAGAAGAGAATTCGTCGTACGTAGAACCATACCCTATTACCTACGCTTCCTCGATACACCCTCCACTACCTGCCCTTTCTTCCAGCCATGGTCTACTCCGCACTAGCATTCGTCTTGGCCGCCGCCGCAGCAACTGCCTTTAGCGCCGCTGGGGCATCATCCCACGGCATCACCAACTCCACGAAGCGCATCTTCTGCGTCTCGCCACTGCTGAACTCTTCGTCTTGGAACAGCTTCTCAACCTCCTCCTTCGTCTCCACTCGGTATGTGAGTACACTGCCTTCTTCAGCGCCGAAGACGCGGGGAATGTCCTTGTACTTCCATTCCTGGACGTCGTTGTAGGGATCTTCCCATCCGTGAATGAGTCGCTCGATTGTGTAGCCCTTGTTGCAAATGACGAAGATGATGGGAGCCAGCTTGTTGCGGATCATAGTGGAGACTTCTTGAGCGGTAAGCTGGAAGGAACCGTCACCCGTGAAGAGAATAGTGCGCTTGATGTTGGATTCTTTGGCTGCGAGAGCAGCGCCTTGGCATGAGCCAGTCGCGTAACCGATGGAGCCCCAGAGAACTTGCGAGATGGCGTTGACGCCTGCTGGGAAGCGGGTTTCCCAGACGCCAAAGTTGGAGGTACCAGTCTCGGTGATGAGGACATCGTCCTTCTTCAGCCACTGACCAAGCTTTGGCCAGAACCAGGCGTGTTTGATGGTTGGCTCCGTCGATGCAGTCTCCTTGTCTGGGATGTTGTTGTTCGGGTTAGGTCCGGATTCGATGTTCAGCTTTCCAAGCTTGGCTGTGACTTTGGAAAGAACGCCGTTCATTCTAACACCAGGGTATTCTGAGTATCGTACTTTGCATCCGTAGCTGTGTAGGTCGATAGTCGTGAGCTGTGACATGCGGATGGTGAAGCCTGCAGTGTTAAAATCGGACTTGATAGCACCGATGCTGAGAACAAGATCAGATGACTCAACGCGTTCGCGTACACCAGCATTTGACCCATCTCCAGCGTAAACACCACCATAGTTTGGCAGAGTCTCATCCACCGCACCCTTTCCCATTGGGGCCACGAAGGTAGGGATGCCAGATTTCCTGATCAGCTCGTGAGTCTCCTTCAGTGCTCGGTGACGGATAGCGCATGCATCCACAAGGATGACGGGGTTCTTCGCCGCATGCAGATACTTCAGTACCACGTCTACGACGTAGTCTTCCGCCTCTTGGTCATTTTGCGGGTATTCCAAATCAAGCGGAGTGTTGAGACGATCACCGTCGACCTTCTTGGTTACCATGTCGCTAGGTAAGGAGATGTAGACAGGCCTCGACTTGAGGTAACATTCCCGAATGGCGTTGTCGATCAGCATAGCGGCTTCGTGCTGGCTGTTGAGCATCGAAACAGCACATGAGATCTCCTTGGACATGCGCGAGAAGACCGTGAAGTCGCCATTTCCAAGAGTGTGGTGCAGCAGCGCCCCGTTCCTCTGGGATACAGTTGATGGGTAGCCGACGATATGGACGACTGGGACGTATTCCGAGTAGGCTCCGGCGATGGCATTGACAGCAGACAATTCGCCCACACCGAACGTGGTTACCAATGCAGAAATGCCCTTGACTCTTGCATAACCATCTGCGGCGTAACCTGTAAGGATCATCAGCACCTATAGCATGAGACGGACGGATCGACTTCGGTCGCTCCCGCAAGCGAGCCGCTGATAGCCCGAACGCAAAGACAAGCTCCACATACCAGCATTCAGCTCATTGCAGTTGCCGACCCATTTCAAGCCGACTTTTGGGATGTAGTCGAGTGCGACAAGGTTGTAGTCTCCTGGAACGCCATGGACGGACTCAACGCCGACTTGTTGTAGTCTTCGGAAGAGGTACTGTGATCCTGTCAGCAGCTAGCGCTCTTTCACACGCGTGTACAGCCCATGACTTACCTCTGCAACGTCAATTGGGTTTTTGATGTCCTGCGAACGTAGATCCTGCGCCATTATGCCAAGCTGTCAGAGATACGAAGCTTTGGATGCTAAGAAAGTAGTTTGTTTGGTGTGGTTGTGGCAGGCTGTTGGGCGCAGCTACCTTTAAGGGTCCCCGAAGTTTACAGCAATGAGGTCATGTCCGGTCTTTACCGGCCAGCGCCATTGTTGGGCCTGTCTCGTGCGAGTGCATCGGGTGCATGTGGGATGCTGCACCATAGTAACGCGACGCGCAGCATCACGCTGTTTGTCAGCCCAGGTGGCGTGAGCTACTAAGTCTGCGGCGTGGTACTGCTACCGAATGCGTGCACTCGGAGCTCGAAGTCTCCTTGACGTTGACGAAATTCTTCGCAACACCACCAATCCACAATGGAACTGTCTAGCATCAAACACGCGATCGATATGAGTGAAGAAGTCGAGACATCTGAAAGTGGGGCGCATCCTTAGCTTCGTGGGAGTTCCATGGTAGCAGAACCACTTTGCCAACACGTTCTTAGTAACTATGCATCATCACCTGCGTGGCAGCAAAATGCGAAAACTGGTCAATGTCAAAGCTTTTCTAAGCACGCAACGGACTGTCACATCACGACCTTGTCTCTCGCAGTCTGTCTTTCGTCATCGCCTGTACCCTTTCTACCAACTCATCGTTCAGCGGCGTTCTCGCGCCCACTTCTCTTCCGCGCCTTGCCCAGTACCCATTGATATATCTAATCTCCGTCTCTCTCCTATGCCTCATATCCCATACCATGCTCACAGTCGTCGCTCTGTTCTTCTCGATTATATCCATAACAGTAGCGTGCAGGGCTTTCGCTGAAAACCTTTCCTTCACTCCTTCTACGCCCTGTAGTTCAGGTAAAGCGAGGATGACAGACGAGATCTCTTGCATGAGCCTCTTGTTGGTTTCTGGGATGCTTAGGATGTATGCGGTCACGGCATCTTCGAGTGCGCAGATAGGGTTGCTAAGAGCGTTACAGGCAAGCTTTTCTAGTTGTATCTGGAGTATGGTGGGCCATGGGTAAGCCCGACAGTTCAGGCGAGGTGCAAGAGGTAGGATTTCCAAGAGAGGGGAAGGTGTTTGTGATATATCGCCGTCTTCTCGCGGGACGGGGCCTACCGATGTTGCTGCAGGCCCTGTGTGGGTGACATTAAAGGGCCCATTCAAAGTGATACCATGCGAGATCACACCCGTAATGTAGTTTGGTCGCGTGTGAGGATCAGGCCACAAGAACATATTTGCGTCTTCTATCATGCCTGCTCCGTTCTGCAGGAATGTAACGTTTGACGTGCGCGAGAGTCGAGGTAGAAGAGGTTGGAGGGCTGCCACAGTCTGCGTAGACTTGACGCATACGATAAGATCGTTGATAATTTCGTCAGTTGGGGGTCCTGGTAGCTGTAGCGCCTCAGCATTCCCAACTATGCGCAACTCCTGCACCGTGTGCCATTCTTTTCCGTTCAATACTTCCACGCCATATCCCGTTTGAGCGATCTGTTGGCCCTCGCGCGTCTGCAATAGAAGCCTCTTCCGGGTTCGTAGGTACTCATTCATAAGAGAAGAACGATGTAGCAGTAGGTTTACCGCTGGCCTTGCGGGTATATCGGCAAGCGAGTGAGCTGTGAAAGTGCCTATGCTTCCCAGACCGAGGACATGGATGCGCGGGGAGGCTCTCGTGCTTGATATGCTGCGATGGTGTCCAGGCTCCTCGGAAGCCAACCGCCAGCTTCTGAAGGTGCCTGCTGGGAAATGGCAAGCTTCACGACGCCGGGATTGAAGAACGTGCCCCGCTCGAGGCACCCCTATGGCAGAGTTTAGACGCTGACAAATTGCCATCTTGACCCGCGTCGAGAATTGGAGATTTTCAGGAGGACGGCTCCTGCTTTTGATGATGGTCGTGCTCCTGGTGGGTGTACATGTTGCGCTTTACGGCCTACGTTAGGAGGCTGACCCTGCTTTCTAGCCGCTGCCCCACCACAGCCTAGCAGAAGGGGACACGGAAAACGAAGAGAGGTGTCTACATGATTGAGCGGTGTAGTCCCGTTGGGTAAGTTTGACGGAGATGGCAAAAGGAGCTGAAGTTTGAAATTAGTGCTGTGTTGATACGAGGGAGCTATTAGGATGTCTACCTAGGAACGCGAATGGTCGTACGGACGCGCCGATGGCATGTTCCGCCCAGTTCCTGACTAACGGCAGATGATAGCTTCAGCCCTGACGCACCGCACCGCAACCGCGGCCTCGGCTGGTGCTCATCGCGAGGCGGTAGCCGTGGTTCGTTCTCTTGGGTGTGGCTGTCAGGAGTGCACCGCCACGTGCTCGTGTGACTTGAAACATGGTCGACGGTGTCTCTCCGGAGCCCTACGTAATGATCCATGCGCATTGAAAGTTACTGCAGCGTGGAGGGCGGGTCGAGAGCGCGCAACGGCTGACAGCGTCAGAGTGCTGGGCGCCTCGAACAAATCATGTTGCAAGCTTCACCTGTGGCCCGTGCCTCTCACGACGGCCAGCCCTCAGGCAGCTGTCGACGGCGGCGCATTCGGTCGCTCAGTCGCTCAGTCGCTGCGTGCCCCTCGTCGCCGCTGTTGTCGTGCCGTCGTGTCTTCTGACGCTGCAATCTCCCGCCAGGCCCTGCATCTGCCGGCGCTGTGGTGCCCATCTTTGTTGCGACGGCCAAGCGCATCCGCCCTCCTCGAAGCGCCCACGTCGACGCAAGCGCAGGCGCCGCGTTCCTGACCTCGATTCACTGCTCCAGCGTTCACCCCCCCGTTCGTGCCAACGGCTCCGCGATTCGTAGCTCGTATTGCGCTGTCCGCTAGGCTCTGAGACCCACCGGTTCCGTCAAAGGAGCCCAAGGAGCCTCTGGACGACGTTACCGCGGCAGCGTCATGTCGTGATGTGACGGCCTCTCCGCTGATTGATACGAGGACATGACCCACGAGTCTCGACAGCGCTCCGCGTCCAACATCTCGACGCCCTCCGACCGCTCAGCCCGTCGCGCACCGCGCCCGAACCGCAACCCGCCCGCCAGCCTCCCGCTGCCCGAAATCCCCAGCGTCACGTCGTCGCCCTCGTCGTCGCTGCAGCCGCTGGGCCTGAGCAACCTCGGCTCGCCATATCCTTCCTTCTCCCCCGGCGGAGCCAGCGCGCCTGCCTCGAGCCCACGCGGACGGGCGCATACCGTCCAGGGTCCAGCGATGCATCAATACATCCCCCCTCCGCCGCCCCAGCCCTCGAGCACGCCTGCCGGCCACATCGCCCTCCCCCCGCCGCCGCCCCAACCCTCGAGCACGCCCGCCGGCCATATCGCCCTCCCCCCGCCGCCTCCACGGCCCACGGGCTACGGCAACCTGGGCGGCATCTCCATCCCACCGCCGCCCCATGCCAACAATTGGGGTCCCCCGCGGCCCCAGTACCAGCAGCAAGGCTACGATCCGAGCCAGTATCGCAGCTACCCTCACAGCATCCGCCCTCCCCCAGGGCCCCCGCCGCAGCAGATCCAGCACGAGCGCGAACCTCCACTGACGTCAGCCACGTACATCCCCGGCGGCGAGTCATTCGGGCCTGGTGTAGGCATCCCTCCACTGCACACGTCGAGAGGCTACCCCGAGCCCTACTACCGCGACGACAACTACTCTGCCAACGCCGACACGTCCGCCCAGGGCTTTTCTAGCAGCCTCCTCGAAAGCGTCCAGAGCGTGCAATATGGCTCTAACAACGGCTTCAACGCGCCCCCGACGCCCAGCAGTCGCAACCACCTCAATATACCGACCGAAAGAACGCAGGTCTACGACTCGTCTGGGCCTCCAACCGCAACGCTGCAGAACCCCATGGTCCAGAACCACGGCAGCGTCTATCACCGGTCCGAAAGCAATGGCACGACCCCCATATCCCCACATGACTCTTCCATGCACTGGCCAGCCGAACGTGTCCAACACTGGTTAGCGAGCAACAACTTCTCACGAGACTGGCAGGAGACGTTCAGGACGTTGGGCCTGGAAGGCTCAAAATTTCTCGACATTGGCCGCGGTCATGGCAGCAAAGGCAATGTAGCCATGATGCACCAGGTCATCTTTCCCCAATTGGCCAAGCAATGCACTGCAAGCGGGACCGGATGGGATCAGAATAGAGAGCGAGACGAGGGTCGCAAGCTTCGCAGACTTGTGCGCTCCATTGTCGAGACAGGCCACATCGCCAACCCTCGCGCAGCACCGCAACGGTCCGACACAGGTATGACGAGCGCCGGAACGGAGGGTAACGTGGAGAACTCACCTTACATCGGCACCCGAGGCATGGACTTTGGATCAACGCCAACTACTGCTGGCAATGGCGAAGAGAGTCCGGGCCGTCAACTGCTCTTGCACTCGCCTGGCGGTAGTACAAACCCACCCAGACGCATCTCTACGCAGCAACGCAATTTCACCGTCCCCGGTCTCGGTCCTACTCCAGATTTCTCAGAAGGACCTGCACGCAGTCCGTATTCCAGGGAGGTTCTGCAAGGCCTAGATGCAAAGCCTGCACGCCACAGCCCGAATGCATCTTCAGAATTTGCACCATCTTCATTGGGTGCGACAAACTATCGCCAAGCAAGCCCTCAGCAAAGCCCAGCGCTACCCTCAGCTCGTCTTGCAACAAATGGTGGGCAGCTCAGTGCGGGTCTGAGCAACAACGGATCGCGGTACTATTCCCCGCATAACCGCGTCAACAGTACCGAATCCATCAACTCCACCTTTGCAAACACTGGCTCGGGCCCCCCATCAAGCAGATCATTCGATAATCGTTCCGATAGTCGCAACGAGAACCGGAAGAACGGCTATGAAGGCTCACGACCAGGCACTGGATTAGCTAGATATGACTTGGAAGCGCCCACCAGCGCTAAAGACCATGAGAAGGGCTTCTTTAAGAAAATCATGAGCGGGCGGAAGAAGGAGAACCACCCATCTCCTGATGATACGAGCCTAGATTCACCCACCAGCCCAGCGAGTCATCGTACGCATCCAAGCGGGTCCCTGTTTGGAAAATCTGGCATGAACTCGAGCGAGACTTCCTTGAACGAGCGACCCCCTTCGAGACGATCAGCTCAGACAGACTCCGATAATCGAGCAGCAGGTCGTACTCGCACATCCGGAAGAGAAGATCGTAAATACGCTTTCGTCACACCGGATGGCTGGAATTACCGGCTTATCGACATTACCAACGTAGATTCACCAGCAGCTCTACGGGCTGTATGCTGTGAGGAGCTGAGTCAGGGTCTAAGTCAGATATCAGGTGTAGAACTGCATCTCACAAATCCTGGGCAACAAGACCACGATCATCCTCTGTCCGACTCAAAGTTGTTGAAGGCGCGGTCGCAGTATGGGAATCGAGTCGGCGAGCTCAAAATCTTTGTCAAGATACCTCAAGAGGGATCTGTACCTCCCTCTGCCGGGCTAGGGGTCTCGCTACCCCATACAGCTGCTAGGTCTATCGATGAGGACGCATACTCTCGGCTGAACGCCGACTCTCAACTAGATTCTCCAGGCGGAAAGTCAGGAGAGTCAACGCTAGTCGCAGATAAGAGTGCAGCTCTTCGTAAGATGGCAGAGAAAGCCGAAGCCATGCCGAATAATTCAGGTGACAGGCCTGCAGAATCCGCTTGGGAACCGCGTGATGACTTGGCTGAGGAGGAACGACGAAAGCTGCTCGAAGCCGCTGCTGAAGAGCACCGCAAGGAAACAAAGCGGAAGCAGGAAGAATATCTGAGGAGTCGTTTCCAGAGGGCCAACGGACATAGTCCTGACCTAAACCCCACTTCAGCCGACAATCTCAGCTACCGCAGTCAGCGCATTGTTGACTTTGATGAACCTCGCGCTTCTCCCTATGAGGACGTAAAGAAACCATTCGATGCTAAACCCAAGCAGCTTGTTCCACTGCGAGAGCCGCCACCAGTGCCAGCCGATACGAGCACACTGTTGAAAGCCAATTCGCTGTCGAGGGCCAAAAACCGCGGCTCATGGCCCGAGAGTGATGATGGCAAAGACAAGCGAAGATCAACAGAGTCTCAGTCAGAGAAGCGCAAAGCCATTCCTCAAGCTGCAAGCGGGCTGGGAGGCATTGCTGCTGCTATTATTGGCGCTGGTAATCTTGGGGCAGGCATAGGAGCAGCGAACAGAGCGCCGCCAAAGGGTCCTCAATCACCAAACAGCGAAGGCTCGCCTGAAAGTATTCGACCGTCACAACAAATATTACAAGATCACGGATTTGCAGCTAGATCTGGCTCCGGAAGAAACAGTCCAGGTGGGTCACCTCGCAGTCCCGGCGAGCTCACAATGAGCAAGGGAAATATACCTTTCAGAATACCTGACTATGAGGAAGCTTTCGGAGACGACACGTCGAATGAGAGGCCAGACCTCAGCCTTGCGATGCCGGATCCGACAGCACTGCGATCGAGAAACGAGCGGTCTCGTTCGCCAACTCGAAGTCCCCACGCGGCGCACGCTCCAGAGTCTACCTTGAGCAGAGAACCATCCCGGGTGTCAGTGTACGGTCCCACTCACGACTTCGAGGAAGCGCGAGTGTCGTTCATTACGAAGTCTCCCAACCTGGAGCCTATGGATTCTGACGACGATGATTCTGATGACGGCTTGTTCGCTGCGCCGCTCGCAGGACGAGTTGGTCCACCCACACCTGCGCAGAGCACACCTATCACTCGAACCAAGTCCCGCAGCCAGCGGCCAAACCTTACACTCAAGACACAACGGTCGAAGAACTCGCTAGCGCAGGTCACGGAAAAATCCGAGCAAAGCGCAGCTGGTGACCGCGACTCGCAGCCAAGCGACTTCCATCCCGAGTCGGCTGCGTCTGCAACGTGGACCGACTCGCCTAATGATACGAACAAGTTTTCCCGTCGCGAATCGTTCGCTAGCGATGTCTGGGCCAATCGTCCACCAGCTGAAGCCCTTGTGGAACACCTTGACGAGCTCTTTCCGAACGTCAATCTCGATCAGCCGATGCTTGAGGAGGAGGAAGCGGATGGTGCTGCAGAGTCAGCCAGCGATCCCCCGCCTATACCCGCCGAGCCCACTCCTCAGCCTCTCACACGTGGTGGTGCTGGACTGCAGAGCATCGCGCAACGCAACATGAGGAAATCAGGCGCTGGTTTGGGCCGCACAAAATCTATTCGTGAAGTAGTGAAGTCGCAATATCAACCACTCGACAAGAGGCCACTCCCAGGTCAGGCACATGCTGGTGCCGGTCCATCGCGTGTTGCTACGTTACGCAATGGTGGTGACATTGTCAGGCGAAAGTCGACGAAGATGTTCAACGCCAGGACTGAGCAAGTGCGACCTCAGCGCGGCTCGCGCCTCGTTATGGAGACGATACCCCAAGATCATCTGCCAAGTGTTCCATCGCGACAGCCAACATTCAAGTGGATGAAGGGTCAGCTCATCGGCAAAGGTACATTCGGTCGCGTCTACCTCGGTATGAACATTACCACCGGAGAGCTTATCGCAGTCAAGCAAGTCGAAGTCAACGCCAAAGCAGCTGGTTCAGACAAAGACAAGATTAAGGAACTCGTCAAGAGTCTAGATCAGGAAATCGACACCATGCAGCATCTCGACCACCCCAACATTGTGCAGTACCTCGGATGCGAGCGCAAAGAGTACAGCATCTCCATCTTTCTTGAATATATTTCCGGTGGCAGTGTAGGATCCTGCATCCGCAAGCACGGAAAATTTGAAGAGTCTGTTGTCTCTTCACTCACACGACAAACGCTGCTCGGTCTCTCGTACCTCCATCGCGAAGGTATTCTCCATCGAGATCTCAAAGCTGATAACATTTTGCTCGACCTCGACGGCACGTGCAAGATCTCCGACTTTGGTATTTCCAAGAAGAGCGACAACATCTACGGCAACGATGTGACGAACAGCATGCAAGGTTCCGTCTTCTGGATGGCGCCCGAGGTAATCCGCTCGCAAGGCCAGGGCTACTCGGCCAAAGTCGACATCTGGTCTCTGGGTTGCGTAGTCCTTGAAATGTTTGCGGGTAAACGTCCTTGGTCCAAAGAAGAAGCCATCGGTGCCATCTACAAGCTCGGTAGCTTAAATCAGGCCCCTCCCATCCCCGAAGATGTGTCCAGAGTTATTGGAGTAGAAGGCCTGAGCTTCATGTACGATTGCTTTACTATAGATCCCATGGAGCGACCCACAGCCGAGACATTACTGCGAGCGCCATTCTGCTTTAGCGATCCCAACTACAATTTCCTGGACACGGAGCTCTATGCTAAGATTAGGGGAGCTTTTCAGTAGTTATTGCGTATTTGGGGCGAATTGAATTTTAAGTGGGTGATGATGACGATGAATGTTTTGGAATGGTCACAGTGTATATTGGTTTTATATACCCACTTTTTCGTTTGTTTTCTGAGGATGATGACGTTTTTGTAGCGAACTGCGCGGATTGAAATACGATACCTGGTGTACCCAGTACTCTTTTTCGAACATGCTTGTGACGTGTGTCTTACTGTCATGAAGACTTCTTGGAAACGGTTAAAGAGTTTCAAGCGCAGACTGAAAAACTGGACAAGAGGAGTGGAGACAATACGTGTTGTGAGTGGTGATCAGGGTGGCGACTGAGCGTCTCCGGAAGGTCTAAGTCCGGGTATTAGAATATGATGCTCACCGGGACAACGCAACACCTCTGGGCAAGCTCCAAGGATGAGAGCCGGAGTCGTACGTTTTCCCTGTGTTGTTCTGGTTCAATACATGTCACTCCCGAGAGACGTTGCAAATTACGTCTACTTCAACAATGATCGATAGCAGATAGGGTGATAAGATCAGCACAGGATAATCGCCCCAGGGTCCAATACTGTCTGCCGTCAGCAATTGCGTATTCAACAGGCATGAATCCCACGATCCTCGTCAGCTTATGATGGAGATCTACTTTGTGAGCTACTTCAGATTGGGGCGGCGGTATGTGCCGACTGCCGAAACTTAGATGCTGTACGTCCTTTCGGCGCTTTCTTGGTACTCAATATGGTAGCTTGAGCCGAGCACATACTGGTGTCTCATCGGCTCAATAGTTTATTGGAGTCTACTCCTCTTCTTCTGCTGTTGTACTGTCGCTAGGAGAGGTTTTGATCAAGTTTGCTGGTCAGGTTAGAGACATTGCTGCCCTGCTGTGCCGTTCGCTCTGGTTGCGCATTCATCATCGACGAGACACTGCCCCATTTCGCAACGCGAGCCGCGCCGTACTCCTGCTTCGTCCACCGCGACGCAGATCACGGTCCAAAACATTGGGAAACATATGGGCATCATGCTTGTACACGGCAAAGAAAAGTGACGGCCCCAAAGTCGGATGATGTGAGGCATCAGTCCAAGGCGAGTGAAACGTTTCGCAATAGTACTGTAATCAATCGAAGGCGGCAATTGTCTATTAGTGTTCGAGAATACGGACGGGAACTGAAAATAGAAGACGATTTTTTGAATTGAACAAGGGAAACGATGTCATAAAGATGGAGTGGATTGAGTTGCGCGTTGCCTTCAGCCGCTTACTCTCGGCGTCCTCGTGGCGGATCTAACACTCGCCTGTGGAGAGGACCCATCCTCGCATCTTACTCGGAGTGCCGTGGGTCTGAACACAGGCGTTATTGCCGCGCCGCCGCAGGTCCTGGGCATGCAGCGCACCGACCGAACCGAACAAAGACGCCAGCTAACGATACTTCTAGATTTTCGAAGATCCGCCGTCTGGGTTCGCGGACGTCACTCCACAGCAAAAGCACTTGTTGAGCGATGATATCGATAAAACATCTCCACAGAGCGAAAGCTTGATTCGATTCAAGCACTGCAATATGCGGAAAATAGGAGGGTTGAAACAACGATGTGGACGTCCTTGACATGTGGATGGTGATCCATGACTGGTGAAACATGGCCTGGCGTGTTCCTGCATAAGATCGGCCAACAAGCGAGCTGCCGAGGAAGGCAGTTAGCAACATGCCTGAGGATGCGCTTTTGCCGGGCCAGGTGCGCATAACGTGCATAGTAGGAGGCCATCCCCATGCGGACGGGGGAACAGTGCTGCAAGATGAGGATGTGCATTGATAAGGCCGTGGTGAGTTCTGCTACACCGTACTGGTGCGTGACCTTGCATGGGGGTGTGAGTGTAACGGTAAGCAGCATGCGCAGGACACGCCGCAATCAAAAGATGCGAGAGGTGGATGCAAAAGGCGAAAGTGCCGGTCCTCTTGTGGACCGCGAATGGTTCTTCAGCAGGAGCGTGCCTGAGGCGTCTGCGTGGCTGTGCTGGGACCCCCATAGCGGGTTTGCAGCCGATGTGCGTCTTTTTTCCGCTCCATGAACGACTCGTTTCTCGGTACGACAGGCACACGCGGCCCACGTTCAGGTGGACAGGTCGCACGATGATAGGGAGCGCAGTCCGTCGTGCCATCTCCCATGGTAGCGATACGACATGTCGCGACGACAGCGTGAGAAGGCAGAGAGGCGCACGCCGGCGCCAGTGGGCTCCCAAATCACCAGCCTACAACGGCCCCAGCGTGCGACGTCTTGCCCGCATCGAGCCAAGTCAGGGGAAGGCGGCGCGGATCACTCGTCTTTAGACGTTTCGGGACCACCAGGGGCGCTTGACCTCCCCACCGCCGACATCACCCACCCAATCGCCGCCCTTGACTACCGATGCCGCCACGAATACGATTATACCCCCGGTCCAGGCTCAACCGCCTCGTGTCCAAAATGGCGACCAACCGCACCGCCTTAGGCCGAGTTGAGCATGGACTGGGAATAGCATACTTCGATATATGACCCTGCCGCTGACCCGCCCCTGCTCCGTTTACGCCGCAACTCTGATTCCTCGTTCTTTGACGTCGAGGTCTCTCTACCGCACACGTTTTCTTTACAGACCTTCAGGCTTGCTCCAAAGGTCGTTACGCTCTTTAGCATCGGTTTTAATAGTCCTTCCTTCTTTAGGTTCTCGAGTCACCTTCACTTTCGACTCTTGGCCCTTCCGGTCCTTCAACCAAACACAAAAAGCATCCACCTACCTTCTTCACCATGGCCAACTTCAGCAAGCCCACCAGCATGATGACCATGGTCTTCGGCCTGTTGTCTCTTCTTCAGTTCACCGTTGCTTTCCAGCATGGCTCCCACCACCACGCACACCCTGCTCGCGCCGCCAACGATGCTTCCATTGAGGCCCACATCAACCAGATCGAGGGCGAGCTCACCAAGCGCCAGTCGCGCGGCCCCATCGCCATTACGGGTGTCTGCAGCTCTGGCACTGCCTCCAACGGCCAGTGCAACGGCGGCAGGACTGCTGCTCCCCGTCTTGAGATCCGTACCTTGGCGCGCAACGCCGACCAGTGGAACCTGTACCTCCTCGGTATGGAGAGGTTCATGGGCAAGTCCAAGGACGACATGCTCTCGTACTACCAGGTCTCTGGTGTTCACGGTCGTCCTTTCCAGACCTGGAACAACTTCCCCACACCTCTCTTGAACCAGCAAGGTTTCTGCCCTCACGGTGGTTCCCTCTTCGGTTCATGGCACAGGCCTTACCTTGCCATCTACGAGGTATGTATTTTGACATTAAAATTTTGAGCACACGTTGACAGTCCGCAGCAAGCATGGTACCAGAGCGTCATGGAGGTGATCGCTGAGTTCCCCTCCAACCAGCAGCAGCGATGGAGGAACGCCGCGGCCACTCTCCGTATGCCATACTGGGATTGGGCCATGGACCCCAACGGCGGCCCTACTGTCCCTACCCAGATGCGTGACCAGACCGTCACTGTTACCAAGCCCCAGGGAACCGTCACCATCTCCAACCCGCTCTACAAGTACAGCTTCGGCAACTCGCTTCCCTCTGAGATGGGTGGAGGACCATGGAACAGCTTCCCGGAGACCCTCCGTCGCCCGGTTGCCAACCCTACCCGCAGCAACAACAACGAGATGAACGCCCGTTTCAACTCCATCCGCGTCTCTCTCCGTGACCGTGTCTTTGCTCTGTTCTCCAGCAAGGCTAACTGGGGCGCTGCCAGCACTTCCGCCATTGGTGTTCGCACTGACCTAAGCGGCGGCGGTGTTGACAGCTTCGAGTCTGTTCACGATGCCATCCACAACACCGCTGGTGGTGAATCTGGTGGCCACATGTACTACCTCGATGTCTCGGCTTTCGACCCCCTCTTCTGGCTCCACCACACCAACGTTGACCGTCTCCTCGCCATGTACCAGCTCATCACCCCCAACACCTACATCTCCAACGGTAACGTTCCCCGTCCCATGGCTCAGTGGAACCAGGGTGAGCCCAAGAATCAGTACTCTCCTCTCAAGCCCTTCACCAAGGACACCGCTGGCAACTACTTCACCTCGGTCGATGTCAAGGAGACCCGCACTCTTGGATACTACTACCCTGAGACCAGCGACCGCTCTTACCAGCAGGTCGCCCGCGCTGTTACTCAGCTTTACGGTGCCGGTCAGAGGACTCTTACCAAGCGTGACGGTGACGAGTCGGCGACTGGCCAGTACCTCGGACGTCCCATCAAGGAGGGTGACTACCACACTGTTCTTTCCGTCATTGCCGACAAGTATGCGCTTGAGGGATCTTACACTGTTCACTGCTTCGTTGGAAAGCCCAGCAGCAACTCTACCAAGAACTCCACCGCGCCCGCGGCCGATTCGCCTTACCCGGTTCTCAACATCACCACTCCTCTTCTTTCCATCAGCATTGGTGGTGGCTCCGCTCCCAGCACTGAGGTTCCCAGCAACGAGACCGATGCTTCCTACGACCCAACCACCGACTACACCCAGGATCCCAACTACGTCGGTTCCTACGGTATCCTCGGTGCTATGATGCAAGGCGGTGCCAACGCTTCCCAGGCTCTCATGACTGAGGGTGCTCTTCCCTTGACCACCTGCCTCCAGGGTAAGGAAGCCGCTGGCGAGCTTGAGTCGCTCCGTCCCGAACATGTCGAGCCTTACCTCAAGGAGAACCTCCACTACAAGGTTGTTGGTGTTAACGGCGAGATCGACGCTGACACCATTCCCAACTTCCACATCAGCGTCAAGTGCAACAAGGCCAAGCCCGCGGCCTCTGACGACGAGCTTCCCGACCTGAGCGCCCCTTACGAGGTCCTCGAGAGCGTCACTGCTCACCTCCCCGCTGGCAAGCCCTTCAAGTACATCCCCTCTGCGCTCGACATTCCTCTGCCCGATGGCCCGGAATACCTCGAGCCCAGCAGCGACGGCTCTAAGCCCCAGAGCCCCAGCAACGGTGTCTTCCCTTACCCATCCATGCCCTGGGAGGAGGAGGGCTACTGCATCACCAAGCAGACCATTGAGTACGTTGATGAGCAGGGTAACTTCCTGTACTCGGAGATGTAAGGTGGCAGATGTCGGTTGTAGCAGGAGAGTCATGTGGAGGAGAGAAGCATATGTATGCTTGCGTATGAAGGATCTTTTACATAATACCTTTCGATGTACATTGGACATGAGAGCTTTTTTTTTCCTTACAAAATGTCAATTGATATCCAGCAGTGGTTCTCGTATAGTTTTTCCTAACGTCATCGTCCCCTTGGATGTCTCTGTCTATAGCGTAGGTGTCCGTAGCGCTTTGCAATATGACTATAAACATACTTCCGTTCCGATGCCGTGCATGTGTTGCTTTACGATGTGAAATTATGATTGCTGGTAATGGTTTCATGAAGCGAGACCTTGCCAGATCTGAAATGCGTGCTGTGTCTGTTATGAAGCCGACATGCACAACAGTGCACACATGTCGGACATCACGTAGGAATCGTTCAGCCAAGGCAAGCTGCAGGCATGATGAGCTCCGGCTTGCGTGGACAACGGCGCTGTGCCCCGCTGGTACCAAGAAGCGCTAGTGACTCTTTGGCCGATCTCTGTAGGCACGCACCGCGAGCACCACATCACGGCAGTATCTCTCATCCTGCTTGACCATTCCTAGGGTCCCTCAGGCATTCTTGCGTAAGTCCTACACCATCATCATCATCGCATACCGCGTCCATATATCGCGCTTCTCCAGCATGGCGTCTGAGTCGCGCAGTCGCGACAGCCTCCCGGTCCCAATGCGGTTGCTAACATTTCGCACTTGCCATGCTAATATCTCATAGACTAGTCCGCCCATCATGCCCGCCATGCTAGATGACCCTACGGCGCCAGTGATATATAGAACCTCTGGCGACGTGCCGTACCCTCCTCCCGGTGGCCCGCTGCCTGTAGGCATTGCACCATGTCAAGTCATCCTGCGCGATCGCGTGACTACCGCAACGATCATACCCTTCTCTGCGCCAAATCAAGTACCCCTCACACTACTGGCATACCTATGCGACCAACTAGGTCGCGAGATTGAAAAGGGAGATACGTACCCCATGGTTGACCCGCTCGCTCTCGAGGCTTTCGGTCCGTACTGGTTCGGTGTCTTTGGTGCGATCATGCTGCTGGGTGAGATCCAGGACGGTCGCGAACTACACGAGATGGCGCGGAGAGGGTGCGACTGGGAGAGGGAATGTCTGGGTAGCTTCTACATCAAGCCCAATTACCCAGGACGGTCGAGTCATGTCTGCAATGGCGGGTTCCTGGTCACGGATGCGTCGCGCAATCGAGGTGTCGGTCGCTTGATGGGCGAGACTTATCTGGACTGGGCTCCGAAGCTTGTGAGACTCGCCATGAGGGTTACATCGCATGCGCTAACACGCTCAGGGCTACACCTACTCTGTCTTCAACCTCGTATACGAAACCAATGTCGCATCCTGTCGGATATGGGACGCCCTCGGCTTCAAGCGGATCGGACGCGTGAAGGGTTGCGGTAACCTGAAGTCATACCCCGGCGAGCTTGTCGATGCCATCATATACGGGAGAGATCTGGGTCAGGATGACGAGTTTGTGTCTGAAGAGCGCTTCGACAAGATCCGCTTCTATCTTAAGAACGGAAAATACCCAAACGGTGCTGATCGAGCAGAGAAGAGCCGTCTCCGTAGCGCGGCGACGCACTACAAGCTCACACCCGGAGAGGGCGATGGCCCTGAGAAGTTGTGGCTCAAGGGCAAGGAGGTTATTGCGGATCCTAAGCAGCAGTACGATATTGCTCGGGAGATACATCACAAGTCACACGGGGGTATCAACAAGACTACGGCAGCAATTGCGGAGCTCTACCATTGGGTTCGCATAAAGGAGACTGTCAGCCAGGTCATTCGCAACTGTCCAGAATGTAGCGAGATGAACAAGGGCCTGTCGGCTATGCGCCAGGGTCAAAACCAGGCACGGGCAGAGGCAAGGTCGGGATCCAGTTTCCTGTCATCAACCGCTACGCAGCCAACTCTGACACCAACTCCGCCCAGTTTGTTTTCACCAACACAACCACCGCCTCGTGCAGACTCCCCGGATGGCCAGTTGCAGCTCGAAGCCGCACAGCACCAAGCTGCAATCTATCCGCAGTACACCCAGGACAACGGCTATGACTTGCCAGTCGATCCCGCACTCATGCACGGTATACAGTCTGCCACTAACCTTGCGGATCTTCCGCCGTCGCCATTCCTGGCAGCCCAGGCAAACGGCGTGCCTCATGCTGGGGAGGTTGACCATCAGCGCATGAGCCTTGACCCAAGCTTAGATGAGCGGGCACCCACTGCAGGGGGGGAGATGCGTAGGAGGTTGAACCGTGTGAGTCAGTACGAGTGAGTAGATGTAGAATGGTTGAGTGAAGTGTCAAGCTTAGCAGCGTATGACCCGGGTAAGTATACCAATGATACCAGGCATGTAGGGGATGGGAAACGTGTTTGAAGAGGCCGCAGGAGAATATGAGGAGGATCATACCCAGGACATAGCGGCAGTCTCCGACAACACAAGTAGCATAACGATGAAATCATTGCAAAGCCCTGGTTGATTTGAAGCATACTTGTGATGGTGACTGCTGGAGCTGATCTTTATTGCTGTACAACTGTATCTAAGCTAATGGCTACGTGTTTGTGGCTCTCCTATCAAAAATTGCCGGCGCACATCTTACCCCTCTCACCTTATCTGTTTCCCATGTCCCCCTCTTACATACCTAGACCCAACTCTTTCCTCCCACTCCAATTCTTTCGCTCCTAATCAAACATCTTCAGATAACATCTTCCTCTTTCTCTTCCCATTCAACCCTCAAACAGCCCCCACTCCTTCACTTGGAAGCTCTCCAAAATCTGCCCCTTTACCACCTTGCTATCCTTCATCAACTGTGTTTCTCCTCCTTGCTGCTTTGCTGGCGTGTATTCGCCTGGGTAGTGTGGGATGTTGATTGATACCATAATCTGCGAGATGTGTTAGTCACCAGAGAAATGAAACGTAGATGATGGAGGGAGGAATAGATACGTACATCGGTACCTTGCTCCTTAAGACGGAGAAGAAGAAGATGGATATATGTGAATTCGGGAGTCTTGCGGTTGGGGTGAGGGTTCGGTGTTGGTGGTGTTTGGATGAATGATAGTGCTAGGACTGGTTTGTCTCTGTTGTCGTGGTTAGCCATTTACCCACCCTTCTGTATGCTAAAATTGATCCTCTCTCCTTTCGATCCTGCTTCGTCTTTCCAGAATGATGGTGCACAATACTTACGGCAAACTCTTCATCACAGCACGTTCTTGCGAGATAATCGTACTCTGATCTCCTGTCCCGTCGACTAGATCTCCAAAGTGGTACTGCAGCGCTTCTTCGTCGCTTTTCTTGTCGACATACTCTAGGATTTCGACAACAATGCTGGAGTAGCCGTCGTTATCGAGGTAGACTTCCTGGTGATCGGGGATTTGTCGGATTTGACTATTGAGTTATTATGTCAGTATACTAAATCTTGGGGGAGCCGTTCTCGCCAATTTAGGCATTTTGAACGCGGTATTGGTGGAAACGCGTGCAAAGGGAAGGCGCGGGATGTGGGGGCGCGCAGGATGAGAGAGCTTACGAGGCGTCGGCGAAGTTTGAGGGCAGGTCGAGGGTTATTGCGCCGCCGTAGAGGGGTATGTTTGTGAATGCCATGTTGTATCGTATTGTTGTACTGTCTCTCAATCTCGACTTGTTGCACTCTCTGCAGGGGTTGATGTCCTTCTTATGTTGTGACTTTGATGTTGGTGATGGCGCGAGAGGACGTAGGTAGCCACCAGGCAACATCAGGCAGCATGGAAAACGGCAACCTACAACATTTTTTTTTTGACAACGCAGCAGCCGCACAGCAGTTTACGTGGGTTGCTGTGAAGTACTTGTGTAAGTAAATCCAATGTGTATTCAGTTAGTACTGATATGGTTCATTCTTTTCATAGCATGGGCTTAAAACAGCAGCCAGATGATATTGTTGATTTGAATAGCAAGACGCGACAGTCACTATGATAAGGTCATGACATCTCGGAAACTTGTGTTTCGATTTGAAATGTAGGGTATCTTCTGAACTTTTTGTCCTTCTATATGCTCCAAATGCCAGTTTTGAACGCCGTGCAATGCATGTTCTTCCACGAGCCCGAGAGCGACCTACCCGCAGCTATCGTGTTGCCACCTGAGTGATGTCTGATCCCCCGAAAGCATTTTAGCGGTCGTCCTGCACTCCTAACCTTGCCGTCCATCTGCCATGGACTGCGCATCAAATAGTCTTGGCCGTTGCCGTGACCTCAACCTGATGCTGCAACCTGGTCAACCTCCATCGGGGCTGTTGCGGTGGTCGTACGCGTTCCGTTGTTGGTCGTGAGGCCTATCGCTGCCTCTGCTTCTTTCTGCGAGTATGGTTCTTCGCGAAGTTGCTTGACTCTGCAGACTTGTTAAAACATTTCCCTACTGTCGCATACACGATATCCCCTACCTGCGCTTATGGACCTTGCCCTTCTGATGTGCGACAAAGTTGGCGTCGCTCTCAAAAAACTTTGCGCATTCCTTGCAGTAGAATTCGCCCAGTCCGGGCAAATCTTCTATGGGCTTCGCATCCTTGAATTCCGCGAGATGCTTCTCGTCGCGCAAGTCGGCGTGGATCTGGTCGAGGTCGCGCGTGTGGCGACGTGTCTTCTTCTTGGAGTCTTGTCCGCGTATGGCTGGCATGGTGGGCAGTATCCGCGGCCGTCGGTTATCCGTGTGAAATCGTGATGGTCGGCTATAGAGAAAGTTGCAGTGTGGGGACACCTGCCGACGGGGGCCCGTGCGAGGTCTGCAGGTCAGAAAGACTTGTGGAGCTAGGTCGAATCAGGTGCTGGTAGATGCTACTGTTGCTCCAGACCCGAAATTTGCCATGTCTGCAGGCCTGCAAGCTGACTCGGCACACAATTGTTGAGTCGGAAAAGGACGCGCAGGCCGCCGGGAGCAGTGTGTGAATCTGTGTGTTATCGCAGAACGCCAATCACACGCAAAAGGAATGAGCGCGGGGTTGGTGAACCGCTGCCGGGTATGACGTCTGGGTGAACACCTATAGCTTCCCGACACATGGCTGCGCGGCCTCCAAGTCTTGAAATACCAGCGGGCAGCCAGTCGCACACAGCTCAATTACGCTCTCCATAATTGCGTCTCCATTACATCGCCCTTGCACGTGAAGCGGGCCAACGGGACTGCGCTGCCGACCTGTTTCTGGTTCTGGCGCCGAGGTATTCCGCACGCAGCTGGGGCTAGACGAACCAATCACGCCCCTCGTGATCCTCATTAGTTATCGCCCAACTTGAGGCAGCTTCTGACGTTCTTTTCCTCCGCTTCCTCCATCACTCTTCTCTCCACACCACTCCCCTCCTCAAACTTCACCATGCAGAAGTTCTCGAGGCTCGGCCGCCTGGGCCAGAGCCTTGCTTCGCGCAGGCAATTGGCCACCGTCAGCGATGCTCCCCTCTCTCGCAAGGTCGAGATGACCAACTGGGAGAAGGGCCACTACATCAACTACCAGAAGATGAACGAGAACCTCGAGATTGTTCGTGCCCGCTTGAACCGCCCGCTCACCTTCGCCGAGAAGATTCTCTACTCCCACTTGGACGACCCCCACGGTCAAGAGATTGAGCGCGGCTCCAGCTACCTCAAGCTCCGTCCCGACCGTGTAGCTTGCCAGGATGCCACCGCCCAGATGGCCATTCTTCAGTTCATGTCAGCTGGTCTGCCCTCCGTTGCCACACCTACTACCGTTCACTGCGACCATCTTATCGAGGCCCAGGTTGGTGGTGAGAAGGATTTGGAGCGCGCCAACGAGATCAACAAGGAGGTCTACAACTTCTTGTCCACCTCGTGCGCAAAGTACAACATTGGTTTCTGGAAGCCCGGCTCTGGTATCATTCACCAGATCGTGCTTGAGAACTACGCTTTCCCTGGTGCTCTCCTCATCGGTACCGACTCGCACACTCCCAACGCCGGTGGTCTCGGTATGGCCGCCATTGGTGTCGGTGGTGCCGACGCTGTCGATGTCATGGCTGGTCTCCCCTGGGAACTGAAGGCCCCCAAGGTCATTGGTGTTAAGCTTACTGGCAAGCTCTCCGGCTGGACTGCTCCCAAGGGTACGTATCTGAAATATTGGGTTTCGAAGCGGGGCAATCACGCTAACGTAGTCTACAGACATCATCCTCAAGGTAGCTGGTATCCTCACCGTCAAGGGTGGAACTGGTGCTATCGTCGAATACCACGGTCCCGGTACCGAGAGCCTGTCCTGCACGGGTATGGCTACTATCTGCAACATGGGTGCTGAGATTGGTGCCACCACCTCGCTCTTCCCCTTCAACGACCGCATGTACGACTACCTTGCCGCCACCAAGCGCCGCGACATTGGTGACTTCTCCCGCGAGTACGCCGCCCAGCTCCGCGAGGATGAGGGCGCCGAATACGACGAGCTTATCGAGATCAACCTTGACGAGCTCGAGCCCCACATCAACGGTCCCTTCACCCCCGATCTAGCTACACCCATCAGCAAGTTCAAGGAGGCTGTCAAGGCCAACAAGTGGCCTGAGGAGCTCAAGGTCGGTCTCATCGGTTCCTGCACCAACTCTTCTTACGAGGACATGAGCCGTGCTGCCTCCATCGCTGAGGACGCCATGTCCCACGGCGTCAAGGCCAAGTCTCTCTTCACTGTAACCCCTGGTTCCGAGCAGATTCGCGCCACTATTGAGCGTGACGGTCAGCTCAAGACCTTCGAGGAGTTTGGAGGTATGGTATTGGCTAACGCCTGCGGTCCTTGTAAGTAACACCCATGTACGAACTGATGTGAGGCCTGTACTAATTCGCTTTAGGCATTGGTCAGGTATGTTGAACTCCAGACAGGGTAGCCTGTAGTTATTCGATGCGTTTTGTCTTGTCTCTTGACAAAATAAACGCTCTCGTATGCTTCAAAGCTGCTTCCCCCCTCCCCACTTCAAGGTAGCCTGGATGTATTCGATGCGTTTTGTTTTGTCTCTTGACAGAATAAACGCCCTCGTATGCTTCAAGGCTATCCCATCAGCCTTCACCTTTCAAGATCTACATGCTAACTCGTTCGAAGTGGGACCGTAAGGATGTAAAGAAGGGCGAGGCCAACTCTATCATCTCGTCGTACAACCGTAACTTCACTGGCCGTAACGACGCAAACCCCGCCACCCACTCTTTCGTCACCTCCCCCGACCTTGTCGTTGCCATGACTATCGCCGGAACGCTTGATTTTAACCCCCTTGTCGATGAGCTGACTGGAGCCGACGGCAAGAAGTTCAAGCTCAAGGAGCCCTCTGGCATGGGTCTCCCCGCCAACGGCTACGACCCAGGCCAGGACACCTACCAGGCTCCTCCCGAGGACCGCTCATCTGTCTCTGTCGCTGTTTCGCCCACCTCCGACCGTCTCCAGCTTCTCGAGCCTTTCAGTAAGCAAACTTCATGTATGAAATGCATGATACATACTAACTTCTCAAGGTGCCTGGGATGGAAAGGATGCGAAGGACCTTCCTATTCTCATCAAGTGCCAAGGCAAGACCACCACCGACCACATCTCCATGGCCGGTCCCTGGTTGAAGTACCGTGGACACTTGGACAACATCTCCAACAACATGTTGATTGGTGCCATCAACGCTGAGAACGGCGAGGCCAACAAGGTCAAGAACCTTCTCAACGGATCTTACGGTGCCGTCCCCGATGTCGCCCGTGACTACAAGAAGAACGGCGTCCCATGGGTCGTTGTAGGAGGTGAGCATTTCTTTGACACTTTACTTGCGAGCCGTGCTAACTGGGACAAGATTGGAATTATGGCGAGGGCTCTTCTCGTGAGCACGCTGCGCTTGAGCCCAGGCACTTGGGTGGCGCTGCCATCATCACCCGCTCCTTCGCTCGTATCCACGAGACCAACTTGAAGAAGCAGGGTATGCTTCCTCTTACCTTCTCCGACCCTGCCGACTATGACAAGATTGGTCCTAATGACAGAGTTGACTTGGCCTCAACTGAGCTCGCCCCCGGCAAGCCCCTGACCATGACTGTTCACCCCGCCGATGGATCCAAGGACTTCCAGATCAAGCTCTCGCACACCTTCAACGAGGGCCAGATTGAGTGGTTCAAGAACGGCAGCGCTCTTAACACCATGGCTAAGAACGCTAAGCAGTAAATGCACAGAAGAGAAACCGAATGAAAACAATCACCACCGCGGATGTAAATACGGAAGACGGAATACCCCGCAAATGCTTCACGATTGGGGATGAAAGTCAAATCAGGGGTGGAGTAGACATACGATGAGAGAGCTGGGCGCCCGCAGACGGGCGCAGCAGTAACAGCTCCTCGGTCGGTCTTTCGGGCTCAATGTAGTTGGGTTTGCTTGTATTTGTGATGATTAGCATGCAATGTATGACTGATTTTTTCTTGTTACAAGCTGTATCTGCTGTGATGTGAGTGACGATCTGAAATGTGCTTGACGAAGGCGTGTGGTTCTTTTGGAAGCGTATGCAAAGACACAAGGTTTAGTGAAGTATACATTGCGATTTTCGCCCATGTGCTGTAGTAGGCAACTGCTGCGAATACCTCTAGGGTACGTCTTATTGTTTTGTACGACTAATAAAACTTAGATGTATTCACCTTGGCTACTCCTAGAACTCGAATATACAAGCTATGACATTCCACACGTTGCGCCTCCGAGGATGACGCGCGCAGGCTGAGGCACGGTGTGCGACACCGCTGCGAACGTGCGAGTGGATCCTGGACCCGTTCCCGCTAGTCGCCGGGACAACGGCCGATAACAAACACGCTCGGCAGTTTTCCAACGTCTGGACATCCTTGCGCGAACAACATTCTTGGAGCCAATCGCGCACACAACAGCTTGAATATTCTTACATATTACAAGATTGCATATCACATATCATCAACATGGCGCGTCTACGCAAACCGAGCCCGAACGAACCCAGTATCTTTATGCCGCCGTCCGAGACCAGAGCAAGCCGATTCAGTCCGCGAAAAGCCACCCTACGATACGCATCGTCGCAAGAAGACGAAAGCTCAATACTAGTGCCGAAGAGGTCGAGGCGCACCGCGCAGGACATCAGCATCTCGCAAGACGATGAGCAGTCTTTCCGCATACCTTCGATAGCAACACCCAAGGATGCAATCAGCCCCCGCAAGCAACGTGTATTGCGACCGGTCGAGAGCAATAGTCGACTGCTCCGAAAACTGAGTGACGAAAGCCTGGCAAGCCCGGAGAAGAAGCAAAGAGAGAGGAGAGTGCGCAGTGGAACAACAGATACAGATGTGGGAAGTAGGAATGGACTCATGTACGCCAAAAGCCTGGCTAGAAGCGTGGTGAACAAACAGAACAAGAAGGGCAAGATCAATGTCGTAGGAGAAGTCGAGGCGCAAGAGGCCGCACAACGGTCACGAAGCAGGGAACACGAGAGCTCAGAGGAGATCGTCGCGGACGGAGAGGGGGATGCTGAAGCCGAAACAAGTTTGTGGTGCGGCGATGAGGAAGCAGAGACCCAAGAAGAGGTCGCTGAGCCAGTCATTGAGATCACCGAGGATGACGAAGAGGACGAGCCCGTCGTGAAGTCGAGAACAAACCAGCGACAACCGCGCGCACGGCGCGTTGTGTCTGACAGCGAAGAGGACGAGAGCGAGCCGAGTGCACCACAACCTACCAAGCAGCCTCAGCAACCAATTTTCAAAATTCCCGAGCTCAAACCGACGTCAGCCGATCTGACTTCCATGCGACCGCCACATCGAAAGGGCCATAGTACGATATCAAATTGGGCACAGGAGGTTGTCGATCTCACCGACTCGCCGGAGGCCCCAGTATCCTTCATGCTTCCTGAACGCACCCACGCCCGATCGAGCTCTTTCGCAGCATCTTCTCGGCCTACTAGCTCAGCGTCGAACGGTCCGCTTGCAATCCTTAGGTATTCGCCCACACCCACCAAGCAACGCTCGCCTCGTAAAGCTCCGCCCATTTCGCGACCAGCGACTCCTCCCCTGGCCCCTCCCAGTCCTACCAAGCTCGTCTCGCCCTCGAAGAAGAAGCCCGTGATTCCTAAAGCAGCCGATCTAGACGGAAGACCAAGTCTTGACGCGTTCTGGAATCCTGCAGCTGTAAACGACTGGACCGACCGCCACTCGCCAGCTAAGCAGCTCGTGTCACCCAAGAAGCAGAAATGGAGGGACGACATAGTCAAAATGATGGAGGGTATAGCTCTAGAAGACAGCAGTGACGAGGGTTATGAAAGCCCCATCGAGAGCCCCAAGAAGAAGCCCACAAGTCGCAAGCCAGCTAAGGAGAAAACACCAGAGACTGAGCCGATCCCGAATGTCAAACAGATCCGCGAACAACGCAAAGCCTTCGCCGAACGCAAGCACGCCATAGCCGAAGCCTTCCTCATCGAGCTCGACACCACAATCTCATCAGGTCGCATCCAAGAGCTCTCGAAATCCACAGGCGGTATCAAGCTCGTCTGGTCCAAGACCCTCAAAACAACAGCCGGTCGTGCGAATTGGCGTAGAGAGCAGATACGCATCCGAACCGGCCCCCTTCCCACCGACACGCGCGTTGAAATCCGACACCACTGTTCCATCGAACTCGCCGAGAAGGTGATCGATGATGAGGAGAGGCTTTACAACGTACTCGCGCACGAGTTCTGCCATCTGACAACGTTCATGATCAGCGAAGTCCGTAACAACCCTCACGGAGCAGAGTTCAAGTCGTGGGGTCGCAAAGCTACCGTCGCGTTTGCGAGCAAAGGCGTCGAGGTCACCACGAAGCACTCTTACCAGATCGAATACAAGTACGTTTGGGAGTGCGTCTCCTGCGGCTACGAGTTCAAGCGTCACTCCAAATCCATCGATCCGGCGCGCCACTCGTGTGGCAAGTGCAAGGGCAAGCTCGCGCAGACCAAACCCACTCCCAGGGGCGTTGGCGCCAGTGCTGCTGTAGGCAAGGATGGCAAGAGAGAGAAGAGCGAATACCAGGTCTTTGTCAAAGCCAACTTTGCGCGTGTCAAGAAGGAACTCGAGGCGGAGGGCAAGGGTGCGCAGATGGGCAAGGTGATGGAGGCTGTGGCCAAGCAGTACAGAGAGAGGAAGGGTGCGGGTAGTAGTAAGGCGAAGGAGATCATTGATCTAGAGGCTGCTCTGGATGGTATGAAGATCTAGATTTGACAGTACGTGAATGAAGTGTATGAATAATGCCCTATCGAAGCACTAGCTGTTCTTCTGTGCTTGAGTTGAAAGTATAGACTAACGTATAAGGACAATGTGTAAGGTCGTGTACACAAGCAAGGCCGTAAGTCTCAACTGTCTTTAGCGATCAATAGAGCTAACTACAAAATATAGTTGATTGAGATCAATCCAAAGCCTTGAGTGAGCTGTTACTGCAGCGGAAAAGATGAGAGAGCGGGTGCAAAGCGTTATTAATTCGTTTGCATGGTGTGAAACAGTGAAAGTGAAGGCAGTAGTGCGAGCAGATTACTAACGAGCCTTGATAGTGCGATACCACGTTCTCCCAGTGGTCTGCGTTGATCTTTTGCCCAGCGAACATCTTCATTATGAACGCAAACGACTCGTCTGATAGATCACCCTGTAGGGGAACATTGAAAGACCCATCGTCTGCGGGGGTCCGCAAACCTGTAGTTGATGAAGAGGGTGCTTGTCGGTGAGCTGGCTGCAGTGTGCTTTGATACTCCAGATGGTTGACGGACTCTTTGAGACGGATGTAGAGTTGCTCCAAGGCATCTACAGTGTCGCGGGTATTGTTTTGTTGGTCTTCGAGTGCTTTGATGCGGGATTCCAGGTCTGTGTTCGCCGCGGCTCCGGTGATATGAGGTCTAGTAGCTGTGTCCACTTCTGTTGGAGTGGGTTCGGCTGCTTGGGTCTCAGTACGCTTGGGTCGTAGAGTAGCTGTCGTACGGTTCGATTGACCAGACTGGTTTTGAGCCGCGTAACGTAACATGTCTCTAGAGGAAGAGATTGATGATGCAGAGCGAGTGGGCGGAGACATTGTTGAAGTCCTCACCCGATGTCTGTCCACCAGCGTTGGCGCTCGCACTGTTAAGTCTTCCACTCTCAAACTGACACCTGCCGTCGTTGATGGAGGGGCTGCGATTCGGCGCAGGTTCTGCAGCGCCATTGTCGTTGCCATGGCGGTTGCTGTTGCGCTCAATCCTTCCCGAACCTCTGCCTCTTCCCTGCCTTCCCCTCACAGACTCGTTGCGACGGCCTCGCGGCTGGGAATCGCGAGGACCTGTAGGCGCATTTGCTGGCGCGACGGGGGCATCAGGTTCATTCTCGCTATTCGCGCCGCCTAGAGCCCACTTTGAACTGTTGATCGTTCTTGTGTTGTGGTTCTGTGTAGAGCCGTGCTTGAGTATCAAACGAGTTGACTGATGCAAGCTGGTATGGAGGTTGCGAGCTTGAGGGGCTACGTAATATAGGAAGAAAGCAAACCGGTGTGATAAGTAAGGCAATCTGATCAAGCAAGCTGTGCAAAAAGGGCAGAAAATGGAGCATGAGACTGGAAGTGTAGATTGTGGTGCGCAGAAGCAGTCAGCAGACTCGCGCTTTGACGTAGCGCAGGGAAACAATACGTCAGCCTCGCAACTTCTGTGAGTATGCGATGGTAGAAGCTCAGCTCGTGTTTGCTGTGTCGTGTGCGCACTCTCGTTTTGCCATCTGAATTTTATAGAATCAACGGGTCGAGTTTGAATGAACACAGACAATAGCCTTGGGAGGGCTCCCACTCTCTGGTTGTAGGTCAGTCTGATCTATCCAGTTTTCTCCCATGCGCTTCTTGTACTCTGGTGTGCGAATGCAATCCATATGTATTCATCTATCGTTACCTCGTATTATCTTCACGTATCAACCACCTCTTGTTATCGTTTTCTCAACGTGCTCTGATTTTGTCCCTCTCCTAATCCTAAACGTTTTCTCTACAAAGCAATGGCAAACCCCACAGCCATAGCCGCAGTACTAACCGCCGTCCAGAATGTCCTACCTCCAATCATGGCGCCACTGGCATCACCCGAAGAAGGGCCGCTCGAGCCTTCACCGTCTCCCGTGGGGCTTGGCCTTGGGGGCGGGAAGCTTGTGTTGGTCGCTACGCCAGTAAGGTTCTGCACGGTGATCCAGGTCGCCGCAAGGGCATTTGTCAGGTTCGCGTCTGCCGCAAACTGGCTGACGTTGAAGCCTACTCTGTTATCCGCCAAGTCCGCGTACATGGAGGGTATGCTGAAGTTGCGCGGTTGTGCCATGAGGATGAATGTGTAGCTGTGGGGGATGTCGCCCACTGGAGGTGAGGGCTGGAGGTACGGGACAGGGTTGTCCGACGGGATCTCGAGCGGTGAGCCGGTTGTGTTGGCGGAGATGGGAACTGAGCGTGTGACGTTTGTGGCGATCCAGTGGACTAGTTGGACGCGTGAGTTGTTACGGGGCACGTCGAGGTCAACCATGAGAAGGACGCATTGGCCGGGGCCTCGCTCGTCGGCGAACCATACTGGCGATGAGACGGTTGGGCGTTCTGCGGTTTCTGGTGGAGATGAATGTTAGTTGGTGTTGTCGTGGTTTAGTTGCACTCTGCCCAGCTGCGCCGCGACGAGAGCGGATGGAACGTACCGGGACGAGAGATGCGCTCTCCACCGGGCGACACGGTATTGTTGCCGTACGTCACGGTCAGGTTCTGAGTGACGTCGATGGGAAAGCCAGGCGCGGATCCCGCCGTCGCAACACCCGCAAGTAGCGCAGTCGCGCTGAGAATGGTCTTGGTGAACATGTTTGGTGTCTTGGCTGGTGTTGTAGTAGGCCTTGTTGTGGATGGGTCGCGCTGTTGCGATGCAGTTGTTGCGTGAGGGACCGAAAAGCAACGGGCGCAAGCAGCTTCTTTAGTATTCTGTCGTGGACCTGCGTCGGCTGCGGGAGCTTAGGACTTGATGCGCAGCTAGAGGCCTAATTCCGTGTAGCCGGAGTGAAAGCAGAGGTTCATGACGTTTACCAAGACTCGGTCCCTTGCTCGGGGGTTTCGCACGGCCAGCGGGCGGCATCCCGGCACAGCTCAAGAGAAGGAAGGCTGGGGCTGGCCGCCTGAGGGGCCTTGTTCATGCCGCTCCAAGTACCGCGCTGGTCGCCTCGTCCTCAAGATATCGTCAGTCGGAATTACCATGTTGTCTGCGAATGTATGTAAGCATGCGTCTTTATTTTGGTTGCGACACATGCTCGCCTACTGGTCGTTGGGGGCCGCAGACGGGAGCCGGCACAACCTCAAGCTGTTTAGGCCGCCCTCATTGCGCGCACAATTGATGCAATTAAGCCGCGCATGAATCAAGTATGGCTGGGATTTGTCTATGCTCTATGGTTTTAAGGCCTTGTGTCCTTACATGTGGACTTATCGGCGGCAGTCCCATCACCTCTCGCTCGGGATGCAGACGTTATGTCCGCACAAGCGCAATGGTATCAGAAGCTGCGCCTCTTCACCAATCCTATTACAAGGTGATCATGTGGTCGCGCGCAGGACCAACACCAATCCATTTGACCTTAACTCCGACGAACTTCTCGATGTACTCAATGTAACTCCTCGCCTGGCTGGGCAGGTCGTAGTAGCTTGTCACGCCAGTCGTCGGCTTCTTCCAACCTGGCAGCGTGTCGTACTGTACTTCGACTTGGGCAAGTATCTCGGGGTTCGCGGGGAAGCCTTCGAGCACTTCGCCCTTGTACGAGTAGGATGTCGCAACCTTGAGCTCGTCAAAGTCGTCCAGAACGTCGAGTTTGGTGAGGTTGATGGCAGTGTAGTCGTTGCACGCGTGCGAGTGCTTGACAACGACCAGGTCGAGCCAGCCGCAGCGGCGCTTGCGACCGGTTGTTACGCCGACTTCGTGGCCTACAGACTGGAGCTTCTCGCCCACCTCATTGAGCTGCTCGGTAGGGAAGGGTCCGCTACTACATGTTAGCCTCTAATCCTGTCTTTCGGTGCGATGCAACTCACGATCCGACACGGGTAGTGTAGGCCTTGACCACGCCAATGACCTCCTTCAGTGACCGCCATCCCAAGTTGAGACCTGTGATGACACCTCCAAGACCAGTGTTTGATGACGTGACGAAGGGGTATGTGCCGTAGTCGATATCCAGCATCAGCGCGTTCGCACCCTCGACGAGGATTTTGGCGTTCTTTTCCTTTGCCGATGCGAGGAGCGGGATCTGGTCGACGACATAGGGAGCGAGCTTTTCGCGCAGAGTCTTTGAAGTTGTTAATCTTTGTACCTTATATCCCGAACCCGTTGTAACTTACCTTGTACTTTGTAATTTCCTCCTCCACGTCGTACTTGAGCAGATCGCCATATCGCTTCTGGAACGAATTGGCTAACCTCCGGAGCTTCGTCTCGAAGATCTGCTCGTCGAAGAGGTCGCACATGCGGAGACCGCTCCTGGTCATCTTGGTGCTGTAGGTTGGGCCGATACCCTTCTTGGTCGTGCCTGCATCCCGCCATCAGCACGTCAGTCCACAGCAGGCGCGTGTGCTCCTCACCAATCATGCCACCACCCAATTCCACCTCCTCCAGACCATCCACCATCTGGTGCACATCAAACACGACATGGGCGCGGTCCGAGATGAATATTCTTCCGTCCGTCTTCAATCCGTGTTTCTCCAGCGCTTCCAGCTCCTTGAAGAAACTGGGTACGTGAACGACGCAGCCACTTCCGATGACATTGATGCAGCCAGGGTTCACGAGACCGCTCGGGAGGATATGGAAATCGTACGTGACACCGTTCGCGACAATCGTGTGTCCGGCGTTGTTGCCGCCCTGGGCGCGGGCGCAGATTTGCGACTCATGGGCCAGGATATCGGCCAATTTTCCTTTTCCTTCATCTCCCCACTGTGCACCGAGCACCACAGTAGTCGACATCGTGAAGGCGAGAGACAAGAAGGAAAGAGTGGACGGGGCGGCAGGTGGGTTTTCAATTCCGCGTTGACTCGATCTAACAATTTCGTGCCCCACCCATCACCCCGCGATGCCGCAATTTTCCGCACGAGCCACCAGTGACGCATGTGAACGAGCCGCAATCCATGGATCCCTTATGTTTGGGTCTTTACGGGCTGATCTGCAATCATCGCAATCACAGCTCCTACAATGGTGAACGGCTACGTTGTGATCGTAGTGAACACATTATCAAATTAAAAAAATCCATTCTAGTATCTACAAACACTTCCACTGGAAGTATAGTCACATCCACTCGTGTCCTCCTAACCGCGCCAAATACCCGGACCTGGCGGCTGATATGTCTCTGGTGCCACTGTATACTTGTTCAGGTCGACAAGAATTCCCGGGTCATTACTTCTGCAGCCCGCGTTAGTATGTCTCTGATACTCATCAGTTTTACTTACTTGTAAGCACCCGGAAACGCAACTAGCGGGCTCGGCAGCCCGGTTCCTCCCCCTGTTATCTTGACCTGCGAGCAAGCCAGATAGAACTGCGCTTTGTTCGCTTGCATAGCCATATGCAGTGCGATGTGCTCAACGCGGAGCAAGTAGTCGCCCGGAGGCGTGGCAGCAGGAACCGTTGTGTTAGGTGTAACATATTCATCTGTGGAACACCATAAGTCAATGTCGGATAGTATAAGAGATCAACCCACTTTGCCCTGGCCAGCTCATCTGCTTCTGCGCGTTTACGCTCGGCATCGTGGTACTGATCTTGAACCACACTGCGCCACTCCCATCCCAGCTCTTCACATCCTTGCCATCAGGAACTTTCGCAAGGTAGTATTGCGTCGGTCCCGGGTGATTGACTTGCTGCGTGGATATGTAGTGGATAGTTGATCCGGCCGGTACGCTTGCGACGTTTGGTGCGGCTTTGGAGGTGTAGCAGCGAATGTCCGCGACCGTGGGGTTCTGGCCAAAGTAAGAGTCATAGACACATCATGAGCCAGTAGTAATTCGAATACTATCTTACCTCAATGCCTTGCTTGGTGTTCGCATTCTTGGTCTCGCGGGTCGAGGCCCAGTCTTTGTCTTCTGGCTTGCCATCAATGACAAGACGTGGAAAGGTGTCTATTCGTATGAGACTCATATCACTGGAAATCATTTGATGCTAACTCACAATGTGCCTTGACCACCGTGGCGGCTACCAGAAGTGTGATCAGTATCTGCATGATGAGGAATCAGATCTCTGCATCTGAGAAACACTCAGCTTTCGCTTTGACATCTTATGTATTCATGACCGCAGTTCCAGAACGGACATGTGAGCTGAGTTGGGAACTATCGGTAAAGTAGCTTGGCGGTTTGGCATACACCGAAGTAGTCTACTGCAGACCATATACACATCGCAATATACTCTTGTCGACAGAGGAACCAATGGACTTCAACCTTCTTATGAATCATGTGCTACCGTCCAGCATCTGCCGAAACAAAGTAGGCTAATAATCAGACCGCATATTGTCAATAGCTCCAAGATCAATCGCAGAGTTCACCATCACAACAAGTAGATGAAGAGTTCGGATGCCCATGCATTACGGGGCACGTTGCAAGGGAAAAGTTGAATTCCCAAATGCCCTACGCTAACATCGAGCAAAGTAAAAACGAACGAAGTGTTGAGGTCGTATCGAATCGTGAACATACACGCCTAGTGCATGTAGCGGAACTCGGGGTGTCTGTATCCGAGATCCTTGATCTGAGCAGCGGTCTTGCCGACCAAGCGGTGGTCTCGCTTGCCCATATCACGCTGCTTGTTTTCCCACTTGCAGTAGCAGATACCGAATATAGCGAGAACACAGACGCAACACTGACCAACCAAGTTGATGGTGTGGCCGATTGGGTATCGTGGCGCGTCAGCACTTGTATAGGTCCTGTGATGTATTAGCCTAGGATCTGATTCAATCCCTCACATAATTTGACGTACCAAGTCGCGAGAATACCTCCAGCGGTACCCAGTGTGACAACGTAAGCAGTCGAGACGGAGCGGACAGCAGGACCTGCTGCGTTATTCGCCGCCCACGCAAGGAAACCAGGACCACCCGGGAATGCACCGATGGTGATTAAGAAGATACCGCCGTATCGGACGTTGGGTTCCGTCGCCCATCTCATGATGGAGAAGCCCGCAATAGCCGGGAGCGTAAAGACAGCGAGGTAAACACCACGCCGGTTCGTCTTGTCCGATGCAAAAGCTACTGCGATAGCGATCAAGCAAGCACATACATAGGGAGGTACTGAGTAAAGTTGTGCCTTGGTGGCCGTCCATCCGAGATCCCTGAGGATAGTGGGCTAGTAATGTATATTAGTAAACCATAGGTTATGGAAAGAATATTGGCTTACCATGAATAGGGAGATACCCTGTACAGTGATGTTGATGAAGAAGAAACCAAAGGCACAGAAGTAGTTTGTGATGTTCATCACGGCCCGCTTGACGTGGTGTACTTCAGTCTTTTCGTTCTCATCGGCTCCTCCTTTCAGCACAAGTCTTTGTGTGGCAATCATCCGTTCGCGCTCGTTCAAGAACCAGCATTCTTCTGGGCTACGAGGCATAAGGAAGGGAGCAGCAAGGCCGACAATGACGGTAAAAAGTCCCTCGAAGAAGAAAATGTTACGCCAGGTATGGATGATCATAGTCGAAGCTCCCCATGGTGGGATACGAGCGAGACTGTAATGAAGTTAGTCTTTAATGTGATCTCGAGAATGTGACAGGACTTACGCAGTAGCGAGCAGTCCACCAAAGGCTCCAGCCATTGAGGCTGCGGATACGTAGATACCGATGCGGAACAAAAGTTCGTTGCGCTTGTAGAAACATGTGATGAAGAACGCCAATCCACTGCAGACCAATGGTTAGCATGCGCTGTGGGAAACGATAGAAGGTACTTACGGCATCACACCACCTTCAAACACACCCAAGAAGGCCCTTGCGACCAACAGCCCTGCGAAGCTGTTCACGAAGGCGCTGCATAGTGAGACGAAACCAAATCCACAGACGAGAAGTGGCAAGTAGTACTTCGGGCCAAGTTTCTTGAGAAGGATGTTGCTCGGTACTTCGACGAACATGTAGACAATGTAGAAGATCGAAGTTACCCAATTAAACCGGACACCTGTGTTGAGACCCAGATCCTCACCCATACCCTGAATGCGCGCGTTTCCAACATTTACACTTTTAGTGGGTTAGCGAATAGTTTCGCGCATGCTGAGCTGATACGTACCGATCGAGGAAACATAGCAGGTACAGAAAGGTCGTGAGCGGAACAATTACTCGGTCAAGTTTGCGTCGAACCTTCTTCTCTTCCTCAGCTGTCCAGGTGAACTCGCCGTCTGTAGATCGGTCACTTCCATTGGCCTCTTCGACTACCAAAATCGTTAGTACACGTTCGCGACAAAGCCAGTAATCAACGTACAAAGAACGTTGTCTCCCTTCTCCAGCTCAGCAGGGGTGGGGCGGTTTAAGCGTGTACCCATCGATGCCAGTCCTATTTGTGCCATCTTGTCCAAGTAGGATGCCGAATTCGAGATTCAAAGGATGCGAGTCGAAATCTCTTCGTCTTGTCGTGGCCCCACACGTTCCGAAAGTCTGGGGAAAGGAATCTGGGGAAGAGCACAGCCCATATAAGAACGTACAATACGTTCCGGTATCCGAACCAGCTTACTCGTCGCACGTCTGTGTCTTGGGTCGCAAGTCGAAAGCCAGGAAGAGGGAATCGGCAGTTACTTCGCAGCCTTCAGAGGATGGCAATACGGCACCATGTTTAGCTTGATGTCCGCTCCGCCGCGCGCTCTTATCCCGTTCCAGCTGGCGGCTTGATTGAACAGGGAGCGAAGTCGGTGCGGAAATTTTACCGAGTCGATACAGAACCCTACATAACGCCGCATATTTATCAACGGCCTCCTCTTTGGTTGGCGTGTTGCGGGGCCGTTCTCTTGGCTGACATGGGTTGACTCGTGGAGCGCGCGAGGGCGACGGGCGGATGCTTTCATTGTGGTCATTTTGAAACGCCACGCTTGGCGAAGCGGGACGAGAACTTTGGTGTTGCTAGCAGCTCACGACGCGTTTCGGCAGTTCTGTGCATCCTTTCAGTGTTTCCTGATGATGTTAACAAACTGTAGTCATGGAGTTCTTCTCCTCATGAATTGAACTGGGGTATGGCGGATTGCGGTCAGATTACGGGCGTACTGTGTGACAGAACATTTATCCACCGTAGATAAGTTTTGCTGCCGCACCAACAATGTAGGTGAGTGACTGCTGCATATCAGCGCGGCAGGATTGCATGCGGTCTACAGTATTCCAGACAAATTGGTATCCTTGTCGCCGACGTCTAAGGTGATGCGACTGGCAGCCTTTTTCCACAGGCCATAGTGTACCTCTGCTGCTCATGCAAACAATAACATCCCCGCAATTTACCCGGAATCCTTCGTGGCTCGTGTGTCGTCCGGTGGATTTTCCTGATTTCTTTGTTCCTTTGCGAGCAACACAACGCAGGAAATCCACCGACGCGTACTCACAAGTAGAACCCCTAGAGCTTCTCAGCCAGTACAGGGTCCATCAAAGTGGGCCAGTCTCGTATCTGGACTGTTCCGGCTCGGTCTAGTCGTGTAGTAGCTGCGAATTATGGCTTGCATCAACGCAGAATGCAAAGCTTTCCGAACTCGAAAGACGGGACTCGGTGGCCGAAGATGGCTGTGAGTGCAGCGAAGCAGGATGCGCGCCGGCGTCGGGAAACAGAACGCTCTTGCCAAGCTGTCGCGCCACGTGGCTGAAATACTGATCTTCACAACACTACGAGCTCCATAGATACATACCGACTTACAGAAGATCAAACAATTTCAACTGGACAAGGATTCGCAATTGCAGTATTCAAAACGCCGATCATATCCAGAGCCTCGTCCTCAGAGCCTCAACTTCCTGAAGCGCTGTATCAACGACCCACGACTCCACTAATCATCGCGTCAAGGGCCACTTCCCCTCACGAATCCATGAACCTCCACAGTCGCACTCGGGGAACGGGTGTCCTTTCTCGGCAACGCTACCTCTGGCGTCTCGCCTTCGTCTCCACCAACTCCTTCATCACTTCTCTAATCTCATTAGGTCTTACCGGCGCGTCATCCAGATCCACCTTCGAAGCTGATGATACTATAGTTGCGTGGGCTTTGGCGGCTTGGGTGGCTTCCCCGGCTTTCCTTTCGGTAGCTGATGGAACACGGCAGTCGTGTCAAAGGCGGGTTTGTTCCCGCGATCATCCTCGGTTTCGGCTATTCGATCATGTGACCATCCTTGATCATCGCCTTCAGCAACTTATATCCCAGAAAGATCAGCTTCGTGATAATCGATTGCAGGTCGAGAGTTCTGCTCACTGTTCTCAGAGAGAGCTGTTTGCAACCCTTCTCGAAGCTTCAAAATTGCGATTTCCAATGCTATATTCTGGTCGTCCATCTGTCGGACGAACTCAGCTTGCTCTACCGCCAAGACGTCAGGCTGAGCATCGATTTCGTCAATATGGCGCTGTCCATCTGACAGTAGCTCTTCCAGAGTTGCTTTGATCTCATCTTCAACCAGATCCAGGCTATCTGCAAGCTGATCTCTCTCTTCTTCCAGCGCGTCCATCTATTCTCTCAACTCATGCACTGTGTCTGTCTCAGCAGCGTGAGCTCTAGTTAATCGCGAGAAGGCTTCATCGCGATTAGCTTCTTCTTGCTCTAGATATTCCCCGCAGTTCTCGTCCCTGTCGTTCTCGAGCTTTCTCCAAACACATTGGTGATTGGCAACTTCTGCGGTTTTGGCAGCGGCACAGGACCATGTCGTTAGATCTTGATGCCCGCAAGTGAATGTTGTTTCGAGATCGACGTGAACACAGAGGTTTGCTGTTGCTACTTTTGAGTCCTGTTCGCGCTCACCTTTCCGTTGCTGGAGCATCTTAGCACACGCGTTCCTAGCATCTCGAGCTTTCTGTTGCTCTTCGTCACGTTCGCGGCGGAGGCGATGCATGAGCTCCGCTACACAGGGTCTGCATCCATACTGCCTTGTTCTATTATGTTCTGCAGTCTTCTTGCATCTCTTCTCCCCACAGGAGAGGTTGCTCTTGCTCTCATGGCCACAGTCGTACGTGGTTACGAGATTGGTACACATGACCGACGATATGATTTTGGGTAGTGGTGTCCAGCGATCTCAGTTTGCGATTAAGATATGGGTAGTAGACATGAAGTTTTGTATAGATTTTGAGCATGTACGCTACAATCTTGGAATGATCAACGACGTGTCACTCAGAGAGTCTTCAACGGCTTCAACCTTGCCAAGTGAAGCCTCGTCGTCATATTAGGCAGAACGTGTCACATTGGTAAATGATTCACAAAGGAAACCAATTGCAAAACTATTGCATTTTACATACGATTATTTCCCACAAACGCCGTCCACTGCCTGAATTCTGTCATCACCAAGCCCCCAACTTACTTGTCTGCCTCCCTCTACCACGCGAGCCTAGCATGTGCACAACATACCGCGTTTACTTCTACTGCGGACACCTGAAGTCCACGACCGCTTATGAGTACTCCGGCATCGGGTGCACAGTTAACGAAGCAAAGAGCATCACAATCGACGAAAAGTGCGAGCGCTGCATCCAACGAACAACTCGAAAGAGCGTACGACTCGGCGATATCATGAACGGTGCGGAAGTACCATCAATAGTAAAAGGCGAGGAGAATGGTGCCCATAATGGCGACAGCGAGCGATGATAGGAGGTTCAGAAGACTGAGAGTTCTCAATATTTAACTTCACTATCATCCAACTGTCATGAACAACACAAAGAGCAAAGAAACCCATAATTCGGGTTCTGGATTGGAACCAAACTAGTATACGCATACGATGACGCCATCTTCTATGCGATGGTCTACACTCACAGGTTCATTATGAAAGCCGCAATATCGCTGAAATACAACGTACTGAAATCTCGCAGTGCGTCCAATGCATGCCAACGTGATGACCTGGCGAAGTGCTTTTACGGTCATGAGGGTAGCCTATTGTCCAGCTTGTAGTCTCATGTACATAAGACCAGCGTACAATTCTCCTTGGTCTCTTCAGCTCATTCCAAGCATCACAACACCCCGTATGGCAGACATCACTGTACCTGTCAGTCAAGACTACGTCGCCTACCGCTCCCTTGCAAGATACTTGGAGAACCCCAATACCAGGCTGTGGGAAGGGTATCTAGCCCCATCGCCTTATAGATTGCATGTGGCATCACTCGTGCTCGGCCAAGGCTCCATAGACAGCATCCCTCTTCTGGTATTAGCCTTGTCGACGCTGGCCATAGGGCTTCCGCACTGATGCCCCTTGTAACCATAGATGCTGCGATCGACGGTCTCGACTTATGGCTGTTCGTTGTTCGAAGGGCTCGATGAGATCGCTGCTGCTAACTGGCGATGGGCTGTCGGCACACGAGGCCTGGACTAGAGATCGGTCTCTGCGCGAGGTGCTGGAGCGACTTCCGTATTCGGGGGATGTGCGACGAGGGCGCTGTGCGTGACATAGTCTTCGACGAAGTGTTGTGAATGGTGTCGATGCGAGGAGAACGGGACGGAGAAGAAGCTGTTAGACGCGTTCAGAACAGCGGACCCAAAGGCGCGATTGAATGAATATGGTCGGGGGAGCATGTGAGCAATGAGCATGTCTGCTCTATGCCCTCAGACATGTCGTAGACTACATCAGTATAGAAGACGACCTCCGGGTTGTGTAGGAAGCATCGCAAGCTTCCAAGGTTGGTTTCCCAGCCGCGTTCCGATGCGCGGGTGTTGCCGGCTATAATCGATAAGTTCCGACGGAGATTCCGATCAACTCACCACGCCACCTCCACAACCGCTTGACTTCGAGACTTCACACCCCAGATCACATTCCACCCAAATCACGACGCGTCTTACTTGATAATCAACATGGCCAAAGTCGAAGGTGCCCCTGCTCATGGCGCTGTAGCCCACCTCCTACCACAAACATACAAGCGATTAGTCTCGGAATGGCTGGAAGAGGATACACCAAGTTTCGATTATGGTGGTTTCGTAGTGGGCGAGGAGCTTTCGGAAGCGAAGCTACTCGGAAAGAGTGAAGTGAGTGTTGTCTAATACTGTAAGTACCGACTGACATTGACAGGGCATAGTAGCAGGCGTCCCGTTCTTCGATGAAGTGTTCCGACAACTAGGTTGCACGTGCGTTCATCTCAGCGGATTACATTACCAAGCTCAATATTGACAATTACTAGCGTAGAGTGGCACGTAAAAGAAGGTGCTTCATTCCAACCCATAACCCACTGCGCTACTGTGCGCGGCCCAGTCCGCCACCTCCTTCTCGGCGAGCGCGTGGCTCTCAACACCCTCGCCCGCTGCTCCGGCATCGCCACCAAGTCAAATCGCCTACTTACTCTTTTACGAGGAGCTGGCTACCCAAACATTCTTGCTGGCACCAGAAAGACTACACCAGGTTTCCGACTTGTAGAGAAGTACGGCATGCTGGTGGGGGGCGTGGACGCGCATCGAGTTGATCTTAGTGCAATGACGATGCTAAAAGACAACCACATCGTTGCCGCAGGAAGCATCACCAATGCTGTCAGAGCAGCTAAAGCAGCTGGCGGCTTTGCAATCAAAGTCGAAGTTGAATGTCAATCGTTCGATGAAGCAGACGAGGCGATTGCCGCTGGCGCTGACATCGTCATGTTAGACAACTTCACCCCCGAAGGTGTCCAAGTTGCTGCCAAAGACCTGAAGGATAAGTGGGGACGGGGTACTGGAGACAGGAAGCAGTTCCTCGTTGAAGTGAGCGGTGGGCTTACAGAGTACAACGTTGAGAAGTACGTCTGCGGCGATATTGACATCGTCAGCACGAGTAGCATACATCAAGGAGTACCACACGTGGACTTCAGTCTGAAGATAGTACCCAAAAGTAAAAAGGATGGTGGGGAAAGTGTAGCAATATGATCTGATGGTGGGCGAACGGGGCTTGTGGGTATCTCTTGTGTATCGCCAGACATAGCTAACTAATTCAGTATAGTTAGTTACGATATTTGTCACCTCTCAGTGGCATAACTTTCGCTATCATACCGATCCCCAAAATTGTCAAGCCATCCGTTTCATGACCTCAGACACTTAATCTTCTAGCAAGCATGACAAGGGGCTCAAGCACCCGCTATCCGTGCTGATCTACGACACTGCAATATCACCACTCAAAGCGCTCTTGCAGTCCCTGTCTTCCAACAAATCGACCCAGAACGCCAACATCGACTGCAATACGTGGCCCTTTAATCCTTCTGCTCGAGCGTAGTCTAGCCGCTTTGCATCGCATCCGTCGTCTGCGTCAAACCCTTCCAACTAATCTTCCTCATGGCTCTCGCATGTAAGTCCTTTGATCTTGGGCAGCCGGCTGGCCTGATCACTGGTAATAGGGTCCAGGTCCGCTTCCCTGCATTCCAAGGTTGTACGGCCGTCGTCTCGGTCATGTCTGCTAAAACAACTCGCGCGTCCGCCAAATCTAAGCGATGGTCTCCACATACGCCTCGCTGTACCTTTCAATGCTTTCATCTGTCTGCTGTGCGTTGGAAAGCTTCTGCTCGATCGTGCCGGGCTGATGTACACTATGAGAAGGCCGACCACACTGGCTGCCAATGCCCTTTGCGCTCAAATATTCAACAAGCCAAGGTCATACGTTATGATTAATCAAATTCCTGGTTTTATCCAGCAGTGGGTATGCAAAGCCAAGTAAAAGATCGTTACTCTCTTGGGTTGCGTTGGCAAGCACTGGTGACAAGTATAAAGTTACGCTCGACGCGGTCTTCAACTACACCCCATAACAGTGGGTCTGGTTGTGGACCTGACAAGGCCGTGCCCAATGAACGCCTTCCGCTTTCGAAGAAGAGTTCAAGCATCAAAGCTCCCGGCCCTAAGCGCACTACCTTTGCTTCCCTCACCTTCCGTGTGCGCTGTAGCCCAGGAACGAAGGAACGACATCCTCTCGCCTCAAGCTCGTGTTGTAAATTATTTTGCTTGTACTGCATGGAGCCAAACCGCTTTATTTTACCGCCATGTAGAGCTTCGAATCCTACATCGGGTACACCGAGTAACAGAGCGCGCATGTGTACCATCTCCCGTATGTCTAGGTGTGGGAAAGACAGGTATAAAAGGGTGAGCTGCAGGCATCCTCTTCGCATCATCAATCTCTAGTCCACAAACTTCAGTTTCATCAAACCCTATAACATCATTGCTCTCCTCGCTTGTTCAATATGTAACACCTCAACACCATCCTCGCCCTCGCTGCTGCAGTATCAGCTGTCGATATCAAGTCGCACGGCGAGTCACACTGCAGAGGTACTAAGAGGGTATATGTGAACGCCAAAACCAACCAGTGCTATGCCGGTGGCAGTATATCCTACGCTTGGTCGTTCAACGCTATTTCCACAGACTGGAACCTGCAGGCTCGGTCTCACAAAGATGGAAAGTGCAAAACGCTGGTTCACGCCTGGAGTTCGAATGGCACACGCACGGTCTGCCATTGCGCAGCCGTAAACAACTTTTTGTACACAGGTGCTGGATACAGCTTTGCCAGCAAGATGAGTCCGGAAGACACTGTTTTCAACAGCGAAGACTGCATCTGGAAGCCAGACCTTATGACTCTGGGAGACGGTATAACATACAAGCTTACAGATGTTGAGGACGAAACCGCGAAGATCATGTAAGAATAACCCCAGACATCTGAAAAGGCCATGGATATGATATACTAATTGCATCTTCTCATAGACTCGCATATAGTGACAATACCACGATTGCCGAAAACATGCCAAGCCTGTTCGACGAGTACATTACACAGGAGCATCGCTGAGTGTACCGTCAAGATTGGTTGTTGGTGATCCCTAGGGCGATGCCTTAGTTGAAAGCATTCCATCAATCTCCTTCAACGTTACTGCAACCACACGGAGCAGATGCCTTCACGACTTTTAAAGCTTACATCACGCCTATCCAATCAGAACCCTTGGAACAAGAAAATGAGCAAATGAGAAAATCCGACAAATTTTGGGCGATCGATCCGGGAGTGACATATCTCGCTACATATTATCGAGATATCACACACAACTTGAACTAAATCGATAGCCGGGCTACTCCATATCCACTGCTTCTTTTGCCTCCATCTCTTATCTTTAGTGACACTTGAAGAATGATTATGGTCTTGCTAATCATCTTTTCTGCATTTGAGTGATGTCGATAAGTGAAGATGGTAAGCCCAACCAAAGACAATTCTCTTGCCTTACCCTATGGAATGCTCTCTCAACACCACGTCAACCGTCATTTTCGTAGCACTTTCAATTTCACAACACGATGCTATTGTTCGCTTACAGCTATAATAAAGAAGCATGGAGAATTTTGGTTAGCGCTATATTATTGTGCAGCCGTGAAGTCAACAGCAAAAGCGTGGCATTGTGTTGGCACGCCTTCCACCTTTCGAATGGGTATAACCAGTCCTTCCTGGATTACGCCAAACTTCCCACAATGTTGCATCACTGTTTCATGGTCAATACAATTGACCTATAGAACAAAATCATTTCCTCTCTCACACACTTTTCATTGTTACCACGAACCTTTGCCGAACAAACGCAGGTGCAAACATGCGCTCGGAAATATCGTTTACTATGACCCTGGCGGCTCTCGCCATCTTGGGAGATGCGCACGGAGACCATACTAATGACAGAAGGCAGTACACTCTAACAGACGATCTTAGTTACAAGAACTTCTTCTCCGCCTTTGATTTCTTCAATGAAACCGACCCAACCAAAGGATTTGTCAACTATCAGAACCACGAAGATGCGACCAAGCGGGGCCTAGTAGGCTACCTTGAGGACACAAAATCCGTGTTCATAGGTTCAGACTACACCACTAAAGACCCTACTGGCCGCGCTTCTGTTCGCCTTGAGAGCAAAAAAAGCTGGAATCACGGACTACTAATCGCAGACATTCGTCATATGCCTTCCTCAGAATGCGGCACTTGGCCGGCGTTCTGGCTTTTATCGTCTTCAGTGCAATGGCCAAACGGCGGGGAAGTCGATATCCTCGAGGGTGTTAACGATTACGAAAGCAACTCTGTCACTTTACACACAACCAAAGGCTGTGTTGTTGATAACTCGACTGCGCCTGGAGGAAGATTTGGTGCTGTGGGTGGCAACAGCAATGCCCCATTTACTGGCCTTATGAGTACCGATGACTGCGATGTCACTGCACCAGGCCAAGAGAAGAATGTCGGATGCTCCATCCACGCTCCAGACACTATACCCAGTATTCAAAGTGGCGGCGGAAGCGGCAGTTCCGACAATACTGGTGCCACGCCTCTCCCCTCTTACGGTACCGACTTCAACAAAGCTCAGGGTGGTGTCTATACCATTGAATGGGCCGCCAGCAGCATCTCGGTGTGGTTTTTCCCCCGCGACTCCCGGGGCTTCACCGAGAACTTCTCTTCAAACACCACGACACCTGACCCATCAACCTGGGGCACACCTCTAGCACATTTCGGCGGTGCTGGTTGCGACTTTTCTGAGCGCTTCAAAGATCTGCAGATCATCTTCAACACCGCCTTTTGCGGTGAATGGGCAGGTGCTGAGTGGGATAAGTCTTGCGCCAAGAAAACCGGCGTTGCTACTTGTAATGAGTATGTACGCGATAACCCCCAGGCCTTTGTGGAGGCGTATTGGGAAGTGGCAGGATTGAAGTGGTTTCAGAAGGGTGCTGCGTAGAAGAGGAATACTATCAATCTCGTAATAATTATGCATGGTCCGATTATCGACGTCAAGACGAAAGATCGGTGATTGAATTCGGAAATATGTTCTATCGGTATCAGCCATTCAAACAATCTCGAAGCCGCGAGCCTGTTCTAGTCTCTATGTCTTTTAGCATTCGCGCAACTTTGGCAATGTGGCGTTGACACGTAACCCCAAAACGGCCGTTCGTCCCGAGATAACCCTCCCCCCTGTGTTCTCGTTTCACCGAGCACGGACAGTCGGTACGGGGCATAACGTATGTCGGATTTGGGCCGTTGTGCGTTGTGGTCGTGTTCCGAAACATTTTGCCTGTATGACGACACATGCCATGACCGTTGTAGAGACTGTCTTCTACTGAAGTCTAACAAACTCATGTGTCGATACAACCGATGAATGGCGTTGCGGTTGGGAGGAGTTCGGTTCATGTCACGCGTCGCGGATGCGTCAGATCTCCGGAGTGTCTGGCGAATGCAGGCTAGTGTAGGAATTGTTTGCGCCATCTCAGGACTATTTGACCACTCTCACGTTGACGCCTCACCGCAACATATCGCAACATCCGCGACGTCTCTCTCTGTTCCGGCAACAACATCTACTGCCCGCGCCAGATTATAGACCAGTACCTCTTCGGGGGGAGGATGATGGATCCAACTTACCAGAATGCTGTCGTGAAGGTTTTTACCGACTGCATAACTGTGGGACTCTGCTTCGAGCACATCACGTACCAAATTTATAGAGCGTACAAAGGCACTATGGCTGGCGATCCGATGCGAAAGCTGCTCTTGGATTTCTGGATTTGGATAGCGGATGAAAGTTGGGACGCTTCTGATATCATTGATAATGCAGGCAAAGACTGCACCCAGGAGTTGCTGGCTGCTTTGCTGGCGAAGCGGACACATCCTGGATGGTCTGGCAAAAATAGGCACATCAGGTCATGGACTGATCCTCATACCCAAGGAGCGTACTACGTTAAGATACCTGATGGCAAGAAGAGCGTGACCGCATAGCGAGACATCATCAACAGTTGGGTGGCGTACTGCCACTAGATTCGTTTTGTTCTCCGTCACCCAAGTATCCCATCGCCTCACATCTTGTAGCATACTGATAGAACTGCTCAACAGTACACCAACTTATCTCCATTCAGTGCATGGATGAAACACCACGAGTATCCTGGTCCCGATCCGACCCTATCGCTCGCCCCAGGAGCAGCTACAACCTAGTCAGGCCTCCTTGGTTGGCATATCCAGAGACCTACAGCATAAGGGATAACAAGGAGACGACCAAAGGTACCAGCAACAGCGGGGATATTGACAAAGGCTAGCGAAGAGCGTGTCAGCAAACGCTACAGAGAATTGGCAAAGGATATATTGTGCGAGCCTCTTCATGGTACATTGAGAGAGTAGGGTACTGCATAGAAAAGGAACTCTTGTAGATTGCTGCAGCTTCAGACTTTTGCCGGCCACTTTGCACGCATATGGTAAATTAGGGTAAGGGCATAGAATTAATGACCAAAGAAGAGCATTATCAATGCCGGCTAGCATCTGCTCATAACTTCAGTGCCGTATTTCTTTAGATCGTGTATCTGAATCTCGGGCTGTCATCGCCCATCTCTGCAACATCCTCATCACTCATCCCTTCAATCAGATGCTCTTCCTCACCCTTCTCACGTCTCGAGTTGATGCGCCCAAGATGGAACCACATAACAGCGTAGCATATGCAAGCAAAGGCCACCATAGCCATCGTAATACCATGGCCCTTGACGAAGCGAGGGCGATCGGCCGTGGGATAAATCTAACAGTTCGTTAGCAGCGTTTCGCACATGTCGTCTAGCATTTACTGGTAAACTTACAAAAGCACTCATAATACCCGCACAGTTACCAATACTCAACTGCAACCCCGTCGCAGTCGTCCTCTTTCCATATCGTGGCAAATTCGTAGGCAGCCAAGCCAGCGGCAGACCGACACAGACATACAAGCCCATTGCGACAAGGAAGCAGCCAGCGTAATGAACGCCTGAACTGGCGTCGCTGATCAACATGGCGTATCCGACGATACTTACAACACCGAGCAAGATGCTGTAGAATCCGCGCTTCTGCTGTTTATCAGAGAAGCGCGCAACGATTAGATAAGTGATTGCACCCAGTGCATAGCATGGAATCGTAAGGACCTGTATCATGGCGCTGCTGGCGGTGGTGTTGATTGACCTGATAATCGTTGGCAGGAAAGTCGAGTAGCCGTAAAGCATGGTATCACTTCCGAACTGTGCGAAGCAGAATACCCAAACTTTCCAGTCCTTGACGCACTTCCTTACATCCTCCCAGTGAAACTCCGCTGCTTTCTTCGTGTACCCCGTCTGGCGCTTGAGGCGAGCGGCGGCGAAAGCCTTCTCCTCAGCGGTGAAGAAGTAGGCAGTTTCCGGGGTGTCCGGTAGAATGAACCAGGTCGCGATACCCAGGACGAAGGTAGGAATACCTTCGATGATCATGATCCAGCGCCACCCGCGCAGGCCAGCCGTACCATCCATATGTCCGATGGCGTACGCAAGTAGTCCACCACAGGCTCCAGCCAGGGCAGCAGAGACGAAGAGGTATCCGATGCGTAGAGCAAGTTCGCGCTTGGTGTAGAAGAATGTCAAGTAAATGGCCATCCCGGGGAATAACCCTCCTTCCACGGCGCCAAGAAGAAGACGACATGCGATCAAACCGCCATAGCTCTGCACAATACCGGTCAAGGTCGCGATGATACCCCATGCGACAGTGATAAAGGCTATCCATCGCGAGGGCGTGAGTTTCTTCAGCACCAGATTTGATGGTACCTCAGACAGGATGTAGGTAACGAACAGAATCGAGACGGCAGTTTGGAACTGAGAATCGCCCATGTTAAGGTCTTCCTGTAATCCATAGAGACGCGCATTGCCGATGTTGACTCTGCAATCGCGTAAGTAAGTTCTTCGTACAAGCTACTGCGGACTCCGAGTCCCGTCAAGCCCCAAAAGACCGTGTTAAGCAAAAAGATCCAGAACTCACCTATCCAGAAAACTGAGCAAGTACAACAGCATAACCACCGGAATGACGAAAAGATCCAGCTTGCGCACAATCTTTGCTTCCAAAACCGGGTCGATGCCCTCTAGCTGCCTGCCAATCTCATCGCTCTCTTTCGCGGCATCAGGCACAGCCGGATCGTACTGTTTCTCGATGTCGCTCATGGTGTCGTCAGGCGTCCTCGCCTAGTAGTGCCTCGGAGAATTAAGCAACAATGATCGATGACTCCACGTGAGGAAAAACGGTTGTCGCGTCAAAAACGCAAGATGGCGGCAAATGCGTCAGGAAGGGATGGTGAAGAAAAGAGCAGCGAGCGTCGCGTTCTTAATGCATCCGGCCAGAATTCTGATCCGTCATCACGTAGCAACTCCACGACTTTGCCACGGAAGGGAAATGCTCATGCTTTAAATTCGTCGACGGCCTACGGCTTCGACATCGGACGAGTCTGCAAGGGGGCCCACTCTGAACATGTCGCCCGCGGGCAGATCCATGGCGGGGGGCTGGGACCAATGGAGCATAGAGCTAACGGTTTGTGGTATGACGTTGATGGTTACCCTGCCGGTAACACAGATACGACTGCTGGGCAACTGATAACGAACCACACGCGTTGCTGTGGCCTATTGTCTGCCAATGTTCCAAGGTTGGGGGAGATATCAGACAAAGGATGGGGGTGCTCGCGTGCCCTTTTGAGGGAAGTGGTGGGGACAGGCATCTTGCGTGGTTTGACATGTTCAGCGCGTTAGTCTGCTGTCATGCATCGCTTAGCAATGCGATTAGTCCTTGGTTGACCTGTCTGACCAAACAATCGCTCCAGCAGGACTTGGAGACGCGATTGCATCACATCACACTTTGTTGTGCAGATCAGCGCTGATCCCGAAACACGTTCCACAAGACGAGCTAATCACTAATTGACACCATTTGAGTGGGGATTTGCATTATCAAGCTGACAGACGCCCTCATATCGGCTCAGACGATGTCAGCGACGGATAACCAAAGGGCGTCGTATCCCAATCGATAGGGAGCACGATGCCAGAGTATATGTCGATCTGCGCTGAGGGATCAACAGGCCACCCCAAGTCGTCGCGCGGAAAGTCGATCTCAGCCACTGCAGGGTCCGCATCCACGCTCACGGTATGCTGGACGCAGGTACCGGAAAGACTTGACCGTGCAATCGCACGAACCTCCTTCGCCATTTTCATTCCGAGTGGCCATATAGTCCCCATCGTGTTCAGAAAGCCGATGCTGAGACGCACACGATCTCGCGCTATCGACAGCGCGTGCCCGTCCAACAGATAGGCACATACAGACACTTGTGCTGCCGCGAGTTGCGCGGTTAGACACATGATAAAAACGTTGTGCTTTTCGAGAGCGCATGGGATTGCGAGGAGTTTGGTATGCATTTCGGTCGCCTTGAGCACACGTGCGGTATGTGTGTTTCGCCCAGCTTTGGGCGTAAGCGTAAAGGGAGAAGGAGGTAGAAAAGACTGCGTGGTCATCTCTTCAGGAAGGTGAGCTAGTGATGAGAAGGGCCTATGCAGTGTTGAGATGACTCTATCTTTGTCAGCATAACAGTAGCAGTACGTGAAGGAACGTATTACATTGCAGCACACATATGTGCCATGTACCTGTTGCACGTGTCATTAGCGATCATGTATTCGTCTGGCTGATAGTGTGGCATACATCACCTCATCTACTTGACCATCTGGTCGAAGCGGGTCCTTCTTACAAGCCGGCAGCATCGACGACCATATCGCTAACTTCATGTCGCAGTTCTCGGTCATCGTTTCGCTAAATATAGCAGTGTCGATGAAGGACTTCATGACTGGGACTGTTAGACATCATACGAAATAGATAACGGCTTTCGTTGAGTACGTCGACCTGTGATCTATACTTACTGCAAGCGATGATCATTCCGATATCATAAAGATACACGATTGACGAGTAAACGATCTCAACCTCTGCAAATTCACGGTTCTGGTACTCAGCCCACGTCATCACAAGCGGAATGTTCTGCTCACGTCAGCTCTCGTCTCTATCTACGCACTATGTCGACGTACCCCTGACTCAAAGTGCTCATCATCGCATGGTAGATCAACAGTGTTCGACACGAGAAGTAGTGTGTAGAAGGGCGTGTTGGTGACAAGGGCGAAGTTTTGATCCACGATGTATAGTACGTAAAACGTTCGCCTCCAAGACTCTTCCAGTACAGCGCTACCTTCACCATACGCTCGAACAAAATCTCTTTCGTTCATGCACAATTCTAATGCGACTGTGATAGCTTTATCCAGGTGCCTACGAGCCTCAGGTCTGGAACTGCTGTGGAACTCAGCAAGAGCAAACAGCAGCAGCGCTTGGACATTGAATGGTGTATGCGCAAGGTCGGGTGACGTGACAGCTTCCATAGCCGTCATGTGGTATGTTTCCGATGGAGTCCAAGGGGCGTAGATGGATCCAATCCATTCCAAGACGGATAGTAGTGTGGTCATTCCATGATTCTCATGTAGGCGCCTGGCTTGCAGATAGTGGAGAGGCAGTACGACTGGCCACGAAGGCCAAAAGTGTTCGAAGAATAAATCCACGAGTCGCTCATTGTCAACCTGAAAAATGATACGATTTTGCTGGACCTCGTTGCGTCTACGAAGAGGTATGGAACGACCTGATGAGCCGCTCTCGAAGGATCCCAGGCTAGACTGGTCAGACGGCGATGGCACTGGTACATGAGATGTTCCGCTGTTACGCCCATCCCAACTGGTTGCTTCCTTGGGTTCTTGTTGCAGTCGCAAACGTCGCTCCGCAAGTGCGGCTTTGCTAAGGCCTCCTCTTCTAGACTTTTGATAGATGCATTCTTTCCCGTCGCGCCTGCATCGGTTGCAAGTGGGTTGCGTGGAGTCGCACTTGACGTGTCTATAACGACACTGGATACAGGCGAGCACTACTCGGTCGATTCGTTTAAGATTCGGCGATGGTTCCATTGTTGAAGCAGAACAAGAGGAAGACTGGAGGCTGCTAGAGGATCAGAACGTAATCCAGAGTCCGCCAAAAGCGACCCTGCGCGTCAACAATGGTAGGTCGATGTCAAGGACATCCAAAAATAAATGTACATTCCGGTGAGCGGAAGATGAGCACGAGGCGTAGGGCTGATCTCACTGGTTGCACAGGTTCCAAGTTGGAGGCCTGCCGAGTCGGCAAGAGTCGGATGTGCATTCAGGATTTGGGGGCCGCTCCTTCTTCCTCAACACGTTGCGTCGGTAACCACAAATTATTAACACAGCTTAGGCATGAACAACGAGCGCATTCTCGCGCATGACATACATCTGAGTTCAACTAACACTCGTAGTGTCATCATTAATCCCGTACATTCGCAAACCTTCTACCCTACTACCATGAACTAGAAATAATCGCACTAATAAATCCACAATCAGCCTTCGTGATACGACAGGCCAACGTAGCAACATCCAAGTCTCTGGTCTCAATGTACAAAACATGTAATCATATGCGTTCCAGACCTGACGGCCAATAAACCGTACCAGCTGGGGTTGTCGCTTTCCGGTCGTATATCTATAATCGAAGGCGATAAAGCAGAAGGAACATGCCGCAAGCTTAACGCAGCTTGCCATGATCCTGAGCCTCTTTGACTTGTTCAAAGACCTGCAATATAATGTTAGTTCTTCGGATCTCGTACATTTATAAGAATGGCGTTGCATACCTTGAGCATCTTCCTACGTGCACCAAGAGCATTAACTCCACGCTTCTCCAATCCTTCGTCATCGAGCTCGATAAGCTCCTGCCACTTGAGGTCCTTCAGGTTGTCTGTGTACTTGTGCAGACGGAGACTCCGAAGCCAGTTGGGAATGTCCGAAAGCAGGCCAGGGTCGGTAGGATCCTCCGGGGGCTTCGAGCTGCCGCGACGGCCTCGGGGAGATCGACCACGATCAATGTTGTCACCGAGGAAGCCATGGCCCTCATTACTGCCGCCGGCAAGACCAAACTGAGCAAGGTTGAGAGCGCCCATACCGTTGTTCATCATGCCACCACCGTAGTCAGCAGCCAAGAACCCGTTAGCTTGAGGCGATGTGAAGTTGCCCATGGCACCCATGCCCTGACCCTGCATCGCGAAGCCAGGGGAACTAGGACGAGATCGGCGGCCTTGCATAGCAGCCAATTGCTGGGCCTGAAGAGCGGCCGCTTGCTGTGGAGTCAGTACTTGGCCTAGCTCGTTTGTCATAAGGATGTTTCCATTGCCCATCTGAGGCATGCCGGGTGACATGGGACCGTTGTCCGAAGATCGGGCGCGGCGAAATTTGCGTACATCGTCCAGCTGAATGCGGTTGTTGACCGTAGACAACGCGGCCAGTTTCATAGCAGTGGCGTTCGCGACCATATCGGCCTGGTTGTTCGACTGCTGGAAATTGGCGACCATGGGAGTGCTCAGCTGGGAGGCCCAACTTCCACCTTGAGCGTAAGCAGGCGAAAGGAGCGGCATGTTGGAGGAGTTGGCTTCGAGGGCATTCAGAGTAGTCGTCTGGACATTGTTGCTATCGTTCTGGAGGGGGAGACGGGGCGAGCGAAGGCCGGCGGAAGGAGGTGGCTGAGTGAACTGGCCCATGGGCGGCTGCTGGTGTTGCTGCTGACCCGAAGATTTGGGGCGGTTCGCGCCCTCGTTCCAGGGTGATGCTGGTGGAGCATTGTTCTCCCTCTTGTTGTCTTCGGGGGCAGAGATGGTAGGAGCGGCTAGAGAGCTGCGATCTCCAACGGTACTATTGCGGTTCGACGCCGGCGCAACACCAACTACGTCGGTGAACTCAGCCTTCTGCTTGGCGATGGCAGCCGCGGCGTCCGGGAACATGCGGTTGATCTGAGATGTCTCCAAGCCCGAGTTGCGTTTTCCAGCACCCGGGGATGGCGGCGGACGGCCGAGGCCCATAGAATGACGGTTTTCGCCAGTGCCGAGCTTGCTCATGGCGTCGCTCAGTTTCTGCGTCATAGGATCTAGTTCTCGTCAGCATAGAAAGTAAGCCGTGATAGCCGTCAGGCTTACCTTTTTCTCCGAAGTTGGCAGGGGACAGGACTCCAGACATGGGCACGTTCTTGGACATCTGCTGCAAGACTTGGATGAAGAAGCGAATCTGCACCTGTGTCGTCTGCTGGAGGAGAGCGTAGAGGGCTGCAGTTCTCTCGGCCTCACTAAGGACGCGGAACCACTGTTCGATAGCGCTCAGCTCATCCTTGAAGTCCTGGTCAAGAGTGGCTGTCGCCATCTCTTCGAGCGTGTTCTCATACTGGTCGATGTCGGCGAGCCACTGCTGAGCAGCGCGTTCCATCTCATCGGGGTTGCCTGACTGCGTGTTGTTGCGGCCAAAGTAGATTTCGGAAGCGGGACGAATGCCACGGTTGGCAAGAGGGGACGGGAAGCCGCCTAGATCAGCTGAGGCACGGAGATGGTGGTTGGCGCCGAGGGAGGATCGGGCTTGCGGGGGACGGAGCGAGCTGGAACCCTCGGGGGTGCTGTTCCTGTTGGCGGCGATATGACTGGCAGACATGGTGGTGGTGGTGAAAGTAGTCAACGGTGGTTCGCAGTGTAGAGGCTGAAATTCTGTCTGCTTATCAGTACGGCCCGCCCGAGTGCCCACCGACCGAATGCTGGCAAACGTACAGTGTAGAGTGGGCAAGTACACGAAGGATGGTAGTGATGCACACGAGTCTTCTCCTGCAGTCCCAGCTGTGCCTCAAAGGAGAGCTCGATGAATTCGCGGGAGGGCTGACAGGTGCAGGGGATGCGCTGTGCTATGGTGCACGAGCGGGCCAGGCAATAAGAAGAGACAGCGTAATATATCAAGGTACAAAGAAGGGAAACTCAGCGACAGGAGGTCGAGTGTGAAGATGTCCAGAGGAGTGTTCGCTGCCAGGAGTCCGTGTCGAAAAGCCCGCGGCGTTCCTTAGCGTTGGGCCAATCACGGCAACCCTGCGCAAGGCTGAAGCAACGGCTCGACAGATCTAGCCTGGTCCTCAGCTGTTACAGATAGTCGCGGCATACGTTACTACAAGCCTTCTGTTTGGATGGCCTCCATGGCTATCTCCGATTGTGTCAAGGGCGGTCACGGCTGCAGCTGCCTGTGAATCCCTCGCCTCTCCCCGTGGTACACCTCCACACGCCCACCCACCACTTGACCGACTGTGGCACTCTGGCCGTTTCGAGTCGAGCAAACGCGTCGGCGGCGTGCTAGCCACACGATGGCATGCACTGTCAGCAAAGGAAGCACACAAATCGCGCCGTTCTTGTAACAGCTGCTACTGTGCCGTGCTTCTTATTGGCGAGCCGCGCCGTCAAACGCTCCGAGAAACAAAAGGAATTCTTCCCGAGACGTGTTCATGCATTGCCCGCTGCTAAAGTTAGTCGTTCGGATCCACCGGTACAAAAGTTGTACCTCTCCAGGTCGTGTTCTATCATTGCAGGAGCGTCGCGATGCCTGACGACCCACTTGCCTGATTAGACATATGATGCTCACAGGTGCATGCGCTAATCTTGGAATGGCTGAAGCCACGTGCCCTCGATAGCGCTTTACGAACAGGTGAATGTGGATACAATCCACCCTGAAGTGAATGAGGGTGATCGATAAAGATAACCTGGCGGCGATTGTCCTTGTGAAGAGGAGGCGCGAGACTACCTATAGGCAACATGGTCGACATCAATCTGTTCAACCTGCAATTCACACAGCCAGAGCAAATCCTCGTCGACAACAATTTCCTTAGAACAACAAGTGGTGGCATGTCGCTATTAAAAATAATAAGCAGCTTGCGTACGCGGTTCAACATCTGCGCATCCGGGGGACCTATCTCCGCGAAATACTATTATTTTTAAAAAGCTAAGAAGGCTTTATTGCCTTAATAGTCTACAAACTAAAGCTTCCGAGGCAACGTCGACTTCAGGGCACCTGTTTAGTTTTTCCCTTGAATGGGGCCGTTGATATGTCAGAAGGTAGCGATGAGGTGGATGAAGATAGTCGTTGAGGAGTGTTGGGAGGTTAGAGTGTCAAAGTGCTGGGATGCTGGACTGTGCTGCGGCTGGCTGCTCTCGCTCTTCACAGACCTGAGATGTATCCTCTTCTCTATACCACTCTTTGACTTCTCGTTAGACAATGTATCTCTCAAGACATCGGATGTGCTTTGTGTGTTTCAAGACTGTATGATGTGGCATTGACATGCTATAAACTAAAGGTAAAAACCGAGAAGCTAAACAGTAGGTCGGAAGTGAACTCCGGGTGCGCAAGAAGTATTCCGGGTGGTATGTACCAACACTCAACCGGCGGATGCTGCCATCAGGAGCGAGTTCCAGCCACGCACAAGGGAGTTCCGTCGTATGCCTCTGAGTTCCGAACGCCCAGACACTTTGGTATCGAATGCCTTCCTCCTTGAGTTACTGAGTGTAAGAGTGGGAGGCAGCTTGGCCGACAAGGATAGCTACCTTGGCCTTGGACCTTGAGAGCACCTCGTACGCCGCAATTTCCCAGAAATCATAAAAACTGGGTGGCAAAGCTCGGAATAGATCTTCTGCGGGGTAAGTGGTACATGGCAGGTGCGAAGAAGGCAAGTGCGGACGTGAGTCTTTTACAGCAGGCGCGTAACTGGAAGTCGCGCCTGATTTACGCTGTCAGGTTTGGTGTTACTTTCAAAGCATTTCTAAAATACCATGATCAATTGCACAACATGTCCCAATGAACGTTGGCGGCGGTTGGGTTATCATTGCCCACCACAACTCTGATACTGAGGCTACAGGGACGGTCTGAATCAGCCATGAACGCTACAGTAGTTATGAGAACTCACTAAGGATGAACCCAGTTGTACTAGGCAGAGCCATTGCCCTGGAAATCAATCTTGGGAATCAGTAGCGGCTGAAGTAACAGTCTGATGGTTTTCCAGGACACAATGTGGCTTGAGTGAGACAATTGGTCTCGCTTTGATCACGACTGATGGGCCCATGAGTGAGATATGCCTAGACCGAATACGTAGGATCATGGTGCTGGCCACACTGATCACACCAGAGCAGGAAAAAAAAACCTCACTGCAGAAGAATCTTGTGCGTAGATGAAAATGTTCCTCAGCCGAAATGGGTATCTTATTGTTTTACATCTGCCGTGCTCAAAGTTTCATGATGATGCTGCTGCTTGCTGTGATTGCTGTGCTGCCGACTGGATCTGGATAATCTAGTTTGGGCATTAGCAATCCGCGTAACAAGACACGTTTGAAGAACGTACCTCGCCCTTGATCTTCTCACTCTTGTCCTGTATACCCTGTATCTGTTTCTCGATATCCTTGCTGCATCCAGTCAGAAGAGACCCATCGCACTAACCGACCCACTCACATCTGTTTGTCGATAAACTCGAGGCGACCATTGACCGACATGACTGCCTCCGTCTTGTCCTGCTTCAGCAGTACGGGGCCGATTTGTTTATAGATGTTTGCATCGTCGTCAAGGATGTCAAACTCCTGAGGTGACGTCTTTCAGTATGTTATCCGAGGCCGTGTGTAGTCTTCGCATACCTTTTTGACGGTACTATTCTCCTGTTGTTGCGACTCGAGCTTCTGGCGGGCCTCTACTGCAGTTCCGAGCTCTATTCCGAAATTAGCGAAGGATCCATGAGCTTTGGACGCGGCTTACCAGCCTGAAGGCCTTGGTAACTATCAGACAGTGCCTGCAGCTTCTTTTGCACGTCTGCCATGGCTTTGGTGATGCTGAGTGACGCGTTCTGCAAAGCTCGGTGCAGTTATTCGGAAGTCGCGAGTGGGATGCTGAACTTCCTCCATCCGGTTAGAAGCAACGCGGGGCTAGCTGCCTTGGCCGTACCTGGAGCGACGGTCACCTCTCGTGTACGACCGCAAAGCTCATTCACGCGGAACAATCTCGAGCGCAACCTCGACTAAATATCGTCGATCGAAGCTGCGAATCCTTCCATTACCTCACATACTCGCTCTGGCTCCGCGCAACCACAGGCAGCCTGCACGCGATTGCCCCACTCAGATCGCCCTCCGCCGCTCATACATCGATCAATCAACACACCAGGCGACGCGCGCTCCGAGAACCACGCTCGCTGAAGCCCCCACAATCCTCCGGTCTTCAAAATGAGCAACGCCGACTTCCTCGGCCGGGCCATCGAGACGGTCAAAAAGGCAATTGAGACGGACACGGCGGGCGAATATGAGAAGGCGTATCAGCTGTACTACAGTGCTCGTCAGTGCCACAGGATATAGACCATGTAAATTTGGATGCTAACTTCATGCGCAGTCGAACTGTTCATGCTCGCTCTCAAATGTACGTTGATCGGATTCTGTAGATTGGCAAACATACTGACGCTCAGTAGGGGAGAAGAACCAGAAGTCCAAGGATATGATCCGCGGCAAGGTAGCCGAATACATGGAGCGCGCCGAGAAGCTCAAACAACATCTGAACCAAAATGACGCCTCGAATCGCAAGAAGCCAGCAGCCATGGGCTCGAACGGCAAAGCAGCAGGTGGAAGTGGAAAGGGCGGAGGGTACATATCAAGTCTACACCTGTCGAGAGTTCGCAACTAACCTCTAACAGCGACGAAGACGAAGGCGAACAAGACGCCGACTCCAAAAAGCTCCGCGGTGCGCTCGCCGGCGCCATTCTATCCGAGAAGCCCAACATTCGATGGGAAGACGTAGCAGGTCTGGAGATGGCAAAAGAAGCACTCAAGGAGGCCGTCATATTACCCATCAAGTTTCCACACTTGTTTACTGGAAAGCGACAACCATGGAAGGGCATTCTTCTCTACGGGCCACCTGGTACCGGTAAGAGTTACTTGGCAAAGGCGGTCGCTACCGAGGCGAACAGCACATTCTTCAGTGTCTCTAGTTCCGATTTGGTCAGCAAGTGGATGGGTGAATCAGAACGGTATGTGGAACCGTTCACTTCGGCGCGACGCGGCAACTGACATGATGTTAGACTCGTAAAGCAGCTCTTCGGTATGGCTCGCGAAAACAAACCCTCGATCATCTTTATTGACGAGATCGACGCTCTCTGCGGACCTCGAGGTGAGGGCGAGTCGGAAGCATCACGGCGTATCAAGACAGAACTGCTAGTGCAGATGGACGGTGTCGGCAAAGACTCGAAGGGCGTGCTTATTCTCGGTGCAACCAACATCCCGTGGCAACTCGATTCTGCCATCCGAAGACGATTCCAGCGGAGAGTTCACATCAGCCTGCCAGATCAACCCTCCAGGATGAGGATGTTCGAGCTTGCGGTTGGCAACACACCTTGCGAGCTGAGCCAGGCCGACTACAAGAAGCTAGCCGAGCTCAGTGAGGGATATTCCGGGTCTGATATCTCGATTGCGGTACAAGACGCGCTCATGCAACCCGTACGACTCATCCAGACAGCGACACATTACAAGCCTGTCGAGGTAGACGGCCAAACAAAGTGGACACCGTGCTCGCCCGGTGACCCGCAAGCAGAGGAGAAGTCGTGGACAGACCTAGACGGCGATCAGCTACTCGAGCCACCTCTAAAGGTCAAGGACTTTGTCAAGGCGATTAAGGCTTCAAGACCGACTGTGAGTAGAGAGGATCTGGACCGCAGCGCCGAGTGGACAAAGGAGTTTGGCAGTGAGGGCGCGTAGACGAACCGTTTGTTGTCGTTTGAGGCAGTGCTGTATATCTTCGAGGCGCTTTTGGTGTTTATATCCCGTTCTAGCATAGCGATCCCAGGCCGCACATGGATCGGCCGGCGTTGATGCTTCGAATACATGAGCAAGTTGAGGCCTTTTCCCCCAAATGATGCTATAAAGGCAATACTCCATGTACATCCATAGTCCACTTCCATGTGTTCTGCATTGAGGAAAACATCGTTACAACTTGTCACTGGGGATGGCTAGAGGTTGTGTCGCATTTTGCTGCACACACTCTATCAAATCTTACCAAGTAAGTGGCTGTTAAGATAATGTATACTTCTGGCTTGATTGTATTCTGTAGAATGCGACACAATTCGTAACCGGCCCCATGTGTCGTGGCGCACTACGTGATCTCATACTGCAGAGTAAAGGCTTTTGAATGATGATGGCTCATTTCTCTGGACTAAGCTAATATAGCCTAGTCCATTCCATAGCACAATCGGAGTGGGTGAGGGGACGAAGGGGAAACTTGGGGGGAATATATGTAAAACCGGACCTGACCTGACCTAACCACCTAACCTAACCTAACCAAAACAAGCACCCCGCCGTGATCAAGATGCTTCTCTATACTTCGCCAGCCTTGTCATCAATGACGAGGCTCAGAGATCCTCACGTCATGCTCTTACATCGTGTCTTCATGCTGATGTCATGTCACAATTCCAAATCGAACGCCGCTCATGCATCGTGTCCCATGCGGTTTTCCTTCCACAAGTCCATAGAATTGACCATTTACGAATGGCGTAGTCAGCCTCTAGCTGAAGTAGGCTTGCGCAGTACGCTGCTGCTCTGGTGTCAGAGTCGCGGCAGCTTGGCCAAGATCGGTGCTGGTCGCTTGGATCAGAGCTTTGACGGATGCGACAACACGGTTCGCCGTCTGTCCTTGCAGAGTTTCGGCCTCCAGGGCTTGCACAACGTAGTTGAAGACCTTGGCGGGTTGAGAGAACACAGCTTGGTTTTGTCTAGGAGATGTCAGTATGGCTCTCATACATACTCGGTGTGTTGCTAGGTTAACTTACTGTTCGATGAGCTGAGCTAGGAAGGCATAAGCGTATGGTGTAGCCTCCTCGTCGTTGGTGATGGGAAGCGTATCCATCCAGGCAGCGGCGACGCTGTCCCAGTTCGCGACCTTGCTTGCATTATAGTGTAGGATCTTGGCAATTGCAGCCGAAGCATTCTCTGTCGCAAAAATGTCGTCGTCCGCGCGGGCATTCGGTCTCTGTGTAACCTGGAAGAGCGTCTCCAGGGACGCCGCAACAAATTCGGACCAGTTCTCTCCACCCTTGTGAGCTGCAACACCGATTCCGTATACTGCTGCCTGGCGATTGGCAGGGACGTCGTCTTGCATACCATCGATGAGAGGTTGGATAATTTGGTCCTTGTATTGCCAGGACTCTGGACCACAGAACTCGAGCACATCGTCGTAGATGCAAATCGCCCACTGGCGTTGAGTGGGGTCTGGGTTAGCAGCGGACAAGCTATAGAACTGGGTTAATTCAGCCCAGTAAGGCAAGAACGCTGTGCCCATGGTCTTGAAGATGCTGTGGAACGCCTTGTTCATGTCTGAGAGGAGCGTCTGATCGTCTTCTATGGCAAACAGCAGATCTTCCGAAGCTTCCTCGCCATCATCATTCTCGGCCTGCTCCTCTAGACGTTCCTTTACGCGTACGTGGTAGTCTTGAAGCACGCTTCTAGCGGACTCAATAAAGGTCGTCATGTGTGCGTTGGTGAGGCAGTTGCGGCCGATGCACTCTAGACACTCGTAGAAGCATTGGTACATCTCGGCGAGGGTATCAATGGCGGGCTCAGTGCTTAGCACTTCGAGGACACGCTCGACGGTGCGTCCCCACAGCTCGCTCAGTTGTGTAGATTCCGGACCGTGGGCCTTCTTGTACGCATTCAGCAGCGCTGGAACACACTTGGCTGATGCGACTCGCACGGGGTCGTGAAAGAAGAAAGCTAGGCCTGGGAGCGCGATCTTCTCCATAATGTCGTTGACGTAGGGCTCGAAAGCGTCCTCTAGAACTTGCGCGTAGATGACAATGAGCTCGATAGCCATGTGTTTGTCGTCAAGGATGCTGGTCTTGATTCCAATAACCTTGCCCTTGAGCGGGACCAACTCCCAGCCTTCTTCATCTTGGATCTGGGCGACTTGTTCCTCATCGTCGAGAAGTTGGATATCAGCCTTGGCTCCAGCAAGCTCGGTCAATGGTGGGATGACACCAGCAAGGAAAGGAACGAATTCCCGTCCTAGAACACGGCACATGCGGCCCCAGCAGTGGAGGAGATAAGATGCTTGCGGGTCATCGGCCTCGGAAACACTGTTCTGGATCCGTCCGAGCAGCTGTACAAGGTTGAGTGCGTCTTGGCCCATACGATCCTTGCCGACAGCGAGAGCGATGAGCGTCGCGCACTCCATGGCCTTGGCGCGGAGAAGTCGGTATTCCTTGGATTGCTCCTCTTGTAGAACATTAAAGAGAAGAGGCATAAGCGTGTCGTAGTACTTGGAGAAGGCAGCCTCTGCGGAATCCGCAACAGTGGCAATAGTAGACAGGGCCTGTTCCTGTACGAAACGCTTGGGACTCTGCAAAAGCATGAGCAGGTGGTTGAGGAGCTGGTCCAGGTATGGCTCAAGGATATTCTTCTCAGCCTCCTCACAGAAGTTGACTAGAGCAGCAGCAGCGTGCGCCTGCACGCGCGGCTCCGAAGACTCCAAGACGGGGATGATGTTGGGTAGAACGACCTGGTGGTACGTCTCTTGCATGGTGCCGGCAAAGTCAGTCGACATTTGTCCCACAGCATTGCAAGCGGCCCATCGCACTCGTGGATGGGGGTCTCGGAGCGCAGGCAACACGAGATCCAGGACTTTGTCAAGCTCGCCAACCATCAGCTCGCGACAGCCCTCGGAGATGGCTGATATCGCCATGAGAGCAGCGTGCCTGTCGCGCCACGCCGAAGAAGTCATCATGCGCGGAAGCCAGTTGAACGTTGGAGGCAGAATGGCTTGTCCACCGAGCTTGTTTGCCAGACGATCCATACACTGCTCACCAGCCACGTGGTTCGAGTCGCTCTCTTCATCCAAGTCTTCTGACACGTTCCACTCCTCAGCATCGTCATCGTCAGCTCCAACATCGGTCATCAAAGACAGACATTGAGTAACCATATCATTGGTGAAGTTGGCATCCTTCTTGCACATCAGAGGTGCGTTATCCGCGAAGGTCGCCATGAGTTCCAACGCGTTCTGCCGAGCCGTCTCTCCTAGATCCTTGTCCTGGATAACGGAAATGCTGAACTGAACGAGGTCGTTGAACGGAGGCTTGAACATCTTGGGCGCAACTTCAGCAAGGTCGATGAGCGAGATGAGGGCCTTTGTGAGAAGCTCTGCATCGCCAGATTCCTTGATTGGGGGTAGGATGCTGAGGATCTCTCCGACAAGAGAATAGTATTTGGACTGGGCCTTCTTGGTGATTGAGCGGAAGAAGGACGCGAAGGCTTCGACGGATGCGATTTTGACCTGTGAGATGTAAGTTGAGGGCTTCCAGGTGAATGCGAAAGACGAACCGATGTCTCACTGTCGGCAAAGCCGCCCTTGAAAGCAGTCAAGACTACGTCTTCATGCTGCTTCTCAATGATCTGCGGGGTTGTCGAGAATATTCTAAAAGCGTTCTCGCGCTGCGCGGGGTCTGCGGACTGGCTTGCCTGGAACAACGCGCCCAGAAGCTCCGGCCATGCAACGCCTAGATGAATTTAGACATGTTTCTGTAGAACGTCCCGTTGACTCGTACCTTCATCTGTGTGCTGACGTGCGAGCTCGGCAACAGCGTCTCCAACCTTGGTGCGTACTGAGTTATCCGTCTCGTTGGCAAGGCAATGGAGCAGCTTGGCGCGTATGGCTTCGCGCTCGGGGGCGTTGAGGGTTAAGAAGAGGTCGGCGGTCTGGCCTGAGGGCGCCTTTCGCGGTTTCGACGACTGTCGCCTGAAGATGACAGCGGCGAATGTCCGTGTCTAATACAGCCTGTAAGCTAGAATCCAGGGTTTCGACCAAGCGGGACCCTTACTGAAGTATCCTGTGCCAGCTCGATCTGCTCTGAGAGGCCCATCAAGAGCACCTCGGGCCTCTGGGCAACCCACTCGTCATTCAACTGCTGCTCGGCAGCCGTGCGCTGAATATTATCCGGCGACTGGAGGCCCTGCAGCAGGGTCGCCAGCGCCGTGTGGACCTCGGCGGGAAGGACAGACATGTCGTATGCGTAGATTGGTAGTGGAGGGCAGCGGCCCAGGAAGAGTGGTGTCGTTCACAGGCAACAAGGGAATTCGGTCGCTTGGTTCTCGGTAGTGCTGCTTTCGGAGCGCGTGTGACGTGTTGGAGCGCCCCTACTGCAGTGGAACTCTGCAGAAAGAAGCAGCGTATATTCTGGTGCAGACAAGATCTTTCGGCGGCAGAGACTGGGGCTTGGTGTGGTTTTGGCGTCGCCTCAAGTCATTAATGTCGATGTTTTGGTGCCCAGGTGGGGTGTAGGCCAAAAAATCACAGTGCGTGCTCATTGGTCAGTGTATTCTCCTACACCGCGAAGCATTGTATAACACCCGTGGACCCTGTTGAAACCAACTAGCTAGCTCATATACTTGAAAGTGTGATCTGCACCGAGACTTCTTTGTAGTAACGTATAATCCTTGATGAAAGGAAAGATGAATGAGTCAACGACTGGGTGCATGGCCAGCCATCCTGTACATGGGAAACACCCTGCGCGTGACCTGTTACGACAGGAGTAGGAAAACTTGATTTGGCTTCAAGTCTAGAGCCTCGAAACCTACAGCAATGCTAGACCCTTGACTCTGCTTACTTTGTTGTAGTAGGCTGTATGGGTTCTGTCTAGGTACAGCCGTCTTCAGAGTAAGCTCTTCCGAGGTTAGATACAAAGCCCATGCAGTAGGACAGACCAGATGGAGCCATCGCCCGAGCTAAAATTCTGGTCTTTTGCAGGCAGTAGTCCATAGGCCGAGCAGGCGCATGTGCAATAGCAGCAGTCCAGGGGAAGAGCGGTCTAGCTAGCCTCGTCGCTTGCGCCTTCTGCGTCTACCCTGGCAACCACGACTTTGCTTCTATTGACCCCTCACCAACAACCCGACTTCAACGTCTCGGTCAAAAGCAACATGTCGCATACGGGTACCATGCGCGGTACGCCCAAGCCGAAGAACCACAACCCGCCTCAGCAATTTCCCCACAGCCCCTCGGGAATCCCGCGACCAGCAGCGCTCGAGACGCATGCTTCTCATGTTGCCCAGAGCGATGCGGGCGGCTCTTCGCTCAGCGCCAGTCGTGCGAAAATGTCGAAGCGCGACGACGTAAGCTGCCCTGCTCGCCATGGACTGCCACATACTCATGATGCCTAGGCCATCCGCCGCAAGATCGAAACCGACCTGAACAAGAAGAAGAACCCCAGCGGCCGCGTGCGACCCTCCAAGAAAGCCCCGCCTGGCACCGTCCTCGCCTTGAAGCCCTCCCCCGCGCTCCAGATCAAGCCTTCTACCTCAGTCGCCGAGGCTGCGCAGTTAATGGCAGCTAAGCGCGAGGATTGTGTCCTAGTTACCGATGACGATGACCGTATCGCGGGTATCTTCACGGCCAAGGATCTGGCCTTCCGCGTCGTTGGCGCCGGCATCAAGGCTCGCGATGTCACCATCGAAGAGATCATGACCAAAAACCCCCTCTGCGCAAAAACCGACACAAGTGCGACCGATGCTTTAGATCTCATGGTCAGGAAGGGCTTCCGCCACCTTCCCGTCATGGTATGTTGGGCTATGAATATGCGTCGCGGATGAGCTGACATGGGATAGGACGAGAACCACGACATTTCCGGTATCTTGGACATTACCAAATGTTTTTACGACGCCATGGAAAAGTTGGAGCGCGCCTACGCTTCCTCGCGCAAGCTGTACGATGCTCTGGAGGGTGTGCAGGCTGAAATGGGCTCCAGCCAGCCGCAACAGATCATTCAGTACGTCGAGGCTATTCGTCAGAAGATGTCTGGTCCTACCCTCGAGTCTGTCTTGACTGGCCTGCCACCTACAACCGTATCCGTGCGCACCTCTGTCAAGGAAGCTGCGTCGCTCATGAAGGAGAACCACACAACCGCCGTTCTGGTGCAGGACAATGGCTCCATCACCGGCATCTTCACCAGCAAGGACGTCGTCTTGCGTGTGATTGCCGCGGGGCTCGACCCGATGACTTGCAGTGTCGTACGAGTAATGACTCCGCATCCCGACTTTGCGCCCATGGACATGAGCATCCAGTCCGCTCTGCGCAAGATGCATGGTAGGTGGTCCAAATCGAAAGCTCTTCGAATACTCGCTGACTTCTGCAGACGGTCACTACCTCAACTTGCCTGTCATGAGCGACGCAGGAGAGATTGTTGGAATGGTCGATGTTCTCAAGCTGACTTATGCCACTCTTGATCAGGTACGCCCACTTCTGCCTCCCAAAGTATCTTTGCTAACTCCTTGAAGATCAACAACATCAGCACGACTGACAGCGAAGGTCCCGCGTGGAACAAGTTCTGGCTGTCTCTGGACAATGAGACCGAGTCGATGATGTCAGGCGAGGGTGGGAGTCGCGTCCACGACCATCGCTCATACGTTTCCCACCACGATCGCCCTGGCCTAATGGATCGTGGTGATAGCGTACTACCCAACGAGTCTGCCTCCCATCACGGGGACTCACCAGACCCATCTGCTGTCGCCAGTATTCCTCCCTCTCATATGGAGGACATGCCCTTCCCTTTCAAATTCAAAGCTCCGAGTGGCCGCGTTCACCGTCTGCAGGTCGTTGTATCTGCTGGTATTGAAGAGCTCATCCACAACGTAGCGAACAAGCTTGGTGGAGAGGTCGAGGTCATAGGAGGCGTACCAAGCTTTGATGACGGCAAGGTTTCCCGGGGTGGCTTCGCTTTGAGCTATCTCGACAACGAGGGAGACACAATCTCCATCACCACCAATGACGATCTCGTTGAGGCTGTCAGTCTATCCCGCATGGCACATCGCGAGAAGGTGGATCTTTTTGTGCACCACCCTGAAAAGGCACCAATGTCCGCCGAGGTCAATCCACAGCCTGGGCTGCCCAAGCCTGTCACACCACCTGAGTCGTCTCTTCGCGAACGTAGACAGTACTTTGACGAAGAGGAAGAGAAGCCTAGATCACGAGGCCGTAATCAGCCAGTACCTATCTCGCAACAGCCAGAGATCATTGCTGGTGTACCAAACGACCTCCTCCTTCCTGGAGCTATCGGTGTACTAGCTGTTGTCATCGTCGGTGTCTTTGTGCTTGGCCGCGCCAGTCGGTAAGATTTGGGTGGACGTTAGGTAATTTGTGTTGGAGTATGAGCGAGAAAGCATTGTTTCCTTTGTGATAACCTGATATCCCATAGATCCCTGGGTGTTTCCTAGCAGTTTGGCAGTCAGATTGAATACATTTTACTTCCGCCTCCTTCAAGGAAAAGCCTGAATAGGTTTGCAGCCTACGTTAATATGAAAACATGCAAGGTAGGCGACCTAATGTTAACGTAGGCTCTAGGGTGTGCCGACTTCAATTTTAAGCAATCAAATGTCCCATAGAAATATGCTGTCGTTATACTTCCTTTCGTGAACACTACTGCAGGCGTCGAAGAAAGAAAAAACAGCCAACATCATTTTCGAAGCAATTATGACGGCGAGGGAAGAACTTCGAGTGACGAGTACAGTAGCGTGACATACTGCTACTTGCATTATTACTACAGCACACCAATCAAGGGTGAGTTTGAATGCCTACTCCCCAAGGAGAATAAAAGAAACAACAGTGAGAACTACAATGCCTTGAGATTTTGTTTCACTTTCATACAGTGAAGCTGCGCGGAGGTTGCGTGGGTGCTGCAGCTAGCGCGCGGTACGCCAAGAGATAAGATTAGATCCGCTTAAGCGAATTTCGTCGACACAGTGCGCGACGTCAGGAAGGAACGACTCTCACGACAACACCCCCACCGCTGACTTCTAGATACATCTTCAGTACGCTCCCCGTGTTCCCTCAACCCAAAATTCCGCTCACACAACTCGATAGAATCAGCAGCCATGGTTAAGAAGCGAGCGTCCAACGGCCGAAACAAGAAGGGTCGCGGCCACGTCAAGCCCATCCGTTGCTCCAACTGCTCGCGATGCACACCCAAGGACAAGGCAATCAAGAGATTCACCATCCGCAACATGGTCGAGTCCGCTGCCATCCGTACGTCTCCCGGCCACGCTTGCACCGCGTCAAACTACAAAACAGAAGGGGCGTCATTGGGGAATTGAAGACTAACGCCACGCAGGTGATATCTCCGATGCCTCCGTATTCCCCGAGTACACCGTCCCCAAGATGTACCTGAAGCTCCAGTACTGCGTCTCTTGCGCTATTCACGGCAAGATCGTCCGGTACGTTGAGCCCGCACGAGGATTCGGATGAGCCTATGTCTAACACACTCGCAGTGTCCGCTCGCGCGAAGGCCGCCGCAACAGGGCCCCTCCCCCAAGGGTCAGGTACAACAAGGACGGAAAGAAGATCAACCCCAACCAGGCCGCTGCTAAGACTACCACTGCTTAAGTGGAGTGTGGTTCGAAAACGGAATGATCATGGCGCTTGGTGTGGGGTCTTACGGTTCTTTCGGAATGTCATACTGGAAAATGCATGATTCCAGAAGGAAGGGCAGGCTAAATGACGAATCATGGTTAATGCTCGCTCGGATTGCCTGCCTGAGCAGCACCGAGAGCTAGCTATGAACTTGTAAACGAATATCCAAGTCGACTTGCACCAACTCTACGTCTGCCGCGGTGATGTCCATTGGGTATTGACTATGCGTACAGCCCTCATGGCCGAGCTCAGTTCACGTTCACATTTGGTATGCAATCTAGATGTCACTGCAAATGTGATGAGGAAGTGCACTCTGTGCTTCGTTCCGCCGATCCAAGCCAATTCTTCGTCCTGTATATCGTAGAAATCATCAACTTAGTCATTCCGCTTCTTCCCTTCCCCCAAGTCACCACCATCCTCGAGACTCTTCCCGTTTGCCGGCTCGGGTTCAGTTGTTTCCCAGTCTTCGGCGTTCTCGTCCCATCTTTCAAGCTCCTCGTCCACAGTAGTTCTGACAACACCGGACTCCTGCCCTTCGAGATTCTCTCCCAACTCAATATCTCGCTCCTCGTCTCCAGCGACGGCTGTGTATCCGCGCGCAGCCCGTTTGCGCTCGAGCATGCGTTTGTGGTACCAATTGCATAGGCCGAGAGCGAGGAGCGAACCGAGGACGTTGGCTATGATGTCGTAGTAATCAAAATCGCGATGTATCTTGACATGTGTCAGCTTCTTGCTCAGTCTTTCCTCCCATATATTCACTCACAGGCAACAGCCCTTGTACGACCTCACTCGCGACTCCCAGACCAATCGTGCACACGGTAAAGGTGAGCTGCAAGACTTTCCTCCTACTCGTTTCTAGTATCCAGTAGAAGCATAGTGTGAGTAAGAAGAAGGCGATGAAGTGCAAGGCTTTATCCGATTGCTTGTATGAGGGGATCTTGTAGTCGGGTGGGGAGAAGCCGGCGCCGGCGCTGATGAAGATAAGGGCTACGAAGGCACCTGTATAGAGGTTAGCTTGTCATTACACGGAAGCAGAGCGCAAGTTCGAGGAACACGCCCGTTTCCAGGTTGAATGCTTCAGCGCCGTGCCTCGAGCTCTCTGACGTATGAAACAGCGAGTGCGACCTACCAGCAAATGGCTTCCGGATGCGCATGGTGACTTTGTACAGCGGCGACTATAAGCACTCGAGGAGCATGTCCAGCCCCAAAGATCGGAAAGTTGCAATCAGCGGGCTGCAAGAGCTACCAAGCGTTGTTATGCGGCCACAAGCTGGCATTCTGGCGGAACTGGCTTGCAGAAAGCGACTAACGGCTTTTGGTGTTCCCACTGTCGATCACGTGTGGAACCTGTGAAAATCGACAACCTAGGAAGCTGCGGGTAGGGGCGGGTAGTTTGATTGACCCCAGGTCCGTGATCTGTGTGCCTGGCGCTATTTCTGCTTTTGAGGTTAGGTTTAGGATGGAGATTCTCGGCTGCCAGGGCAGATGTGTGAGAAGCCTTCCCCGATGATGCTGTATCACCAATACGGTAGATTTACGTCTGTAAATCTGATCGCTCTGACTAAGTACTCCATGACATACTGTGTGCGAATGTCAGGTAATGTAGGAAAGAACGTAGATTTCCTAGACTGCACGTAGAATGTAAACCAGAGGTATTCGGGTGTGCTGCTGACGGCAAGCATAGCATAACGTTTAGCGAATACCTCTGGGTCGCTTCTTAGAGATATGCACGGTTCAGAAAATAACAAGTGTCTTCCAAGTTGTTCTTCGGGCTACCGCAGAAGGCATAAGAGTCTTCGAAGTTGACAAGTAAACGTGATCTATGTACGCCCAAAGATACCGACACGGAGCCAAGTCAGTGCGCGCATGACGACCGGGGGCAAGTCGAGGACATTGGCGACGTAGATACAATCTATTCCCGTGATAAAAGCACTGCGACGCGTACATGCAGCAGTTACAGTGTTTTGATATCAGGAAGTGGGTGATTATCTGGGTTTACGTGCGGGATGGAGCTAATTAAGCTAGCCTAACTCCTCAACTCCAACTTTAAACAAACCACACGTTCGCTCATCAAGGCCGCATTTTTGGCCATCAAGACACGAGCCCCAGACCTTCTTTCATCTCGCAGTCATCGGAAAACTACTCGCTCGACCCATAGCTCCTTCCATGCTTGATTTCATCGCGTTGCGACACCTGGACCAGTTGGGACGTCGCCCTCTGGCGCCTTCCCCGTAGGTCGCGAACCGCCAAGACCCCCCACAGCCGACGACGACGATGTCCTTCAGCGCTTCTCCATATCCTCCATCATCGCGAGAACGCCCAAGCCATGCCCGCTATCTGAACCAACCGCCCAACGCGACTCGTTTACGCACACCCAATGCGACGCTGAATGATGAGGCGGCCATGTCAAACGCCTCCAACGCGATCAACATGGGGGATGGAGACATGGTTGGAGAGGAAGACCCCCGCGCGGCGCGATGGCGCGAGAACTTCCTGCGCACTGAAGCGCGCCTCTCTGCAGTACTCAGCGGCACGTACGAGGGTGATGCTGTTGATGCCCTGGACAATGAGCCGCGCCCGTCATCCGGGGATGCGGCGGCGCATGACGCGCGACCGGCCACCACCCCGAAGAAGTTAACCCGCACAATCGACGAAGACGACTACGGCGACGATGAAGACGACGAAGACGAAGACGAAGACGATACCCGCACCTCGCCGCTACACTCAAAAGGCGCTGCCAATGGCGTTGCTGCTGCCGCTCCCAGCACGCCAAGCCTCCTCCGCGTTCCCTCCGTATCGAACAAGTCAGGTCACGACCGGACCGGAACTCCTTCGTCGGATCACACAAAGACATCAGACGATGTGCGCAAGAAATTACAACAGGATAAGATTGCGACCGAAGATGCGGCCAGGCGGAGCTTCCAAACCATGTTCTACTCGTTGGAAAGTGATCGTGACGCCATGCTAGAGCAGCAGAAGCTTGACGAACTCGACCGTCAAGTAGAGATAGAAACATCCGGAACGCCTGCGAATGCACCCCCCAACAGCGTCGTCGTCGCACCCCAACAAGGCACTCTAAGTACCACTAACCTCGGCGCGTCTAGTCTCACACTCAAACACCTCATCTCCCGTATCGATGCACAGAGAGACAAAGTCCATGCGACCGATGCGCAGCTCCGAAGCCTTATAAGCGAAGTCCGCAAAAATAGGAGTAAATGGGCAAACGAGGAACGTGTCGGGCAGGAGGAACTATACGAGAGTACAGAGAAGGTCCTTATGGAACTCAAGGCCAACGAGCATGCCCACCCCTTCCTTCAACGCGTCAACAAACGAGAGGCTCCGGACTACTACAACGTTATTAAGCATCCCATGGATATCGGCACGATGATGAAGAAGCTCAAGCAGCTCCAATACAAGTCCAAGAAAGAATTCGTCGACGATCTTATGCTCATATGGTCAAATTGCTTAAAGTACAACGCGGACCCAAGTCACTTTCTTCGGAAAAAGGCACTACACATGAAGAAGGAAACCGAAAAGCTCGTCCCCCTTATTCCGGATATTACTGTTCGCGATCGTGCAGAAGTCGAGGCAGAGGAGCGCAGAATGCGTCATGGCGACGCAGATGCCGACGGCGCCGATGACAGCGAAGACGAAGAACCTATCATGGCTTCACGAGGACGAAAGGCACCAAGCAAGGGAGGCAAAGGCTCAAGTACAGCAAGGAAGGCTCCTCCAGCAGGTCTGGAGGACACACCGGGACCGGAAACAAAACCATCAGCTCCATCTCTCAACAACGCAGTCTCCAATCTTAAGAATGAGTTTCTACGCGCAGACTCCGAAATGGAAGGCAGCGTGAACGGCTTTTCGACACCTCCCCCACCCGGTACATTGACGCCGTTAGGACCGAATAGCATCTCGCGAAACGGCGTGAATGGTAGTCAAGCCGATGTTTCTGAGGCTGACGGCACTGGTATCTCGGTCAGTGATGTTCTGGAAGAGGATGCTGACCTGGACGATCTGGAGTACAAAACATGGAAACAAGTGACGAAAAGAGATCGAGCAATCATTGCGTCTGAAAGGCATAGACTGTTCCGTGACGACCATTTGCAGCCAGATGAACCTGCCATTCTGCGCACAAAAGCTGGCATGAGAAGGTGGTTACGACACCGAAAGCAAGCTATCGAGGATGAGACTGCAAGCGGGACCGTCTCCGCTCCGGACGGAAAAGACGGCGTTCAGGCCACGGCTGGCGAGTCACTCGCTGAGGGCATCGAAGGAGAAGAGGAGCGCCAGATTCCAGATTACTACGACCCCGTGTGCGCCATCCCCGACCTTTCTGAACGCCTACAATGGGTTGAAGACCCTGAAGGTTATGTCATTCCTCAAGCTGAAGAGTACATGCGTATTCTGCCAAAGGGGCAGTTTGTTTCACCAGACAGCGCTCTGGTGCACAAGTTCGATGATAACAACCACATACTGCAAGAAACCAGGAAAATTTGCGCAAAGATCGGCATCGTCAAACAGATGCAGATCCAATCTCAGGTAAGTGTTTATCCGAATCAAGAAGGAATATGTCCACCGCTAACTCGTGTAGCTCTACCAAAACCAGTTTCAAAGATATGAACCGCAGCCTTTCCACGAGGCAGACATTGAGCCAACAGTTACATCCGAGGACGGACCAGTCATGGCCCCCTATGTCTGCCGCGCCGCCTTACAACGCAGCGTTGGCAAGGTCTTCTATCATGCTGGTTTCGAAGAGTTCCAGCCATCAGCTCTTGATGCCGTCACTGACATTGCGGCGAAATTCTTCCAGAATCTTGTTGCAAGTCTTGGAGTATATCGCGAAACACCGAAGATGAAGTCAGATGTCCCGATCACTCTTCCCAGCGGTCAAGCCACAAGTTGGACACCACGCTTTACTCAGGAAGAAGCTGTCCTTCACTCTTTGCACGCCAATGGTGTCGATCTTGAGTCTCTCGAGACTTATGTCAAGGACGATGTTGAAAGGCTTGGTACCAAGCTTGGTGGCATGCATGATAGGATGCGGTCATACTACGCTGAACTCCTGCGACCAGCTATGGATAACGCTGGTGCTGACGGGGCTGGTGCTTTCAACGACGGTAGCGAGCAATTCGTGGGCGGAGACTTCGCAGAAGACATTGGCGAAGACTTCTTTGGTTTCAAAGAGCTCGGTCTTGACATTGAGTTCGGACTCACTTCCAGTGTCCCGTTGCATCTACTACAGAACAGGGTGCACAATGCATATGCCAGGCAGGACAACAGGTATGTTTCGCGATCTGCTTTGATGAGGTTCTTACTAATATTCACAGCAATATTACTACCACTGGTGTCATTATGCCTGAGCCACCAAAGTTCGAGCCTGTCACCGTCCAGACCGCTGAGAACCAGATTGGTCTTCTCCAAAATTGGCTCATGGGTAAACTCCATGACAACAACAGCCAGCCGCTTATCGAGGATGATGATCTTCCTCCGAAGCAGCGATTCCCTAAGCCACGCTTGCCACCTACAGGAAAGATCTCCAGTCCTCGGAAACGCCCTCTCAGAGAGCAACAACAAATGGCTCGTAAAAAGCGTAAGCTGGACGAGGAGAAGGATGACAATGGCAACGACCAGGGTGGCTTCACGAAAGGCATTGGCAAACCTATCGGTAAGCTGAGGCTTGAACCGGTGCAAAGAGAGAATCATAGCGTGCAAGAGCCAGAGAAAGAGGATGGTAGCGCGCATGGTATGCCGAGCCCACCCGAATCTTTCTAGGAGCACTGCATTGGAGGGCTAGAACTGGCGGATCTACTGCCGCTGTGACCTTCCGTAATTTCGACTTTCCGGTACTCATCCTGGGTTTTGAGAAGCAGTCGTCTGCATTCATTGTTTCATTTATCGACATATCTCTATTCTGTCCGCGCTTTCGACGACTGCTTTGGGTCAACTCTGCGCCGTTATTATTCATTACCACAGATCGGACAGGTCTTTTTGGCGTTCGTAATTTTCCCTTTATCTTGCTCATCATATCCCGGTGGGCGCAAATTTGTCTTACTACACGGGGAAGGCGGTAGGGCTCGTCCTTGTATACCCATCCTGCATTATGCCCAGTGGCCTTTTGTGCATTTCCTGCTTGCGTGTTTGCGACGCCAGTTTGGTCTCATGATGGACCAGCTTTGGGCTTCGTTTTTTGCTCTTTGTATATACCAGGCCGATGAGATTAGGGAGGTGACCACGGCACTCATGAGGCTGAAGATATCTCAATACTACTTTTGTAGCATGATCATGTCATCTGTTTGGTGTGTGACTTGATGACTGGTTGCTAACGAGGTGGTGCAGTAGATGTGGAGTACAAATGCAAATACTAATACGACGTAATGACACAGCTCACATCGTATTTAGTTGCTATCGATTGCTATTGTTTCCGCTGCAGTGTGTGGTCGCCCAGATGCCGAGATCATACTCAGGACGATCCTACGCAGACAACACGATCGACTTTCATGTCACCAATAAGAAGGACAAGCATGAGAGGTGCATGGGGGAGAAGCTACCAGGTCTCGAAGCATGCGCTGAAATATGAGGCCCTTTCACCACTACTGCATCTATTGCGGAACCTGGCCGCAGTGAGACATCAAAGCTTACGAAACTAGGCACACGATGATTTTGAGATTACATAGCAGCTACTCAGATTATATCAAGACATTGCGATAGCGACAAGTACCTTCTCATAACAAGTAGTAGGCTCAGCGCCTTTATCAGAGACTTGAATTGAAAGAGGGAACAACATCAGTAACCTTGTTAGAGTACTTCCAAGGAGCACGCAAGTACGAAAAATGGTTCAGATGAACGTGAAAACTCGTATGAGCCAATGACGCGCAGATAAGCCTCCAAATTTTACAATGAGTGATGAGGAGTGAAAATTGGTGTTGGTGATATGCCTCGATTCGATCAGTTTTCTCGAGCTCAAATTGGCTGCTATTAGCGCAACTTGCCTTTTGCGCGGTTTCCACCCGTGGGCACCTGGACCTTGGAGCGAGTCTGCATCACAAATCGACCCAGACCTCAATAAACGTCAGTTGCTTATCTTTGATAAGTAGTTGCCGCCGTTTGATTTATCGCAACGTCGCCTATTGGGAAAGCTGAGCTAAGGTGGCACGAGTGGACTTGATCTGAGATCCTGTCACTTCACGACCTCCACCGCTTTCTTACGACAACCATCAACGCGCATCTCCCCGCGCCACTTCATTCCATACTTCTAGTCAACCCAATCTCTTATTGCGCATTTTTGGGTCCGCATCATCAGCCCGCGTCAATTTCTCCAACCTGTTCTTGCGCTTGTCACGGCCGCCGCTCAACCTTGGCTGCCATTGTGTCTTTTTCTCGGTTCACCATGGCTCCCAACGGCCACGCGGCATCTGGAAAGAAGAGTACCCACAAATCTAGCGACAGCTCTCCCGTTTTCTGGGAAGACAGGCATGGTCACCGAGAGTTCATGGATTGGAAAGAAGCAAATCAGAACGGCCCTTTCCCATCATACGAGGAATGGGTGGAGTCTCAAAAAATTACTGGCGGTCTTTCGCTATACTACACAGCGCTGAGCATGTTTGAGGAGTCTGATTCCACTGTAAGTTATTGTCATCATGAGCCAATTATACCGTTTGCTAACAGCCCCAGGACGAAGAGGCCCCATCCGTCAAGGCCAAACCACAAGTCACCAAGTCTCGTGGTCAGGTCGGCCGGCCAAAGAAGACTGCGGCTACGAACGGCAACGGAGTGTCACGGGCGGCAGAGTCTGCGACACCATCGGCCGTGGCCAACTCGGAAGACCAGAGTCCCTCTGGTAAGAAGAAGCGTAAGGCGCGGAAGAAGCCACTCGTGAGTACTCTCCGCATACCTTCGCCTAGTTACTAATAAGCATAGTCTGATGAGGTCATCGCCTCAGCGAGCGACGACGGTGAAGCCAGCAAGGATTTTGGAGCGTCGGCGGCCATGGCGGAGACTAGGACGCCAAAAGTACCAGCCATCGCCGTCAATGGCCAGCGCAAGTCTTCTGCTCGAAAGGCTAGGAAGAAGCCTATTGTGAGTTTCATTGTCCATACGCAACCCAGTATACACTAAACTGTCTACAGTCGGAAGAAACCATCTCGCCCGAAGATGAGCTAGAGGACCCGATGGAGACTACGATCGATGAGGTTGCTGCATCTGCAATCGTGTCTCCTCTTCCTGTTCGATCTGGTATGTGAATTTCGGAACTATTTGGAAAATTAATTACCCCACCTGTGTAGCTTTTTCATATTCACCAAATACTGGCCGTGCCGAATCTCTTCATGCTTTGACATTTCGCAAGACCTATTACTTGCTAATATCTTGTGTTCTTGCTAAAATATGTCACAGCTCCGAAATCGTCGACCGCAGCAACAGGGTCAGAGACACCGAAGAAGAGCCACATCCTCAAATTGAGCACCAGAAAGACACCGAAGACCAAGACCGCCGTAAGTATTCGTCCCGCGATTCACGGTCAAATTGCTGATATGTTGAAGTCCGAAGACTCTGTCATTGAAAGCGGAGCTGCCGATGCAGGTGTTCACCCTCAAGCCACGCCCACCGACGTTGCAGCTGTAACCGAGCCAGATGCGACAGTCATCAGGAACGTTACACCAAGCGCTAGTGGTAAGATGGCTCCAGATATTGACTCTGCTGCGGCTTCTCCAGACCCGACTACCGCGTCAGCAGGCTCCACTCGACGCGGACTGCGGACACGAAAGCCAGCACAGCAGAGGCCATACTACCACGACTCGCAGCTCTTTGAGGATGTAGAGCCCACGAATGGAGACGCTCAGGGATCAAATGACACATCACCGACTGCAGAGGGCAGGAGAGCGTCGGTGGCGTCGATCAGTAGGAATATAGATGACGCCCTTCTGGCTTCGCTAGATGAAGAAGCCATGGCTTTGCTTCAAGAGGAAACGGAGCCGGAGCCTGCAAAGCCCAAGCACTTTAAGGGCAAAGGTCGGGCGTGGAAGAAAGAAGGTTCCGACGAGGACGAGGAGTTCTCTTTGGCTGCCAAGAAGAAGGCTGCCAAGGCTGCGAAAATGAAGGCCAAAGGCCAAATCCCCAAGAAGCGGGGCAGACCTAGGAAGAGCGGTCGGTCTGAGGAGCTTATTGATGAGGAGGACGAGGACAAGGAAGCGGTCAAGCGGAAGCGACTACCACCGCGCAAGAGCGCGTTGTCTGAGGAAGTCATCATTGAAAGCTCCGAAGACGAGGAAGCGAAGGAGATGGAAGTCGAGGAGTCTACAACACCCAAGTACACTCCTAACAAGTCCTACACCCCACAGGGCTTGCCGAAATACATGTCCAAAGCTGACATTGGCATCAACGGCGACGCAGAGTTCGGCACTGATGACGAGCCGGAGGTCGCCAGTCCTTCCAGGAAGACCGTCTGAGGTAGATTTGGGGAGTCCAGTAAGCTACAACATACTGATCTGCGGGTTCTCGGGAGCAAGCTAATGCGTTGAATGTAGACAGGCTTTACAGTTGAGAGTCGAGATGGTTCCCACATTTCATTTGTCTCTTTCCTGGGTAGCATATTCGGATGGGGTGTATCACGGTGTTTGGGTAGAGCTTTGGGGCTATCAGAGTTGCATATGTGATAGGAAGAGAGAGGCGTAATAATTGAGCCTGCATGCTGTCCGCCTAAAGCGGTGATAGATTGTGGTATTCAGAGCCTACATACTTAACGTGTAGTCTGATAATAGTATTACAAGATTCGGAAGCATGCACCGCACTATCCACTTGCCGATTGACCAACATTACAATAGCTTAACAGCACACGGAACCTTATCAGGAAGTCCTTCACGTCTGCAAAACGTGTTGAGAACACCCCGGCTGTATTGTTGCCCTCAGAACCTAAGACCCTGCAATCTGGCGAAGTAGTACACAAGCCCAAACGTCAATCCCCCTAGATGCCCGGCATGACTTATTCGTGAGTTCGAGTCGTTGAGATAAAATCCATCGTAGACGGCATAAAGGGTAGTCAAAGCCCAAAGCGGCATCGGTATGACGCCATAGATCAGCACTTTCGCGTGCGGGGCCATGCACGCTGCCACAGCGCCGATGCCCATGACGGCTCCGGAGAATCCAAGAGTTCTTGAATAGTCTCTGGCATTGGGGCCTTGAGCCCGCAACTTATAATACCGATTGAACAAAGCGCCCACTCCTCCCGCAATCCCTGAGCCCAGAGCGATAATCAAGTATCGCACTGGCGTTATAACAGGCGCTGCCGCTAAGAAAGAGCCCAAGAAATAAACACTGATCATGTTCGACAATATGTGGAAGAGATCCACGTGGGTGAATGCCGCAGTGAGCAGCGATGTGTAGTTTCCGTTTCGAAAGTTGGTCAGGTTCAATGTCATCGTGTCCATGAACTTTGCAAATGGCATGTGGAAGCCCTGTAGAGCTTGGCTCTTAAGAAAGGCCGCGTACCCGAAGACGGCGATGTTGGTGCCCATAAGTCCATACAGAACAAACTTGTTGGATCTCACTTGAGCACTGTAAACGTCGTATCCGCGGGAGGAGAAGAGGCGTGGTCGTGGTAGGCTCAGGTGTCGTGGTGTGTGCGAAGGCGAGAAGAAGTGGGAGGACATTTTGTTGGAACTCGTGGGTGTCCTGAACGTGCGAAGCGTCCTTGACAGGCGGAGCAGAGACGACATGGTGACTTATGGGTGTTGGAATAGGAGCGATGCGGCAGCTGTATACCTAGGTATACAGATATCGAAATCGAGAACCGAAATAGGTGACTAATGAAAACAGATCCTGTTATTGACTTGGTTGTATGGCCGATATGTTTTTGGTGGGTATGCGCTACATCCGTAGTCAATACTCATGTTGTCTAGCAGGCAGCATAATACATGTAGACGTACAGTGAGAGCGAACCTGGCGCGTGTTATCAATACCGAAAGCGGCAATTAAAGGATACGCAATGGGAACACGTCGCTATCATCGCGCAAAAGTCCAAGATTTCAATAGTCAAGAATTGGATGTCGCAGACTGGACTGAGAAAGTCCCCGTGGCACAGGCGAGCTTCCAGACCGACGTCAGAAGGGCCAATGACAAGCACGCACGGACCCTTGCCCTCCACCAGCTTCAAGTTCCTTCTGCATAAAGCGGCCCGCCCAGCTACCACAACACCACACAGACCGACCTCACTGCACAAAATTACGCCATCTTCTCTGCGCTTACCCTCTCGAGGCCTATACTAACTCCTACTGTCTCCAGTAACCCCCGCGTGAACCTCCACTCGCAGACGACTCCACAAGGCGAAACCACGACATTGCGACTCTTTCGAGCCTCAATCAGCCTCTTCACAACGTACACCACCACGAGAAGCCGACACCCGAGTTGCTACTAAACAGTTAGCACTCCTATCTCGCGCTCACCTAACCCCACTTTCTTCAGCATATACTATACGAGCCTCCACACCCAAACCCCTCACTTGCATCTGCTCTGCTCTGCCGCAAGCGTTGCACATACACCAATCGCGCCTCTATCCACACTGCTAGACCTTGACGTTCCGACCAACAACCCCACCTTCGGTGGACCCACATACACAATGACTTCAGAAATCACCAACCAACTAGCGGCAACGCAGCTAAGGTGAGTTGATGTCAAACGAAGCAAGAGCTACGCGCTGACATGTTCCCAGCGATGCTACACCATCAGGGGAGGCAAACTGGAAAGCTGGTTTGAATGCGCCGGCGAAGGATGCGCGACCCCAGACAGAGGTAGGCCATGGGCTTGGGAATCGGATATATTGGACATGAGCTAATGCCAGGGTAGGATGTTACAGCGACAAAGGGCCTCGAGTTCGAAGATTTCTTTATCAAGCGCGAGCTCATGATGGGCATTTTCGAGGCTGGTTTTGAGAAGCCGTCACCAATTCAAGAAGAGACGATCCCAGTAGCCCTCACTGGCCGAGATATCCTCGCGCGAGCGAAGAACGGTACCGGAAAGACTGCCGCCTTTGTTATTCCTACCCTCGAGCGCATAAACCCAAAGAGCCCCAAGACGCAAGCTCTGATCCTCGTCCCCACCCGAGAACTCGCACTCCAGACATCTCAGGTTTGCAAGCAATTGGGACAGCACCTCGGCGTAAATGTCATGGTCTCGACTGGTGGCACAGGACTGAAGGACGATATTATTCGGTTGAGCGACCCTGTTCATATCATCGTTGGAACACCTGGTAGGATCCTGGACCTGGCTGGAAAGGGCGTAGCAGATCTGTCCGCATGCCAAACATTTGTCATGGACGAGGCTGACAAGCTCCTGTCGCCTGAGTTTACCCCGGTTGTAGAGCAGCTTCTCGGCTTCCACCCCAAGGACAGGCAAGTCATGCTGTTCAGCGCTACTTTCCCTATCGTAGTCAAGAGCTTCAAGGTACCTTTAACCAGCGTCTCTACTATGATAAGCTTGCTAATACAGTACAGGACAAACACATGAACTCTCCGTATGAAATCAACCTAATGGACGAGCTGACACTTCGCGGTATCACACAATACTACGCCTTCGTTGAGGAGAAGCAGAAGGTCCACTGTTTGAACACCCTCTTCAACAAGCTGCAGATCAACCAGTCTATCATCTTCTGCAACTCCACAAACCGTGTAGAGCTTCTTGCGAAGAAGATCACCGAACTCGGATACTCCTGCTTCTACTCGCATGCGCGCATGCTTCAGCACAACCGTAACCGCGTCTTCCACGACTTCCGCAACGGTGTATGCCGAAACCTTGTCTGTTCGGATTTGCTCACCCGTGGTATTGATATCCAGGCCGTCAACGTTGTCATCAACTTCGACTTCCCAAAGAACGCCGAGACATATCTGCATAGGATCGGTCGATCTGGCCGTTTCGGACATCTGGGTCTGGCTATCAACCTGATCAACTGGGAAGATCGCTTCAACCTTTACAGGATCGAACAGGAGCTTGGTACCGAGATTCAGCCCATCCCGCAAGTCATCGAGAAGAACCTTTACGTTTACGAATCGCCCGAGTCAATCCCTCGCCCTATGTCCAGCGCCCAACGCGTTCCTGGTCAAGGCCAAGGTCAATCACAAGAACAAGATGGTGCTTCTCGCGGTAATCCCAACGCACGAGGCGGCTTCCGTGGCGGTCGTGGTGGCGGCGGTCAATTCCAGGGACAGCGCCGAGGTCCTCCACAAAACCAACAGAACCGCCAGCCAAACGGTCAGAACCCTCAGCGAAACCCTAGGCCACAGCCTACAGGTCCACCTCCTGCCTCGTAGAACAGTCTGGTCGTCCTGGTCTCTGCGCAGTGTCTTGAACCTGACGTCTAGAATACGTCTCTATGTCGCGACAATTTCCTGTTTGGAGGCTGCGATATCGTTTGGTTGCGTTGCATCCAGATGTTTTCATTACATTCCTTTCATTTCCATGACTATGCGGTCAGTCGCGCCGACGACGCGGTACGGAATATCTGGACTTCTGCTTTCAGGTTTAACGAATCGAATCATCGGCGCAATACGGTTTTAACGATCTCGACCTTTCTACATGTACTATATACCAAGGTCTACCAGGGTCGCGTCTAGTTTTTGCTTTGCGTCGGTTGGCTGGTTTCGCCGACTTGCGTTGCTGGAGCCTTTTGCCTCTGCAGCAGAGTGCACTGTCTCCAGTTCCGCGCGCTCTTAGTCTTCATTTCTCACTTCCATCCTCTGTTCAACAGCATTTGGCGGTTAGGTATAGTCTTTTCAAAAGCCCAGTCCTCCTTGTATAGAGGATCGCGATTGGGTATGATCTTCTTCGGTACGACTATACCCTGTTTACGACGCTACTGGATATGTGTAGCTCTATCGAGCTACTCTACGTCTCCATTGACGGTACTATATCACCTCCATCTCTGGCTCTTGACAGCAATTACTGTCTATGGCCATACAACCACATTATCTCCCTACTCGATGCGATGCTACACCTTGTCGCATGTCATTATGCTATGGACTTCAGCGGCCCTTCTCCCTCCCCCAGGATGCCGCACCTACTAAGCGCTACGATTGAGCTGCTTTCAAGACTAGTCATCTGCTTTGCACAGCAGGCCCAAGACCAGACCAGACTGGGTCCATACTTCCGATGCAGTCACGGGATTGCCTCAGGACAACGCTGCATATCGTCCATGTTTGCGACAATTTGTTGCAGACTCTGCGGGTTTCGCGTGGTGGAAGTCTCCCCCAACAAGAAGAGATAACAAGATCCGTTATCGTAACAAGAAAAGAAGAAAAAAAGCCTTTGAGGACACGATTGAAGGGCTCATGGATGACGGTCACGGTTCGCGATGAGTACGGCATTCTTTGCTCTCTCGTCGCCGCAACTACCATACTGATCACGCGATACTATTCTGGCATCGTGTTGAAGCTGCGTTAAGATAGCCCCAGATCCTCTCAATGCGAATTTACTTTCCTCAAGTCGTGTTCCCCTGATGCCTTGCAGCTGGTCTCTCTCCAAGTAGCAAGCTTGGTTGTGGTCAAGTGCATCTGTGTTACGTGGCACGTCTTGTCCTAGTATACCTATGTATCGGCTTGACAGCAAGCAGCCTGGGTAATATTGAGAAGACGCAGATATCAACATACCAGCCCCATCACTTCCAAAATCTACTCTTTCTTATTTACCACCTTGACATGGACCACACGAAAACCCTTCTTAACTCAAACTCATCAAAGGTACTCATCCAACCTCTTGTGCGCAGCTCGTCCTCTCTCCCTTCCTCTCTCTTCCGGCTAACTTTAACAGCAGATGCTCGGCTCCTCAACGGTCGCGACAAAAGCTACGATGTCGTGTTCTCCCATGCTCCACCCGATGACAAAAGCGAGGCTGATCATGCAACCGCGTCATTAATTGCATATGATCTGCCGTCGGAAAAGAAAGGCGAGGTACTTCTAAGCTTCACGTGCACGCAGCCACCTTTCACCATCGGCGCGTGCATACGCGGGATAGCAGAGGAGCTTTGTCGTGAGGTTCATCAACGAAGATGTGGTGTGCATGTTAGATATTCCCATTAGGAATGGACCACTCAAACCATAGATCTGAGGGAGCGGCTGGTGCACATGGTTGGCGTGAATACATTAGTTACCAACGACTGGAAGGTACTCAGAAATGATCTTCAGAGGCCTACACTTGGTAAAAGTTTGCTTTTCAGGTTGCCTAGGAATTTCCAGGGCATCATACTCACCAAACTCACCCATGTCCATGACAATTGCGTTGGAATCCATGACGGCTTGCTTGTCATCAAATGCCATCTTCTGCTTGTCATCAGGAGGTTTGTATAAAGCTATTATTCGGATTACACTATGATCTTTCTACGTCTACTCCACAATGAATAGAGAAGTGGAACGCACCCATCTACGTTCCCTCACCAAAGACAATGCGCGCCTACTTTACGGTCCTGGATATACCTACTACGTCGCCACATCATCACTTACGGCGACAGTAAAATGGCTCAGTCAATTTTGATGGGATATAACGTTAGCGGTATCGTTGGGAAAGTGCTACGTGTCGCCAATGCCACAAAAGGTGAGAAGGACGATGTAGAAGCTCTTGAACGAGGGTTGGTGACACTGCACGAGAATTTGATGGCGCAAGTTACTGCGCTGACTGGTAAGTCAATCAGTTGCTGGGGCGTCCGAAAATGAAGCTGACGTTGGGTTCCCAGGGCGTTTTCCTGAGGGGGACCACATTCAAGACTGAGCTATATGAGCCTTGACTGACACAGCCTTCAAGTGCTGGACGAGACTAATGGGGCTTTGAACATGGGCTGGACGCGGAACATGATTAGAAAGGCATCAAATGAATGGCTTGTAGATATTGTTTCGAACTTGGAGTTTGATACCAAGCGAGTGGTCTGGCCAGCTCGTTACTCATGATACCATCTGTCCTCTAGAAACCCACAGCCACACCAGGCCTTCTCTTCTCAATCCCCAAAACCATGTCTACATACTTCCTGTCAAGAGCTTCCTTCTTCCTTGCAGCAAGTAGCGACGCGCTCTTCAATACGTTCTTGATTTGACGACCATTGAGTTCCACACTTGCCAGTTCCTCCAGATCCTGATCCTTCCATGCCTCCAAGCCACCTAAGCTCCTCAAGAAATTCTGCCAGATGCTCTTCCGCGAGGCAGGTGTGAGGTCTGGGTATGCCATACTGATGTGAATACGAGATTGGAAGGCAGCATCGATGTTATCAACACGATTAGTGGTCAAGAACAACATGCCTTCGTAGTACTCCAAAACACGCAAGAAGATGGACACAAGCTTGTTACGCTCTAGGTCGTGGGTGCTGCGGGCTTCGAGGAAGACGTCGCATTCATCGAGCAGAAGAACAGCGTTCCATTTGGAGATCATCTCGAGGATGTTGGTGAGCTTGGTCTCAACCTGGTCGGGGTCGATGCCCAAGTCGCCTGCTGACATCATGAACAATGGAGCGCGCATGTGCTCAGCTACAGACTCTGCGGTCAGGGTCTGGGAAATATCAGTAATAGAACTGAGTGTGTTTGGCTGAAGCAGCTGATGGATTTGTGATGCGACTTACCTTGCCAACTCCAGGAGGACCGCTGAGCAGAGTGATATGACCACGGCCTTTTCCGCTAATGATGTCGTCGAATTTGCACTGGCTCATGGCTTGCGACTCGGCGAACGAAAGGATGAGCTCCTTCTGATCTTCGGGGAGAACGAGCGAAGCAAAGGCATTGTCATTAAACTTGATGTCTTGGATGAGATCAAGGTAGAAGAACAGCCACTGCTTCTTCTTGAGCGAGTAGCCCCGAACCCTAGGCAAGCATAGAAGGTGGTGGTCCTTTGTGAGGCGTAGGCGTTCTTCCTGATCTTGCTTGCCAAACACGTACTTCATCTCTGTCGGGTCTTGGATTTCGAGCTTCTCAGCGGCACCTTCGGGATTAGGAGCGCATTCTTTTGCGCTAAGAGGATCCACTCGGTTGATAGAACGGGGAGAAAAGCGCTGAAAGCTATCCGAGTCAATGATGATACGGCCGGCGCACATGTAAGGTGCCTCGTTACCCTCCCTATCCCATCCAATCGCGAAGCCATCGTATGCCATGTAGTGGCTGCCAGCAAGTGCTTCGAACTTTTTACCACGGCTGATGAGCGCGTCTCTGACTTTGGCCTCATGGGGATGGAACGACAATGGGAAGGCGGTCAAGCCCAGTATGGGAGCAGTGCCATGAAACTCTCGAACTCGAATAGTCTGGGCAGTACGACCGAAAGTGCTGCCGTTCCAGTCGATGGCCTCGATGTTGATCTGGTACATCCTACCGCACTGGGTGTTGACGTAGGAGCCTGACTTCAATTTGTAGACCCCATAAGCCCCGTTGTGAGAGTTGGAGTAGATGAGAGCACCGGGCTGATACATGATCCAGATGTGATCGAATGTTACGATACCATGGCTGATGTAGTCTTCGAATGTCTTGATGACGTCCCCGAGCTCAGAGGAAAGAACTTCATAGAGTAGCTCAATATGTTCAGCAGTAGTGGCATCGAGATCCTTTCTCCTTCTGTACTCAAGTAGTTGAGCCCATCGATGAACGAAAGGAGTGAATGGCGCCTCGAACTCTAGCCGTTTCAACTCGCAATGGATGGCTGGGTAATCCTTCAGAACTTCAGCAAGGGCAGTCTTGAGCCACGGCGACTGGATGATGATTGAGTGGATCTTGTACTTCCTGCGAGAGTCGTCTGACTTCAGCAGACGAGTGATGAGAGCATGCTGCGCCGTCTCTTCGTTCTCAGCAGGGTCTGCGACATCCTCGGGTTCCGTCTCGGTCCAACTCCACTGTTTATTCTTGTCGCGTGGGCCTTGGTAGAAATTTTTGAAGGATGCAAGAGAACCTTCTGGGGCAAATTCTGTAGCGCCGTTTGTGTCGTTGACACCGTCGATGTGAGTCTTGCTAGGCATGATGATGGCTTTCAACAAAGACAAGGCAAAGAGCCTGAATGAAGTGATAAGAAGTGCGGATTGAGAGACTGAAGACAATGCTTCTGTACTCGATATACTAATAGACACGGTGGAAAGTACCTTCGTTATATACACCAAACCCACCTTCAGGCACCAGCTTTACCTGCAGGAATCGTCCTATTCACCCCGTTCAGGCGTTCCAATTCAACATGAATACAGCGGCGGATACACACTTGGCTGTGCGACCCCATGGTCAATGGACAATTCTGAGTGGCTATCATAGCTGTACTGAGTTACCGTGAGGGAGGTGGCGCAAGGCGTACAATGGTTGAAACCAAGCAGTGGTGCCTAGATGTGGCAAAGTGCTGAAATCCGGTGAAGTCGCGAGCCTTGTCTCAGATGGAGTAATAGGTGACTCAGGCAAATGCAGTCCTCAAGTCATACCTGCAGCGGATGGGATGCTTGGCGTGGAGAAGGTGCGGAGGTCCAGAGACGCGCTAAGACAGCATCCATTGCGCAAGTGCGCATCGCCATGGTCGGAGCAACCCCCCACCATGTCCAAAGAAGATGAGCCTTCATACATCGACTATGAAGCCTTTCTCGATCCAGACTTCTCGGCGACGTCGTTCGCGAACACGCTCGTCCTCTCGACCAACAACCCCTCCGACACCCCGCTAGATCTGTCCACACCACTGTCGCGCGTCCTCTTCGATGTCCAGGAAGTCGACACACATATCGATACCCTGACCACCAAGTCGGCACTGCCGCTGCTGGAACACACGCGAGACCATGCCGAATCGAGCGGACGCATACTGCACGAGGTGGAAGGGCAGGTTGCCAGCTTGACCGAGTCGTACAAGACACTAGAGAAGGAGGTCATTGAGCGCTACGAGGTCGCTGAGCAGGTGCGGTTGACAGCAGAGAGACTCTGTGAGACTGTCAAGCTTGGTCGGGCTGTCGCGCGATGCCTCATGCTAGGCAGACAGCTCGAGGTGCGCATGTCTGAGTTGGGCGGAGTCGGCAGCGCAAAGAGGGAGGATCACAGGGCCATGGTGCGCTCGGCAGACACAATTCTGTCCCTGCGCCAGCTGCTTGCAGCTTGTAAACCAGGCGAGGAGGGCGAGGGTCTGGACAGGGTCGGCGTGGTGAACACGCTCAAGAACGAGCTTGTCAACCCAGGCGAGCGCAGCATATCGTCGCGCGCTCAGCAGGTAGTCAAGGAATTTTCCATGTCCTCGCTACTATCTTCATCAGGTCAGACATCGGCATCTACCTTCTCGCAAACCGAAGACACCAAGTCGAGAACCACGTCCGCGCTGCTAACCCTCTACCTTCTCTCGCCGCTATCGATCAAAACCACGACCAACACCTTCGAACCGACCCTCATGCTCAATGCGCTACAAGACTATCTTCAAACCCAGCTGAAGTCATCCCTCGCATCCCTCGCGCGCGCCTTGGGTCAGCTTCCGACATTAGACCGTACCCTCCTCGAGATATCCGCGCGGTGCCAAAACATCGTCGCACTACAATCCCTCCTCGAAAGCATCAAGCCACCCGCGCACCCACTACTCGACGCCTCGCGTGCCCTGAACTTCTCCAACTTTCTACAACCTCTCCTCCAAGCCCTCGATACATCTTCCTTACCCAGCTACTTCTGGAGAACACTCGCGTCGAATATGGCGCCGAGAGTCCAGGAGCTCATGAACAAGGGCGGTGTATCTGCGAGGACGCTGAGGAGCAACAAGAATGCTGTTGGGGATTCGGTGAAGGAATGTGTGAGTCGTGGTAGTCAGTTGCCTGGGGCGCTGTCGAACAAGGGCGTTGCTGTGACTTGGGAGAGGGAGGCTGCTGTCATGGTCAGGAGTGTGACGGGTCAGATTAAATGAATAACCAATTGCGCAGGAGCGACTTGGATTGTAGCATGGACTTACTGTGACTACCGATTGACGTGAATACCCTGAAAGAAGCTACGTATGCAGTGCCCAGTATCTTGAGGCGTTGATGCCCGGGTCTCAAAGACCATACTTACATCAAGGACATCGGGACAAGTGCACAGCAACATCAGGCATATTCTCGACCTCACCTTGACATCACATGCATTCGCAAAGCAGATTCAGCTATGATGATGAAGATAAAACCGGAACTCCATTAGCTAACGCTACCCATGGTCCCAAGTAAGAAAACGAGAACCGTGTCATTCCCCCATGTAATCATAACCATTTTGTACGCATATACCTCAGCATGTATGAAAAGTGATCAAATGCTGAAAGGGGTACTGGTACACGTGAAAGCGCCAAAGCAACCAAAGAAACTCAAGAAGCGAGTTATTTACAACTCGTCCTTGACGCTCGAGGCCGAGGCCGAAGCCTCAGATGCCGCCGATGAGACAGAGTCGGTGACCTCAGAGGCAGCTGACTTGACAGACTTGGTAGCCTCGGAGGCGGCTGACGAGGCTGAGTCGGAAGCGACAGAGGCGCCGGACTTGACGGTCTCGGTACCCTCTGATGCGGCGGAGGCGGCAGAGTCGGTGGCGGAAGAGGCACTGGCCTTGGCGGATTCAGTAGCATCTGCGGCGGACTTAGCGGCAACTTCGGAGGCGGCCATGGCCTGTTCAGCGAGCTTTTCAGTCGTACCTTCGACGGCCTCGCCAATACTGGCCTCGGCCTTGTGTGATCCGTTCTCCTGGATGAACTGGACGAGGTCCTCAACAGTGCGGGAGCCAGAGTAGTCAACTGGGGAGTCCTTCTTGCCAGCGGGGAAGAGCTTGATGGTGGGGAAACCCTGGATCTCATCGGGAACGTCGTTGGCGGTGGCGTCAACCTTGGCAATGGTCACAAGCTTAGAGAGCTCATCGGAAGCGTAGAGCTGGCCGAGCTCCTCGTACTTGGGAGCAAGAGCCTTGCAGTGACCGCACCAGGGAGCGTAGAACTCAACGAGGACGTCCTTGTCGTTGTTGATGACGACATCCTTGTAGTTGTGGGCGACGATGGTGGTGACGGGGCCGTCGTTGGACTCGGGAATGGGCTCAGACTTGATGCTGGGCTCGACCTTGCCAGCGAGGAAGTCGTCGACGAACTTGCCAATCTCCTTCTCGGTGATCTTGGCCTCCTGGTCGTAGGGGAACTTCTCGTTCTTCTCGGTGCGCTGGATAGCGAAAGCGGGCCAGGTGCCGACCTTCAGGTTAAGGTTACCAGCGTGCTGGCCGAAGGACTTGGCGTCGATGGTGGCGAAGTTGATCGCGCCCTTGTGCTTGAGAGCGAGGGGCTTCAGCTCCTTGGCGAACTCCTCGCGCTCCTCGGGAGTCTCAGCGAAGATGTATGCGAGGGGAAGGCCAGCGGCCATGTATCCGGCGTAGGTCTCGGGGCCGACCTCACCAATGAGAGGGGTAGAGGCGACCTTGGCGAACTCGCGGATAGCGTCCGCATCGAAGGTCTCGGTGAAGACGTCCTTGCCGTCGTCGAAGGACTTGTAGAGGACGAGGCCGGGCTGCTTGACACCCTCAGCCTTGGCAAGGGCGGCGTCGTTGGTGGCTCCGAAGAGGAAGTTGTCACGGAGACCGTTGGCGACCGAGGTGAAGGTCTCGTTGGAGGCCTTGTCGTCGGCGGCGAAGTAGGCGACGAGAACGACCTTGTCGGCAGTCTTGAACTCCTCGAGAGTGTCCTTTGTGACGTCGGAAACGGCGGGGAGAGCCTGCTTGGTCATGTACGAGATCAAGCTGTCGGCCTTGCGCTGTCCACCGTAAGGCGAGACATTCTCGGGGCCGCGGAAGACCTTGAGGGTGGGGTAGCCCTCAACGCCGTACTCCTGGCATAGATCCTGCTCCTCTGTGCAGTCGACCTTGACGAGGGCGATGTCCTTCTCCTTAAGTGTGGTAGCCGCCGTCTCGTACTCGGGAGCAAGTGCTTTGCAGTGGCCGCACCATGGTGCGAAGACTGTAGGAATTGTTAGTTCTGCAATGGTTTATTCGAGTGCTTGATTAGTTCAGAAATGCTTACACTCAGCAAGGACGAGGTCGTTCTCCTCGATGAAGCTCTTGAAGTTGTCGGTCTTCAGTTGCTTGACATCAGATGCGGCGGCAACGGCCGCAAAGAACGCAGCGCAGACAGTCGTGTACTTCATTTTGCTGTGCTTGTGTGTGGTTGAAGTTGAGTAGGCACGACGAATTGGGGTAGAAGTAAAAGAGGACAGCGGTAGAGGTGCGCTTTATATTCCAAGTGGAGGGCTGTGGCTGTCGAGCAACCGTGTTCACTCCAGCTTAGCGCTAGAGAGACATGGTCCCTGCGCCTCCACCTATTTTCACCGCATTGAGAGACCACGTTTAACTTACCACCCACTGCACTTACCCGCCGCATGCCTGTATCCACTTTTCTCTAGCATTTCCCTAGCACTTTCGCCGCCGCCCCTCTATATCTCACTCACATCGCTTGGTCTCTCGCCTGCTTGCAGTTAGCCTGCTGTTCCTGCCGATCCAAAAGCATATTATTAATCTGTGGTCACTCTCTACTTGCCATTCACAACTGCGGCGAGTGTCAGCTTCTGAGGACAGGTGTTCCTTCACTCGGGTCATCCCAGACTGATTCACTCGGAGTGGCTCGTATCATTTCAATCGGCCCTCACCTAGTGGTATACCCAGGTAGTCATGGTAAATGCCGACCGACCCGTGGGCAATCGCTTCCCTACTTGACAAAAGTTCTCGAATCAGGTCGCTGGGTACTCATCAAATGCCCAAGGTCTAAATGGCTCGCTTTTCTCAATTCTGGTACATGAGGTACTCACAATGTGTGTCGAGAGGAAACGTGGTTGTGCGAGATCTTACCGCGGAACACTTCCGTTCTTATCTTATCTAAAAAAGCACATCGCCATCACTGAACGCGAGATGTGTTCTTAGAACCGTGCTCAACCATAATATCGAAGTCAATTGATTACTACAAACCTACGCAGCAGTAGCGACCGTCTGACTTGCATCCTTCGCTTCACCTATCCCCGCTCCTTCCTTCAATTTGCGCATCCTCTCCTCCTCCTTCCTCTTCATCTCTTCTTGAATCCGCACCCGCTCGGGAATAACTTGTTGCCTCTTTCCAGTGATCTTGAACCCCTCAAGCTTGTCCTTCCCCAGCGCCTTCATAGTCTTGCGCTCTACAGCGCTGTAGTTTCCATCGGCACGATCAAACACAAAGGGCTCTTTAACCGACACTGGTGGGTTGGTGATAACGCGGACTCGACGAAGTTGGTTGTTGGACGCCGAGTGCAGCATCAGCGGATGCAAAAGGTAGACGTCGCCAACTACACCGGTGGCTTCCACGAAAGCCTCATCGGGCATACTGGCAGCTAGGTCATTAAACCACTTCAGTCCTTGCTCTTGCACAAACTCTGGGTTTTGCGCTCTTGGCGTCATCCTTGGGCTGACTCCATCAGGATTCTCATATAGATGTTTCGCCACAGTGGGAATGGCGGCAGGACAAATGTAGGTTCCACCACCGCCTGGAGCGATGTCTGACCATAGCGGGATGACCAAAAGCGCTTGCTCGGGTGAATCGAGGTAGTGAACAAAGAAGTCTCCATCGACGTGCCAGCCAGGTAGCTCTTGTGGGCGTACCACTTTGTTGTGACCCTCCGGCGTTCCGAGGTTTACGATAAAGCCATCTTTCCAAGTCGACGCATTAGAATCAACGCGGTCGCTGCCACCGACAAGGTTGCAAATTCCAGCCCAGGCTTTTGGTGCAAACTCTTCGACAGAGAACTCGTTGAAGAAGGGCATATTTGTTCGTTCGGTATGCCTGTATTCGTCATGTTAGTGCCTGTTAATTGCTCCATGTAAGGGACAGAAAGTCGAAGAAGAAAAGCGTACCATGTCGACATGTCTTTGGGATCCATCCCCAATCGTGTCCAGAGCGTTTCCTGTAGTCCTTCTGCTTGCTCTCTTGTAAAGCAGTTGCTCAACTTCAACCATCCGTTGTCCAGAAAGAAGTCGATTTGCTCTTGCGAGAGCTTGTATTGCTCCTCTGCGTTGGCCATTGTTTTGTATAGTAGTGAATTTGAGTGTCGTGTATATTGCGATATTGTCTTCCTTTGGTCGGTGTTGTAGAACTACAAGACTTGTGTCTGGCACCGGAGACAAAGTCAAGCTTATATGTCGTAAGTGAAGATTCAAGAACGGAGTTATGCGCCTAGTAATAGATATCCTATTACCGCCCTCACGCGATTCTTAACGCCACCGACGGTAGGCGTAATGCTGCTAACGGCAGTAATGCCAATTTATCCGGTGGACGATTAGCCATGTGCCCGTCCAAGGTGCTACACGTGCCGTCCCCAGAAGCGCAAGCCCTGGAGATATCCTGCGGGGCAAGCTGTTTGGGGAAGCCGGTGGGGAATACTCTCGTCCTAACGAGAAAGTCGGAAATCATAAGGCCCGCTGCTGCCCCGAACTAGGCTGAGTGCTACAAACATACTTTACTTTATTGCGCTCTTACTACTACGCTATAAATTAAAAACTTAAGGGCTTTGAAACTTGAACTTTAGACAAAAGATGGCGCATCTTTTGTGTATAATTTAGGTAGTATAAAGTATCTCTTCTTTTGCGTAGGAGAATAAGATAGGGCACTGCGAAGACTAGGTTATTTCCGGGTATTTCAACCGTCCGAGAGGCACCAGCAATGGCCCCGTGTTTCCCTTCCGCGGACGCGCACTTTTTGGTTTATTGGCTACAAAGATCGCGACGGGATTTTGACAACGGGAAACGCGCTGCACTACGGCACGACGGATATTCTCCTTCGATTACAGATGACTAATTCACGGGAGTTGGAAGATGATTGCGATGGTCTGTATGCATATTACATTTTACATACAATGGTTACTCTTACATCAGCATCGTCCTTCGCGGAGTAGAACGCCGTCATTCATATCATTGCCGCGTCGCAGGCATTTCGTTCGTAGCCCACCTAGTTTCCAGGCCACCAGATGTAGTTGTTAGTCTCCTCTGGCGTATCGAAGACAAGCTCACTGCTCGAGTTCACCGGCCTATCAGGGAATGCGTTGGTCTCAATGTTCCAGACCTTTATGTCGGAAGCCTTGACAGTAGAGTTGCTGCCGGCCCAGATGCTGAAGCCGGTGCTATCGGTACGAGCAGGGTAGATACGAGTCGTAAGCCAGAAGCGGTCATTGACAAGGACCTCTACGAGAGATCCGTCAACGAAGATGTCCATGTGAAGAGACTCAGTGGTACCGTTGGAAAACGTATAGGGGTAGAAGTATCCGAGCATAGTGTAGTTGGCAAACTGCTCGATGGAAGACGAGTGCGAGCGGTCGACGTTGATGGTGTAGTTCTCTGGAGAATACCAGACGATAGTCTGTTCCTCGTGCCCGGGAGACTGGGCAATGACAACACCGGCAGGTCCAGTGAAGTCAGAGAGCGTAACCTGGAGATGCATGTGGCTGGTGCCATTGCCGGAGACGGCGCCGGAGACGCAGGCATTGTCGCCAGTCTCGACGACATGGGGCTCAGCTCCAGCGTGGAAACCTTCCACAACTTCGGGTAGAGGGCGGGCTCCTAGGGTATATCCAGTGAAAGTACCGTTGCCGTGCTCTACAACGCGAGTGTTGCCCTTGGTTGTGAGACCGCCATCGGTGTTGACCAGATCCTTGGTCTTGATGACGTACATCTCTCGAGGAATTGCCATTGCACCTTGGTAACCTTGCTGGTTGATAGCAAAGTTGTTGCTCTCCTCGTTGGCCCAACCCCACTGAACGCGACGATCGTTCTTTGAGTCCCAGAAGCTGGTGACCGCGTAAAGAAGACCGGAGTCGATGGCGCCGCCTGATAGAGGAGTGAACTCAACAGAGCCGTTGTCCCTTCTGGTGACCTGGCCTTCGTTCCACAGACCCCACTGCGCACGTGGATGCCAGGTAAGGTTGCCGCCTTCAGTTCCCTGTAGGAAGCACGAAGTCAGTACATGTATCACATGTAGCTCTCACGGTCGGAACTTACCATCAGAACGTAGTAATGGACGTCATCGTCCTCGTCAGTCAAAGAAAAAAAGTTGGACCTATAAAGATTAACACACGGACGGTCGCGGCGAGTGGGGTTTGCTTACACTTCGAAGTTGAAACCGTAGGTACCGGTCTCGATCAAGGAGCCAAGAGTCTCGTTCGTTTTGGGCTCCCACAAAGCGCCAAGGAAAGTCCAGTCTGTCAAGTTGCTGGCGGGAGCACTGTAGAAGGGAATGCGACCACCGCCGCCTTCGCCCTTGATACCAGAGCCCAAGACCATGTACCAGTGGGGCTCCTCTTGTCCTAAAAGAGCATCCATCTCAGGCCAAGGCTTGTACAAGTCAGTGATTGAAACGTGATGTATGTGTTCGGAGCGATGGCATACCTCGACAAAAGGATCACGCCATCCAGTAATATTCCAGCCACTCGGCGGCTCGGACATGACAGGGTTGCCAGCGTACTGCTCCCAGGTCTCACCACCGTCATTAGAGATGACGATGCTCTGGCTCTCAGTTCCTTTAATATAAGGTAAGGCCCAGTTTGTTGGCAGGTACTGAACAGAAGTGTAGAAGGCGATGAGAGTACCATCGATCTCTCCCTTCAGGTTGTAAGGCTGTGCCGAGCCTGAGAAGATACCAAGGCCATAGTAACTGCTGTTGTCGGAGTCAGGGTAGGGACCGGTGCCGACAGACTGCAGGGGCGGGAACATGAAGTCAGTAGATGTCTCACACGCAGCTCGTAGAGCCAGAACTTACCTGGGCCTGATCATCTTCCCAGCCTCCGACATCTGTCCAAGTAATCATGTCTTTGGAAGTTGCATGACCCCAAGAGATGTTACCCCAGTTGACATGGTTGGGATGCCACTGGTAATGGAGATGGTAAGTATCCGTGGTAGGATCGTACATCATTCCACATGCTACAGAGTTAGAGATATGAAGTCAGTATTTGTCTCACATGCACTTCGTACAGCCAAAACTTACGATCGTTGAGCCATCCTGCCGGTGCGGAGAAGTGGTAGGTAGGGCGCCATCTTGTGAAGAGAGTGTTGTTGCCCAAGCCCTCGATGATATCGGCAGTCAGTACAGCTGGCACCTCCTGCGCGCCGACGGCGGAGAGGCTACCAAGCGCAATGCTCAGGAGAGGAAGAGATCGAAACATGATGAGCTTGCAGATCGATACTCAAATCTAACAGCAGCCATGAGAGGTTTATGTACTTTTCCGCAGTAAACAAGCAGGGCCCACCAAGATCATTTGTGATCAAGATATTTGAGTCCAAGAGCTTGCGCCCCGAGCCTATGGTCTGGGCTGGCGCAATCCCGAAGCTGGGTGCAGTAGCTTGTTGACGATCCCCGCAAATTCGGCACCAGCTCTCCATGTTCCCCACAATCGGTACTGGAAAGAAGAAAGTGTCGTTCTCGAACATGCGTAGAGAGACTGGTATGCGCCACTCGGTCATCTCTTGCACGTCTGCTAACGTGTTGTGACATAGTAACGAGTCTCGAAGTCCGGGAGACTCTCCGATGAAGCTCGTGATACCCGCACCTGGTCCAAGTCGAAGAAGACTTTTCTTGTATACACGACGTGGCTTGGCTGGAAATCACCGACAACGGTCCTTAGTAAGTAAAGGGTTGTTGTGATACCGAGTATTCTCCCGAGATCCAAGTCTTACTGCGGGGATACCCAAGGGCTTGACTATGGAGAATCCGGACGACATTGGACTCTTTGGGGTAGCTTCGGAGCGTGCAGCCCTTGCGCAGGAACGCTCGTGCGGAGGAACGAGCAGTCCCATGGAAAGGCGGCATGGAATGGGGTACCATAGATGTAGAACGCATACGCGCTATTGCGTGCCACGATACGTAGGTATGGTACATGCACTCCCCAGCATTTGGTATTTCCTGAATGTAATAGTGCAGAGTAGTATCATCTGAGATATACTGATGAGCGATGCATGTCAAGGGGAACCGCGAATGTATGAGTGAATACGGTGGAAGTTGCGCTCTCGGGAGACCTCTTGGCGGGCCCGCGAGACGTCATTGCTGGCGGGCGAATCAGGTCGCTTCCCTCCGAGCCTCCACGTTTCCTTTCTCCCAGCACCGCCGCATCACGCGAACGCGACTCTTCCCAGGTTGTGTTCGGTCTCATCACTCTCAGATGGGGACACGTACTCCTTTCTAGTCGTCTTGCACCTTCACTACCGCACCATGAGTCGACTCAAGCTCTACGTCGCAGGCTCGGCCGCCATGGCCAACATTGTGCTGATGCGCGCATACTACGAGCGCCCCAACTTCTACTCAGCCGCCGTCTACATCTCTCAGAGCACCGGCTCGCTCATGTTCCTCGTCAACTTGATGCTCATTGTCGCCGCGAGCTTCGGCTATGGACTCCAACGCCTCTTCTACGGCCCCCTCCGCCCCATCGAGACCGAACAGCTATACGATAAGGCCTGGTTCGCTGTGAGCGAGACACTGCTGGCCATGACCATATTCAGGGACGATCTCGGAATGTGGTTCTTCGCAATGTTCCTCTGCTTGCTTGCAGGCAAGGTCTGGCAGTGGATTGGAGAGGGGAGAGTCGAGTTCCTCGAGCAACAGCCTCCGGCAAACCCAAAGCTCTTCCACACGCGCCTCATGAGCTCCCTGCTATTGTCCGTTGCCTTCGACATCTTCATGATGCAGTACTGCATCGATTCGATCCTGTCAGAGGCACGACCGGGTGTCATGGTCATGTTTGGCTTCGAATACGTCCTCCTAGCGACCGCATCGATATCGACCCTACTACGATACGCACTCTCGCTCGTCGAACTATACATTACACACCGCCAAGAGAAGGCGCGAGAGGAGGGTCGTCAAATCGCAAGGGAACAAGCACGCCGGCAGGCTACAGCAGAAGGAACTGAAGCGCCTGCTGAGGTAGACGACGATGATGATGAAGGCGACGTGCCCGGATGGGAAGAGAAGGGTCGCTGGGTATTCTACTTGGATCTCGCGACCGACTTTGTCAAGTCATTTGTCTACCTGGGCTTCTTCGTCATTCTCATGACTTTCTACGGCATACCAATTCATATCATGAGAGATTTGTTCATGACGATCCGGTCCCTCCTCAAGCGTATTCACGACTTTATCCAGTACCGAAATGCGACACGCGACATGAACACACGCTATCCAGATGCGACGGCAGAAGAACTCGAGCGGGAGAACACATGTATCGTCTGTCGCGAAGAGATGCGGCCGTGGATACAACCAGGCGCAGATGGAGCACAGCCAGGTCGAAGAATGGACGAGCGACAACGGCCGAAGAAGCTCCCCTGCGGGCACATTCTACATTTCGGATGTCTCCGTAGTTGGCTTGAGCGACAGCAGGTCTGTCCCACGTGCCGAAGGCCAGTACTCTCAGCAGCGACGACACAAACTACGCAACGCAACAATCAAGCCAACCCGGGGGAGCAAAACCTTCAGAACCGAGAGGCACTAAGAGCAATGTTCGGAGGAAACGCGCAGCAAGGTGCTGTCGGAGGGCAACAAGGACAAGGCCAGGGTCAACAGCCTGCACCTCAAGGCGGACAAGCAAATCCTCCAGCAGGCAACATGCGCGTGTTCAACTTCGGGCCATTTCGGATCGCTCTCGGGAACATTCGCGTACCACCAGGGCAACAGGACAATGTCGCTGTGCAGAACGCGATCCAGCGACTGCGCGAGCAAGCCAACGGAAACAACGCGGCGCAGAATCAAGAGCAGCAAAATCAAGCACAGGGCCACACGGGCTTCACGCAAGGCGCTACTCCCAACCTTCCCACCGGCCCCATCCCCGGAGCGGTCGCGCTGCATCCGTCAGATATTCAGTCCGACATTTTGCGCATACAACAGAACATCATTGAGTCGATGCGGCATCTCAACGCACAACACGAGCAACTTGAGGTTGTCCATAGACTTCTTGCTGAGCTCAACAGACTTCAGCAGGCTTCAGGCGTGGCTGCCGCGACAGGGCAAGAGTTACCACCTATTTCCCCATTGAACCCACCTAACATGAACTCGTTCGTACCGCAAGCCTACTTTGCCAGAGGGTCCGTTCTGCGACAGGGCGATCCCGGTGTACCGGAAGGCTTGACGCTACCAGAAGGGTGGACATTGAGGCCGATGGCACTAGCGCCACGAAATAGCCAAGAAAGCGCGACACGTCCATCCTCGCAACCTGGACATCCGGCGCCAGAGAGTGGCTCGATACCGCCTCAACTTCAGACAACACAGCCAGTAGCGGAACCTGACGCAGGGCCTTCGACGTCCGCTCCCGCGGCCTCACAAAGCCAGCCAACTTCATCAACTCCAAACCCGACTACTTCCGATGAGCCCTCCAATCGTTCGCCGAAGCCTGCAGAGCCTAGCTCTCTCGAGTCAAGCTGGAGCTTTGGTAACGTGGGAGAGAGGACTGAGGCCGAGGGCTCAAGCTCTGCGGTTGCTGGAAGCAATTCTGAGGGCCAGAGTGCAACCAAGCGGACTGTTACTGTTGAGGATGTCGAAGACGGCGAGCAGTAGTTGGACGATGGGCGATGACACTGTTACGGTTCTGTATTGCATAGCGAGGCGTTCGGGTTTGTTGATTATTCTTGAGCGACAGGGAGTCGCATGTGTCAATGAAGCACGACAGGGAATCCCTGCGAATGCCAATTCATCTCACCGGTCGGTGCTCCACCGCGTCTCTCGACTGTATATTTGATTGTATCACCATCATTGAACAAAATAATGAAGCATGCCTTGTTATCCATTCATCCTGTATGCACCCCGCACGCACATGCTCTTCAAGTTGCAGGAATCCAGCCCCCGAGACGACACTGGACGACGGTTTGATGCACATTCGAATGCACATGTACATGCACGCACTCGGGCCCTCCACTACCAGACCCACAAAGCTTATCGATGGCGGCCTAGCCTGCCCCATCCCGTCGTCGCTTGCCGCTAGCGCGAAACACGTGTCCAGTCAAACCTCGACTGCCTCCCAAGACACCATATCGAGGCGGCTACGTGCAGGTCGTGAACAGCACCAGGTTGAAACGGCGGCCTAGGCGGTGCGAGGACGGTGGGTAGCACCCAGTGACAGCTGCAGGAACGCAAGCCCTGCTACACACTTGCAAGCCCTCGAGGGCGTGTGCAGACAAGGGTCGGGCTGCCAACGGAATAAGTGTAAGGGCCCCCGTCTTGGGCGAGCGTGTTAACGGCGACTTGACTCGACTTAACACGACTTGAGGTTAACGTAGTGATTTGGCTTTTTGGATGACTCTTCATTCACTCTCGCTAATGGATGCTTAGACCGCACTTTGTTTCTTGCAATTTTGTATACCTATCGTCCTTTTCTCTTCCCTTCTCCTCAGTTCCATTTTGCTTTGCTTTGCATCTTTTCCTTGTTCGTTGTCTTGCGTTTTAGCGATGGCGGTCAAGTTAGACCATGCGCATGTTGCGCGTAGGCCTGAAGAAGCCGAGGTATCTACATGCGTCTCAGGCATCATAGAAGCTTTTCAAAATGGATTGGACATTTTCAAGAGCTTGCGCGAAAGAAGAAGAAAGCGCAGGTCAAAGAGAGATGCCGACACGCCTGATTCAACAAGTACTGCCGAGCACCAACTTTCAAAAAGCTTACGCAGAGGGCCAGAGGAGGTGGCCGGGAAGTATACTGAATGCTACTACAGCGGCATCGGGCCGCGATTCGCAAAGGGCGATGGTAAGTACGAACTCCACCTAACACATAAGCCGTACTAACGTAATGCAGCTATCGCGCACCAGTCACTTGCAGAAACATTGATCAAATTGAACACAGGCCTCGTTGCCATCATCGCAGCGTTCCTGAACCATGACGCGCAGAAAAGCGGAAAGGGTCACCTAGACATAGACTACAAGTCGTTGACCCACCTGTCCGACGCATCGCGGCGTGAAGCAATACAAAGCCTTACCCAGTTATACCAGCGACTAAGCCAATCTCAACTCCAGCTGCATAACATTGGCGCACCACCGTGCCCGCGATGTGGCACAAGCAAACACCACGACTGCTCTTCTCGCAGCACTAGCCCTGAGAAGGAGAAGAAGAAGTCGAGCTCCACTCGCCAACGTTCCTCGGGCCATGTAGTAACACGCATGTCCATGAAGAACCGAAGCTCGAATGAACCCCGGCTCGTCGTCATGCGACCCAAGACCACCCGCAAGGGCAGCTCGTCGAGTAAGGAATCTTCTTCAGTGAAATCGCCATCAAGTTCATCGCGCAGCTCTTCACCACTGGCATCTCCTCAGCCAAAGAAAATACAGATGGCTCCACAGTTGCCCTTGTACGTGCCTGTCGAGCCATTCGAGATTGAGACATCTGGTGTCATCAGAGGAACACTAGGTGGCGCAGCACCAAAGACCAGCAGTGGCGGTGTCAAGAAGCGCGTTGATTCCTTCGACGACCCGCGCGAACCATGGCCTCAAGAGAACGCCTACACAACTACCAAATCGCCCTCCCAAAAGCACCTCAACGAGCCCACCCCCAAGCTCCCCACCTTCACCCCTACATCCCGCCGCTCCCCATCTCCTGCTCACTCCAAACCCGCAGTCTCTTCCAAGCCCCCTCCAGTCCCGGAAAAGCCCTCCTACCTATCCCCTCCACCACTCCTCGACCAGGCCCCAGCAACCCTCCACTTCCGCCGCCGCTTGGACAAAGCCACGCCATCAAGCTACACATTTGCTTCCTGCAGCACGAGGCTGGGAGAAATACCAGAGAAACGCTGGATCAAGCCCTTTGATTACGAGGAGGCTGAACGCCTCAACACCGAGGCTGCTTTGACTGGATACCCAAATGCGCCCACGGCAGATGCCAAGGACGCGAAGAAAAAGAAGCGTTTTGGCTTCATGCGACGAGGTGATTAGAGAATCATCTCGTTGGTGTTTGTTTTATGTTTGTACAACTGTTGTTCCTCTATTTTCACGATTTGTTTATTGCGGGTCTGCTTTTCGCTCTTGCTTACAGGTGTTGGCGTTCACACTGATTGGCTTTTCTCTCTACTCTATTGTTTTTATGGCGTTGGTCGGCATCTCTTTTCCTCTCTCTCTCTCTCTCTCTCCACTCTTGGCATCCGGCCCTGGGGGCCCGGTAATCACGGCTACGATTACGATTCTTTACGCTTTAACGACTTTGACGAGGATATACCCCTTTCTTTATTGGTTATACCCTTTTCTTTACTTGGTTGTTAACGGCGGCATCTATATACCCATATCTTGTTTTTGTTAGCGATGTCTGCATATAGCAGATGCTCTTTGGATTACTTGGTAGTATGATTAATCTGGATATGGTTTTCGGCTTCTACAATTGATTTTTGTTTGGATTAATTATGATGTGCGACTTTTGATGATGATGCTCAAGTAAAGTTCGGGCTTCAGAGAGAGCGTATGTGGTTTCATTCGCCACGTCGCCAGCTCCTCTACCCCTGCCCCTGCCCCTGCTAGGCGCTACGTGTACTGGCGGAGGCTTCTTCTGCACGCGTCCTTCCTCTCCGAAGATCCAGCTATGTGAGTCGTTCACGATTTCTACCATCGTCTTGCCCTCAGCATTGCTTAAGGTTTTCTCCGCACCTTTCTCTAATAGCAGATTACACACTGTCGGACTGAATCGAAATTCTGATGCATATGTAACGTTGGCAACTGAATTGAGCAACGGAGTTCTTCCCTGTTGGTTCATTGCGTCCAACTCAGCACCATATTCGAGAAGTCTTACAACCGATCCGCGATCAGCACGTATAGCGAGGTGCAAGGGGGTACAGTTGTTCCAATTGCGGGCGTCGATGTCCGCGGTGGCGGTTGTATCGTTTTCCAGTATAGATGTGATAAGAGCAATATCGCCTTTGTAAGCCGCCGTGTGGATTTCGCAATCGCTGTCGTGAAGTGGATATTGTTCCACCCACTTCCGTCTCTCCTCAAGCATGAGGGCAAGTACGTCGGCATATTCGTTCGGCATTTTAACTGGTGACAGAGAGGTATGTGATAGAAAGAAGCAAAGCGAGGTCTCGTATTCGAAGATGTATCATGGGAGAGAGTCATATATCAAGAATACGTAGATAAACAGCTCGTCGCCCTTTTGCGATAAAGGGCGCGATCATCTCGAACCCTGCATTCTCCGGGGCGTTCAATCGCTCAAACAGTTAGTGAAGGATCTCGTTAGATTCAGTCGCGGGATCGATGGCCTGGGCGCGGTGCTTGCATGGCCTTCCACCAGAAGAAGACTTGCACCTTAGACAAGGGAAATACTGAACAGGTCTGCAGGCTACACGATGATAGAACAAGCAAATCGGAAGATCTTGCGTCAATGTAGGCTCCAGAGTGTTCAGTTTTTTCCTTGTATGAGGTGCTTGCGCATTTGCGGATAGGGCTGTGCCGTGGCTCTTTCCGTATTGAAGATTCCTTCGTCATCCGGGTGCGTGCGTTGTGGCTCGTGCGGGGCTTCTGACTCGGTGTGTCTCACAGTCTCGCAACCAACAAACATCACTGTATCCCATCACTTTATCCAGCCGAGCACTCAGGTGACTGGCTCTGGAGCATACCACCAACTTCTTGGTACTTCCTACACGCAGTCACCGCGTAACGATGTGCTGACGCCGCGTCAACTGATACTAGCGCCCTACGTCCTTCTGTTCCTGCTGGCGGATTCTGCACTAGATTGAGAACTCTCTTATCAGCGCGACGAGTATTGAGACCGGATATAGGATGAAGCACTTCATTTCAGAGTACATGCGATCTTTGTCGCCCATACTCGCGATCCGACGGCCTGCAAGGTACCCTCATCTAGCCGTTCATGCGCTTGGGAAGCCGCAGGAAACTGCGTTTCAGATCTCCTAAGCACCGTCAGGTCTGTATTGTGCTGACCCGACACGAACGTCCCTTGCGGCAGAGTTGGAAACTAGATCTCGCTTATGGCTTGCATTCAGGGCGAATGTACGTGTTTCATTCATGGCAGCCGCCAATGTACTCTTCACTCACAAACATGCCTCGGATATCTCATCGATGCTTCAAGGTCAACCGGTTGCTACGAAGTGATGGCCCATCCAAACACCAACGACAGCAAAGGTGATCAGGACTGCTGACGATCGATCACGAACGACTCTGCTTTGTCGTAATCAATCTGTCGACTTGGCGAGCGCAAAGCCATGCGTTCGTCTAACGTCATACTAACGACAGGTACATAAGCTTATTGACATATACCCCAAAAACTCGGAAGGAAGCCCATCTGCCAACTTGGGAAAGCAAGTACCAACATGCGTCCAGTCACAATGCGTCAGTCTATGTGGTCTTCCCAAACACGTCTGATGTCCCCATTATCCCTTTTGGCGCGTTCCCCAGAGCTACCTCAATGGTTCAGATCTCCTCGACCAAGGTACATGCCTCGAGGTTAGCACGGGCACGCTAGGTACTTCTGCATCTCTGAGACACCGGCCAGCCAAATCCTGTGAACACATTCCGCGCCGCAAAAGATGACTTGTGGCGGTAGTATTTGATGCTGGCCCCACCTGCAGGACTTGCGCTCGGCCAGCTCGTGGCTATTCGTTTTACTTTCTACTTTCAGATTGCCGAATACGTGACTCTGGTAGTCAGGCTGGCAGCTGAAGGTTCTCTAGTTTTGTTATGAGTTTATCGCAATATACCTCGCCAGCGTTTCTGGCCGAAGATCGCGGCCCGACCATCAAAGCGACAGCCTGCCTGCTGATCTTCTTCTGCACTTCTTTTGTGGCCTTACGTTACTATTCCCGCTATCTCACGAGTACCGCTTTGAACATCGAAGATGTTCTCATCCCTTTTGCATGGCTAGCTGAGGTGGGCCTTTGTACTGTTGGCATTGGTAGGTATGCAACGCCTTGAATACTATTTGCGCCCGCTAATATGTTATTCAGTCATGGTCGAAAAAGCCAGCACTGGACGACACATGGCCTACATTGCTTCCACAGATCCGCCAAAGATATCCGAACACTTCAAGGGCATCATGATACAAGAGGTTCTGCATCCAGCAGCTGTCGCATTCCCAAAACTCACCGTTGTACTGCTCTACTTGCACATCCTTACCAACAAGTACGAGCGCCTGGCTGCTAAGACGCTAGTCGTTCTCATCCTTTCTACATGGATCTCTTTCACGGTAGCTGCCGGATTCCAGTGCATGCCTTTCAAGTTCAATTGGGACAAGAACATTCCGAATGGAAGATGCTTTAACGTTCAAGTCTTCGCGAACAGCTCCAGCGTACCTAATATCGTAACCGATCTGGCCGTCTTGATACTGCCTCTAAGAACAGTGTGGCGTCTAAAGATCAGTGTTGGAAGAAGGATCGGGTTGTTAGTCATTTTCCTCACCGGAAGTGTGTAAGTTGCCAGTTTGTACCTCCAAGCCCTTATGCGTAGCTGACCGATATATAGTGGTATCGTCGCGTCCATAATCCGCACCGTAGTTTTCGCTCAGACCCTCGCAGAAGCCGGACCTCTTACAGATGTAACATGGAACCATGTTGCGCTCATAAACTGGACAATGATAGAGCCCGGCATGTATCTTCTCAGCGCGTGTGCCCTCTCGTTCAAACCTCTTCTTCGGCTGTTTGCTAAGGCCCTCCACCTGCAGGGCTTCGTTACACATACAAAGTCTACTGTCGGAGTGACCAGGAGTCACGTTAAAAGAACATTCACATCGACCCACACACAGCCTGAAGTCTTCGAGCTAGGGGACGTCTCCGAGTTTGGCAAGTTTCATCGATTGAGCGACGATAATGCGAGCAGTAATATGGATAGGTTTGAAGAGGGAAGGATCGAAGTGACCGTAACGAAGACCATTGAACTGGATTCAGAGAAACGACTCGACGATGAGCGTTGGGACCGCAGTGATGTCGCGGGCGACCACTTTGGGAGGGCGGTCTGATGTATTAGCCAGACCCTCTTTCTACGACTAGATGTTTACATGAATGAATGTACTTTACCTATCCTACTTGTCGAGGCGAAGTCGCATCTTCGTTGTGTGAGCCTCCCTTTCGGAAATGCAGTCGCTGCAGTGCGGAACAAGACCGCTACCGATACTGACCCACCCACCCTTTCGTACCTGGCACGGAACGAACACCATCGCTCCCATCGGCGAGACGGCATCCTCTGACATGAGATGCGCTTATGCGAGTGCTTCTTCGGACTCTGTGCACACCGGCCCCGAAGGCAGCTACCGGGAGAGATCGATCGGGCGCGTCTTAGCGTACCGCGCACCTAACGCGAATTAACAACATCGTCATGCATATGTCTAGATGCCTCCACCTCCACCCAAAGTGTCACCAGCCTGCCGAACGCGCTCGATCACGACGTCATGTTGCTTATGAGGCGTCCCTCGACCAGCCACATGGGCTCGCGTCGGCGTAGAATATCCGCTGTTACTTGACCCTCTGATCTCACCGTTACGTCCACGTACATATCACGAGCAGTCTATACCAAGATGTCTGCTGGCCCTCGACTACTTGTACGCTCTGCACGAACAGCTCTACCCAGAATTCAACTTGTAAACCGCATAACAACACCTTTCAAAGGGACTGCTCCTCGATACTTCTCTACTACACACGTCTCCAGAATGCCGGAGCAACTCAAGGCTAGCGAGGTCAACTCCAAGACCGACCCCTCTGTCGCGAAGCAGTATGACGATGAGACGCCCAAGGACCAGCAGATCAAGCAATTCTTTGAGATGGTAGACGGCAAGAAGATTTGCATGCTCAACACATACCGCAATGGTGTCGGTATGTTCACCCCTACATTCCCTCGTTCTCAAGCTCTATGGCCTCAGTCCCATCCCACGTAACTCTAGACTAACCATTTTTAGGCCCCGTCGGTCGCTCCATGGCCCTCGCCCGCCGCGACGGTCCCGACTTCCTCTTCCTCGCCAACAACCACTCGCAAAAGTTCAACGACCTAAACGAAAACAAAGAAGTCCAGATCTCGTTCCAGGACCTGAAGACCCAAGAGTGGGCCTCCATCACAGGAACTGCAACAACAACAGATAACAGCGACCCCCGCATCAAGGAGGTATGGAGCCGTGGCGCTGCAGCATGGTTTGGTGACCTTGGCGATGGAAAGCACACTGGTGGCCCCGAAGACCCTCGCATGACTCTGATTGAGATCAAGAGCAAGTACGTCTCGTACTACGTGACTGAAGTCGGTCTCTTGGGCTACGCAAAGGAGATCATCAGTGCGAACGTCACAGGTGGCGTCGCGAACACCGGCAAGCTGAGGGAACTCAAGGAGGCAGATTTGGAGAAGGCTAGGTCGATGTAAGTGCATATTAGCACTGTTAATGTAATGGGAATGTGTTGAGATCTTCATAGATCTCCATCGAAGCTATGAAGGCTTGCAGATTTACAACAATAATCACATTCAATGATACATGCGCAATGCAATGCAATTCGAAAATGGATATATAAAAGTCGTGATAAGCAAAGCAGTGCAGACAGTGAAAAGCGTGGAAGCAATCAACGTTTATACATGCATGTGCGCTTGACGGAATGTGTAATCGAGCTTCCGAAGGTGGATAGCTACGATTGGAGGCTACCCCACTTTCGTCATGGCCACGACGTTTGACGATGATGTGATCAATCCATGTCTAATGGCGTCGAAGGTCGCAAACATAGCGATCGCTGCTATATAGTTTTGGAGGGGTCGTCCTGTGCTTGAGCGTCCACACGCTGCCGACAGTCCTACTCATATTCGGTAAAACACTCACAACTAACCATCAAACACCACCACTACCATGGGAAAAGATCATCCTGACGCAGACCTTCACCCCGAAGCGACCGGACTTGCTGCAGCAACGGTCAAAGTAAGCAAGTACACACCTACAGTATCTTTCTCGTCGCTGATTTTCTTGAGGCCCATTCAGCCGAATGCCCCTTAAAACTGTACTCGGGATGGTTCTGTCCCTTTGTGCAGCGCGTATGGATAGCGCTGGAGGAGAAGGGTATCCAGTACCAGTACATTGAGGTCAACCCATACCACAAGCCACAGTCTCTGTTGGATCTCAACCCCCGTGGTCTAGTGCCAACGCTGCAATACCAGAACAAGCCACTCTATGAGAGTACTATTCTTTGCGAGTTCCTAGAAGAGGCATTCCCTCAGCATACACCGCACCTGATGCCGACGGATCCCTACCAGAGAGCTAGAACGAGAATCTGGACAGACTATGTAGGCAGTCGTATCATCCCTGCCTACCACCGTTTTCTGCAGCATCAGGGCGACGGCTTGGAGGAGAAGCAGAAGGAATTCTTGAATCATCTCAAGGAATTCACGCGTGAGATGGATGCTGAGGGACCGTACTTCTCAGGCAAGGACTTTGGACTTATTGACATTGTCCTGGCCCCGTGGGGCAATAGGCTGTGGGTGTTCGACCACTTCAAGGGTGGGTCGGGCATTCCTGATGAAGGAAAAGGCGGGGAGGATGAAGAGGTCTGGAAGCGGTTCAGGAAGTGGCTGTCTGCTGTCGAGAGCAGGAAGAGCGTCAAGGAAACGCTGAGCGAGAGGGAGCATTACTTGCCGATCTATCAGCGGTACGCAGAGGACAGAGCACAGTCGGAAGCGGCCAAGGCCATCAGAGCCGGTCGAGGCATTCCTTAGATGTACAGTAATGTATGGTATGCTATGGTAGCATGTCATGCCTGGTGACGTCAAGTTGGTGATAGTCGTTCGGATGTTTGGCAGGGCTGCTGTTGCCCGGTCGACACTGTTGATAGTGTTGATAAACGGGACCCGCTTCCCGCGCCACAACGGGCTAAGCGTTGCACCCACGCAAATGATCCTAAACTGCCTTGGACGAGGATCCCTCACAACCTATATGCGCCGGCGCGACAACACATTGCCAGCAGACCGACATAACTACACGCCACAATGTACGGATACACGGCAGGCACACCCTGCCCAGCGCCCTATTCCTCCACGGGCAGCTATTACAGCGGCTATGGAAGTCACTACGCGCCTTCTTACTTCGACGACAACAACACGACAGCAAACCTCGAATACACAACCGAACTGAAGCCCCGCCAGGCGAAGCCGCGACGACCGATGCGTGCCACGCACAAGCCTGCCTTCAACCCGTCGCTGGACATCTTCGAGGATGTCGCGCAGGAGGAAGAGCAGCAGCAAGCCGAATTTGCGGTCAAGAGGAGGAGCCGCGCAAGCGTTGTTCCCGCAGCCGCGAAGACAAAGAAGAGCACCATACTTGCGCACCCCGCGCAGAGAATACCCAAGGCAGTCGCGCCTCCCCAGGAACCACAACTTGAGAAGCCGCATAGGAGACGTGTCTCGCACGCACCTAGCGACAGGCATGCGACGGATGTAAATGCGACTGTACGGCTACAAGAGGACGTTTTGGAGAGGAAGGAGCTCAAGAAGCAAGGCCCTAAGAAGGATCTGCGACGGAGGACCATCTACATACCGTCTGATGACACGTCAGTCTTCACGATCCACCCGGGGCAGCCTACACACGCGCCGCGCAACGTTCGGGAGCCGTCACCAGATATCGGACTGGATCTAGTCACACTTTCGGAGGAGGAAGGAAACAACCTCATGCCAGCACTGAAGAGGGAGAAGAAGCTACCGCGCAAGTCTCTGGCTGCACCACCGAAGCGAGGTCCTCTGAGTACTGCATCACGATCGTCACAGGGCTCGTCCTTCTCCAGCGATGTCGTAGGCTCAGGAGGAGGAAAAGAGAACCTTCCACCTGGAATGGAGGCTATTGAGAAGAAGAAGAATGGAGTACACATCGAGATCAACTTCACCAAGGCCGATGCAAAGAAGCCCGACGCAAAAGCACCCAAAGTCCATTTCAACGCCCCAAAAGAGCCCGAACGGATACTACACACCAAGAAGAGGCCCGAAGGATCCCAGAAGCGACCACGGTCACACGTGGCTCAAGACGATGCACCAGCGAAGGCGCTCAAGGCAAGAGCAGATGGCACCGCCTCTGCCGCAACAAGCAGGGCATCTTTGAGGACGACTATCAAGACTGAACGAGCGAAATTGGCCAAGGCGAAGCGCGCACCACTATCTTCCTCGCCGTTCCACACCGACAAGTCTCCACCCACAGCACTGCGCCGTCAGAAGACTGGAAGTGTCGCAAGCAGTATCACCATGCTGCACGAAGTGGGCCAGCGACCGCAATCAAGAGAGAAGTACCCAGTACTGCAAGAGGATCTGACTCAGCCGGAATTGTACGAGGACAACTGGCTCACCTATCAGGAAGTCGCCATCACGCAGCTTCTGAACTCTGTGTTTGACTCGGCGGCCAAGGACCCGAACGCTGAACAGAATCCGGAGGAGTTGCGCAAGAAGATGCTTGCTATTTACCACGATCCTGCAATGCCATCACTCCACAAGCGACTACAGGCTTCGCTTCAGTTCGGCGCACTGGGCATACCGAAGGACCTCCTCGCTCAGACACTTAGACTCAAGGACGACGTCGGACTGCGCAAGAAGTTCCTCAACCTGTGGACAAAGTCATACGATCTGAACGCACTGCGTGCCGCAGCTGAGACTATTGTCGGTCGCCAAATTACAACGCCCTGCCGACTGTCTACAGGCTCAACGTGCTCAGATGATGGCTCTCGCCAGTATCGCGCAGAGCGCCGGGCGATCGAAAGCTTCCTGTCCGCTTTTCTTATCAAGAACGAGGACGCTGTCCGGGTCAAATCCGGAGGTGGTAGCATTGCAAGCCTCACACGCGGCGATGATGACTTTGGCTCCCAAGGCTGGTCGTGGCGGCGTACTGCATTGCGAAGTCTCATGCTTATTCTCATCCTCGACCAAGCGAAGACAACGGATGCTTTACCAGGCTGCCTTTTTCAGACAACATCACCATACAAGACGTCTGTTGAGGTCCTGCACCAACTATCGAAGATGCTGCTACCTTCGCACGGCGACATTACTCGACCCCTAAACCACCTCAACTACAAGGTCGAACATGTTCAGTATCTACTACAGGAGTACACCTATCAGATCGACAACATCGCCATCGACCTCCGCGATGGCATCGTACTCACTCGTCTTGTAGAGCTACTACTCTACCCGTCTACCACCCTTGGAACACAGCAGGACGACACCGTCACTCTTAGCCTGCCTAGCGGTGAGCGCCTCAACAGCTCCCTCGACCCTTCGCAGAAAGAGACCTGGATCCTTTCCCAACACCTCAAATACCCGGCTATTGGCCGTCCCCAAAAGGTCTACAACGTCCAGATCGCCCTGGCTGCATTGAGCAATGTACCAGGCATGCCTAGCGCAGCAGTCAGCGGCATCCGAGCCGAAGACATTGTTGACGGACATCGCGAGAAGACGCTTTCGCTTCTTTGGTCCCTTGTCGGCAAGTGTGGCCTTGGAAGTCTTGTCGACTGGCCACAGCTGGTCAAGGAGACGGAGCGCTTCCGCAACCAGTGGTACAGAGCCCGAGACAGCTACGAGGGGCGAGTCCTCGATTCCGAGAACGAAGAGGAAGAGACATCTGAGCTGGATGGTATGGCATACCACAAGCGTCTTCTTCTTTCTTGGTCGCGCTCCATTGCTCGTCTCCATGGCTTGCGCGTCGCAAACTTGACAACGAGCTTCGCGGATCCAAAGGTCCTAGAGGTCATTGTCGATACTTACTTGCCCTCAAACCTAACCATATCCACGGGAGGAAGTGGAAAATTGGGTCTAGCAGCAAAGCTCAAGGCCGTGGGCTGCTCAACATCATTCATTGCGCTCTTCACACCGCAGCACAACACCGCTCGTTCCATTCCAAGCCGAGATTTTACCCTACTCACACTCTCCTTCCTGGCTAGTCGTCTATTGCCACTTGCCCGTACACACCGCGCTGCGTCGACTATCCAGTCAGCTGTCCGTCGTTTCCTCCTCCGTCGCCAGATCAGCACTCGCATCCAAGCCATGAAGATAGCGCATGACTGCGCTGTAGTAGCACAGGCTCGACAGAAGATGGTCGATGCCGCCACAATCATTCAGCGACGTTGGAAGGCAATTCAAGATGCCCGGCGTCAACAACTGGAAAGCGATGTCGTGGCTTTCCAGGCGTTGGCTAGGGGTTGGGCCATCAGGCGATGGGTCCGACGCATCACCGCTGGTCGCGTTGGTGGAAAGGAGAAGGTTAGGAGGGTTAGGGGTGGATGGTAATCTGCAGGATGCTGTATACTGATGTTCACAAGCTCTCAAAGGGGTGAGGAGAGGAGACGGCAAAGTTGGATACGAACCTGATTACGACGGAGTTGATGAGTTACCGTATTGTTTTGCGCGAGGCGTTTCCACTATACCTATGCACGGCGTTGCAACCATGCTTTCCATCATTCATCGCGCTCGCTAGATACCACTTACAGATTGTCTGTTTCGTTTGAATCTTGATACTTTTATCATCTTAGCACTCTACTTTTGATGTTCATTTGCACATGTCATAGTGAATGTAGCCATATGTGCCGTGTGCTGAGTCGTTGCTATATGAAATATAATCTTCTCAGCTGTCCACAAATATTCGTTTTGGCAAACTACAACATTTGGTTGTTTTCAGCTACTGAGCGTAGCAGGCAACAGTGATCGCTCAAACGTACTTCATTCGAGATCGTTCATGCGATGATATAGCTGTGGTCAACTTCTGGTCCATATTGTAACCGACACTGAAGGTCCTTAAGCACTACACTACCTTTTTCCACCTTCATCAAATCGTATCTTCATACCTCGTACGCCTTCCCATGCATCTTGCTAATATATCTTACCACCTAGAACTTAGACCTTGTTCTCGATGCTGCGCTCATCCCTCAACTTAACCAGCTTCTCTATCGCCTCATCAAGCGGTACAATGACACCACGCTGCTGTGTCTCCTGGTCGTCACGGTTTCTCCAGTTCACAGCCCTCGCTTGTTGTTCCTCGGCACCAACGACCATGATGAAGTTGTAAAGTGCGAGTTGCGCTGTGCGAATCTTCTTTTGCATGGTGTTACCGCTGATGTCAATGTCGGCGTGGAGGTGGTGTTTGCGGAGCGCTGTCTGCACTTCCTTGACGTAGTCGTTTGCGCCAGGCATGACAGGAATAACCATGACCTGACGAGGTGATAGCCAGAAGGGCCATCGACCGGCGAAGTGCTCTGTGAGGATACTACTCTTGTCAGCAAACATGTTCGGGCAATTCGTAGGGACTGAAGCTTACGCGATGAATCGCTCGAAGGATCCGTAGATAGCGCGGTGAATCATGACAGGGCGAGCGTAACCTGGTTGCGGCTCCTTGATTTTCTTGGGGATTGTGACGTCGGCACCCTCCAGCTTCTCCTTCTTCTGCTCAATGTGTCCGCCTTCTTGAGCCTGAGGCTGGTCCTTGGACTTTGTGGGAATGACTTCGGACGTCATGTATTCGAGCTCAAATTGGTTAGGCAGTTGGAAGTCAAGTTGAATGGTAGCACACTGGAACTCTCGCTTCAAAGCATCAGAGATGGTGATGTCGATCTTGGGGCCGTAGAAGGCACCATCTCCAGGGTTCAGCTCCCAAGCGCCACCACCGGCAGCTGTGAACTCGTTCAAAGCATCAGTCAGCTTGGCCTCTGCTTTGTTCCAAGTATCGATGTCGCCAAGGAAGCCTTCTGGGCGTGTGCTCAGCTTCAGCTTGAATGTGAAGCCGAACTTTCCGTATACCGCCTTGAGGAAGTCGAAAAGTGCAAAAATCTCCTCCGTGATTTGGTCTTGGGTACAGAATACGTGAGTGTCGTCCTGCTGGAAACGACGGACTCGCGTGAGACCAGTGAGCGCACCGCTAGCCTCGTTTCGATGTAAGATACCGAAGTCGGCCATGCGAATGGGCAGTTCCCTGTAACTTCGCTCGCGATGTTTGAAGATCAGGCAATGTCCAGGGCAGTTCATAGGCTTCAGCGCCCATTTCTCTTTCTCAACATCAAAGGTGAACATGTCTTCCGCATAATGCTGCCAGTGACCAGAGATCTTCCATAGTGCTGAGTTGTACATGTTTGGTGATGCCACCTCTTGGTACCCACGATTCCAATACTCCTCGCGAAGGAAGGCCTGTAGAGTGTTGTAGATGATTTGACCGTGCGGGAGGAAGAAGCAGGAACCCGGGCTGTATTCGTGGAAGAAGAACAGCTCTTGTTCTTTTCCAATCTTGCGATGATCTCGCTTTGCGGCCTCTTCGAGGAACTTGAGATGGGTCTGCATTGCGTCTTTATCGGGGAATGAGACACCGTAAATACGTTGTAAGCTGTCGTTCTTGGCGTCACCCAAGAAGTATGACGCGGAGTTCTTCATGACCTTGAACTGCTTTATCCGCCCGGTATGTGGTACGTGTGGTCCTCGGCACAGATCGATCAGCGGTCCGTTTCGGTACACAGTGGTGAAGGTGCCGTCGGCGATCTTGTCCTTGATGATGTGCTGCTTGTACTTGTTCGACTTGAACATCTCGAGCCTGGAAATATTAGAACAGTATCTTACGCGTAGAATAAGAACCTTACAGGTCGTTTTTGGAGAGAGTCAAGCGCTGGAATGGCTGCTTCTCCTTGACAATGGTGTTGACAATAGTCTCGAGCGGCTTGTGGTCGGCGGGATCGACTGCTGCGTTGTCTGGAAGAGCCATCTCGTAGTAGAAGCCGTCCTCAATTGGAGGGCCAATGCAGAGATCACAGCCAAATCTACGTTCCGATGCTTCTCCTAGGATATGTGCGCTCGAGTGCCAGAAGACCTTCTTGCCCTCTGGGTCGTCGAATGGCAGGAGCTCAAGCTTACAGCTCTTCTCCAAAGGCCGCTCGAGATCCCATAGTGTCTCCTCTGGCGTGCCCTTATCCAGGCGCGCGACGACGGTGCGCTCGAACAAGCTCTTCGCAATGTTTCGCGCAATATCGGCGGGACTGGTAACCCATGACTCTCCTTCGATGTTCTTGCCGTCTTCGAGGGTAATTGTGATCTTCTCTGCAAGGCGTGGTGTGTCAGTACTGGGAATTGGCGGCATGATGTGAGGAGCGTACCGCGGGGCTTCTGAGCTATCTCTTCGTCGTATTTCGCCTTGAGCTTCTCGAAGATCTGGATGCGGTGGTCGATGAAGGCTGGCGCAGGGTCGAGCATCAATGGACGACCATCACCAGCATCGCCCTTGGCCTTCTTCTCTTTCTTGGGTTTCGGGGCCTTGTTTTCCTTCTGCTCGACCTTCTTCTCGGCATCTACGGCCAAGTTCTTGACGCCCTCGACAGCCGAGTTGACTGCATCCTTGACTGCGTCCGCCATGTTGTTGGTGTTTCCAAGTCTCGGGCGCGTTGGGCGGGGTTATATGAGCTGTGACTCAGTCGTATGCGAGGTGCTGCAACTCGGGAGTGTGATGGGAGTGCAGTAGATCTACAATAGATGCGGGCGGTATGATGACTCCAGCTCGGTGTGCAGAGTCCGGACCGAAAGCAAAGCAACGTCAGACTCAGTCACAATGCCAAAAAGATGCGCGCGCACGACAGCCCACTTAGCCCTTTAGCAGGCGCATTTGGTGGGGTTGCATGCGGCGGAAGGAGCCACCGGCGAAACGTGGTACCGATTGGCTGCGCTATCTGCAACTTCATTTTCAGCTTCGAACTTTTCGCGAAGCTCTGGACCAAGCTCACCTTTCGCGCACCGATCCACATTCAACATCACCAACAACATGGCATTTCGCGGAACTCCTCGTGGCGGTCGCGGCGGCGGCTTCGGCGGACGTGGTGGATTTACTCCTCGTGGAGGTGTGTAGCATGCCTGGAGCTCTACACGACTTTTAGCTAATGCGCGACAGGACGCGGCGGTGGTTTCGGAGGAGGCTCTTTCGGACCCCCAGACACTGTCATCGGTACGTGCCGCGATCAGACCGTCAAGCAAAGCGCTAATGACCATGCTAGAAATGGGCAAATTCGTTCACGACTGCGAAAACGAGATGTTCTGCGAATCGATAAACACCAAGATTCCCTACTTCAACGCGCCCATCTACCTGGAGAACAAGGTACATATACTGCGACGGGAAATCGCGGGGATGATGAGCTGACCCAGCTATAGACACCCATCGGCAAAGTCGACGAAATCCTTGGCCCGTTGAACCAGGTCTACTTCACCATCAAGCCTCAAGAGGGCATACAAGCCAAGTCTTTCAAGGCTGGCGATAAGTTCTACATCGGAGGCGACAAGCTGCTGCCTCTTGACAGGTGAGCCGGTTCAGATGGCATTTGAGATTTTTGCGCTAATTCCTCTAGATTCCTTCCCAAGCCTAAGCCCGTCGGTGGTGTTACGAAACCTAAGAGGGCTGCCGGTGCCGGTCGTGGAGCTCCTCGTGGCGCAGCTCGTGGCTTCGGAGGTCGTGGTCGTGGAGCACCCCGAGGACGTGGTGGACCTCCTGGACGTGGCGGCGGTTTCGGTGGCCGCGGAGGAAGTGGATTTGGCGGTCGCGGCGGCGGCGGCGGTGGTTTCTCAAGAGGTGGACGCGGCGGTGGTGGTTTTGGTGGACGTGGACGAGGAGGATACTAAGTGCCTCGATCCGGGACGGTCACCACTTCATTCGGAATACGCTGGCAATGCGCAACCGTTTGCGCTGCCGTTTCGGCTCGATCCTACGACTACCTACCGATACCATGATCATTTGAGGCGTTTTGGAGTTGATGGGGCCACTGTATCATGTCTAGACATGGCGCCATGCTATGGACATCTTGTAAAAGATGCGCGCGTTATATTTTCTAGTCAAATTACTCTGAAGTCCATCCTGCCCGATGCATTTGGGCGACTGAAACATTCTTAGAGCAGAGTTCGACGCCAGCGATCGTGCGGGAAACGCTCGCAAGACGTCGCAAGCCAGACTTATCGATTAAACGACAAAGATCACAGGAATGCACTCGGTCTGCTAGCATGAGCTGTCGTTTTGGAAGTCACTAGACTACGGTCCTTTCGCCGGACTCGTAGCTGTCCACTGCAGTCATGAAGGAGTGCTTCCAAATGTTTTGCACATCTGGAAGGCCTGCCAAACGCAAACTTGCTATATACAGCTGTATGAATGTACACCATCAGTGATCCGTACCTAGATACCTACCTGTTCGCATTGGGTGGCTTTGTAGTATAGTTTACGCGCTACAGCAGCGAGTCGCACGGCTTATTATCAGCATGAACAACATCCGCAGACCAGCCAGTTGTAATTTCGAAGAAACTAATAGTACACAATAAATCAAACGTCACAATTGTCAAACACTTGAGCCATGTCAACATGCCAGGTTTGTAGCAAAGGGATGTTTGCGCCGGTCCAATAGTCTCGTTCCCAGCCCCATCCCAGCTTGGGAGGCTGGGTTGCCACATGAAGGTTCCTCGGACCACAACAACAGGGGCTTTGGCAATTTCAGCATCGTGCATTCGCAATTTCCATCATTCTATTCCCCGCGTCTCCGCAAACATCTTTTCCGACTCTCCCGTCCACATCAACATCATCGTAAAGGAAGTGTTCACTGTTGAGGCACCTCCGAGACCTCCGCACCCGCCCCGCAACACCCTCGCACGTTGCTGAGGTTACCTGTAACGTCATCCATCATCACACGCACTACACGACCGCGAGCGCAAAGACTCAAGATACTTTCGCGACAAAAGCAATTGAGGAACGGAAGCGAAAAAGCACCCGTTTTCGCGGTATAGGAGAAGGGAAACGTTGCGACAGCGCCAAGTCCCAAGCCTAATCTGCGGATAGGCGGCATAGCAAATCAAGGACACCAGGCTTTGTAGCTCGAAGCGCAAGAACTCTGGACTCGAAGAACCGTTTCACAGACGAACTACCACCATTGCGCATATCGAGCGCCACAGCAAGAGCACCCTAGCGCAAGCCCGACCACCATCGCATTCACCAGAACCCTTCCGACTTAGCCGCCGAGGCGCGACAGAAGGATACAATGGCTCGCGCAGGACATTCAGGCACAGTTGTCGGCTCAGCGGTAGTAGTACGGGAGAAGTACTACTGGCCCGACCTACAACTGAACATCTGGACGATTGTCATGCTTGCAACAGCCGGAACAATATTAGGAGTGAACGCGCAATTCATGGCGATACAAGATCGGATGGGACTGGGAACGCCATGGTATGTCCAGTCTACACCCTACCCGCACGGTGAGGGAGGCATGTACACAGACGCTTTGCTAACGACATTCACAGGATAATGCCCTACGGCGTCACAGTCGGCACTCTGGCCATAATCTTCATTATCATCGAAATCGTCTTCATCGCGCAACGGAAACTCCTCCCAGGCACTATGATGCTCCTCTCCTTCATCCTCCTCGTCCTTTTCATCGCTGGAATAATCGGAACCGCGATACAACTCTTCGCCGGGCCCAACATCAACAACCAGTGCAATACATACGTCTTCAACAACGACGTGGATGGGCCGAACATGGATACATTGGCGTTTCTGCAGCAGAGGAATATCTGTAAGTATTCTTGGTGTTTAAAAATCACTAGGACAAGTGAAGAGACATATGGCTAACCGTAAACAGGCCAATGCTGGCAAGCCGAGTTCGCTTTCTGGATTATCGGAAGCATATTCCTCGTGTGGATGATGGTCATGGCGAGCCAAGTCAACTCGAACACATATGTTAGGTGATCTAACGGCTCAGACTCACCGACTTACATTTCTTCTCGGAACTCTTGTCCATCTTCTTTGTGTCTTATTTTCTGCTTTATCTGACAATGGGTCATGTGTATATAGGAGAAGCGGGTATCGCGTAAACTCCAGCAATAGCGGAGGCGTTAGGGCAATGTTCTTCTTCTTCATTACGAGATACCGACGGGACGCGTGGCATGGAAAGATGGATGAATGGAAGGAACGCAGCATTGATGATGGATTTTCCGGCTATCAGATCTGTACGATGAATAATAGCGAAATGCAATTTCTATAATAGTCGATTGAAACCGAAGAAGCTACTCTTGCCCCGAGAAATGCCAACGCGCTGTCAGGCTACCAAGGGACAAATGTAAACTGCTAGCTATCTGCAGGGCATACGTCCATTCCCTCCCATGGGAATCGTAACCTTTCAGGCTCGAGGAGCCTCCTCCACCATGAAAATCGCGGTGTGACTATAACCGGTACCGCGACTCCACCTGCATTTCACATCTCACCCTGCATCCCATCCTAATCCCGAATTCCCAATCTGACTCTCTCCGCGGAAGCTAGGGACGCCATCATAAGCACCAATCCTAATTCCCTCATAGCCAGGATGAAATACGAACACAGGCAATGCACCACCGAAAGCAGGTTTGGTAGAAGCCCCATCTTGCACTGACAAAACATTCCCGGGTCTTGGTCTTACCCGGAGATGGAGCCGCGGGTCCTCTGGATTCGAGGCTAATACGTAGTCCTGGACAAAAGAAGTACGAAGGGCGAAAAAAGGAACTTCAATCTTCAGCCCTAGACATGCGATAGCAGTGATCGATGTCTTTGCTTCTTTAAGAACAACATCAAGAGGTCATCTTGACAATGCGTGCGTGACCCATCCCGTCCTCCGCCGTCACCCAGCCGACGAATTTATCAGAAGTGAGGTGTATTGATCCCGTCACCCAAGCCGCCCACGCCCATGCACCACCGGCCACGGGCCTAACACCCACTAAATCGGCGATCATCCCGTCATGAATCCACACCGTACAGATAGATTTCCCAGCCGCGCATTCTTACATCATCACGTTTTAATACCAGCCACGCCTCCAGATTGGGGCTTAATGGTTACCCTTGGCGACAAGGGCTGGCCTTGCCTTTTTGCCAGCGTTGCGACCAATCAAGACGCTGCGTCTCGGACACGAAGTTGGCACGAAACGCGTCGGCGACTTTTGGAGCGCGTCGGTTTTGACGGACTTCATTGGCTGTGAGAATATGCGGAGGTTAGGAGGAGGGGTGTGTGGCTGGCTGCTCCTTGTAGAGCTTTATGACTCTTACCTGGGGTGCAGTGGTTCGAGGTCTTATGAGTTCTTGCATTGATGTGTTGTACTGAGTATGTGGGGTACATGCAGGTAATACGTGATGGTGTGATGGGAAGGGCGGCGTGGTCGTTGTACATCCAGGTGTTGCCGCTCGTGAAGCATGCATAGGATCTTTAGTGTACCCCATTCTGCTGCAATCTGTTGATCATGTTCGCATTTGCCGCGTAGCTCTCAGACAAGTAGTTGTAGTGGTTGGAAATGCAGACGTGTGGCGTAGCGATGATTCGCTATCGTACACAGCTTTCCCACAATGCATTAGCGAGACCAGGAAACAAGTATGTACGGCACTTTGTCGTTCAATGCGTCTTATTATTCGCCTAAATGACCAAACCCCAGAATGCAGGTGCGTTTCGGAGGTGCCTGGCTAGGCCTTCGGTCCCATTCTACCGCTCGCGTTATGTGATACTGTTATACTATGCTGTGCTGAGCTGATAGCAAACAAATGAACAGAAGGTTGCTTAAAATACAGTCGCTGGAAAAAAAAGTGTTCAAACGGGGATATGCGTGAAGGGTGATACAAAGCGCTTGCGTTGTTGCTAGCTCGATTTTGCCGCCAAGGGGCGGTTGGGCGGTACTTGCGAAAGATAACGTAGGAAACGTATGCAGATATGCATGGGTTGTGTCGATGATGCCTTCCATAACCAAAGAGGTCTTGCCTCTGTAAACGCCATGCTTATCAAAAAATCAAAACGAAGAGAAGAAAGGAGACGCCATTCGATAGCGGCATTGGGTGGATTGGTGGCGGGGCGATGCACTGCGCATGCTCAATGTCGCCCCGGTGTCGTTGCGTCGTGCCCACATGAGTGCTGAGCTGTGTGTGGAGGATGATGTGAGGATCACGAGATGAGCTCTCCGCCAAGGTCCATTGGACCGTCCATTCTTCCAACATGAGTGTTCATATGGGAAGCGTCACCAGGAGGACCAATGTTATCGAAATTGAGGTGACGTCGTGCTTCTCGGACGGCAGCAGGTGTTCGTGTGGCCACAGGGGTGCGGTTCCATGACGATGCATTGGCCTGGGCAGGACTCGGCGACATGTTGAGGAACTCGGCAAAATTGAGGTTTGTTGACGGGGTCGCAAGTCCAAAACCCATATAGTGAGAGCCGCCACCGCCGGGCGTGGACATCATTGACGAGGGAAGAGGTGTCGCTTTGGGTGGTGGAGTCGATGGCGCAAGCATCTGCGGCTTCTGGTGACCTGGTCGTACTGGTGTTGGTGATGTAGCCAGGTACATCAAGAGGTTCGCATCGTCATCTCCTTGTTTTCCTTCCCGAGCTGCGCCGGCAGCATTGAACCCACGTTGTCGAAGACGTGCTGAGCGAGCAACATCAGGGGGCGGCGTGCGTGGGGCCCTTTGCGGCGGCGGCGATGACTGGAAGTGCGATCGGTCGAGGGAAAAATGCGATCTGTTGATAGAGAAGGATGTGATGGGTAGGTCTTCGTCATCGTCTTCGGAGAGCAGGGGCGAATGTGGATCGGGAACGGTCGAGGTTTCGGAGACGAAAGACAGACTAGGGACATGTTGACGACCAAAACGTGCGTGCCGGCGATGGTATACAGGCGAAGACTCGGGCAGTTGGAAGCTGTTCTTCCATGAGGTAGCAGCGCTGGTGGCTGTCCTCACTTTGACACGGGCGTGGTTGCTCGATGCTGGGTACATTGTCCGATCTTGACGGGGCCGCTTGTTTTGAAGGTAACTGCCTGTGCTGACGGACCGGCTGACAGATCGTCGGACATCGTCGGAGAATATGGGGGCTTGGAGTGGGGAGGAGTCGAGGACGCTGGGTTGATAGAAGCGCTCGGAGACGCTCGAAACATCCGACATGGCTTCGTTGCTGGAGCCGGGCCGCTTACGTTTGCGCTCAGCGCCGTCGAGGACGGGTTCAATGGCATCTAGGCTGAGGCTCTCCCAGCCGTTCTTCATCTTAACGTTGGCCAGGGCGAGGCGGTTTTGCAGCGTTCGGGTCATCTGTACAGCACCTGGTTAGCAAACAAAGGGCGAGGGGCTGCAGACGGAGAGATGGACCTTTGAGACTTGGGCCCTTCGCAGGACCTTGCTCGCGACTTCATCCTGTTCAGCCATGGCGGAGCAATTGGTTTGGACGACGGGGTAGGGAGATCCAGCAGTGATATGGCCCGTTGAACGTCTCAATAGAGCTGCTACAGACGAAACGTGGGCGGAGCTGAGGTGACGGTCCGGCAAGGAATGTGAGGAGCTGGCGATGCAAGCGGACTAGCCTCAAAGTCTGCGGCAGCACAGGCCTCGTACTTGCCAGGGCGTTGTAGGAGTGATGATGAAGTCAAGGTGCTAGGAGTCGCGAGCGGCACGAAAGCTCTAGTGACCCCATAGCGGGCTCCTATCCGGCGCTGGAGCCTTGTCCGAGTGCGCTTGCAACAAAGAAAACCTATGCTGCTGAGGGTTTGGCGAGCGGCAGGGGTCGCGCATCTGGTGGCTGCGGTAACGTGCTGAGTAAGACAGGAGAGGTACGGTATGGTATCGGTAACGCTCGACCTTGGGACTGTTTCAGACACGCCTTGCCTTATCGCTGCAGGCCATCCTCGGGGAACGGGTGAGGTCCGTTGCTTCTCGAGCTACACCACATGGATGCGCGGATGACGACGCGCAGAATCGTCGGTGACGGGTCCGGCCACCACATATGCCTTGACGCCCCATGCGCATCACATACGTGTGTCAATAGCAGACAGCTTGCCATGCCATTATCGTTCACGGCGTTGATGGACATGACACTGGATGGCATACACATGTCAGATCACGACCTGCCGTCCCAAAGCGGCTAGAGGACGTTGTGCAGCAACGTCATTCGTTGAGTCGCTAGGAAGTCGCGAACGCCTGCTCACCATGCGCTCACGCTCACGCTCGACTCCACAGGCGCAACTCTTGCTAGCTTTCCTCCCGCAATTGCGCAGCAAGGCCAATTCCTGCCAACTCACCTGCTTTGGGGCTAGAGCTTTCCCAATTGAAGAATTACCTGTTCGGTCCTGCTAGCTTGGATCGACGGAGCTGCAGCACTTCACGTCGGCTGCCTCTCTACCTCCTCAGCGCTGCCACTTTCTTCACTACCAGCTTTCTTTGCCCACTCCCGTCATACTGCATATCCTGCTTTCACTCGCTTCCTGCATAGTACATAGCTATTGCCAGTACACTCTCCCGCTCGCTTGTTTCCACCCTATCAGTGATTATCACGCTCGCCGTATTACGCGTCCTCACAGCTCCACAACCGCGCCCTCCTTGTCGCTCGTTACCTACCTACGCTGTACCTCACTAAGACGACACTGAACATATCCACTTTGGACTTTGGACGATACCTACGCCTATGATTTCATAATTCGACCCGTATACCAGCGCCGTAGTTGTCACCATGCCGTCTTTCCTCAGAAGCCTTGGTAGGAAGAGCAGCCGTATGTCCAAGAATGGCGACAAGCAAGCGAATGGTACCGACGCCCAGAACGGCAAAGGCTTAGCCCATCGCGTGTCTGCCTCTACCTTGAACTCGTCTCAAGTTGGCTCGTCGACGCCCTCTACCACGCCAGCCACCTCTACCACCGACGAAGTCAACACTCAAACTAAAGACCTTACCAATGGCCCTACACCTGCGCCCGCGCGACCTCAGCGACCGACTGTCGACCCCGTGAAACGTTATAGCATGAATGTAAGAAACCGTAGCCATCTTCGCAAGACATTACTCTAACAGTACGTCCAGGGTTTAGCATCGCCTACCTCGACCGGCTCCAACAGCTCTTTTAATAGATCTTCGTTACTCGCGCCGCGCATCCTATCCGTCTCGGACAACTCATGGGTACATCAACAAGTACTGCTGATATTCGGGCAGATCGGCGAGGCGCAGAGCAAACCGCTGGACGGCACACTTACGGTTAATCACCATCAGGGCCGCTTCCCATCTACTTGCTGGCCAGTACACGACTCCTACTTCAAGGCCTTGGTGCACCTGGAGCCTGGCTGGAACAGGATCCGACTTGACTTTGCCTCGCCCAAGGTCTCCTCACCGAACACTTCCGTACCCGCACATGCCTCTTTCATCAATATTAATTACCTCCCATTGTCGCACTCGCCACCTCTCCAGCTTGCGATCATACTAGGTCATGATTCTCCCGGTACTTACGACGCCCCACCAGAGCGCATCGAGCGAGAAGGTAACGGCCTCGAGCTTGCGACCAAGAAATTCCGTATGGCTGCGTATCTTTGGCAAGCCTTCACTGGCGAGCAGATGAAGCGTTACGGATTCGGTCGACGCTGCTTCCGATTTGAAGATGCCTGGGAACCTGGAACGCTAAGCTACCAGGATTGGGAGCACAACCAATACCGGACGCAGGCCAAAATCCACGTCATTCGCTCAAGAAGGTCTGTCGCTGAAATACGCGATCTAGAACGCGCACAGCAGTACGGACCAGGAACCAAGAAGAACGAACTTTTCGACATCGCCATAGAAGCATGTAGAGACTACTTTCCCATGTTACCAGGCCAGAAACACTACGTCTCTTGTCTGTTCCTCGACACGCATTGGGACACGCAAGAGAACACAGTTCGAGGACATGCGGCTCTCGGCGGGGGCACTGGAGATCTGCAGCTAGCCATCTTTGGCTCCCATGCGCTCCACAGCTATCCGTCGAGCATCGAAGAAGTTTTCCAGGCTTTCCAAGACTGTACGCAAACCAACACTGCCTTCGTCGCCAATGACTGCAACGAATCCGGGAGCAACTGGGAAGCTGCTAACATAGGCATTGGCGCCCACCTGCATGAGACGGGTCATCTCTTTGGTTGTCCTCATCAGGAGTCGGGTGTCATGTTACGCGACTATGTTACATTGAACAGAACCTTCACTTGCCGAGAACCCTACTCAACCCGCACCAAGTCAGCCGGTCAGCGGCTAGTTCTGCCAAACGATGAGTGCAGATGGCACAAGCTCGATGTCCTCCGTTTCCGATTTCACCCCTGTTTCCGCATACCGATCGATAGCCCAAACATCAATGGGGATGGCAGTGTCCAAGTGTGGACAGTCGATGTTAGTCAAGGCGGCGTCATCGCAACGTCGAAATCAGGCATCGCATGGGTGGAGCTGTACACCGAGGGAGAGGAGGTTTGTCACTACTGGAAAGAGTTTCCTGAACAGGACAACCAGTATCCACGACAGGTTGCACTGGAAGAAAACACGCTTCGCTCTTTGTTACCCAAAGAGAAGCAAAAGTCGCGCCTTAAGCTCGAAGTCTACTCTGCTGGTGGAGGGAAGCACGTGGTGGAGGATTTCAGTCAGCTTTCCAATCAGAAGAACTCCCGTGTCAAGATACCGGACGGGCGATGGGGCTACCGCGGTGGCAAGCTCGGCTACTCGCAGATGCAGGGCTCACAGCCTCAGGAAGTCATCTTCGATTACGTCCACATTCAGACCAAGCTTCTGCTTAGCATCAAAGTGTACCATGGTTCCGCGGTGGATGGATTGGAATTTGTGTATGAAGACACACATACCCAACTTTTCGGCAAGCGAGGAGGTAGCATCTCTGAGTTTGCCCTGGACACCCGGAAAGGAGAGCTGCTACTGGGCTTTTCTCTGCGCGCCGGTCTTTGGATCGATGGTCTACAGATACTGACAAGCTTGGGGAGGAAGAGCGAGTGGTACGGAAACCCGAATGGTGGCAGCGGGTATGTATGAGATCAATGGCTTGACGAATACTAGCTAACCATAATGTGCAGACACACGCTCATCCCTCCCCGTGGCTACACCATCGGCGGCATATCAGGCTCCTGCGCACAATGGCTCGACGGGTTCTCTTTGATCATCACGCGGTGATTGTATCACTGCACAACTTGACATACTTTGTTTGTTTGCATTTGCGACAATGTCGCCACCCACACCAAGATAGACGTCCCGATCGTCGAGCAGCTGCAAGAATACATGATCATACTGCGTTACCATCGCCATGGCGGAGGTTCCAGACAAGCTATCTTGTACCTTTTCTGCATGTTTGCATACTCCATCTCTGGAGAGCTTGGCTCCTTGCAGCGCTTGGGTGGGCATCGGGTGTACCGGGTTACAAACTGTCTTGATCCTGTTTGATGGAACTTTCCTCTTCCTGTTGTTGGTTCAGGAAGGGTTGAATCGCAGATTTAGAACCATGATACCACAGTCATTGAACTTGACTTTCTCTGTAGTAGTAACAATTCGAATAGACTTCCTAATACATGGGGACTTGCATTGAGATGGTGATTACCTTCTGATAGCTTATCTTTTACAGACATAGTGCAGTTTCAATCGAAGTTTTACTTGAGATTTCTTGATAATAGGGTATCATTGTGTTTTGTACGCCCGCTAATCGACCATAGCATCGTCATGCGTGTAACTAACAGGACAGAAGCAGCCGATTTATCCTCTCTATAGGCCAAAGATCTATTACTTCCATCGTCCCAATCACAGCGGCTCACACACAACATGCTGAGCTGCTTTCCTCTGCTCCAGCACTCTAGGGCTTGGGAATCTTGACGCTCTTGCTAACCATCAAACATCCGTGGAGAATAAACATGGCAACAACAGGGTGGAACTCAAACGCCGTGCCCTCAAGCCAGAGACCCATGGGAATCTGCTCCAGCGTCCAGCCCTTGTACACCCAGTATGCCATGACCTGCACAATACCCAGCGACATGGGAATCGGAGTGCCCTCAAAGTACTTGCTCTTGCCCGTCGCATCCTTCGGCACCATAGCAACTGTAACGTTGAACCTCGCGAGACGCGTAAGACCGCAGAGCACGAAGAAGCTGAGGAGGAGATGGTCGACGGGGGTACGCAGACCGAGACAGAAGGCGGCGGCGGCGGGGCTAACACCGAAGGAGACGAGGTCGGCCAAGGAATCGAGTTCCTGGCCCATGAGCGATGCCTTCTTGCGCCAGCGGGCGACTTTGCCGTCCATGAAGTCGAAGAAGAGACCGAGAGGGATGAAGCCGAGGGCCCAGTACAGGTTCGTGTAGTTGAAGGGGTCCGACTGTGTGCAGTAGCGGAGGGAGGACATGATGGACATTACGCCGCAGAAGCCTGGACTTGTTATCAGTACAGGATCTCTAGCTTTCGCGCGGTGACCAGCAGAGATGTGTGTCGGAATGGACATCGGAAAACGTACCATTGAGCTCGGTAATGTAGTCAGCAGCGTGTAGAGCTCTCACGAGAGAGAAATGTCCTGCGTCCTGCGAGAGGAGCCTTTTTTGCTTGTCTTGCACTGTTTCCTCCGTTAGCCTCTTCTAATCCATGTATCGCAATGCTAATTTTCGCCAACATACCCTCACCCTTCGCGGGGGGCATCTCGTCTTTGGGCTGCGGCTCTCCGCCGTTCCGTCGTTGCGACATGGTTTTAATGTTGTTGCGGGTGTGTGTGTGTGTGTACTGTGCGACAGGCCGCTACCGCTTGCTTCAAACCAAGATTCAAGACAGAGATATCGAGGGGTCTTGTGTTGCGCAAAGGCAGAAACTAGAGAGGGGGGGCGGGAAAGTTAAGGGTCTGGGTAGGGTTGTTGCGTGGAGAAAGCTTGTTGTTGGTGTGCGCAGGTAGGCAGTGACGTGCCCTGGGCAATTTGGGCCTAGATCAAGGCGGCTGGGGACCAACGTCATTTTCGTGCTACGCAAACTTCCGTGCTGCTGCACTGCCCAGCTCAGCCCATGTGATTCGCACGTGCCTGCGGCAATTGTTTCTCTACACCGGCAGTTCTTTGTTCAGCATGTCCAAGTATGCGGCTGTGTCCTGAACAGAGGGGCTAAAATCTGCCTACTCAGCACTGTGCGCTCAAATTGAGAAACGTCCTGCCTCAGCGCGTTGCACAATTAGCTCAAAGGCCCTTCTACCATTGCAGTCGCTCTAAACAAGATATTATCTATTACGAGATATACATGGCGAGGACATTATACAAGAAGTATATCGTACATATACATAGGCCATCAACAAATGCTCGAAGCCAAAACGCCGCCTTCATGCTGACAATGTCCAACGTCCAATGCCCAATGCTCAAGAACTGAACGGTCTACTTCCTTCGGCTCACAATCTTGGTGACGGCATGCCTGATGATTGTACCGGCCTTCTCTGTCTCCTTCTTTGTCAGACCGCTCGTCACGCACACCTTCAGTGCGGGGGTAGGTTGCCAGCCCGCATCGCGGGGGTTCAGTCCAAGACCGAGAGGGAACGACTTGAGTCGTGTAATGAGGACGCCGTTTGCGAGGCACTGTGATTGTTAGCAACTTGCCTAAAGCTGAAATCGGAAATGCAACGGAGAGAACGTACCTCATCAACAACTTCCCTGAAGATCTGGTTCTGATCGTCGATGCTCAATTTCTTGTTCTCAATAACCTCGTCTTTGAGAACAAGGAGCATGATAGGGTTATCTCCTGAGCTACTGCACTTGACCCAATCGCTCCTGGGGTCCAGCTGTCCCCGCATCGCCTTGACATTGTCTCTGAGTCCCGCGAGGATATCCGGTTGTTGTTGTAAGAGGCTGATTGTTTCGCTCGCTGTCGTACTTAGTAAAGCAGGGAGCGCAGCGGAATAAGTGTAGGATGCGGACGAAATGCGCTGGTGCTCAACAACTTCTTCGTTACCAGCGCAGAATCCTCCTGCCGCGCAGAGAGGGCCAGAAAGCGAGCCGATGATCATGTCTACCTCTGCGGCATCGACGTTCTGCGCTTCGGTGACGCCGCCGCCGGTGCGACCGAGGACGCCGTAGGACCAGGTTTCGTCGAGGATAAGACGGAATTTGTACTTGAGTTTGAGCTCGACCTAGGCAAGCTGTTAGCCAATTGGTGGACATTGATAAACAGCATGGTAATGTGAAAGACGTACGATCTTTGGCAGGTTCACCACATCTCCAATGTTCTCAAATAGGCCCTCTGTGATGATGAAGCGCCTTGTGAGCGGCTTCTTGGCCTGCTCCTTGACAACCTTCTTGAGGACGTTCTCTAAGTCTTCCATATCATTGTGCTCGAACCATCTGACAGTGCTACGACTGATCTGAATACCCTTTCGCGCGGCAAAGTTGAGCGCCTTGTCCGCCACGATGATGTCTCCTCTCTTGCTGAAACTGGGAATCACACTGCTTATAGTCGAGAAGGATTGCGCGTAGATGATGCAGGCGGGGACACCGAGGTGCGCAGCGACGTCGGCTTCAGTCTTCATGTGAACATCCTGTGTGCCGTAGAAACCAGGGGGGCCACAGGGGCCGACACCGTATGTGCGCAGGGTCTGAATGGCCTTGTCTTTAAGGACATCGTTGGAGAGGAAGTTGTAGAAGTTGTACGAGGCAAGGTTCGTGACGGTGCGGCCATTGGAGAGCTTCGACTTGGGGCCGGTAGGTCTGCGTGGTGCTTGATTAGCATTGGTTCGCAACACTGAGAAGAGCGTTTGGCATACCCAACAATGACGGGTCGCTTCTCGTTGTCCAATTCCTCGAGGGCAGTAGTGGGCGCGACAAGCGGTTCAGGAGTCCAGTCTTCGACTAACTCATCAATCTCCTATTTCCCGTTAGTACGCCGTGTCTGTCAGTCTGCATGCAAGGCGCGGAACATACCTCATCCGTCAGTTGGACCTTCTTCTTCGTGCTATACTTTGGTGCAAGTAGGTAGCGCACGGCGAAGAGGAACAAGAACAGCTCTACCGCGCTGCGAACGGGGTCGTTCTGGTAACTCGACTTGATGTAGCGAACAGCGATGGCGGAGCCGGGTATGCGATTGAACTGCGTATTGGCGTCGGCGATGAAGCGCGCAGTGACATTCTGTATCTCATGCAAGTCCATGGTTGCTAGTCGTCGCGTGCGTGACGGCTGCTCCGGTCGTCGAAGGTGCCCGTGGACGTTGATGTTTGGGGCTTGCGGCGAAGCACGGGGGTGCCAGCCCAAAGCGTCAGCCAGGATGCGCAATCATATCAACTAGTCGCAATCCAGGACTACAGCCACAATTGACACTCAAACAGCCCGTGTATCTGTTGACCAAACTTCTAGGTAGCCCTTGAGACCTCTCCATAGCCTCCCGATACTACCATTCCTTACGCGACTGGGACGTGTCGAGTTCAGAAGCGGTTGGAGAGATGCTCCACCAACCAATCACCACCTGGGCAACCTCGAATACTTACCCATCCACCGACACTGCTCTGGACTCCATTGATCCTACGCCCTTCTAGTACTTTAAACCTGGCAATCTGGATGAGCAGGCTGCAAAACATCAGAAGTTTTAATTCTCTGCTCGTACTCCAGCGGCCCATCCGGGGGTCTCAGTATGCGAGGTTATATAGTGGAATGGCTTAAGGTACGACCTCCGTAAATTCCAAGTCGCGAAAGCGCATACATTGTATCCGAGAAGAGCGACTTCTCACGTTGACATAATGATGAGCTGTAAGGTTCGTTCAGGGGACGGAGTTGGAGCTGTGCAAAGTGAAACAGGCGCTTTTCTTGGCTTGACCTGTGTAGTAGCGTGGGTAAAAAAGAGTAACCAAGGCGGCCACCTTGAGCGACATACATCATTCTTGCCAAACGAAAAGAAGCATGTCAAATGATGCACAGGAACGTAAAGTCACAGGAGTGGATATCATAGTGGTTACGACATCAGTATATCTATGTAATGCATTCACTTTCTAACATATTCGCCTTCCGTGATGAACCAAAACAGCCGCTTCGTGTGTATGTGCAGTCAAGTCCGCGCCATAGGCGGACACCAATGTGTTCAGAAAGAGAGAAAGCAGGTCAATGTAGCCCGCCGTAGAACGCCAAAAACGAAGGAAATGCTGTAGTGGATATTACAATCATTATGGGACCAAGCCATGTCGCCACGCTCATGATTTGCCAATATTGTACAATGCAGGCTGCGAAAGCAGTAGACAACGATTCGCAATGTGCGCTTTTAGTATGCCATGTACCGACGGAATCGGCGAGCGGCATCGTCGGTCGCAGCGGCACCACCGCCACCACCTCCACCGGTGGCGTCGCTACCATCGTTCCATAATGGACATTTCATACCGTTGACACACCTTCCAGTAGGAGTGTTTGTGGTATCGTTGTTGCTGTATCCAGTAGGCTGCATGATCTCCAAAGGCAGTTTGACGTCCAGCTTGATATACTTGCCGGCGACTATTGGGCCCACGATCAAGCACAAGAAGACAACAAGGAGGACGAAGTACAGGATAGCGTAGCGGATGACGCGACGCTTGCGGAGCTTGGTCTGCTTGAGCGAGTAGATCGGAGGACGAATTTGACGACTGTTGCGTGTTAGCGGATGTCAATTGAACGAGTAATGGGGGGGGGGCATACCTAGGTCGCAGCCAGAACAACATGACAGAGTGACCCCTGTCGGCGTATGGGATCAACAAGATCGGAAGCATGAAGAAGAGGAGCACGTGGCCGAGAATGAAATCAGCGGCGAACATGCCCAACTCAGTGATCTTGCACAGGAATTCACGACCGGGCTGAGAGATTGTGTGCCATCCCATTGTGTACCACTTTCCGGTCCACCAGGCAATGTTGGCGGTGTCAGCCTTGAACTCACGAGTGAGAGCAAGCGTGATGATCAGCTTGAAGAAAAATCGCTGGATAGCGACAACGGCGATCATACCAGACAAAGCTCTGGGGAAGCTGAAGCCCTCGAGGAACATGAGGACAACGAAGAAGATGAGGAGAACAAGAACAGCAATGGCGTGCGCAATGGCAGCCAAAACAGCTCCAAATTTCTTGCAGCACATGCTGAGCAGGGGACCCGCGCAACAAGCCAAAGCGAAGAAACCCATAAGAGCACCAGCATTAATGGCGATGGGACCGAATGCGATGAGTCCGATTCGGACCAGAGCACCAGATGCCGCTGGCTTGTCAAGATCAGCAGATTCATCTTCCGTGTGGCGGTTGTCATTCACACCAGTCTGGGCATTGATGAACAAGAAGGGGATGATGGTAATGGCGACCAAGACAAGAGGTCCGAATATCTCGCTCATAAAGATGGTTGTGAAGTGAGCACGAGGAACATCGCCAGAAAGCTTGGCAGATGGGTCACCGAGAGCCTTGCGCTTGAAACCAGTGATACGCGTACGCGAGAGACGGCAGTATCCGATCCAGGAGGCACTGTGGGAGCGGGTGTTTCCTCGAGACAGCCAGCGAAGGTACTCCCTGTAGTCGATGAAGAAATCATCCCATGAGAACTGATGGGGGTTGAAGAGGAACGGTGCCAGGCACAGGGACAACAGGGATGCCCAGAAGTAGATAAGCCATGGGCCCCAAACTGTGATGGTGGCAAACAGAAGCATCATCAAAGAACGGGCTCCAAGGTAGATGGAAGGACCGGCGAATCGTGAGAACAAGATACCGAAGGGAATACGAGCTGTCGCGAAACCACGTCCAGTACCAATGTAACGAGCACCACCATAGGACAAGTTGGTTTGAAGGGCGTTGGCGTAGATCTGAGTGACGAAAACCTCGAAGAAGGGCGATCCGGAGGAGAAGTGCTTTGCGAGACGAGTCGCGGCACGCCAGAAACCACGCTCAGTCAACTCTTGAACCACAAGGGGAACGAAAGAGATGAAGAAGACGATGAAGATGGAAACGATACAACGCGAGACCCAGTCGAATACGGGTACCAGGTTGGCGCAACCATTGGGCCACTGAGGATCGGTGATAGGAAGATCCTTGTTGAACTGGCAGAGAATGGTCTCGTGGTTGAGCGCGCCCAAGTGGAGGAGTACAAACATGAAGCACTGGACCGACAACATGATGAACATGTTATTGATGTGGAAACCGGGATGGGCGTAGTAGAATGACAGGAATCGATCGAGAGGAAGTTGGGTACCCATGTAGTAGTACTCGCGAGACAGCATCTGCTCTCCCATACCTGTACCAATCTTGGTGGTGAAATTGAGGACGGAACCGAAACCAAGATCACGACCCTTACCACACTGGTAGTACTCGCAGTGCTTTATGCGACCACCACGGAGAAGAGCGTTCATACCGGCGTAAATATCCTCGTTGAGATGGAGACCCTTCTGTGCCTTGGAGACACCACCACGTGTTGTCATGAAGATACCGTTGAGGAAATCAGGATGACCGTAATGGAGCTTACCTCCAATTTGAGCCAATGTACGAGCAAACATAGTACCGAACGTCTGTTCCTTTCCGGCAGCAATGTCACCAAGGATACCAATGTTCTCAGAGAAAATGTATTCACGGGCTCCGAGAATGGCGACAGGGTTGAAGTTGGAGCTAGGAAGGCCAGGAGTGTAAGGTGAGACATTATCGGTAGTCATCTCTTCGAACTCAGCGAGAACGCTGCGAATCTTGAGGCACTCTTCGAGATAGTTGTCCTGATTAGCGTCGATGAGCTGAATGTACTCTCCGCGGTAAAAGATGATGGAGTGGTTCTGGTTGTCGGACTTGCCATCACCAAGAATTGGGTTACCGGAGAGTTGAATGCGGAACTTGGGACGACGCATGCCGTTGTCCATGATCTCAGAGTGACCATCGATGAGAGCAGAGTAGATACGCGGTTCTTCGCCTTCGTTAACAGGAGGCTCCTCGTCCAGGTAGGCAATTTGAAGGTCGGGGTAAGCGCGGAGAAGGAACTCGGTGTTCTCACGTTCCTCCTTGCTAAACTTGGCGTAACGCTGCATAGAAACGCAGATCTTGTACTTGCGCCTAGCCATACGCTCCAGTTCACGCTCAAGCTTGTCAGAGTTGCCACCGAACATCTGGACGACTTCAGGGTTCTCTACGCGGTAGAGAAGCTTGATAGCGCGGCTGTAGTTCATGAAACCAGAGATAGTACGGTAGAGAGTCTGCGAACGAAGAGAGGCCCAGATACGAGTACGGAGCGTGTACTCAGGCGCGGCGGACTTGAAACCGATGCAGTAGAAAGGAAGATCGTCAATCTTGCTCTTAGCGGTATCCTTCTCGCCCTTTTCGTCGTCACCGTTGAATTGAGAGGTCTCATCGGCAAGGATCTTGGTGTCCTTGACAAAGCAGTCCCACTCGTGAGGATGAAGCTGCTTGAGGTACTCAAGAAGGGTGACACGGGAATAAGGCTCATCCTCGCGAATGATCTCACGGAGAGACAACAGGATCTTTTCACCGTAGTGAGGAATCAAGACTGTGAAGGTTGGCATGTTGTCAACGGGAAGGGGCTCGGGAATCGGAGTCGACAACGACTGAGCGAAGAAAGAAATACGGCGTTCGGCTTCGCTCTGAGCAGGGAAGAACTCAGTCTTGAAGGAGTGATCTTCCTGAGAGACAAAGAAGGTAGGAGCACGTAGAGTGCGCTTGCCCTCTTGCTCAGAAGGAACCTGATGGTAAAGAAGCTTCTGGACATGGTCGATGGCAAGGAGATGCTCGCGGTACATGGAAATGACCACAGCGTTCCAGATTTGAGAGATGAGGACCTTGGGCTTGTACTTGATCTCCATATCGGTGGTGGCGAGAACCTTTGAGTAGATACGCTTGGGCAGACGAGAGAAGATGTTCCTCCATGGTGTCCAGATTGAGACACCCAAGTAGAAAGACCGAGAAACGGAGAACAACATGTTTGCAATGATGTACCAAAGGTAAGAATCCAAGAAGAACAGGATCAAGTCCATGAAGTACATGAGACCGAGCAAGATTCTAGGCTGGTACTTGCAAAGGATGTCACCAATGATAGCGTCTCCGAGGCAAGAAGGCTTCTTCATGTGTGACAGGATGCGAATGGGGTCCTTGATCGACAGTGTCAGGAAGAAGTAGGACTCGGCAAGCTTGGCAGCGAAGACCAAGACCCAGAGTCCATAAGACATCCACATGTCGTTGCCGTTGAGACGAGGGTAACTGGCAGTAAACGTCTGACTTGCGACATACTTGCGAGAGTTGCGCGTCAGATAGCTGCCGAACAGACCTCCGATGGGCATGAGCGAGAAGAAGACGAAGGTGGCCAAAGCGATAGCGAACTGAACGCCACCGAGAACGTTGGGGATAGTGCCGGTTCGCTTGTCCATGCCAAAGATGTACACACTGGGAGCAACGTTGACGACGAAGACCAAGATGAGGAACAAGAGACGCTTGGTAAGATGCTGAGCACCTGCCCATCGTCGAGGAACGTAGCACCACTCGCAGATAGTAGCGAAGATTTGGATAAAGGCAGCAATGGTGCCACCTAGAGCAACTGCGGACAGGGTAGCGGCCTTCTCAGGCTTCTGATCCTCCTGCTGTGTATAGCCCTTGGTGTATAGAGGCTGGGAGTTGAAGGCCGTGTAGAACCAGAACGAAGTCAGATGGATGACCCAGATACGGTTGAAGTTGATAACCATGTGGAACCAAGAACGGCGCTCGTAGTAGGTCTTGAAGAAGACCTTCTTCCAAAGGACGTCTTTCAACTTTGCGTAACGCTCAGCCGGCGGGATATCAACAAGACGAGACTTGTCCTCGAATACGATGCGCTCAAGACCCTCTGGGTACCAGAACAGTTGGTTCATGTCATCGTATCCAATGATGGCTGCGTGATCGCGTTCTCGACGGACGTACTTGCCGTCTTGGATCTCGTAACCTTGATCACGGCAGTACTGGTACAACGGCGTGATGATATTGTTGAGGTAGGTGAACTCCTCGATTGGCTCTGTCTGAGCTTGTCCAGCAGGCGAGTTTAGCCAGTCGTCGGCGCACTTGAAGATGAAGCACATCAACTCAGGCATGAAACGGACCTGGTTGGCCTCTCCCCAGCAAAGGAGGTACAGGGCGACTTGACGGACACGGTCGTGTTGCGACATGCGGTTCATGCGAGTCTTCCAGCGGTATTCGGCCGCCTCCAGACTGTTGTCGCCTTCGTAAGCGTCGAGAGTTTCCTGCTCGTTGCCTGGATTCTCGCCGGCCTTCTTCTTGGCGGCCTTGCGAGCCTTGCGAGTGCGGCGGTTGGCCTTTCCAAGGTTCATGTTGGCGAAGCCGACGGCATCATCCAGATCGAGATGTGCAGCGAAGTACCATCGGCGGTAGTTGGCGTTCTCTCCTCCGATGTAATCGGCGTGCAGCGACAGAAGTGCTTGGTTGGGCGACATGCGGGACGCACGCGAATCGAGCAGGGTCATGAAATGGTCGTACATGTTGCGCATGCTGTCACGCTGGAAACCGAACTTAGCGGTCAAGTCGAGAAAGATGTCCTCAATCTCCTCCTTGGTGCAGGGGATCTGGGCTTCGGCGGTCCACGCCGGGTAGGGCTCACGAGAGCGCTGTCCAGCGGGAAGGGCGTTGGAGTAGTCCATGCCGTAGATTGGCGTTGAAGCACCCGACGAGCGGTTGCCACCATATGAGACTTGAGACGAAGGAGGACGGTAGCCGCGGTTGCCCTCGGCGTAGCTGTTGTACCTCTCGTCGCCACGACCGTAATAGTCCATGTCGGTGGCACGAGCCATGTCGGAACGCATGGTAAAGTCGCTGAAAGTCTCAGAGTCTTCCTCGGAGTCGTGCTGACGGCGACGGGGCTGCTGGCCGTTGGCCGCGTAGCCGTCTTGCGCACCACCTTGGTCGTAGTACTGGTCGTTGTAATACTCGTCCTGGTAGCCCTGTTGGCCGCGTTCGTCGTAGTAGCCGTTTTGTTGGTATTGACCGCCCTGCTGGCCGTCGTAGTAACCTCTGCGTCATTGTTAGCAATTGATCGAGCACGTCGCCGCAGAAGACAATACGTACTGTTCGTCATAGTAGGAATCGGTGTGCTGGCCCTGCTGCTGGTACTGGGCGCCGTGGGCGTCGTCGTGATACTGGCCATACTGGTCGTCGTGGTAGTAGGCGTCCTGGCCCTGAGGCTGGCCCTGGGCGTGGCCTTGAGTCTGGCCGTAGCCGTCGTCGTATTGGCCTCCCTGTGGATGTCCGGACATCGTGGGAAGCTATTAGAGTGGGATGTAAATCTGCGAGGCGAGCTGTCAATAACTGTCGCGTAAGGGGCCGCCAATCCTGAAACAGCGGGCGTCGGAGGGGCGGTCGTACCTCAAGCAATGGGCATTAGGAGCGGCAAATTCGAATTGCTCGTAGTCGTGCTGCCGCGAAATACGGTTGGCGTTGGTGCACTAAGTGCAGATGGGGTGGTTGAACGAGTGTGTTGTTGTGGAAGTGGCTCGCTGTTTATCGCGGGGTGGCGATATCTCGGTAGCACAGCGGACTGCTCGTGCCTGCTGCAGTACTAGAGTCTGGTGTTGTGGTCGTGGCTAGCGAGTGGAAAGCTGAGTATGCAGCCGGTCGTGGTTGCCAGGAGAGACGCGCGGCGAATCGGCGCTTGTCTGCTGCTGGGGCGAAAGTGGGAATTAGGCTGGTGGAAGTGGCGGGTAGCGGCTCTCCTCGTCAGGTCGGGTGAGGGAGCAGTCGAGTCGGGTCGTCCAAGCTACACAACCTCAACGCAATGAAACGAGAGGAAATGTAGAAGAAAACAGACACGTGAAGAAGAAGGGTGGTGAGTGAGCGACGGTGTGGAATGCGGAAGGGCAGGCAAAGAGCTTTTTAGCAGCTTCCCCTGAAAATGAAAGGCACGACCGCCAAGCTAGCCTAACGCCGTCAGAGACGCTGCGCATGGGTCCCCTTCGCTAGCATTCACGTCCCGATATTGAGTCGCCCCTCTAAAAAAGGCACCGGAGATCATGGACGTATGCACACTACAAAGCTGCTCCGCTGCGCTCACTCGAGCAACAGGTGCTCCGATCTGCTGCGCGCCTTCTGCGCGCTGCTCTGGCGGATGCCGCACAGCGCTGGCCAGGAAACCAGCTACCATGGGATCTGCGATCTGCTTGCATATCGATAATACCGGTTCCCGAATACACCAACAACAAAGACAACACCACCGCCCTGCTTGCCGTCACCCGGCTCGGATGCAGCGTGCTCTGGGTGACTGGGCTGACAGCTGGATCCTCCAGCATCGCTCTTTGCCTCTGCGTCCCCGCCTCTGCTTGCCTTGCCCTCACGTCACGACTGTTCCCAGCCATGGGCCAACAAAGACTGCACCGCACGGTTGTGAGGCCCGCGCTGATCAAACCACGACTAGCGACCCGGCAGACCAAGTCAGTCCCGCTTGCTTCGCCCGCTGCTCGACCGGCCGCGATAGCGACGATAAGTTTCTTATCTGACATCCAATCGCGACGTGGCGCGCTTCCGCAACGCCCTAGCCCTAGCTCATCAAATGGCCAACGGTGCTTGGTGTCGCAATCCAAAGGGGGCTGACGGCCGCCAGTCGCTGCTAATGCTTCTGTTGAGCCTGATCACACCCGACTACACCGCATGCTCAACATGTCCAATCCTTTTGCCGCCTGTATGTTTACTTCACCCCAAAAGCCGCTGTCTCTCTGCGCCGTGATTCTCCTGAGTCGTGCATGAATCAAAAGCGATCGCATGATGACGGAATCCCTCACCGCAGCCAAATTCAACCGACGACCAGGGCCCCAGCCTTGGTGAGCTATATTAGGCCGCCCGGTTCCCAACGTCGACACCATGGCAAATGAGCCGGCTACAGAGCGTCCAAGTTGCATCCTAAGCCCAGGCTAGCAAATCCGATCATGATTACGTCTCTATGCAAATCCTCTACACGCACTTTTCTTAGCCCATTGACAGCTTCATTAATACATAATCGCGCACCCTCTTTGACCAGCTGCCATTGTGTGCAAGCATTATTCTCAAACACCTCGGGCACGCCAGCTCCCGGCCCGAAGAATCGCCCTGCTTTACCATTGTGATGACCAATGGCTGTCTGGAGCCGAGTCGTAAACGCGCGAACACCAGCATCAGCGGCATCTGTCTGTGAACGCATCATGCTCCATTGGCCGCCTCCCGGCGCGAGTGACTTCGCCACACCTACGACTAAGTTTCAGCTGCACAAACTGCGTGTCGTGTGCCTCCGAACCTAAAGTGCCGCGGTCACGCCGGGACTGCACGAGGCTGTGCACTCCAGCGTCGACGACCATCGCAATCGTCGACATCCGTCCCCAAGACCAACAGTCTCGACTTCCAAACTTCTCTCGTATAATCCAACACGGCGCACCGGGACTGCGCGGGACACATACCGTGACATCTGCAGAGACGCCACTCAATTTAGCAACGTGATCCGCAGTGGGGCTCAGGCGGCTCTCAGTGGGGTGCGAAATTGGGTGTACGTACGCGTCGAGATCGCGACTCTTGACTACCCGCCGCGCTGACAGTCCTAAAATGTGACAACAACTTCGGTAATATTATCGTGAAAGAAGCTGACAACCGCAAAGCCGAACCTGTAGTCTCCAACTTCCAACATCCATATTACCTGCGGTGTTGATGCAGTAGAAGAATAGATGATGGTCTCGAAGGCGCTCGGGCCATGAATGCGAAACAAGCCTAGTATCAGGGGCACAGGTGAACCCTCGCTGATCCCTCTTGGAATGCTTGACTGACCCTACATTTCTTCACTCGTTGTGCCTCAGAGTCGTTTCTACACTCACTTTTCTGTTTTACCAGTCCGTCTTTACGTCCTTGAATAATTCATTTTTCGCATACAGCCTCATTCGCTGTTGCGCCACACTCCTTCATCTCATTGTTCCTTCCTAAACACATTCTCTATACTCTTTAAACGCAACTCTCGGCGATTCAACCCAAGCTCTCGCCAACACCACCACTACTCTTGGAAGTCGTCTTATACTATTATTACCAAGATGCGTGGAATCTTCGCTACTGCGGCCCTACTCGCGGGCGTTCAAGCCGCCGTTGACCCCATTGTCATCAAGGTATGATGTCGTGCGACAAGTGCGACTTGCGTGTCTAACAATGCCTAGGGCCAGAAATTCTTCCAAAAGAACAGTGGTGAACAATTGTAAGAGACCCAAGAACTCAAGAAAAGCCAAGCTAACCATCGCACAGTTTTATGAAGGGTGTCGCATACCAACAAGAAGTCAACTCCAACTCCACAGCTGCCTCGACCGACGACATTGACATCACCGACCCCCTTGCCGACTCATCAGCATGCAAGCGTGACATTGAGCAGCTCAAGAAACTTCAGACCAACACCATTCGTGTGTACGCCATCGACCCCAAGAAGGACCATGAGGACTGCATGAGCCAGCTCGCCGATGCGGGCATCTACGTTGTAGCCGACTTGTCTGAGCCCGGAATGTCGATCAACCGTGACGACCCCGGCTGGACTGTCGAGCTGTACGACCGCTACACAAGCGTCGTTGACGAGATGATGAAGTACGACAACACCCTCGGTTTCTTCGCCGGAAACGAGGTTAGCAACCAGCCCAACAACACTGTTGCAAGTGCTTTCGTCAAGGCGGCTGTCCGTGACACCAAGGCCTACATCAAGAGCAAGAACTACCGTGAGATTGGTGTCGGATACGCCACCAACGACGATGCCGACATCCGTGAGAACATGGCCAACTACTTCGACTGCGGCGACGCCGACAGCGCTATTGACTTCTGGGGTTACAACATCTACTCGTGGTGCGGTGACTCCTCGTTCACCGAGTCCGGTTTCGATGTTCAGACCAAGAACTTTGAGAAGTACAACGTTCCCGTCTTCTTCGCTGAGTACGGTTGCAACACTCCTCGTCCCCGCAAGTTCACTGAGGTCGGCGCTCTCTACGGCAAGCAAATGACTGGTGTCTGGTCTGGAGGTATTGTCTACATGTACTTCGAGGAGGAGAACAAGTTCGGTAAGTTTCCTGTATCTTGTCATTCGAATCGCTTCTAACCTTCATCAGGTCTCGCTTCCGTCAAGGGCGGCAAGGTCGAGACTAACGATGACTTTGACAACCTGTCCAAGCAGATCGCCAAGGCCACCCCCGTCGGTGTCAAGATGTCCGAGTACAAGCCCAGCAACACCGCTGCTGCCTCATGCCCCAAGGTCACTTCTGGCAAGTGGGAGGCCGAGTCTGACCCCCTCCCACCTGTCGCCAACGCCAACCTCTGCTCGTGCATGATGGAGACTCTCAGCTGCCAAGTCGCCGATGACACCGAGGAGGAGGACTTCGGCAAGATGTTCGGCTTCATCTGCGGTGAGAAGGACGGCGAGTACTGCCAGGGTATCAACAAGAACGCCACTGCTGGCCCTTACGGTGTCTACGGCATGTGCTCCAGCCGCGAGCAGCTCTCCTTCGCTCTCAACGCCTACGCTAAGAAGGTCAACGGTGGTTGCGACTTCAAGGGCCAGGCTACTTCCAAGAAGGCTGTTGCCAGCCCCACTGCTTCCGGCTGCTCTTCGCTTCTCAAGGACGCTGGCGTCGACGGCACTGGCTCTGTCAACGGCGCTGCTGCCAAGGCCACCGGTGCTTCCAGCTCTGGTGACGCATCTGGCTCCGCCGGTGCTGCCGCCGGTCTGTCCGCTCCCCACTTCACCAACGGTGCCTTCGGCATGGGTCTGTACGTTGTTGCTGCCGTCGCCTCTGGCATGGCTATGATCCTGTTGTAAGGTATTGGTCAACCTTGTATTTATCCTGCATAGTTTGCGTGGGTCGCGCTTATTCCCCTTGGGCTCACCGGCACCGTCTTGGACGCGTGGCCTGGAAGAGTAGTGTGGTTTTCTTTGGCTTAGGTGAAATTCTAATAGTTTTGCTATACTGTTGTATGTATGGTGCGCAATGAAATGAGACCTTGAACTGTCTAAAGTTTGCTGACTCCTTTGGTGGTTGCATGTGACGATGTACAATGAGAGTGAATATGCATGGCTTGGGTGGTGGCAGAAGGGTTGCGCTCTATAAGGTTCGACAATTCCGTACCTTCGAGATGGTAACGTGGATACTGGGGGACCAGCCCGCGGTGCAGGCTACAGTCATGTTATTCTGTGTCGTCAGCAAGAAAGGACTCCATTTCACATACACCCCTCACTCAAAGGGTTCAAGCCCCATTCTCAGACCAACATACTTCCAGAAGCCATACAATGTAAAGCAAAGAACACAAATCATAATCCAGATTAGACAGCAACTACAACCCAGCCCTTAATACCTCTCCACTAAAAACGCTCTCCGCTCAATCTCGCCCATGTCCCCCAACATCTTTGTCTCCTCCCGCTTCATCTCCAGATACGCCCGCACAAACTTCTGATCCAACGCCTCATTGAGCGGGCCATCCTCTCTCAGCGCCTCCA